GCCACACGCACACACACACACACACACACACACACACACACACACACACACACACACGCGCGGCACACACACGGCTCCAGGTCTAAGCCCAAGCCCCAGGGTGCCTCCCGTCGTTCGTCAGTCGCTCTCGTTCATCACCCGAACCGGGGGCCCCACAATGCCAGGGCTAAGCAGTGTTGGCACATGGGGCTACAAGAATAGGAATACGGCGCATACAGCAGCGCAATGGAAGGGTGTCCGGGCCTTCGGGAGGGGCACTCGAGGGGGATGGACGGCGTCCAGTCCACAGCGAGCGGCGATTCGCCATGCCCAGCGACGCTGCTACTGCTGCAACGGCCCAATGACGGCAACACCTGGACAGCCTGTTGCTGGCACCATTTTGATTGGCTGGATTGCTGATGACTACCACCTGGCTGCGCTGGGTTTGCTGGCTGGGCGTGCTGCCGCGGGCGCTTAACAGGCTCTTTCAGCGGGGGGTGCTGGGTGGGTGCTGGACCCGGCCAGTGAGGTCGCCCACAGCAGCCCTCCGCTGCACTTCATGGGTCAATGTCACACGAGACGAGATTGCACGCAGCGCGATAGTGTCACCGAGGATATGCGGGATGATGAGATTGATAATTGTGCTAGCAGAGTGAAACCCATGGTTCAGATGCAAAAATAGATTTTTTTTTTTCCGATTCGAGAATCAGGGAGACAAAGGGACAATGGGCAGCTCTGACCAGGACGAGGAAAATAGTCGATCTAGCTTCCGACCGTGGGCCCGATTCTCCCCCAACCCTGCGCTCCCTGAAAGGCCCCACCCCAGCCAATCAACTTGATCACTCACAGCCACCACGGAGTATGACGCACAGGCCACTCTCGGGAAGGATCCACCTCTGCCTGCACCAGGGCGGGTCCAGCCGTTACATTGTGCCGCTTGAAGCTAATGCCGACACACCCCTGCCAGGCCATCAAGACACTACACAATAAGTACCTACCTGAGGTAGAGAAGAGACTTATAGCGAGTTGACGTCAAAACATATCCGGCAAAAGACTTACTGAAGCTTTTCAGTGCTCACACTTGCTTTTTGATGCATCTCGGCGCCTCCGAGTGGGCTTGACCAACACGGAGGCCTCAAGCTGCTCTCATCTAACGCCCTCCTGCAGCTTGGTCGATTGGCTCTTTTTGCCTTGATGAAGAGCCGTTGCAAGCTCGACTCACGAACAATATCCAAGGTAGACGTATGGATTACTTGATGCCAAGAGCTGACTTTTTGTATATTCATATAGGTTTCTCCAGTTTGGATGGACACGGAATTTCGGGACCGAGCTGTTGCCCGGTGACTGTCTAGGTAGGTGCTACTTTCGCTTGGGCAGCTAGAGGCTACACCACAAAGTACGGTGTGCATTCACGTGGCCGGCCGGCAGAGGCACACCACACAATTTCCCATATTGCTGCAAGGCTCTTTTGATATTTCCGACAATTCACTCTTGTTCTTCCCAGGTAGGAAATTATTGCAACCTAAGATCCTTTGAGAGAGGCCTTTCCCAAGTTTCGGGATTAGAAAACTCAATGTTGAGTACGGGATAAGACTTCCTGGAATACCGGACCGCCCCGGATACTACATCTCTCTGACCATGGCCCATCAGGCTTGAGCATTTAGTGGATGCAAGTTTGTCTAGCTGATGATCAAGATATGAAAAACCTATTTATTGATGTCTTCGTAAAAGGGAAGAAAGAAAGAAAGTTGTGGTTGTTCTATATTCTTTGTTCAATGCTGGTTATGAACCGCCAACACAAAGCTCGGCTCAAATATCCATAGCGATCCAAAGAAAGGGGAAATCGATGCTTTTGAACGATAAAAATGAATCAAGAGGTATCACACCAAGGACCTAGCTTGCGGCTGGTCGTACTTAAGAATCCCACTGAACCCCAACCATGACCCCATCCTATGCTGGATAGACCTCTCCCGACTATTTCCCAAGAACCTGATGCTACCAAATCTCCCAGTCGTGCCAGATCACCAACCGATACCCAATCGATCTCAAACCAATGCAGCATCCAGAACTGCTGCTCATGCGAAGCGCCAAATTTTTCAATCCAAAACACCCCCCCCCCCAAGTTCCCCCAGACAGCCAGCTGAAAGACAGCCAAGCCCCTACTTCTCTTCCTCCACGGGCTTGTTTACCATCACTGCATCTTCTGCCTCTGGTGTTGGTAAGGTCACCGTTGACGCAGTTATCGAAGAGCCCTGACACACTGGCAACAGTCTCCCAGACGCAGTACCAACAGGAGATGCACAACCTCCTGTTCCCAAGCCCATCAAACCCATCCCTAATCCCATCCCATTGACACCGCCCATTCTGCCGCCCGTAGCAGCATCGGCTGCGCGCCTGGCAAGCTCTAATTCGCGGCGGTCGCGATACTGGCTCTGGTTCTTCTCGAGAAGCTGCCCACCGAGCGTCGCGCACTTGAGGATAGTCTGAATCAGGTTGGCCTGCTGCAAGGGCTTCGACAGGTACTCGTCCATCTGTGCCTCTAGACACTTTTCGCGGTCGCCCATCATGGCGTGCGCAGTGAGGGCGATAATTGGCGTGCGTTGTGGGGTGGGCAAGGACGCCTCATATTCGCGAATCTTGGCCGTGGCTTCGAAGCCTCCCTGTTTTGAGAGTCAGTACGGATTACGGCCCATGGTGGTTTATCGATCATTCAGAGATCAGAAGGGGCTTACCATAACGGGCATTTGCACATCCATAAGGATGACATCGAACTTCTTGCGCTTGACCGCCTCCACAGCCTCCTCGCCGTTACCGACGACCGTCACGACATGATGGTACTTCTCCAAAATCTTCACAGCCAACCGCTGGTTGACTGCGTTGTCTTCGGCCAGCAGAATCTCAAATGACCGTGTGTTGTCCGCCAGCGACGGCGTTGCCCGGTTTTCCAGCGCCGGCAGCATTCCGTTGCCCAGGTCGATCAGCTTGCATGGCATCGTCATGCATGACGTTATGCCCAGATCCAGGCACGACTTGAGCGAGACGTGAACCACTGGAGCCAGCAGCACGATAGGAAGGTACTTAAAGTCGTCAACCGCCCTCAATCTGCGCGCGTCCTCGATCGAGTCGACGATAATGACGTCGAAGGAGGAGACCGCCTTCCCCTGGCTGCCGGATCCAGTCTTCTTCTTAGCAGTGAATTGCTTGGATGTGACGGCAGCATCCTCAGCGTTGCCACAGCAATTGGCCGTCTTGTTCTTTGACAGTACCGCGTTTCGTTCCGAGTTGACGACGACTGGTACCAGCCCAAGTCCCCTGAGCATTTCCACGACCTCCGGCCCGTACCTCGTCCGTCCCTTGTCGATGAAGAGCACCTGGTGTCCCTTAAACGGGGTGAGCTGCTTCGAGATCAGGGAAACGTTGTCATCTGCTAACTTCACGACACAGGTGAAGAAAAACTGGGACCCCTTTCCGTACTCGCTCTTGACCCACACATCACCTCCCATGAGGTTGACGAGCCTCTTGGAGATGGACAAGCCGAGGCCCGTACCCCCGAACTTACGTGTCATGGACCCGTCCGCCTGCTGGAAGGTGTCAAAGATGAGATCGAGCTTATCCTCGGGAATACCAATGCCTGTGTCGGCAACAATGAACTCAATGGCATACTCATTTGGTCTACAGTGCGCCTGTGATGCCTTCTGAATGGTCAGGCTGACCTCTCCGTGCTCGGTGAACTTGATGGCGTTGCCGACCAGGTTGAGGATAATTTGCCGCAGACGGAACGAGTCGCCAACGACATAGTCTGGCACAGAGCTGTCGACGCGGTAGGTCAAGTCGAGATACTTCTCGTTGGCCTTGACGGCAAGAGTCTTGAGCGCGTTGAAGACCGTGCCGCGCAACGTGTAAGGGATTTCCTCGATGACCATGCGACGGGCCTCAATCTTACTGAGGTCCAGAATGTCGTCGATGATGGTCAGCAGACTGTTTGCCAGCGAGTTGACAATGTTGAGCATTTCGCGCTGATACTGCGTCAGGTCTGTATCCAGCGTCAACTGCGTCATGCCGATGATGCCGTTCATGGGCGTGCGAATCTCGTGCGACATGTTGGCCAAGAACTCGGACTTGGTCTTGTTCGCCAACTCCGCTGCCTCGCGAGCCTGCGTGTTGCGCTGGATGCTGTCCCGGAGGTTGCACACCATTTGGTTGATTTTCTTCTTGAGCTCGTCCATCTCACCGGCAGCTTCGACCTCGACAAGCTTGGTGAAGTCACCATCCGTGGCAGCGTTGGTAATGTCACCAAATGCTCGAACTTGGGCGGTCAGATTGTTGGCCATGGTGTTGACATCTGTCGTGATCTCCTTCCATCTGCCCTTGAGCCCGGCGACGTCGGCTTGTCCGCCCATGATTCCGTCAACGCCGACATCCTTGGCCACGCGCTGGACTTCGTTACAGAAGATAGACAGCCGATCAACCATGTTGTTGATGGTCTCCTTGAGGACAAGTATCTCGCCCTTGGCTTCGACTTCGATCTTTTGGCTCATGTCGCCATTGGCGATGGCTTGCGTGACGATGGAGATGTTGCGCACCTGTGAACTGCACGTCAGCATACTATCTCGGTTCGCGTCGCGTCAGGTCAGGGACAAGCCATACTTGCGATGTCAGGTTCCGCGCCATGGTGTTGACGTTTTCTGTGAGATCCTTCCACTTGCCCTCAACATTTTCGACTTGAGCCTGGCCACCGAGCGTGCCGTCGGTGCCCACTTCTCTCGCGACCTTGCTGACCTCAAACGCAAAGGTTCCCAGGCGGTCTACCATGGTGTTGATGGTGTTTTTCAGATCCAAGATCTCCCCTTTCGCTTCAACACCGATCTTCTTGGTGAGGTCGCCGCGAGCCACGGCCGTGGTAACCTTCGCGATCTCGCGCACTTGCGTTGTCAGGTTCATAGCCATGCAGTTGACGTTTTCTGTCAGATCCCTCCAGACACCTTGCACATCATGGACCGTCGCTTGGCCGCCCAACCTGCCCTCCGTGCCGACCTCGCGCGCGATTTTGGTCACCTCGCGGGCAAACTGCTGCAGCTGGTCGACCATGGAGTTGATGGTCTTCTTCAACTCAAAGATCTCGCCGCGGCACTCGGCCTGCACCTTCTGCGTGAGGTCACCCTTGGCCACAGCAGTGGTGACCTTGATGATGTCGCGCACCTGCGTCGTCAGATTGTTGGCCATGGCGTTGACATTGACTGTCAGCTCATTCCACATGCCCTGTACGCCTTCGACGTCGGCTTGACCACCAAGCATACCCTCAGTGCCAACGTCGCGAGCCACGCGGGTGACTTCCGAGGCAAAAGTACGCAGTTGATCGACCATGGTGTTGATCGTCTGCTGTAACTGGAGGATCTCGCCTTTGGCAGGGCGCTCGATCTTTTTGGTAAGGTCGCCATGGGCGACTGCTGTGGTCACAGATGCAATCTCACGCACTTGGTCTGTGAGATTCTGGGCCATGATATTGACTGGGTTAAGGTTAGCACATACTCCAGAGAGTCGGGGGGGAAAAGGAAGGGGGGGGGGGTGTAGACTAGTAAGCACCAGGGGAGATGGCATACCGTTATCAGTCAACTCTTTCCACGTCCCAGCAACCCCCTCGATGCGCGCTTGGCCACCAAGAATACCTTCAGTGCCGACCTCGCGTGCAACACGCGATACTTCACTAGAGAAAACTTGCAGCTGATCCATCATGGTATTGATGGTCCGCTTGAAAGTTGTGATATCAGGGTCCATGTCTCCGGTGTTCATGAGTACCCGTTTGGAGAGGTCACCCCTGGCAACGGCAGTGACAATCTCGCCAATCTCGCGCAAGGCCTTTTGGAAAGCAATATTTGCTTGTTGGTGCTTGCGAAGCTCGCGCTCGAGAGTAGCGATTCTCTCCTTTTCCTTGAGAGCTGCTGTCATCTCGGCCTCATCCCCCTCCCCAGCTCTCCTCAGCGCGTTGGCATGCTGTTCTAGCCCGGCAATCGCTCCATCAATGCATCCTCTCCCCGACGTATTAGGCGATGAGCCAGTAAGCTCAGGTCGAGACATGGAATGGGCATCTGTAAGGATTGGTGAACCATTCGACCCTTCCGGCGTTTGTGGGAAGATGGTTGTTGTAGAATAGTGGTAGACTTTGGCCTCGAGTTGCTGCACCCGGCAAGCAAGCGCGGCAAGCTCGCGCTCTAGTTCTGCCTTCTCAGGGCTGAGAGGGCCGGGAATCTGAAAGGGCGTAGGGCAAGCGGAGAATAGAGGGGATGGCGTCTTCGGATCGGCGGCGATGGCTTTGACGATGGCCAAAACGGCCGCTAACGAGTGGTTGCCGCTCATTCTGAGGGCAGAAATGGCTATCAACGCCGTAGTGGCTGTAAAAAGAGAGTGTCGGTCAACCTAAGGTGTAGGAGCAAAAGGAATGAAATAACTAGTAGGATAAGGAAATAGGGTAAGCGAGTTTCTTTCGTGGGCAGAGGACCATTCGCGAAAAAGAATGGGGAGAATACGGCTGTTGATCAATTATTGCGAGTGAATAGCCAGCGTTCAATGGCAACAGGGAGGAGGAAGAGTCGGGATGCCCCGGGAGGAGCTTTTGCCGGGGAGGCTTGTGCTTTTTTTTTTTTGTAGGAGGTCACCGGCCGCCTCGCTGGACGGGCCGAGCGGGCAGGGGATGAGACAAAACAGCGAAGGTGCATAAAGTCGCCGAGATACTAACCGTGGGTTGGGTGCCTGATAGAGTTCGGAAAAAAAGAGGGCAAGGGTCAAAGCACCACAGGCAGTAAAGTAGCTGTAGATCCAACAGGGCGAGGGCAGCGAGATGAGATCTGCTCCAGTTTTCCTGTCACCCCTGTTACATTCTGCAGATGGATGAAAAAGGTGAAAGACGTCTTTTCCCCCCATGAGGAATGAGAAACATAGGCAAGCCAGTCAATCTACGTCAACGGCTGTACGGACGCCAAACTCTAAAGCGGAGAAAAAAGGGCTCCACGAGATCTGCAGCCGGGGTAGTGGAGAGACAACCAAGGATCACCCACACACCACTATGAAAAGGTAAGAAATCTTCTCTGTGCCGTCACATCTCTGTTTTGGCGCGGAAGCGACCTGATGATTCTGCCAGACTGGACATGAGTGTTAGGTGGCGACCTGCAACTTGATAACCAATAGCTGATTGAGAATCATTGTGCATCTCTCCGTCCCTGACTCTCCAACTGCGACAGTACAATGTGCCCAGTCTCCGCCACTCTGAGGCAATGGAAGGTCGGGGGCAGAGTAGATATGATCTTCTTCATTAGACGCCCGATTATTGGGATGGCATAGCATGGATTTCAGATGCCCTCGTCTTACGCCCCTGATGATAGACCGGATATGGTCACTTGCTGATGCTCCGTGTATTGTGGCAACAATAACTGTTACACGGCACAAGTTCGATGGCACAACAAACGTAATTCTAGGATGGCACGACTAATAATGGATGAAGCGCGTTTCAGCCATATGCATGAGCTTGAATACAGTAGGGGGTAGCAGCTACAGTACACGATGCCAGACGGCTCGCCATTACGTGTCGGCATGGTATGTTTGTTATTTCCCTTCTGGAGGTTGCATCACAATTCACAACTGCAATTGGCACGCTTAAGATAACCTGACTTTGGACAGGGTCAATAGATGATATTTTCTACTTCCATGGGCCTGCAAGCTTTTAAACATGCTTGCTTTATGATTTATGATGATTCATGATATTCAAAAAGATTCCTAAATAAGGTATGTATCATGAAGAGGAGACACAGTGAGAGGGAACGTGGAGAACAGAAGAAAGGTGAGAGGATCCCTGTGATTAAAGAAAACGAGATTCATCTGGGGCTGGTAACTCAAGCATCCATCAGTAGACAAAATGTATGAGCCTTCCCCTTTCATTCAAACCTTCAGCATAGCCTAAGAGAGCCACTTTTTCAATCCCGCCAAGCGAGAAATGGGATCGATCCATTAGGTTTGAAGCGTCTGTAGAGTCTGCAAAGGTGGGTCCCTGGTTGCTTGGTTTTAAGCCACTGACGTCATCAGGGACGTGTGTTGAAAATCTACGGAGGATTGGTCTTACAGAAGTCCTGTGATAACTGGATGACCAACCACCAAAACCGAAGGAGGTGAACGGAGCCAGGTCCAACAGTTACAAGAGCAAGAGCAGCAAGGGAAGGAAGTCACCTATTGAATAATATAATCAACTCTCTTCGAGGAATAGCAGTACTTGAGGCTTGGTATTCGGTACACATGCAGCGTCGGGTACACCGCTTGAGCAACGTTCCGACGCTTTTTGCCATGATTGGCCATAAGTGGTAATACATCTCGACTTCTCCAACGCATGCCAGTTTCTTAACGGCGTGTGGCTCACGTATCTGGATAATTGGTATGAGTGTAAATTGGTGCGACGAAACCCTGGTACTTACGATGCATGTAGAGGATCATTCCGCGGAATTTGCACGGTTCGTGGTTGGTCAGCAGCAGGGACACAAGCTGAGTAAAATGTTTGGATCTTTGCCCTGGTGGCGCCAAGCCGGGTATCGGCACCGAGCCGTCCCTCGTGTGTTTCTTGTTCGTGATCACACTACAGTACGCGTCGGACCTGCCAAAATGGCGGTCCAACTAGCCTGTTCTGTAGACTAGTCGGGTAGAGCAACCTGCAAGTTCGAGGCAGCCTGGATATTTTTTGGGGTACATCCTAGTCCACACAATTTCTATGGGCGCTGAGGTCACCTACACATTACAACCCGTCACGACCAACAAGGGGACATCAAAGGGAAAAGTAGGATCATACACAGAGAGCCAATAAAGACGCGGCTCACGCAGGTCCGAAACGGCCAATAGGAAACAGGATCAAGAGTCACCGGCGAATAAAGGCCTTTGGTAGAAACAAGGACCGATCACGAGTACGTAAGGTAGAGAGAATGCTCATGGGAGAAGCGGACGAAGGAACTCCCCAGTCACCAACACAAACAGTTGTGCAAAATCAACAGGTGACCACAGCGATCCTGAGTCTGTGCTGAAACTCCTATCTCTCAGATTCATAAGCCTTGAGTCAAACCTGAACCCATCTCAGGAGGGCTAGACGGATCGTCACATAAACCATGTCTCCAGATATATATAAATATAGCTTTGCGCTGATACATGGTATTAAGCAAGTAGACAATAGAAACATCTGCTCTATCTTCCCTGATATTTCCAGGAGATCTTTTTAAAAACGTCTTCTATGCTTTTGACGATTACCTGATTAACTTGCAATGAGAATTTCCGAAAGCGCAGGTATTTTCTTTTTTTTTTTTGGTATTGTTGTATTGTTGAGTTTTTACATGCAACTGGCGATATATTACACGAAGAGTGGGTGACTTCCATTTCCATAAATGTTATATGGCTGTAAAAAGTCCCTTAATATTTGAAGGCTGCTCCACCTGACTAATCCGCAGAATAAGTAGTCGGACCGCCGTTTTGGCAGGCCCGACGAGCACTTACTCCAACAGTCTATACGAGTTGCAGATGTGCACTAGCTAAAGTAGCTAGGGTTGATGATTACTTCCATTCAGCCTCGGCACTATTGGGCTATTATAGTGCTCTTGGTGCAAGCTGAAAGAGCTGGTTCTGATGTATATCGCCTTTACGGATCTGAGCACACTCCGAGCTCGTCATCGAGGCTTCACTTCCTTTACGGAGCAAATTCCCAAGCTCCCCGAGTAGCCATTGGAAAGTGGGCATTTAAGGCTAATCCACACAGCATTGACTGCTATCACGGCTGGTAATGATGTTCGGTAGCTGCTCCGTAGACGGCGTAGCAGGGGACCAATGGGAAGGTCGCAAGCGGGATCAAGAGGGGTGCCATTCAGAAGGAGAAGCGCAGGTATCTCAGGTTCTCTCATTGCAATATACTACGAGAACTGCGGGGAAAATATCATCAAGGCCCAAATATAGACAACGGAAATAGGGCAGGCATACTAACAGCTTCGAATATAAATATGTATGGAGAATCACCTATCCCCCAGAGAAATGACAAGGGCTCCTCAGCCAGCAATAGAAACAATTGTCAACCAGCAACTGATGACCGCAGTAAGCCACATACACACTACTCTGCGAGGACCCCAATCCCTCAGGTTCTGCAACCTGGCCGCTACCTTCGAACCCATCTCAGGAGGTTGTGAAGTCGTCACAAAAGAGCTTACGAAATGCATGAACGATGACAACTGATTTTATTGAAGTGAGCGGATATAATTAAATACTGTCCTATGCAATGGGACTGTCATGGAAGAGTTTGTCAGGGGAATGCCTATCTACCTACTTATCAATACTTGTGATTCTGCAGAAATGGACTCCCTATATTATTTTTGTGACGATTCCACAACCTCTTGAGACGGGTTCGAAGGTAGCGGCCAGGTTGTAGAACCTGATGGACTGGGGTCCTCACACAGTAGGGTACGTGATATACTGCGGTCACCAATTGTTGTTGTTGGTTGACAACTGTTTATTGCTGACTGAGGAATTCCTCCTAACGAGCGGCTAGCTAGGTCCTATATACAGGAAGGTTTCCTCCAATATTGCTCCTGCCATCACGAGTATCGCTGGTGGTTGGAGCATCACTCCGTGGTAATTTGGCCTCGGTGGTGATAATGTCTCGATTGGTCCGTCCTTTCACGCATCTCCCGTCCTGCTTTTCTTGGCAGGGCCTCCCTTATTCCGTTGGCCATGACAGTATTGCTTGGAACCCCCCCCATCTCCGGGTCCATGAAGCAAGACAGTAAGGGTTAGGGTTATACTCTAGCACATGCGGGGTGTCCGTGATAAGATAAAGATTTTGGATCCCAGGATTCTTGGGCCCGTCGCAGTGTTCGCGATCGAGAAAGTGAAAAGAGGGACGTGGGAAGTGGGAAGCGGATGAGAGCGCACCGCTACCATCTGGTTTAAGCGTTTGCAGCATTTTCCTCGCTAACATTGGTTTTAACTGCTCCTGGCCAGAGGTGGTAATGTTTCGAGCCGTCCGCTGGCTGCGCGGGTCCGGCAATCGACTATTCACGATGACGACGGGCACTCACGATTCAGCCCCGGCGGCGACCGCGGCGATTGTTGTTGCAACAGGCACTGCAGCGGCTACTGCCGCTATTCCGACAACTAATACTGCGACGGCGACAACGTCAACTTCTTCGAATGGGACTTCTGATGGGCCAACACCTGCTGATGTCCCTTCTCCCGTGGCTCTCCCTCGGGTCCCTATCCCTCCTCGTGGTGTCGACTACCGCGGCAAGGTAGTGCTTGCGCCCATGGTTCGCAGCGGCGAGTTGCCTATGCGCTTGATGGCTCTACATTACGGCGCTGACCTTGTATGGGGTATGTCGTCTGCATCCTGCTTTCATTGTTATCTTTTTATAAAAAAAATATTCGACAAGCTAGTCTTGAGCGTTGACTGACAATACAACTTCGCAACAGGCCCCGAAACTGTCGACCGCTCCCTTATTGGCGCTAAGCGCCGCATTAACCCGCGCACAAATATGATCGAGTATACTCGACTCCCCTCGCACACTCACTCCCCGGCGGCTCAGTATGAGGGCAACCAAGAGTCCGTAATCTACCGCCTGGACCCTGTGCGCGAGGCTGGTAAGCTTGTCTTCCAGCTGGGCACGGCAGACCCAAATCTCGCTGTGGAAGCTGCACGCTTTGTGGCCCCTGACGTCGCTGGCATTGATGTCAACGCCGGTTGTCCCAAGCCGTTCAGCTTATCCGGCGGCATGGGTGCTGCGCTGCTTCGCGACCCCGACAGGCTGGTGGCCATTCTGGAAGCCCTTACGCGCGAGATTCCCCCGCAATTTGGCATTGGCGTCTCAGTCAAGATCCGGCTCCTAGAAACAGCCGAGAAGACGGAAGCCTTGGTGCGCCGTCTTGTGCGCACTGGTATCACGGGTCTGACCGTACACTGCCGGACAACGCCAATGCGCCCGCGCGAGCCCGCTATCCGTGGCCAACTGCGCATGATTGCCGACGTGTGTCGCGAAGCGGGTGTCGCATGCGTCGTGAACGGCGACGTGGCCTCTCGTGACCACGGCATGAAGCTGTGCACCGAGTTCGGCACAGACGGTGCCATGATTGCCACGGCGGCCGAGAAGAATCCGTCATGCTTCCGCCCGGCCGATCCAGAGTCTGGCACGACGCCTCTTGCTCCCTGGCAGGAGCTGGCGGATAAGTACATACGGTTCGCGCTGGAGGTGGAGAATAAGATCGCCAACACCAAGTTTTCGCTGACGCAGCTCATCCCGGGCAAAGCGAAGGAGTACAAGATGGTGCAGGCATGCAAGTCGTACACGGAGATTGTCAAAGTTCTGGGGCTGGAGGGGGAGCTGGGAGAAGTGGCACGCGAGCAGGACCGGCTTCAGGCACTGGGTGAGTTTGAGATCCTGAAGGCGAAGAAAAAGAACCAGCAACAGCAACAGCAGCAAGAATCGAAGAAGAGGAAGAGAGAAGACGAGGAGGCCGAGGAAGGGAGAAGAAAGGATGAGAGAGCGGTTGAAGCCAATGGTGCCCCTACCGAGCCTACAGCGCCGACCCCTGAGTCAGCTGTCGCTTCGATTTCCGTTTGATATCTTTCGCCTTTCTTTTATCTTTTTCTCATTGTTTGACTGCACTTCATTAGTGAGAAAGTTAGAGGTCCATCAGCGGGGCGTATGGGTTGGGATTTTTAGCATACAAAGGTCAGCTGGGTATGCATTTTGTGGCGGTTATGTGAGACGGGTTGGGTATACACAAAACTTGCCTAGACTTGATTTTCCTTTACTCACGGCGGGCATTCAAATGGTTTATCTATTCTATCTCCTCATACCGATTGTTCATTTTAAAAAGTAAACTGAACTCTCGGGCAACTGGAATGTTTAGATATTAATGCCCTTCCACCCCCCCCCCTTCTCTCTCGAGGGTGTTCATGTGTATTGTTTATGTATTGACTTATATGCACAACGCCTACTTTTCTTCTCCCTTCTCCCCTCAGACCTTTTTCCCTTGAGCCAACAGCTCAGAAACCTTTGGCGGCAACACCAGCGCGCTACGATCGTTGCGCCGATGAAAGTCAACCAGGACCATGGCTGTCTTTTCTGGCAAGTCTTCGTGTATGAAGTGTCCCGCCTCAGGGAAGACCTGGAGAGCATATTTGCCTGAGATTGTGTTAGAGATCAAGACGCTTTGCGTCAAATAGATGGAACGGAAGGCCTACCTTGCATCTGCCCAATCGTCAACTCTGTATCCAGTCTGTCTGTCCCCGCCAACAACAGCATTTTGCCACCTCTGCCCCTCAAGAACTTCCCACTCAACCCACGGAACCAGCCCTCCCAGAAGGGCTGCGTCTTGGCCAAATCTGTCCTCCATGTCCACTCCTTCTGCCTTCTCGCTCCGCTGAGTGCACTCCCATCACCGTGCGCGGCGCTACTACTGCCACTGCTGCTGCCGGCGACGTTGCTATTCTTAACCAGCAACCCCGGCACACTAACCCTTGCGCTGATCCCGTTCCTCAGCGTCCTCGAGCGCACATGCCATTCAATCGCCTCGCTGACAGAATCGAACCCCGTCGGCCGCGTTGCCAAGTACGCGTGCATGCTCTGCAGCGCGTCCATCGCCGACCCTTCTACCACGTCCAGCACCACGTACCCTAGCAGGTCGATCGCCTGCTGTTTCTCGCGCGGCAGCGAGGGGATCAGCTCGGCCGCGACGTGCGTCACGACCGCACCGCCGAGGGAGTGTCCCACGAAGATGATGGGCGGCAGAGAGGGCCAGTGCATCTGGCGTTGGGTGAGGAAGAGGACAGAGAGAAGATCTTGGGCGAGGGTTGCTAGGGAGAGGTCTTGTTTGGCAGTGTCGTCTTGGGGTTGCGGTGTGGTAGGATCCGATGATGATGATGAGGGTAAGGAGGAGGTCAGCCCATGACCACGGGCATCGAGAGAGAGAATGCCGGCGGAGGGCAGGCGTTTGCGAATTTCCGAACCCAAGACGGCGAATGAGAGACCCGATGAACCTGCGCCATGGTGAGTGACGAAGAGGGGTCCTGGAGTCTTGGATGAGCCTGAAGGGGGCGCCGGTGAGGTCAAGTAGGCGTGATAGGTGATGGAGCCGTCATCAGAGGGAAGAAACAATGCGCGTTCAAAGTAGGCCGTCCACGGGACCGGGTCCCAGGAACGGCCTGTCTGGAAACTGGAGGAGACACTCGTCCTGCTAGTTAGTAATATGAGATGGGATGAATTTAAATTACCGTGGAGACAAGGAGAGACAGCAACGTCACTTACGGCTGGGGCCGGGCGAACAGTGCCCTGCTAGGTGAAGGAATAACGGTACCGGTCGACGAAACAGACGAGGCTGAAGATGAGTCGTCGTCCTGCGGCGTATTTGGTACATAGCGGTCTTCATCGAGCTCATTGAACTCGGGGATCGGCAGGGGAGGGGGCATGATGGGATGGTTCAGAGACGACATGGGCGCGTGGCCGGATTGAAGAGCCTGGTTGTATTTCGCCTTGAGACGCTGCCTGTGAAGCTCGCTCATGGTCTTTCTGTGTACCTTATGATAAAAGAAGGGTATCCGATTTTTATAAGTATTTTTTGGGGTTGCCGGCGGAGCTTAAGATGATGCAGTTTTGAATTATCTCATTTTTTAGGACTCTAGGCGCTTCTTGTCGAAGATTTGGGAAAACGTGGTCACTGGCCGGGTCAGAAATCAGAAAGCGGGGCGTGGGACTCGACGTCGTTGAACCATGGCCAGGAGTACCAGGACCTTGGTGATTATTGTCACCGAAAAACAGAGATTATTGAGCACTGAAACAAAAGCATAACCGATGATTCTGACAGCGAGACTTTGTCTGAAGTGGGATGAGGTTGGGAAGGATACTTGTGAGTATCGTGACCGTGAGTGACAGCGCCCAAGCTAGCTGACCTCCCTGGGCACCAAAGGCCAAGCAAAGTGAGGTCATTGTGCTTCGCAGTCAATGAAATTCGCACTGTGTTCCTATTTAATGCACCCCCCCTCTTTTCCACCCCCCCCCCTCCCTCTCCCAAGGATCCAACGTTCAAGGAGCAAGCTCAAAACGTGCTGGGCACCAATTAAGACGTAGAAACGACCACTGCCTTGCCATCCAAACCCTGTAGAGTCTAGTAAGTAAATTGTATGTCAGAAACGTGAGTGAATATAATGAATTCTCCCACAGCTGTCAGCTCATATCCATATCAATGACAGACAGCGACCCTGTGAGAAATGCCCTCTCTGTTTTGAACACGCTCAAGGGAAGATAGAGCGGTACAAAAGTGCTCTGAGATTTGGCGGCATACAAAAGTGCAGCTGTATCCGGGGATATTTACACACATATTATATCTTAAAAAAAAAACACCATATCTCGTATGTAGGGCCAGATACACATGCATTGTACAAAGTCACCCCTACCATTATTCAACCCAGCGTCCAAACAAACACAGCTTACCTTCTCTCCCTACGCCATCTCTGCACCTCTTCTCCTACACGACAGTGCAATCAATACCTCCCATACGGCCCGCGATACCCGTAGCTCCCAGCTCCGGCTGGCCCCATCGGTGGCGGCCCATAAGGTGACCTAGGCAACCCGTACCCCCTGCTATACCCGCCAACACCTCCGGCTGCTCCCGAAGCAGGGGGAGGCCGATACCCAGCAACACCCTCAACGTTCGGCAGCGTGGGCTCCCGATTCAGATCCGGGCCCGGAACACTGACACCACTGAACGGCGCAGCGCCAGCAACAAGATTCTCGCGGCTCGAGCTCTTCGGGCCCACAGCGTTTGAAATGGATCTTGGCAGAGGAGGGACGGGCGGGATGTTTGGCTCGGGGGAAACCGGGCGTTTCTCGTCCTTGAGACTGTGTGAAGAGGACGATGACGCGGATGACAGAGTATGAGAGTGATTTGAGGTAACGGTGCGGGCCCGGCTGAGCATGAGGAGGGTGTTGCGCGGGTTGAGAGAAGTGAGGGTGTCGCGTGAGCGGAGTTTTTCTGGAAACGAGGGTTAGCACAGATAAGTCCTGGAACCGGTGGGCAGGTAAAAACAAAAAAAAAAGAAAAATAGATAAGTAAATAGATAAAGATGAATAAATACTAAACTTACCCAGCTCCTTGCGCCGCTTGCGGTGCGGGTTCTTCTTGATGCACGCGTTGATGGCGTTCCAGGCGATCAGGATGGCCAAAATGCCGGTCAGCGCGGACTGGATGGCAATCAAGACGACGCCGGTGATGGTTTGCGTAGTCTGTTCGATATGGAACTGCTCGACAAACACCAAGATGCAGACAACTGACAGCACGCGCACCACTTGAATGGCAATGTTGATGATGTTGCCAGACTTCCGCTCATAGGGCCGGCTCCATAGCAACAAGATCAACATGATGCCTTCAATGACGAGCTGTGCCACAGACTGGATCATGCCGTGCCCATCCGCCGCCGCAATCACGACGCCCTTGACAAACATGTACGCGATGGTCGGCACAAAGATCCACCAGTAGTCCTTGCGGTACGACTCATAGAACAGGCTGTACTTGACCCAAATCGTCTTGTCCTCGTACAGTGCCGCAACGTCACCCTCCAGCTTCTTGAGCCGCCGCGCTGTACTCCAGATCTTCCACGAGAAGTAGGCCAGTACGGCAGTAAAGAGGAACAACGTGACGCCCGCCAGGATCTTAGCCGCCCATGAGTCCCCCCGCGTGAACTGGAAAACGCAGTACAACACCCAGACACCGTACAGTAGCAAGATGAGGCCCGTGACAGCGCGGGCGATCGACCGCCAGTAGTGCTTGCGGAAGCCACGCAGAGACTTAGGCAGATTGCCGAAGAGCGCCCAGATCTCGAGAGTCACCTTGACTAGCAGGACGCCCACCACAATGGCCACAATGATGATGGCCACGATCAGCAGCATCGTCATGAACGAGTTGCCCGACGGCACTGCCAGCTGCTGCACGTACGCCTGGATGCCAGATACCGCTAGTCGCACCGTGTCCATCTGCTTGTTGTCACCGGTAGTTGTGTTCAGTACAACGGTTGGGTCGAAGGTAGCGTTGATGCTTGTCTCGATTTGGCGGGCGGCAAGGCGTAGGCCTTGGTCGACCATCGCCCGCTTCGAGAACAGGGACGGCTGAAGCGTCTGCGATGAGCCATCAGGGAAGACAAGCGTGGCATTCCGAAGGGCAGCAACACTGTTGTTGGTCAAGTTACCACCGGTAGCAGCGCGGAAGTCATCGATTGCGATCTGCATCTGGGTCCAGGGCACCAGGCCTGTCGAGAAGCCAAAGTTGCTGGTGAAGCTGCGGTACACGGGTGGGAAGTTGACCGACAGCATGCCATTCATGGCCATGCTTTGGAACCAGCCAAACACCTCGGTGAAGCTTGGGCTGATCGAGCCGGCACCTCCAGCGCTTCCTGCCCCCCCCGCTCCCGCACCAGCACCGGCTCCTGCTGCCGCCGATCCACCGCCCAGCAGCGCACTGGTTCCCGAGAGAGCTGCGCCGACGGCCGACACGCCTCCTAGGACCAAGGCTGCTCCGGCCACACCGGCTGCCACGTACGACACTGCCGGCACATTGGCGGTTTTGCCATTGGTCACCTGAGACTCGATGCATGCCACTTGCTGGTCCGAGTCTTTCGTTTTGAGCTGCAACTTCGCAAAGGCCGCAATATCGGGGATCTGGAAAGCGATTGCGGGCACCAGCTTGGCGTATTCCTCGGGGATCTGCTGCGTGCCCCTCGCCGCGAAAGTGCCAGCAGGAACTATCTAGCCGTTAGTCAACTCTTTCCATACGACCATGGGCAACTCGAAAACACACCTGGACAAAGCTGGGAAACAAAGGTGGCCGGACTGCACGGGTCAAAGGTGTTGGAATAGATGTCCCGGCCATATGCCGTTACGTTGAGGATGGCCGTGACATTCTGGACCTTGCTGCTTGTTCCCATCACATCGAATGTAACTGTCTTGTTGTCATGGTTGTACTTGATATCGACCCTCTGCACCGTGACAGTGGCGTTCTGGTTGCAGTTGCTGAAGCCGACAGTCTCAAGAATATCAACACCCAGCACCCCGTTGGCCAGCACCACCACGGCCAGGGTGGCCTTCAGAAGCCTGCCATCCCAGAGTCTCATTTCAAATCAATACCAGATTTAGATTCCACTTCAAACGAGGGTCTTCTTTTTGTTGTCGTTGAAACAATGCAATAGTATGCTTCGATTATTAGCGAGCGTCACGTCACACGCCACGGCTATTGTCTGCCCGTTGTTATCTCAGCGTCGAAGTCGATAGATTCACGTCTCGTCTCCGGGGTCCGTTCTAATCGACAACGTTCTGTTGTGGTGTGGAATCGTGACCTCCAGTGTCTCGTGAATTCGTTCAAAGAATGTTTGTCGTCGTTTCGTCAAAGGGGGCTTTTCGAAAGGGGGTTCTCAGAACCGATCGAATCGAAGCATAGAATTACAAAAGAAACGGGGAAAAAAAGACAGTCGACGTCTCTAAGGCGGCCGAGAATCAACTCGGAACGAAAGGAAAGGAGAAGAGAAGAGAAAACGGGCAACAAGTTGCCCCTAGAGGGGAAGAGAAGGCCGCTTAGGCTCGCTCAGGTCGAAGTAAACAGAAGAGAAGGAAAGACGATCATGACTTTGGCACCAGCCAAAGTTCAAAAGTGTGGGAAAAAAAAAATGCCCACAGGCGGGGAAAGGAACAGAAGACAAAATTCGAGCAAGAAAGATGGGGAACAAAGAAACAGGGGGGGGGGAGGGGAAGGAACAGGATAAAGCATGACGACGCAGCAGCAGCATCACAACGGAGCAAAAAGAGCAAAAGCATACACCCGTGGGCGTGGGAGGGTGTGCAAGCATGTGGGCCAGGACCCAGCGGGTATCTGAAACGGACATGGAGTCAAGCAACGGACAACTCCCATGAAGATGCTGCCTCTGCCACACTGGGCCTCTCCATCTCGGAGCCCTCTCCTGGTCATCGCTGATCGAAACAACTACCTATACTATCGACCAATGATACATTGATGCTTGTCCCGAGGACCTGCCTTTTGGAAAGTCATCGTGGAGGATAGCTTGGTTGGCGGATAGATAGCGAGTTGAATCCAGGTTTGGATTACGACAAAGCGATGGACGAGGGGACAGATGACGACGCCTTCGTATCCCCGGCGCTGTCGAACCCGACAAAGAAAGCATTCAGGCCCGAGGGGACGTGTGCACGCGTCCCACAATTCCCACAATTTTGGGCCATCTCGTCATCTCATCCATCCATTGATGCCATTCCCGGTTGCTGTGGCCGGGGCAGTCAGACCAAGACGAGGAGTCTGGCAAGAGACTGGACGTCTGTTGTCCAAAGACAAGTTGGGAACGGGTGGGTTTCTGCCTCTCCCCGAGCGTGGCAGGGCGTGGCAGCAGGAATCTGAAACGCTAGCGGCGGGGCTCCTGACAGGGGCTCTTCGCTGCCCCTCGCTGTCGGCGCTGGCGGAGCGGCACGCCGAACCCACCAGGTGACGGCACTCTTGCTGCCCTTTTGGGCGGCTGTGCCACCAGCGATTGGCTGTGCACGCACAACGTAATGGGCACCAACGCCACTCAATAGCGATCACTCGCTTTTCTAAGGGTTAGGGATACTCGTGCCCGTAAAAACAGCTTTTCTTTGGCTCCGAGCCTCTCGAGCCGTTTTCAGCCAAAAATTGTTAAAAAAAACTTACCTAACATTATTTGTGGTGCTTGCCTGCAATCTCTTGTACAATTCTTTCCTCGTGGTTCCGGTGTAGTGTATCTCTCACCAGAATCACACTTCCAATAACCCGGGCGCCAAGTGAGTTTACATTGCCAAAAGTACGGATCTCCATATGCCCACCACGCTCCCAGCGCCACAACTCTTAGATTCGCTTCCAACCTGCCGCTGGGACTTCGAAACAAAACACTCCCAGGTTCCTCGAGGCGCCAAGTGCCTCAGATACTCTCTCCCAACAACCAGCCCGTCAAAAAAAAAAAAAATCGATCTTGGGCTCTCAGACGCCAAGGAACAGGAGGGTTGCATGCCCATGCCGATCAAACAACACATCCCCGCGCGTCTTGTTCTGCTAAGCTTTCTTCCCGCTTTCTCGTCAGTTGTTGGCATTGTGTTGTCCTTTTTCGATCACCACCAATTAACGTAGCCTTATCGTTCCAACGCCCGGGAGAAACACAGGGCTGCTTTCCGCCGTTGGTAAGATTGCTATATGGTCTGTGGTTTAGAAATGTAAGCATTTGGTTGCAAGTGGGTAAAATATGCGTTTTGCACCTCTGAGTAATATTCGAAAGTCTTGTTCGAACAGCTTTGTCCTTGCTGCCTCAGTCCAAACAGTCGCCGTCATGATCGCCCTCAAGAGCCATTATAGGGTTCAGTGGTGATCCCAGCATCATGCAGACACCAGTTGCACCATCCACACGCAATTCAGTACTGGCACGCTCTTTCATCGACATGATGATGTGGTAGAATAATGTACTATCATGCACGTGTTGATAAATAAGGCTAGATAGAGATCGGCGTCGAGTTACTGCTGGACTGGAACATGCGACTGTGGTTGAACTTGATGCCTCAATATTTGAATGGCAAGCGCAAACCGAAGAGTTCTCATTGGGGAATGATAGAAGACGAGCTATATCCAAGATACTCGTTTCCATAACTCTCACCATCCATGTCATCAAGTTGCCAAAGCAAAAGGTTGGCTGATCATGAATCCAATGATTAAGGTTCACTCATGCACAATCAAGTTCCAACTTCTCTTCAAAGTAAGAATGGGGAAGAAAAATAGTCGATGAACAGAGGAAGTCACAACAACACCACCCCCCCCCCGACCACAAAAAAAAACATATAAGAAAAGAATCCAACTCTTCGTACCAGGGTATCACAGACAGTCCCATCCAACAAGTCACAGCACTAACTATCTACAACCAAACTGACTCCTTCTCCCCTCGGGATACACCTCACTATCAACTGCTAGTTTGCTGACTAGCTGGATGGTGATAAAACCTTGAGCCAGCCACCTGCGAAGGCGAAATAGAGCCCTGTTGCTGCTCCAGCTCGCCGACCACGCCAAGTCCCAAGCCCGCAGCCGCGCCCTGCTGCAACCCCAGGCTATTGCCAACACCCATAACCCCGTTCATCCTGTTCGTATCACCCATGCCATGGAGCCCAGGCATACCACCCAGCGCCGGGAACGGGTCCAGCTCCGGCGACATCGTGCCCCCGACAACCGGCATGGACACTCCTGACAGAGGCATATATGCTGCTCCTGTAGTCGCAACCGGTGTCGCCTGCACGCCCGACACGGGCGTCATTGGCGACATGTGATGGAATACCGCGTTTGCTGGAGGGACTGGGGTCGAGGGAGTCGGGGTAGCCGAGAAAGCCGCAGCAGTCTGTGAATTGAGGCTTTGGAAGACGTGGGTGTTGACCACGGGGGACGGCTGCGCCGTTTGCGGATGAGATGGGAAGAATTGTGCTTGGGCCGCGAGGGCGTGGGACGGGTCGCTGAAGGCCGGTGGACTGTACAGAGTGGGCGCTGGATCATAGCCCCCCGCGGGCGGCGGACTCGGGATCGCATACATGAACGGCTGTGGTTGGTGCGGGAAGCCTTGGATCGGGCCTGGGGATCCACGAGGCAATGGGCCTTGATGGGGTATGGTTGAAGAAGGCATGAACGCATTTGGTTGGTGCTGCGGCTGGTGTGTGTGATGGGCGGACTCCTGCTTCGGGGGGAAGAAATGGCGCGGAGGAGGGTCTTGGACGGGGCTGATGACGGTATCCTCGCTGAGCGGCTGCTTGGCAACGAGCTTAAGAACAGGCAAGCTAATCTGCTCCATGTGCTTAGCCAGGTGCACCGTTAACCTCTTCCAGGTCGGGAAGCTCCGGCCGCAGAAGCGGCAATGCTCATCATTCGGCAGCGCGTTCGTCGTGTGATGCCATGCCTCGACCTTGGACAACGTTGGGTCGGTGTGCACGAGGGGCTGTTTCTTGACGGCAGCCTTAGACTTGATCTTCGGCTCGGGCAGCTTGTGCTCGCGCACCAGGTGCTGGATGAAGTTATCGCGGCGGTAACAGATATGATTACACTCTTGGAGCTCACACTGCCACCATTCCGGGTGTCGATGGCCCTCGTTCTCGTGTCGCAGCCAGTCGGCCTTGCGCTTAAACGGCTTGTTGGGGCTCGGGCAGTGCTCCCACGTGCATGTGAAGGGTTGTACATCCTCGTGGACGTGCTTAGTCCAGTCGGACGGCTTCTGAAACTTCTTCGTCGCGAAGCACAGCTGGCACTCGAACTCTGCGGGCAACACATTGGTCGGCGGCATAGGGATGTCCTCGGGAAAGTTTTCTTGAGTGATAGCACCCTCCAAGGGACTGACATCCCCGTCCGCGCCATCAAGCGGGTTGACACTTCGGGGGTCGCCCTTCGCGTCCAGGATGTTGGCCCTGCCGCCCATAGCGATGCACATGGAGCCCGAGAGGCAGTTGGTCCCGGCTCGCAGGTGCTTCTGCCGCGCCGTAAGAAGTTGCTTGTATCGGATGACCTGATGGTGTGCAAGGCGATCAACGAGGTACTGGTTGTGTGTAACCAGATACGGATTGAGCCTCAGGATGTGCTGACGGAAGCCCTCCATGGTAGGCGTGATCTCTTCGATGAGCTTCGCCGATTCCGTCTTAGTTTCCGTTTCTTGCGAAGGGCCGGCTTCTCCATCCTGAGAGGCAGAATCATCGTCCTCGTCTTCGTCTTCATCATCGGTGCCGGCGCCACTCGGGATGCCTGGGTCTGCCGTTACGTCCGGTACGGGGGCAGCAGGATTGCCCAGGTTCACCACGGGCGGGCCACCCATCTTCCTCAGCAGCTCACTTATGTTCCCAGGCGCTGTAACGTCCGACTTGCTGCGAAAACGATCTTTTGGTTTGGTGAAGCTAAAAGACCTCCTGATCGGACTCTTGGGAGAGGTCGCGGGAGGAGCTGCGCTGACGGATCCGGTTCGGGCATGGGATGTGCCCACAGCTGCTATACTGCTGCCCACACCAACAACAGCGGTATCGATGTTAGGCACGCTCTGCTTCTTAAACCGCGCCGACTTCGACGCGACAATAGAGTTCAGCTTGCTTTGACTCTCTCTCCGGTCTTTCTTGTCCATCGTGGATTCGGTGTGAAACGAGCTGCCGTCGCTCTCATTACGAGACCGTTTGTTCGCACCGGGACCAGCACTCTGCTTGGTGCGCCAAGCATGCAGTATATTCCGGGCCTCCCTGTAAGTCAGATTTTCCACGAAAGTCAAAAGTTCTGCGAAAGTCGAACGCCGGGGCTTTTCTTCACGATCATCTTCGCCCTCGCGGATTTTGACCTGTGCGAGGGCGTTTCCCAGTGCTACCACATCCAAGGCCTCTAGCAAGCTGAACCGGCCCGTGCCACATGTGGCCTGGCGTGAGATCGTATCGAACCTGTCGTATTGGTCATTCATCTTCTTTATGGCCTCGTTAGCCGTCTGCGGTTGATAACGGGCCTCATCCTTTTCTGGCTGCCTGATGATCGGGACGGGCTTGTCGCTAAAAGGGCCAGCGGTTTGCGCCAAGAGGTCCCGATCAATGTCGTTGAAATCGCGTCCAAACGGGGTGAAGAATATCTCTCCAGGCTTGGGAATGTTGAGGGTCAAATGGCCTAGAGAAACATCGTGGTTGGGAATGCCATCGTCATCACTGTTCGTCGGAGACGCTGCTGTTGGCTCCTCGGTCCCGGGGTTCTCACCAGCTGCAAACGCTGCAGGTTCAAAGCTATGCAACCAGTCATTAACCATTCGTTGGGTCCTCTCCTTCTGTTCCCTTTCCTTTTGCTGCTTCTCATAATCGTTTAGGCTTGGAACTTCCTCGTCAGTTCGTTGCGATGGGTCTACACCACCCTGTCCGGTAGTTGGATTGGGAATCCAGCGACCGGACTCATCGCGGGGGAAGCATGTGGATGGCAATCCAGAGCTTCCCTTATCTTTGTCCGCATCGTCGGAAGCCAGGGTCTCTCTATCCGGGTCGTCCGGCCAATGTGAGATGGTAATACGAGGGCTCGTGGGATTTATGCCATGAGAAGGAGAGGTGATGTTTGGCTGCCCCAAATGCCCGTTGGCAAACGTTTCACGGGTCAGCGGAGCGGGGCCCAGCTTGCTTTGCTGCTGTGGGTGTGTCGTCGAGGAATTCTGAGGCGTCATCGGAGACGCGTCAGCAGAGTTGGAAAGCATGCCCTGCGAGATAGGAGCTTCCTTGTCTGCTCCGCTAGAATATCCTCTGGCAGACGAAGGAGCGTTATCTGGGCTCAGCGGGCTGTAAGATAGTGTTTGTTGGGTAGCCTGGGACACGGTTTGCTCGAGATAAGGGGAGGCTTGCTCCGGTCCAGCAGGGGACTGAGGTACCGAAAGAGGATCAACTTGTTCATCTAGAAATGAGGGTGTTGCTCTTTCTACAGCGTCAAAGTTAACGCTGCAAAAGATATCGTTGTCGTCGTACTCGCTGGATTGGTAATGAATGCTGGCGATGGACTCGGCTGGCGTGTTCTGATTCGACACGGGCGAGGTTATGTTGTTATTCAGCTGAGGTGAGATGGCAGTCAAATTGCTGTTCCGAGAAGCGTACGTCGGAGTGGATGGTGAAAGATACTGCTGATATTGCTGGCTGTCCTGTTCTAGGGTCCCGTGTGACTGTTCAATTTGATCCGTCGAAGGAAAGACGGCGTAGGTAGAGGACATGGTTGCCGAGAGATGCGGGCTAATCGAGCCCAGCGAAGCTGTTTTGTCGTTATATCACCCTTGTGTGGTGTCTCGATGGTCCAGATGGATATTGCTTCCTCGTTCGTGGGATACGTGTGATAAATCACTCTGGGACCTGGGATCTACCACACCGAGTTTTCGCAGTGTGAGTAGCGCACGGCACTGTGTAGTCCAGGCGAGTGTCCCTCTCTTCGGGTTGTCGTCTCAGAGGAGGAGCAGACCAGGTGAGGAGTCTGGGCGTACGGCTGTGGACAGCGGGGCAAGGCACGACACCTGTCTATGTAGGGCGGGGATCGAATCGTGAGAGTGCAGCTCGATCAGGCGTCCCAAAAACACTGCCTTTGAATCCAGATTCCTATCTCGAAATGATTCGACCCCTGAGTAATACGTGCAGGAGAATGAGATGTGGTTGAAGGAGACAAGAGTTTGCCGTAGTGGGCAGCAGGATGGATTGAAGAGACGATGAGGGACCAACCAGAGAGGAACACAATGAGTGGATGGCGGTCTGTTCTCGGCGCGGGTCACGCCTGTGGTGCTTCGTATATCAGGCTGCCCGGCTTCAGCGAGTGATGGTTTCCGTGCAAAGTAATCTGGGAGCTTTTTTTTTTTCCTTTTTCCCTTTCGGTGGCTGCCCAAGACCCCAGGCAAACCGCCTTATCACCGCGTCTCGTCGCTCGACGAGTGTCCTGCGATGGTGTCGGGCACAAGGCAAGGCAAATGGGGCAAGCCCAGAGTTGGCACGGGAAAATGAGGGGCTAATGGTAGCTGTTACAAAAGAGATGAGAAGCTGTGCCGCGTGGTCGAGAGCAGATCAGCAGAGGAGAAGCCGAAGGCAAAGTGTCGGCGAGTATCATTTATTGAGCAGCTGTACAGACAATCGCTGGCAGGAGTTAAGATTCTGGTAGCGGCATTCGTCTCACAAATTCGATCACTCTGGTTTGAATGAATGAGAGTAGTAGTACCCGGTCTGGACCGGAGCTTCGGTGGGGGCTGTGGTGCTGGGCAGAGCAAAGGGCAGATCGACCAGCTGATCCCCGCGAGCCCGTGAGTGGTCCCTTCGTCCCGCCTCGAGGCCGGCAGGGCAACCAGGGAGAGCCACCGGGTCCCCCTCGTCCAGCCAAGAATCTTACGCTTTACCCTCCGAACGCGCAGCCACAGAAGCGCCGTCCTCCCTCGCTGCGGCCCTCTTGCTTGTTGGTGACCGCCCAGGGTCTCTCTCACAGTCTTGGCTGGGCTGTTAGCCTGCCACTACGCCGCTAGGCAGTGTCGCCCACCAGGTATCATCAACATCCTAATGTCAACCCAGGCATTCTGTCCGGCGCTCTTCTCGTTCTTCAGCTACAGCCCCGTCCTTCAACTCTGCGGAAGCGGATAAAATCCAATACAGCATGTTGAGCCTAAGGCATTCATGAACGTCATCGCTTCGGATCAAGTCGACATACTCGAATATCCGTCCCCAAGTTCATGGCTGCTTCATGGCTTCCAATCGCTCCCATCCTTGCGCCGTGCCGGCTGCCTACTTGTAATTGCAGACTACGTAATCAAAAAATATTACTGGCCAAGAATTTGTGAAAGCTTGTCACTCCGCATCCCGTGGACCTCAACCGATCGTCGATGTCAAATGCTTCGAGAAGGTGGTCACCACATGTCTGGCTTGCGATAAGCTTCTTTTCCCCCGCGCCCCAAGCTGCCAAGACGGGAGAGTGGCGCTGTCAGCACAGCCCCGTGGCATTGGCCCCTAGCCCTATGATCCGTATGCTCGATAACATATCTCAAATGACGGGTTCATCTGGAGCATGCAGACATTGTTAGGGGAGATGGATGACATTAAATGCCCTACGTTATATGTCAAGTGCATAGTTCCGGCCCCAGTCCCGGGACATTTCTGTATATACTACTCCGTAGTGCTATGACACTTGAACTTTCATCTGTGTACAAAATCCTTGAAAGATGGCGATTCAAGAGGTGTCCGGCAAGGAATTTGCTGTCCCTTAGCCGTTGACCGTTTCTAACTTGAGTCGACAACGTGGCATAATCGAACACTTGAGAGATCTCAATGCTCACAATGCCTCGCTTAACTGCTCGGTCTGTGACAAGTTATCAGAGCTCACTGTATCTCAACCAGGTGGAGAAGGGGTACAACTTTCTTCTGCTTGCATTTTGCAAAGTGGCTGCTTGAAGAAGCCAGGTTAGTTCATGTGTTGCAACAGCCTGGTCAAAGTTAAGAGACTGAGTCCCCATGAAAATAGGCCATCAAGCACGTTGTAGTTCTGGGATCCCAAGCCGCATATTGATAGAGTACTACAATGGTTTTCTTCGAGCAATGACATTAACACTGCTTAACACATGGATGTGTCAGTGTGTTATATTAGCTACTTACAAGCACTCCATTGCATGCCCTACCGGTCATGTGAATTGTGCAGAACAGCCAGCAGCACATTTCCTTTCGACAGATACCGTTGCTATGGCTCATTCGCCGTACTAGCTTGTAGGAGCTCGAGAGCTTTCAGCTTGCCATTATCCATATAACGTTCAGGTCATTTAGAAAATCCTCATACTCGGAGGAGACCCCTTTGAGAGCGTGGAGTCAGTGCACGTATCCAACGCCGAAAGACTTATTGTGACCTTCTCATCTTTCATGATCATCGGTCCTATTGCGATCTGTGATGCCTAGTAACTTCAGTGCCCGCAGCGAACAGAATCTGTAAGCGACGTCTAGCATAGCAGACATTTCATGTGAGATTGAGATAATCATCGCGCTCCATCTGGGCATGCTCGTTCCTCTTTTGGGTGGTGAAGAAGATACGGGACCTGGAGACACAGCAGGTTGCTGGCACATACAGCAACTGCCGCTCATGGAATAGGACTTGGAATCAGTTAGGTCCATTGGCAATTACTGTCCATTCCATTTTTTTGGAGGCATTGTGACAAGATACTGATGATGTAATAAGAGTCTTGGCGTTGGAGAGAAGCTGTTGCAAGTGGGCTTTAGCAAAGCCTTCAACCGTTACTTACCCAAAACTCACGAAACATCTCCCATCGAGCCTCAGAAACTGGACTCCAAAACAGAAGTAGCAAGTACGAAAAGAGGAGCACTATCATCATCCATCGACCATGGAAGACTTAAAGGCAATGTAATAGCAAAAGTCGATCCACCCAGGGGTCGAACCTGGAACCTCCTGATCACCGATCCATCATTGCCAGCCATCTTTGGTGATGACTTGAGCAGAGACCGTAGTCAGACGCGCTGCCATTACGCCAGCGGACCTTGTAGATGCAGCAGGGAAGTCGGATAGACCGGCCTTTCTATGATGGCGCAGTCATCGGCAAAAGAATCCCAGATTATGTGGTCAGGGTGCTCCACCTGGATTAGATCCACTGGTATCTCGTGGAGCCCTCGTCAACGGTTGGCAGGTAAGGTACTTCGAAAGTCAAGCGCGGTGTTTCCGGCCCTCTCCGGATGGGCAAGCTTTAATGACCCAGATTCCTCAACCGCCTAGTAACCCCAGGCCTACGAGGATAAGCAGGAAGTTTGAGTGGCTCCAAGTTGGCAACAAGCAGCGAGAGTCAATTCGGGAAAGAACATGGATGAAGCTATCATGATGAATCTTCGTTCAACTTATGGCCTAAACTTCGAAAGACTCGCTGGACCGCTGATGGACTCTTTAGCCAGCTGCTTGAGAAACAGCAATCGGGCTCTGTGGCATCGCTGCAACTTTAGCATGTCCCAAGGTAGCTTGGACACATTACCGTAGTAAAGCAAGATGGGAGGGAGCGTCAACGCCCGCGGGAGGGTCAACAATCCCTGAACAATAAGCACAGCATCCCATCATCCAGTGTCAACACCCGCCGATTGGCACCAACCACTTTTTAAAGTAGCGCATCCTGTATGTCGTTCTGGCCGCAAATATCTAGCTATCGTGGTCAAGAGTCGACGTGTGATCTTCGCAGGAGGATATGTGGCTGGAGAGGTTCCAAGCATACCAGAAGTACGATATATCCAAAACTTAGTGTAATCAAATCACCTGTTTGGCTTCTCTATAGCCGTGTTATACATGACCACCGTTTGCTGCAATAATCGTACACTGGATGGGATGAGACTTTCCCGATTATGTTCAAGGTCTGTACCGCTGCCTGAAGCAGAAGATGGCGTAGGTATGAGATGTTTTCGAGGTGTCTGTGGAGTGGAAATCGCCAACTTGTTTGTTTCACTCCTTAAACAAGGAAAGTGGGAGTCCAGGTAGAGAGCTTAGGAGTTCTCGTCGATTTCCTTCCACTTTGCCCGTATTCTTGCCTTCTTGTCTTCGACACTTGTTCGGTTCGCAGTCTGACTCTTCGCCCTCTCAACCTTCAGGCAGTCGATCAGTTGTTTTTTAGTGTCGCTGCACATGCCAATTGCTTTCCATAAGAAGCCTCTAGCATGGCATTCTTCGAGGGCATTCATCAGGTCCTCGCATCCTAAAGACAGGTCAATAGCTATGACTACGGAAAAAGACTGAGGTATTGACAATCATAGGCGTACCAATATTATCTTTTGTGTGAAGGAGGGGATGCATTGTGACAGATGGCCCTTATAAGCACAGGAAGTCAAGAAGCAAGCAGGCGGCGCTTGTGGTGGTGCTTCAGTGGGCGCAAGATGAAGGAACAAAAACGCAGACCATCACCGTTCCTTTTGGAGCCAAGTTCCGACGATCTGGGTGCCGGTCGAGCTTGGTGGGGATCCGGGACTGGGCGGATCCGCTCGAAAAGATGAAGAGCTTGGGCCAACTTTCAGGTTCTGGCTGAATCAAGAAGCAGGTTTGGTGGGGCTGGACATCAATCACCAATGGAACATGTTACCTAGCAGGGCTCAACATAGCGGGGTTTTAGTGTATAGGCAGCTCAGCTTCCACTCTCTTACCTAGGCTTAGAGGGATTATCGACACCTTTAGGCTCAAACCTCGCTTGCTCTCGAGCAGAAGTATTAATAAACGGAGGCTTGTGTCTAACAACATACCGAAGTGCTGAACCCCTCGACATGGCGACACAGTCTGCAGCAGCAAAGAGGCAACAAGGTAGGCGAGTGACGTTCAACCTTCGGCAGTTCGATGCTAACTCATCCCACAGACCTTCAGCTGCAGTATACCACTTATAAGAACACCCTGCAGCAAATTGCCCAAAAGATTGGAGATGTTGAGCAGGAGGCTGAAGAGCACAAGTAAGAACCTACCTGAGACTATCCCTCATTTCGAATCTCTCTGTGTGAATTTCGTTTTAACATTGCCATCTCATGATGATAATCATCATCACATTGTCCTGGCTCATCCACACCATGCCCTTGTCCTTCTCCCCCCCCTCCCCCCCCCTTGTCCCTTTGTCACTACCTATGATGGAGCTGTTCTAACCGTTCCACTATTTAGGCTCGTTCTTGAGACCTTGGAGCCTCTCCCAGGTGACCGCAAATGCTTTCGCATGATTAACGGCGTCCTGGTAGAAAGAACCGTTCGGGATGTGATTCCTGCCCTCCGCACCAATGCTGAAGGGCTGAAGAAGGTCCTCGAAGACCTTGTAAAACAATATAAGGCAAAACAGGATGAACTTGAGCAGTGGAAGGTACGTCGTGGCTGGTTTTTACTTTGAATTGTCTTCGCTGACTTGGTAAACAGAAGAAAAACAATGTTCAGGTCGTGCAATCATGAGGGATCCAGGTCGTCTCCGTAAATAACTACCCCATCAAGGGGACCTCCGTTGCAAAACGTGAGCAGATCTCCTATGTGTAGCCAGCATACGCACATGGAGTGTAGATTGCGAAGGTCGAGGCCGAGACATCCTGGGCAACACGGCAATTCAACGGATGTTCAAGTCAACATATCCCCGCGTCGTTGACCAGCCTAAGCTTTTTTTCAGGGCGGGGGGATCCTTCAACATGGGTCTTGGATTGGTGTGCAGTCCTGAGCGCAACATACATCAGGTGTCTTTGAGCACACGTAGCTTTTCCCTTTTTCTGGACAGATGATACCCTATGCCCCTTTCTGACGGAGGTTGTGAAATGATGAGTTGTTCGAAATCGATGTCGGCGTGTCCTGCAGGATAGTGGCATAGTTGTGATGCCCAACCAGCAGCCGGACCAGCCGGTTGGGCTGCAATGGGATTGGCATCTGAGTCTGAGGGGCGGGGCGGCATTGCCCGCCTGGTATGAGGCTAGGGCCACGTACAGAGCATGTTCGTAAAGTCGGAACTCTTTTAATCAAATTTTACTTTCGAACCTTTTGATCCCCTTCATGCGTTGAACCAGTATTCCTGTGTTTGAGGTTAGAATTGGCATTGGTCACCCAGCACATGATCATGTTCTTTTCCTAGCCAATCCTTAATGCGCCCCCATAATTTTTTACCAATAGGGTCCGAGATGCTTTGAAAACTTCCTTATTTGGTTCTAGATAAGAAGGTTTTCTGCCAGTCAGAGTCATTCCATGGTCTTCGGCGTCCACTACACGGACGCGAGTCCTGCGAAAGATGAACAGGAACCCTGCCAACTAGCCAGGTATGCATCTCGGGATTTTCTAGCCGGTGGTCCAAACCCAACTCAAGCCAACCACCATTTCGGTCATGAGCTTGTTATGCTCCTGCTCAGCCTTACGCTACTCTTCTGCGTATCTGCTTCGATGACAGCAATTGTCGAATCACCGAAAACTAACCCCGCCAGCCTGCACCTTGCATGGTCTTGCAGGAGCCAAGAGGTGTGAATATCATTTACACCAGGCGTACTTGAAGTTTTCTACTTACACGGGGTCTCAAAAGCGAAACATATCTCTATATATCTATTTTGTTACGCATCCTCACCGGTGTTCAAACGCATGCGTGCAATGACCTGCGTGCTGCCCCATCTTGCCTCTTTCGTCAAAGGTATGAAACTTGACGGCTTCACTGAAGTTGGCTGTATGCTTTAATAATCACCGCCCTTAGCTCGGTTGGTTAGGATGAGTTGGCAGCTTAGCTGGTGAGGCATGTTGAGACGAAGCAGCATGCGGGATGCCTACCTACTCAGGAGGGGACATGACTTTTCAAGAGGTGCTGAAGAGGTTAAACAACTTTTTTTCCCACTACCCATGTAAAACCATGTTTGTAGCAACCCTGCTTAGCCACAGTCCCATTGTGTATCCTCGTTTTCACAACATCCGTTCAGTACTGGTAAAAACATCCAAATGTTTTTTTTTCTGCAGGATGTAGGGCAAGATGACGGGCACATTGTTGAAGGAGAGACAAGACGAGGGCTGAGAAGCTCCATGATTTGGAAACTGGTTGATGAGCCTTCGCCTTGAAGATTTGCCAGAAACTTGGAGCTGAAACAGGGACGGCCGAGGGGAATCTACCCAAAAGGGTGTATGTGATACCACGATACGTAAGACGAAGGAAGCGTTTGAAGATCTTGTGTCAAGTTTTCAAACCTGCCTAACTCCCCCGCCAAGGGCGGCTACGGAATGGTGATGGACTTGGGAGTCGAGCGGGATTCCATCGGCCTTACACCCGAAAAGCGTGCAGGATCCAACCGCTATTCTCACTGTGCCGCCACCTGGCCCATTAACAGAGTCACGGGACCCTGATCTTTAATTGCCTTGTTATGGCATGTTTGCAGTCATGGGCTCTGTGGCATGTCTCTCACAATACAATACTTCCAGGAAAAACAAACCGCTTTCCAGAAAATGAAAAAGCTTTAGCAGTTGTGGTGTGGTAGCATGGCCCAACAACACAATGCCAAGGGTTCTCATAGCACAATCCAGCTTATCGATAAGTGATGGGTGTGACAGCGAAGGGGTGAATGTCTTGGCAACTGCACGCGAAATCTGATTCTCCCACACCTTGTTGTGGGCCTGGTGTTGGGGACGACCCAGCCGGGGAGCTTGAGCGGAGCAAGGCCGTAGGGCACCTCCCGCGTTGTGCTTTTCATCCGACTTCTCCATCCTTCCGCCGCCAACGCTGGAACCCCACGCACGCGCGACCTGCAGCGCTCTGCATCCCAGTTTTCCATGCATCATCACCGACCGGCCCAAGTCCAACATTAGGTTCGCCGCCAACTCAGACACCACCCACTTGCCCACTCGGCACACACACAGCACACGCAGCACAAAGAGACGTGCCCACCTAGCCCAGCAGCTAGCAGCACACACGAAGCTGCCAGAGGTAACCCAGCTTTTTGGTGCCAGGCCAGGCCGACAGGTCGAAAGGTCGATCCAAACACTGGAGCAGAAAAACCTTGAGGCCACTCGCCAGAGAGCCCCATTTTTGGCAGTCTTCGCTGTCACCAGCACAGCGTTTCTCAGGTACGTTCGGCAGATGCTTGTACATGGATGGCATTATAGCACAGCACATCATGGGCTGTTGCGCTGCGTGTGGAGGGATTGCACCTCATTACCACATGCTGCCCTCCGTCTGCCGTGACGCAGACACTCTACAAACATGCTGTCTGAGAGACAAAGAGCCGTTTCTGACGTGACTCTGCAGAATTCTCGCAGGACCTGCCGCCCTGGGTACGCAATTAGGGCCAGGCTGTGGCAGCACGACCAGCCAGCTGCATCCTCTTGAGCCCGCGACTCAAGGCATATTCAGCCCAGTCCTGCGCTTTCCCATCACCCTTGCTCTGATCGTGTCCTCTCCATCCGGGGGATAACGATCATACAATTAGTCAACCGCGGCTTCTTGTCACAGCGTTGGCTGGTGTAACCGGAGCAGACTGGCACGGCGAAACACCACGCGCTGCGCGATCACCAAAGATCAGACTTGGCTCGGTGCTGTAGTGCCGTGACGGTGGTCCAACCCAGCAACACAAAACACCCCAGGCAACTGTCATCAGCGTGACGAGCCGGCTGTGCTTCGCAACAAGCATCCCGGCCCGCAGCGAGGAAGTGCCATCAGCATCCCTACGGATACTCCGTACCGGAAACAACCCCACAGTCGAAACAGCACCCCCCTCCCCCCCCCCCTTTCTCTCCCGGAGTTCTTGAGCTCACTGTGGTGGATCTGCTTGCCTGTCTGCCCCGTCAAGGCCGCTGTCCTTTGGGCTCGTTCTGCCACTCTCGGGCTCCCCAGCAGCTGTCACGGCGCACCCCTTGTTTCTTTCCTCCACTCCTGTTCCCCCACTAGTCCTTGGAAGCACCAGTCACAGCCCCAAGCACGGGCAGAATAGCCAGTAGGAGTCAGCCCTGAGACGCTCAGAAGTGCAGGTTGAGGCGTCAGACGAAGAGAGGAGATACGCCCTATCATTCTGACGTGTCCAACAAGGCATTGCGTTCCCAGGCCAAGTTTGTGTTAGCTGGTCATCCAAAGAATTTATCAGGAAGCCGGCAACCGCTGCACGTAACCAGCCAAATATGTCCGACTCCCCCCAATCCAATAACCCCAAAGACGTCGAACAAAGTGCACCGTCGGGTGACGACGAAGCACAAATGAACGACCCCCAAGACCCACATTCCAGCGGGCTCACATACGAGTCTGGTTTCGAGGTGAAGGAGCAGGACCGCTGGTTACCCATAGCCAATGGTACGTCATTGTCCCATCCCCTCTTGCCGGAATGTTGCTTCTCCCCTTTCCTTTTTTAACCCCACTACACCTGGTTTCTTCCGCCGTGATTCGCGTGTGTGTTTGTGTGGAGGTGCCCTCCCCCCAATCTCGCCCATCGATGTTTCGCGCTTGATCGTTCGAATGGCGGCAGCGAGATATCCACATCGCGCTATTTGACTGGCGTTGTGTCTGGATAGCTCTGTTTTCCGTCCTATCAAACAGCGCGTGGCCGCGCTTGTTTCTTGTGTTTTTTTGATCATCCATGTCCGACCAGACAACTCCCAAGACGTCTCACGCGCGTCGCTCTTCCTCATGCAGAAAAGGCAAACTCGTGGATATATACGATGCTAACATTCGCAATTTTGCACCAGTGGCTCGTATCATGAAAAATGCGCTTCCCGAAAATGCCAAGATTGCTAAGGAGGCAAAGGAATGCATGCAGGAATGCGTGAGCGAGTTCATCTCCTTCATTACAAGTGAAGGTAAGCTGTCTTGATAATGGTGTTTATATATTTGATTGGTTGGCCCAGCAAGGCTGACTGATCATAGCATCGGAAAAATGCCACCAGGAAAAGAGAAAAACTGTCAATGGCGAGGACATCCTTTTTGCTATGAACTCACTGGGCTTTGAGAACTATGCTGAAGCTCTCAAGATCTACCTCACCAAGTACCGAGAGGTAAGAGGCTTGTTCAATGCACATCTACTTAGTAGAAGCTCGATCAAACAAGTCAACTAACTCTTCACTAGCAGCAGTCGCAGTCCAACCGGGGTGAGAATGCTCAAAATCGGCCCAATAACCAAAACTACAATGCTACTGGGGCATCAAATACCACCACTGCCCCAGGCGGCTTTAACAATGCTCAGCTTCAAGAACAACAGACCGGTGGTGATCCCAACAACTATGGCCTCTATGGTCAACCTGACCATAACGGCACAACAACCAATTATTGATTGGTCGGAAGGTCATTCAATTTGGCTAAATTGCGAGTCTACGACAACAACCATACTCCGTTCAGGACATGGCTGGCCGTTTTTACTGATCGCAGTGATGTTCGCTGTAGTTCGTTTCCACCCCTCCCCCCTTTTGTGTGTATAAGTACACGTCAGCTTAGGAATGCAGATGCTCCTGAAGGTTTGGCTCGGAGCTCTGTTTCCTGACTGGTGAAGTGTGCGTTGACAGTGGATCTGATTGCGTGGAGCATATGGATGGTAATTCAAGGATGAGATGGAATGGCATGATAAGGGTGGGTGTTTGTTTCTACTTTCTTCACTGCGCGGTCACATGGTGCATTGGGCATTTCAACTAGGTGTGCCATTCACTCTCTCCTAGGACCTAGGTTGCTATATGGATATAGGAGACAGGACTATAACTGATGATTTCCCATCGCTTCTTGCTGCGCACCTGTGAAGTTTCCCACAGCATACAATGTTATGTTATCTCATATGGAGCCATCTCTTGACCTTTGAAGAAAATGCTTTCTTTATCTACCAAAGAGTTACCACGGCATCCTTTCCCTTGAACGAACCCAAACTCCATTCTTCGTTTGTTCGAGTGCAGTTATGCTCAATCTTAGCCATGACGCCAGCGTCATAATCACGTGCACATCATGTGACCAACTGCAAGCCGGGTCTGCCCGACCGTCATGTAGAGTAGGCCGTGCCCCAGATGGTCTAGCCTGAATAGCCAATCAGCTGATAACACCGAAGCTTTCTCTGACCGCCTTCCCTTATTGATCAAATGGGTCCCACAGTGCACGTGCCTTCGCGAAGAGGGACGTGGATTTCGAAATTTGGTTCTGTTTTTTGCACGAAACGCCTCTCTGGTTTTCAATGCTGTGGATACCTACAGCGGCAGAAAGCTTCCAAGCAATCTCCAAGTTGTAAGCCTGGCCATATATGTTGCCTGGCTTTTCGCCATAGGGACAATCGAACGTGCTACTTTAATCGGCTTACTCCAATGAACAAATATTTCTTTCCTTTTTCCATGCGTTGGCAGATTTCCTTCTAGTCTGAGCCTGAGCAGAGTCAGCAGGACTCGCCTCAGCACTGGTGCCCATTCCCCTCCTTGCCTCATTCCCACCTTGATTCCCCTGCTTATTGATCCATCGGCTCTCTCTACTGGCCCTCTTGCAAGCGGCAGAGACACTGCAAAGCATTATCGCCATGACAACCCTCACCTCAATGGCACGCGCTGCTGCCGGGCCCATCCACTCCTCCTCGCCAATCAAGCCGATCCTTCGAAAGTCAACCTCCGTCCTGGGCACGCGCTTACGATCTGACGACTCGGATAGCGTCGATGACGACGAGCCACCAACTAAACGCCAGAAGAAGACGGTGGTATTCAACGAAGATCTAAATACAGTTAAGGAGATCAGCGGAAAGAGTTTGGAGGATGCAAAGCGTGAGGTGAAGCATGCTTTGGAGCGTCACAATCAGGGTGACGACGAAGATTACGACCATTTGAAGGAGCTGTTCGCACCAAATCCAAAACAGTCGACGCCTGACGACGATGATGGGACAAAGCCGCAGGACCTTCTTGCCTACGTCGTTGCATTAACTGGGTATGCGCCCATGCTGGGGCGTGGATGCTCCGGTCTGATTCGCAGCATCTTGCGCTGCTCTTGGCTGGAAAGGGACGAGACATTCTCGCGCGCATACATCCAGCTGTTGGCTGCCATTTCTTCAGTCCAGGCATCGATCTTTACTCAAGTCCTTACTATGATGGTTGACAAGTTCACCGAGACACGGCATACCTCCAGCGTGCCTGGCTATGCTCCTGTCGACCCCGAGACCAAGAAGCAGTGGCTGCATGCTGGATTGAAGTACCTACTCGAACTCTTCCCAGCAGGGCAGCACATCATCTTGAACCTGATCTCATCAAAGTTTCCTTATCCGGAAGAATCCAAGGCGACCCACATGGAGTATATTGGCCACCTCCTTCGCCTCAAGGCCACGAGGCCGGAGCTCGAGCGCGACATTATGGAGCTGATTCTTTCACGCTTAGTCAAGCTGGATGTAGAAATGACCCTGGACCTGGAGAACGACGATGACGAGATCACTCGTGCGGTGTTGCGGCAACTCGAGGCCTCCCAAACTACGAGCGATGGTGACGATGAAACCGGCGATGCAGATGACGACGATGGGAGTGACTCAGACTCCCTTCTGAGTGAAGACGAATTGCCGGAGCAGGCAAAGCGCGTGCTCATGATCAAAAATAAGTTGGAGACCATGGACGCCATACTGGACTTGCTCTTTTCAATATATACCCCGATATTTGAGGACCCCGATAGCCCTCAGGCGATTGAAGCTTTCCAAGATCTTCTCAGTGACTTTTCGAATGTGATTCTCCCGGTGAGTCTCCAACTATTTTCTGCTGAACTGCCAGCATAATGCTGACCAGCTGAACAGCATTTGAAGTCGCGGCATACTCAATACCTCCTATTCAAATTCGCCATGAAGTCAAACCATCTCATGGAGATGTTCATAGGCACATTGTTCAACCTGGCGTATGTTCCCATTCAATTCCGCTGGAAATGTCGACTGGGTGTGTTAACGTCTGAGCAGCTTTGAATCAACCAGGCCGCCTGTCGTAAAACAGGCCGCAGTGTCTTACTTGGTAGGATCCATTTCCCCTGACTACAGCTCGCTAGATACTTACCGTTTGTCCAGGCAAGCTTTACTGCTCGCGGGGCTAGCGTTCAGAGCCACCAGGTTCAACTGATTGTCCAGACATTCCTTGACTACATTGATCATTACCGCGCCACCCATACGAATTGCCGTGGCCCCGATGTCAGGCGGTACAGCCAATACTAGTAAGTCATGGACTGCTGAAACTTTTATCTAGGAAGGTTTATGATACCTTCGGGATGCTAACTGTGTGCGTTCTGAACAGCGCCTACTTTCAGGGGCTTCTCTATGTAAGTTCTTGCTGAAGTCGGCTTAGTAGTTTACTTGTGCTGACTAGACCCTCTAGATCTTCTGCTTCCGCTGGAGAGACCTGATCCAGCGGGACAAAGTTCCTCCGACTCTTGATTGGGACGATCCTTCTTCGTTTATTGGCAAAGATCTCCCATGGATGCCGGGGTTAAAGTCAAGATTGCAGGCGAATATTGCCAGCAAACTCAATGTGAGCTTGTCCTCCTCCGTGCAGCCAAGATCTGTATTGACAACTATGTCATCTCTAGCCATTGAAGTGCTGCTCCCCTGTAATCGTCGAAGAGTTTGCCCGTCTATCTCATCACCTGGGCCTTCTCTACATGTTAGTTACCCTTTCCCTTGCTCTATCGTCCTCTTGTGAGCTAATACATATCCTTTTATCTTGCACAGTTACCCACAGATCGAGAAAAACAAGTCTGTTCATCTCTCTCAGTTCTTCACGGGCAGCTATGCCACAGGCGGGGCCTTGCGTGACACGGGTCTTGAGTATGATGATGAGAGATTAACCCATCTCGAAGCGTGTTTCCCCTTTGACCCGTTCCAGCTGCCTGTCGCCAAACGGTGGTTAGATCTGCAGAACAGCTATGTCACATGGCAGCCGATGGCTGTGCTTGACCGGGATGATGACGAGGATGGAGAAGATGAAGATGAGGACGAGGAGAATGAAGGCAATGAGAGTGATGAAGGTGAAGAGGAAGATTATGAATTTGAGGATGAGGAATGAGAGAGATGATACCCATCGTGATGAATGTGTCTTGGGATTGATACACCGGGTCTCAATCCGGGGTTGTTTTGCATGATGAGATGGCAAAGGAAGCAAAGAGGGAAAATGCCCGCACCATGTTCACCTTCTCCACCTGGCAACGGAGTTGAGCGGACTCGGAAACTTACAGGTAAGGAAGCATTTTTTAGGTGTCTAAAATGAGTTTAGGACTAGCATAGGGCAGCGTGCTCACATATCAGCCGGCGTTAAGAAGGATAGCACTGTGTGTGGTGACTATAGGAAGTATCTAGGTAGCGGGCAAATCAATCTGAATTCGCGCCATGCATGTCCCGAAATTACTCTGGTTCTTGATTGAATCAACCTTCTCTGTAGACCAGTACCTCACAAAACATGCCGGGGTTTTGGAGTACACACAAAATGCCAGTTTTTTTTAATACCGTGTTACGTACGTTAGTATGTTGTGGATGCTCTGTTTAGTTGACCCAAAACCTCAAGAGCAGTAACAAAGGTCATCTCGGTGCCCATCGAGATAGCTTTGAAGAAAGGGTCACGCGCACCACCGCGGGCCGTAGCTGTGGGAGCTATGATAACGACCTTTGGAAGAGTAGGACGAAGTGAGGGCGCATCATTGTCGGGCTGTGGCTGATACTGACCTTCGCTGCGGTTTATCGCCGCGCCGCAAAGAATCCCGGTTTTGTGACCTTCAGTCTGGTGAACATGCGAAAGCGTGTTTGTCAGAATGCTTTAGTAGGGTGATGGTGTACAGCACCCTACTCCCTTATGCTTCCATGATCTAGCAGTAGAGAAGTCGATACTTCTCATAAGAAGGTTCGATCCTCAAGATACCCAGCCTGCAGGATCTCCATTTACACAAACTGTGACACAAGGTCCAGTTGACTCGGAAATGACTCACGTAGGCTGGTCAGCAAGAGGGATGCAGTGACTGAAACATTGAAATAACTGAGGTAATCTAACAGCACAACAGTAACTTATCGGAGATGTTGCTACGATAATCCGTCTTGGAATGTTGCATATTTCAGCCGCTCCTTGTGCGCTTTTCGGCATTTCGTAAAGAGATTGACAAGCATGGAAGAGTGAAACATTAAACCGTGGGGCGTAGGGCGGTTCTCGATGCTCGGGTTTCGACCCAAGGAAAAAGAGGAGGACGCTCCTGGGCCTGAGGGTGGTCGGTAATTAAGCGGGGGGGGGGTATAACCTATGTCATTGCATGCTACTCACACACAAATATTATGATGCTCATGGCCGAACGAAAGCGGTGTTTGACTGCATTTAGATCTGTAAAAATCTGCTGATTGACTTACCGTTAGGGAAACTAAAATTTGATAAAGCGCCGGCCAAGCAAACTTGGCATGTAATCATGTAATATCTTTTCGCAGAGTGCAGGTTGCCGGTTTTTCAAGGTTATCGGCCTGGCAGCCCGGCATGGTTCATGAAGGCGAGGAGCGAGGAAAGGAGGACGGGCACTGGTCGCCGCAGGACGTGTTGTAGAGTTAGCTAATCATATACTTCGTTTCCCGTAAAAAATCCCCCTGTTTTAGGGAGCCAAGGAAAAGAGGGAGCCTCTATCGAATGGCTTTGACAGCAGAGGGATGTGCGAGGTGACAATATTCGAAGCGCGAAGGGTTGCATTGCAGAAGCAGTTGCTGGCCGCCGACCACCGACCCCTTCCTCCCGAATCCCCCATCGTCCACCGACAACACAGCCATACCTACTCCGAAGCCAGCACACAGTAGACCGTAGAGTTGCAGATTGCTCAGCCGTCCGTCCGTTTCGTATCTGGTCGGGGCAGTAAAGGCGAACGCGGCAGTCGGGCGGGAGTCGGGGTTTGGTGGCTTGTGGCCATGTGGTCAGGAGTAGCCACGACGATGAGGCTGCGAAGACGAGATGATCATGTAGGCAACATGTAAGCAAGGCATTAGAAGTTACACATATTTTTGCGTCTGAGAGGGTTGAATTATGAGCACGTTCCGCGAGAATTTGCTTGGTGTTTGGTGGTTGAGGAAGCAGAGAGGTACGTGAGGTGTAGGGTTAGTTAGTTGGTGCAACCGCGTCTCTAGAAGCAAAGCTGCGGGATGACGTCGGAGCAGTAAGAAGAGCAGACAGATGGTCTGCATTGCCTTCTGGGCATTGGTAGCGCTCGCCATACCGTGTAAAGAGAAAGCATACCTACCTAGGTAGGTAGTCTGTGGATAGAGAGGATAACTAAACAACGACTTCAGTTAAGAGAGATTAAGATGGGGACACACTATACTCTTACCTGCTACTTAACCCAGTGGGTACCCTTACCGAGGTTGATCAGAAGACTTTTTAAGGCCAATGTTGGAATCTCGAACGAACTGAATTGTCTAAGTCTGTGGGCATGGCCGAAACAACTGACAATTCCGAAGAGTTCCCGGTAAGAGCCGGGCCGGGAATTGCTCGCTGTCTTTCGGGTCTGGCAAGGGGCGCAGTATCCTCTAAGTAAACAGAGAGTAGGAGCCATTCCATGAATTCAGGCGGTCAGCAAAGCGGCGTTGTCGGTGATGAATAACAGATGATTTGCTGATGTTGGCCTATATGCATAGCAAGTATGCAGACTCATATCCTATTATCTACCAACTGTTCTAGTGTAGATACTTTTGCGCAGTAGGCGATGTTGAGCAGCTGAGGATTTGCCGTAGCTGTCAATGGACCGCCAGCCGCCAAAAAAAAAAAAAAAATAGGGTGTGGCGCCTATCCATTCTTGGGTCGGGAGATCCGCGATGGAAGCTTTGGTCGATGAAACCTTAGGGAGACCTGTCGAGCTCACACCACCAGGGCCAGCGACCCAACGCATCGTAGCAAGAGCGGAACGCCCCACTAGCCTTTCAAGCTTATCTTGTCCGCCAAAGTTGGGTAAAAGGAAGGGGAGGGGCAGGCAGGTAGCAAACATAAAGAAATGAGTGTCTAAACATATTGTTCGAGCTGATTCAGAGTCGACTTCAAGAGGAGCCGAGAGCGTCAATTCTGGTTGGAATTGGTAACTGTGTACAGTAGGTCAAACGAGAAAGTCCACTCCCGGTAAGATAAAAACTGCTATTCTCTCGACTCCGTAACAAGCTTGCCGGCGACGCAAAAAGTCAGAGCGGTTCGTTCAGGCACGGATGAGGTACCACCGCCGCTACCCACCGGCCAGCTGCAGCAAACTGGAAGCGGGGCGATGAAAGCGGGGACATTACTGGGAGAGAGCCCTCAGCTAATGGAGACGCTATACTGGATTTAGCGATTTCCGCCCTCTCGCACAAAATTCTCGAACGATACTGCCAGCGACCAATGACAGAGGAGATCCGCTCCCTAGCAAAAAGGCGCCGAGACTATTTGATGCTGGAAAGCTGAAAGCTGGGTTGCCCTGAAATAGGTTTGATCAAACGCTGATTAAGTATCTGAGAATTCGGTTCGACGCTAACGACAAGGGCGATATCGCTTACACTATTTGTACACGTCCAGCATACATGCAGTGGCGACGAACTACGCTGATTGCGGTGGATCGACGGCGCGTGGCCTCAGCTCCCCCATCATCAGGGATCTGCCTGTTGTGTCGAAGAATTGGGGAGCACCGGTGGACACGTGGAAATTGACGTTGCGGAGCTGAGAGACAAATAAATCAAAAAAAAAAAAAACACAAAAAAGCGTGGATGATAGTGAACAAGCGAAGACATTTTTTCCACCCTCGCTCGCTCGGACGCTGCCAGTATCTTGGGACAGTGCTGCGCTAGCTACCTACGGGCTAGCCGCAGAGCAACTGAACGAGGAGGGCCTGATCTACCTACGAAGTATATGCTGTGTACGCCAGCTATCCATGGTGTTCAGCGCCCGACGAATTGCTGTGGAATGTGTTTTTGTGACCTGCCGAGTTTTCGAAAGCACTTCCAGGAAAATGCCTCGGATTCTATGCGCACATAAATCGATCAAAAGAAAGGCATAGCGTGATTCTACATACATACGGATATGCTCCAACAAGACAAGACAGGTCTGCAACCAGACAGGGAAAGATTTCCCAACCCGGCTACTAGTGAACTAGTACATAGTGTAAAGAGCGCTGCGGGGATGGATGTTTTTTTCCCGAAAACCCTGTCAGTTGTGGACTATGGACTGTGGACTATGAAAAACGGTGTGGCGCTGCGGCATTGCCCTGGACCCCATCAATGGAACCCAAGACTCTGATCTGGGCTTGCAGCCTGGCGCCGCCTCTCCGACATATCGGGTTCTCGGCGTCCCTCAGCCCTTCTAGCCAACAGGAGCAGCAGGAGGAATGCGGCACTGCGAGGGACACGAGAGCAATAAAAGCAAAAGTAGCGGGTACGAATACACAGGGTGGGAGACTGGCGATCGTGAGGCGAGCGAGCGGTTTTTAACGGCTCACAATATGACGAGGGACGAAGGTTGGACGAAAGTTTGAAGCACGTATCGTCATAACAAGACAGCAGCAGCAACAAAAGACAACAGAATAGCAAAACAACAATAGACTTGAGTCGAGAGGCCGAGAGTGTCGCAGTTGCTAGGGATAGCGATGGTTCAAGCATCCGTGTTCGAGATAAGGGAGGAGAAAGGCGCTGTCAGCAATAAGCTTTGACTCGCTTCCTGCTAGGTCTGGCCGGGCAGCGGCATTCTCATTTCCAACCCTTTTTTTTTTCTTTTTGTTGTTGTTGTTGCTGTTGTTTGTTTGTTTGTTAAGAGATCCACACAACGAACAAAAGCCCGACCACGCTTTTTTTTTTTTCATTTTGACACATTGCACCGCTCCAGTTGGCGAAAAAGTAGGCAGCAGGAGCAAGCAGCTGTAAAGACTATGTACACTACTCATCGATACTATCGAAGCCGATTTACGAGATCGTAGATAGCGTCGCTGTCTATCAACTATCCATTGCAACAACCGAGAGCTTCACCCTACCTACCGCCTTAGCCACTGTACTGTGTACATAGGTACCTACTCAAGTACATACTTGCGGCCTGCGTTGCCAAGCTGCAAGTGACCGCTCTCAGGCCTGTTGCGTTGCATCCGCCCTCCGAAGCTCGAACCCCTGCGGGCTGGGTTGGACTCCCCATGTGCCTGAACGCCACTTACTATGTACCTGCTTCCCTTCCGCATCAGGAAAGAAAACAAAAAAAAAGCGAACATGGGGTCTACATTGGATCTGATATGCTTGTTTTAACTTGTCTATGCCGTTGCTCGCTTCTGCCAAAGTGCATCATGTTTTATTTTTTTCTATTGTTTACTATATTTTTGGTATTTTTTGTTTGTTTCGACTGGCGACGAGCGACAAGAAGCAAGTGACCTTCTTCCTAGCTTTTCAGGGTCGATTGAGCTTGTGCCCCTGTCCATACACCCCCTGTCCCTGTCTTTGCTCTCTGGACCCTGGTTACGAGGGAAAAGGAGAGATCCAGCGCTACGGAGTACCTACCACCACAGTAACTAGTGCCCGTACACACATACCGCCGCTGCAGTGCGACCCCGTCGCCAGCCAGCAGCCAGCTCCAGCTCGGCGATATGGACTACAGCCCATGGATCGTGGACCAGGCACATGGGCCCCGGTCTTCCCGTGTGGAATCATGGGTCCACGAGCCCGGAAACGGAGAATGTGTAGTGTACATACGGATCCCCGGGGGGGGGGGGGCGGGGGAGGGGGAGGGAGGGGAAGGGGGAGGGGGCTATGCACAAATCTAAGTACATATGAAGATCTCGACGTTCCCAACTCCACACGCTCCCTCTTCCCTCTTGCTCTCTCTCTTTGCCTTTGCTAGGTTTCTCGGTATCCGACCCTGACACTCGTTCGCCGTTCTCCTGTCCTGTCCTGTCGTGGTGTCGGCGTCCTCACTCAGGACGCAAATCGTAGTCACCATGAAGGGCTCACCAGCAAGGACACTTCTTTCAACCCTCCTCTTCGTCTCATCTCGTCTGTCACTCGCTCAGCTCACTGTCCCCAGCCAGCTTCCGGGACAATGGGAGTATCTAGGATGCTGGACTGATGTCCCGGGGAGGACGCTCACCGGCGCGGCCTACGCCGACGGCGCCGACATGACCATTGAGGCCTGCATCTCGTACTGCTCCAACAACGGCTTCCAATATGCTGGTACCGAGTACTCGGTCGAGTGCTTCTGCGGCAACTCGCTCGCCGCCGGTGCCACCAATGTCGCCGAGTCCGAGTGTAACATGGCCTGCTCGGGCGATGCCACCCAACCGTGCGGCTCTGGCGGCAAGCTGTCGCTCTTCTACACCAACGAGATCGTCGGGCCCCAGCCTAACCCCGGCGTCAACGACTTCGTTCACATCGGCTGCTACACCGAAGGCACGACCGGCCGTGCGCTCACCTATGTTCCCAGCGGCATCACTGGCGGCATGACTGTTGAGAAGTGCACTGCTGCTTGCGCTGCTGCCGGCTACATTCTTGCTGGTGTTGAGTACGCTAGCGAGTGCTGTAAGTTTCCGCACGTCCCTCGCCCCTGGAACAGAAAACAGAGGACGAAAATAGTTTGGAAGGGGGGGGGGGGAGGGAGAGAGAAGGAAAGGGAGGGAGGGAGGGAGAAAGGGAGGGAGTAGGGAGTGGGTGGGGTTAATGCCCGCGGGTTGTTTGTGGGAGGAGGGGGGAGGTTAAGAGGTCATCGTCACAGGCCCAGACTGACATCAGCTCCTCTTAGATTGCGGCAACACCATCGCCAATGGTGCCGTCCTAGCCAGCGACGGCTGCACCATGACCTGCGCTGGCAATTCCAGCGAAATTTGCGGTGGCCCTGGCCGTCTCAACATTTATAACTATCAGAACCAGTATGACCCGAGCGCGACGCCGACTGGGTGAGCATCTCTTCTGTCCTCTCTGACCATTGGTTTGTGATGAGCCCTAATCCTGACATTAGTACCCCCGAAACTAGCTCCCCTGCTGGCCCGACCGGCACGCCGAGCGGTCCCTCTCAGCCCGAGGCGATCGGTGAGGAGTGGCTCTGGCACGGCTGCCGCACCGAGGCGACCAGCATGCGTGCGCTGAGTGCGGCCACCTTTGCCTCGGACGACATGACCCTCGAGGCTTGCGCCCAGTTCTGCGCCGCTTATACCTACTTCGGCGTCGAGTATTCGCGCGAGTGCTACTGCGGCAACAGCTTCAACCCCGGCTCGACCTTGGTCGCCCCCGGCGAGTGCAGCATGACCTGCATGGGCGCTTCCTCGCAGTACTGCGGTGCCGGCAACCGTCTGTCCGTCTATGCTAAGGAGGGCACTCCTCAGCCCAGCGAGACCTTGCCCACCAGCTCGGCGGCGGCCTCGACCTCTGCTGTTCCGGCCCCGACTGGCCTCCCCGAGGGCTGGAGTTACCAGGGCTGCTGGATCGACGGGGCTAACGGCCGCATCCTGTCTCACCAGGTTCCCGACAGCACTACCAACAGCCAGACTCAGTGCGCTGCCGCCTGCTTCTCGCTCGGCTACAACATCTCGGGCACCGAGTACTCTCAGCAGTGCTTCTGCGGCAATGCCATTATCAACGGTGGTGTCCAGACTGACGACGCTGACTGCAATACCCCTTGCCCGGGCAACCCGTCCCAGACCTGCGGCGCGGGCAACCGCATGAGCATCGTCGCCAATGGGCCCCCGGAGGTCTACCAGCCGCCTGCCCCCCAGATCGGCGGTCTCGGCGACTGGGAGTACCAGGGCTGCGTTGAGGACAACGTCAACCAGGAGCGCACTTTCTTCTGGCAGCTGTTCTTCCCTGGCGTCATGACGCCCAAGATGTGCCTCGACAAGTGCGCCGAGTTCGGCTACATGGCGGCTGGTATGGAGTACGGCGAGGAGTGCTACTGCGGTGACCCGGCCAACATCGACGCCCATGGCGCCGCCTTCCGGCCCGAGTCCGAGTGCGGCGTTCCTTGCGCCGGCAACGCTTCAGCCATCTGCGGTGGTCTCAGCCGCCTCACTACCTACTTCTGGGTTGGCGAGCCCTTCTACAGCTGGGACTTCCCTCAGGATTGGCGCGCCGGTAGGTACGAGTTCCTGGTGGATGGCCCTACCATCCCTCTCATGACCCAGGAGACCATCACCGGCAAGGTCTCCTTCATCTCCAAGTTCGGTACCGGCCCCGGCAACGAGACCGGTGTCTACGAGTGGGATCCCGTCACCAACACCTTCCGCGAGCTCCACGTCAAGACCGACGTCTTCTGCGCCGCCGGTGTCACCCTGCCCGACAAGGCTGGCCGTCAGCTCAACATCGGTGGCTGGTCCGGCGATTCTACCTACGGCACGCGCCTCTACTGGCCTGACGGTGCGCCCGGCGTTCCCGGCACTCACGACTGGGAGGAGGATGTCACTGTGCTCAAGCTCCAGTCTGGCCGCTGGTATCCTAGCGCCATGGTTATGGCCAACGGCTCTATCATGGTCATTGGCGGCTCCATCGGCTCCAACGATGCTCAGGTCCCTACCATCGAGATTCTGCCCTACACCGGCACTCCCCCGGTCTACATGGAGTGGCTGGAGCGCACTCACCCCAACAACCTGTACCCGTACGTCGCTGTCCTGCCCGGCGGCGGCATCTTCGTCCAGTACTGGAACGAGGCCCGCATCCTCGACCCCGTCACCTTCGACACCATCAAGACTCTGCCCAACACCCCCGGTGCTGTCAACGACCCGAAGGGCGGTCGCACCTATCCTCTGGAGGGCGCTGCTGCTCTCCTGCCCCAGCGCTACCCGTACACTGACCCGCTTGGTATCCTCATCTGCGGTGGCTCGACCGAGGGTCCCGGCAACGCTCTTGACAACTGCGTCTCGATCGAGCCCGAGGCTCCCAACCCGGAGTGGAAGATTGAGCGCATGCCTTCGTTCCGCGTCCTGACCTGCATGGCGCCCCTCCCTGACGGCACCTACCTGATCGTCAACGGTGCCCACCACGGTGTTGCCGGCTTCGGTCTCGCCGAGGACCCCAACCTCAACGCCCTGCTCTATGACCCGACCAAGCCGCTCGGCCACCGTATCACTGTCGCCGCCAACACCACCATCGCCCGCATGTACCACTCTGAGGCCATCACCCTCCTCGACGGCCGCGTCCTCATCTCTGGCTCCAACCCCGAGGACGGCGTCAACCCTGAGGAGTACCGCGTCGAGGTCTTCCTGCCGCCGTACCTGCTCAGCGGCAAGCCGCGCCCTACCTTCACCCTCGAGAACAGGGATTGGGCCTGGGGCGAGACCAACATCACCTTCACCCTCGGCGCGCCCGCGCAGAACGGTGACATCACCGTCACCCTGCTCGGCTCGGTCTCGAGCACCCACGGCAACTCGATGGGTGCCCGCACTCTCATGCCGCGCGTCGAGTGCTCCGGCACCTCGTGCGTCGTCGATGCCCCGCCAAATGCCAACATTGCCCCGCCCGGTTGGTACCAGTTCTTCGTGCTGGACGGCGGCATCCCGGCTGTTGGTGTTTATGTGCGTATCGGCGGCGATCCCGCCGGCCTGGGCAACTGGCCTGATCACCCCAGCTTCTCGAAGCCTGGTATCTAAAGGGATTGTGATGGTTTGGTAAATGGGGCATGTGATGAATCTTGGGATGGATGCTAAACCGTATGAGATGGGCAATGGATTCGGGTAATGGATGGGTGTGCTCTTTTTTTTTTTTTCCGTTTGGGCTATGTCTCTACTCTTCCACCTTGCTTATACCTCTTGGGGTTCTCCATCTCTGGAGCGGTCCATCCTTTTTTTTAGAACTCGCGCATCTATATGCACTCATCCATGGCGAGGTTTCTTTGCTGTCTATTTCTTAATTGGTTAAATGTATAACCCTAATATGAGATGAACCTGGATGAAACTTGATATCCCATGTTTGCGGTGCAGTGTCTTCCTTCACCCTGAGTCCACGATGGGAGAGGCCAACCAGTTGCAAGTTTAAAAAAAAAAAAATTGGACGGATTTCCGTTATGTAAGCAATATAGTCCGTCTTATAAAACTATTTGTAGCCCGTGGACTCGACCGTACCTATCCTATCCTGCTTGTGTCTACTGTGTAAGGCCAGTAAGTAGATGGGAGCTTTTTGAGATCAGTGGTTGGTTGGACTGTGTTTCTCTGTGCCTTTTAACAGGAAACTAATAATGTTTCTTTAATGTACTTAGCATAAGAGGTCACACCCCTTGGGACGAGGACCGGCTCCTCCGGGGTTTAAAATGGGATCGCAATCTTCTCCAAGACAGTGGACAACAACCAAAACAACACCCATCCAGAGAAACCTCGTTGCCAGGCAACAACAATAACAGCAACAAAAATGACAACAAAAATGACAATGACAATGACAACAGTCTTCAACAAAAACACACCAACTTAATTCAGTAACGGAAGCCCAGCAGGAATCAATGACATCATGACATGCAAAGCCCTGCTGACAAAACACACATCACATACATACCCAAGTAGGTAGATACATCCATTCAGTTAGGCATCTAAAAGTTACCCATCAATCACATTGCACCACAGCCCTCCCTGCAGCCATCCATCCATCCAGTTATCGCCCATACACGCATGCACACACAAAACACTCTTTTTTTTTTTCGGTTAAGTGCCTACGTAGTCATACAACGGCATGACGCCCTCTTGAAATCCCACCTAGAAGTAGGTAAGATAAGTAGGATAAGCAGGTAGGTACCTACCTAGCCTAGTTACTCTGATAGGGTAAGGTACCTGGCGATGGACTGCTAGTTACTTCCATGCCACTCCCTACCTTACCTGACCTATCTACCAGGTAGGTACTCGCTGCATGTCTCTGGAATGCTAGATGGATGCAGCAAAACACGGTAGGCAGGCAGGCAGCCTGCCAGGTAAGCAGGTAGGCAGGCGGCAGGCAGATAGGTAGGTAGGTAAATATAGGTAGGTACCTATTGGCCTAACCACCCACGGCGACAGAGATCGGGATCAACAAGCGCAACAAAAGGCAGAACAGCTCGGCTGATATGTATCACTGCATTCATTACCGTAACTGATAAGACGCACAGGAAAACCAAAACCCATATGTACAAACACGAGGGCCCAAGGGCCCAAGGGATCAAAGTTCTTTGGCCCGAGACAAGCTTCTTGGCAAAAAAAGTCCAATGACATCTGATGACCCCACCTGCGGCCAGGGCCAAACACCAAGACTCAAAACCAGAAGAGAGCCACAGAAAATTCAGAGTGGGCCTTCACCGCCTATGACCCTGGAGCACCACAGTGCCTGTGTCCTATCAGAAAAAAAAAAAAAGAATGAGCGGGGTCAAGCCATCGGTGGGTATTTAGATACCAGAACCTACTGTGTGCAATATGCATACGGTTTGCAGCATGTTAGATCAGGAACCGAGGTGACAGGAGGGAGACATGGGAATATCAGAAGCAACAAAGACTCCGAGTGTGTAAAAAGGAGACCACCCAGGACTGGCTACAGAAGCAAAGACTAATGTATGTAGAAACAATTGTAGTCTACCTAACTAGCGCCGCAAAATAAGTGCAGCAATTGTTATTCAGATCTAGCCATCCGATGTAGTAAAAGCGATTTGGGTTGCCGGAAGTCGTTCCGGAGAGTATCACACACAACAACCGCCCAAAAAGCCAAAAAAAGGGGGAGGAGGAGGGGGGGGGGGGAAGCGAAGGAGGGAAAGGAAGGGAAGAAAAATCAACGCGATGTACCCACAGACAGCAGGCGGCTGCCCTCCCGCCTGTGTTACACGTTCGTCTCGAAAAGAAACCATCCCAAAACGACGTCTTTTTGACTTTTCCCCCCTTCACCTTCAGCACCCTCCAAATACACATTTCCCAGCTTCGCCTACCGTCTTCCCCAGTCCCAGATGCCAGCCAGTTTCCCAGCCATCTCCGTGTGCATTGCACCCGAAGGCGCATTCATCTTTTCATAACGGGCATTACCATTTCCTTAAAACCACTACGCGCTATCATCTCGCAACATGTGCCGATCCCAACTGAGATCGCATGCGTGGGAAGGCGCTTAGAGGTCGTCATCATCATCAGGAAGAGGTGCCTTAGCGGCCTCCTCCATCTCAGCCTGGTACTGAGCCAGGAGGTTCTGGTCAACCTGCACCTCAGCGGGCGCAAGCGCGGGAGCAGCGACGAACTCCTGTGTATTTTTGTTAGCTGCGAGCTATCGATACGAGAAACAAAGCAGCCGACATACCAGAGCAGGGTTGCCAACCAGCTTCCTGGCGAGCCAAAGGAAGGGCTTCTCGAAGTTGTAATTGGACTTGGCCGAGATGTCGTAATACTGGAGGTTCTTCTTGCGGTGGAAGGTGATGGTCTTGGCCTTCACCTTGCGCTCCTTGACATCGACCTTGTTGCCGCAGAGAACGATGGGAATGTTCTCGCAAACACGGGTCAGGTCACCTAGAACAGGCGGTCAGCATCGCCGATCAATTCCGTGTAGACATAAAATGGGCTTCCACGTACGGTGCCAGTTGGGCACGTTCTTGTAGGTGATGCGGGATGTCACATCGAACATGATGATACCGCACTGGCCATTGATGTAGTAGCCATCACGTAGACCACCGAACTTCTCCTGACCAGCAGTGTCCCACACATCGAACTGGATGGGACCGAAGTTCTACAACCTTGTCAGTACCTAGTCCCGCGGACACAGGAGATGCCCAGCCCAATCTGTCTCTTGGGAGATGGATGGCAATGGGCGGTCGGGTGAAGAGCGACTTACGGTGGTGAAGCCAAGAGGGTGCACTTCGACACCCAGAGTGGCCATATACTTCTTCTCGAACTCGCCAGTCAAGTGGCGCTTGACGAAGGTGGTCTACATCGACGAGAAAACTTCATGTCAGCATCGCTATCAAACAAACCTAGGCGTCGGGTGCCCACAACGCGACCCCGCAGTCTGACGCGCCGTGATAAGGCAGGCGCTACAAAAGGTGCAAAAATATGGCAACTTACCTTGCCAGTACCACCGTCGCCGACAAGGACGAGCTTGAAGGTCGGGATTTGTTGCTGCTGCTCAGCCATGGTGGATGTGTGTTTGTGGGTGTTGATGGATGAGAAGAGGAAACAGAGTCTAGGCAGCCGACGGGTTAGTTTTCCTAGGGTCGAAGCGGGGTTTTTGTGGGTGACAGCGGGGCTAGAAATCGCCGAAGAGAGCGCGACTAGGGTAGCAGAGATGGCGACGGATGGCGACGTACTATTGGGAATCTAGGAGGTAGGGAAATTATGTGATGGTTGTGGTGGGTTGATGTATGATGGTCGGGTTGCAAGAAGGAGTGGCGCTTGGGCAAGTGATGCTTTCAAGGCGAGCTGCTGCTTGGAACCGCAGCAGCCTTGACGAAAAACTCGTTGGGCGGCGGGGTGGCCTGTGCACGTGACTTGATTGGTCAGCCTTCCAACCCAAGGGCCAACCAAAGGGCAAACTGGTCAGTGCTGCGATTCCAAACAGCCTGCGCTAGTGGCAACCGGCAAGAGCCGACCTTGGATCCCAGTATGTGGGCCGGAGGGGGGGGGTCTTTCTTATGTACCTTATACAGCAGGTCTGAGCTTTGCCCTTTCACAGGAAGAATGAGGATGATGGTTTCGTTTTTTTCCCAAGCTACAATCCCAAACCGTTTGGAGAATGGAGCCAATAGTTCTGTGCTTACTAGCTGGACCATCCAAAGCTGAATAAAAAGTTGCTGATAAGTCGGGTGATGGCCCGATGGGCTGTTCCACACTACCTAAGTACTTAGCCTACCTACCTACCGAGTCTTGGTAAAGGGACACGGGCTTTTTATCCGTTAATGTCACCTACATCATCACCTCGTTGTGTGCCTGGAAGGATGGATGTCCTTGATATTTTTTTTGTTCTGACTGGGTATCATCAATGACACAAAGAAGGGCTTCTAATGACCACAGAATGGCCAACGCAGTCCAGCTTGGAAATTTGTACAGCCTCTATTTGTAGAACCTTGACTGCTTTTATCCACCGCAGGTCACGGGCCGAACAACCGGACGGTTCGCTGAAGAGGATGGATGAATCATCAGGTCAGCTTCCCGGTTGCCTGCCTAGTTCCCCAGCCCTGAAACTCACCCCTAACCTGGTCCCTTTCATGTGTTGGGCTCCAGAGAGATACTGTTATATCGACTGCCATACATTGTGTTGGGCTTCTGCTTGGGCTGCCTGGGGAGATTTTGAAAACCAATCTTTAGAGCCTAGAGCCCAACCGTGATACCACGTTCTCCCCAATCACCCAGCTCGGGTGCAGATCACAAGGGTAGGATGTGGCATCCTAGCATACCTCGGCCGCCCCAATCCCTCCGTGGCGTTAATGTCAACCGGACCTCCTCTGGCCTTGATGCCCCGGTGTTTCGTGACACTCTCACAAGAATCGGTTGCTGTGGGAGCGTCAGTCAGTCACCAATGCACTCTGGTCGAAAAGGGAATTGGCATGTAAGGGGAGGATCTGAGAGCCATGCACTTACCCCTTCATTGCCCTGGACACACTCTGCCACCTTCTTTAGGTTGTCATGGTTCTCATAGTTGACATAGCCAAAATTCCGGATCAAGTCTCCAGGTCTGAGACCAGCAGCTGCAGCCGGGCTATTTTCCACTACCGAATTTACTTTCGCGAAGGGCTTGTCTAGCTTATCTGAAATTGAATCTCTGGGTGCGACTATGTCGGATGTGGCGGGAGCGGCGGGTTGCGCGGCAGCACTCGCAGGAGCTTCTTCTTCGTCGTCGTCCTTGATGCTGGCAAAGTGCTCGTGCAGGCGCTTCTCAATGACATCCATCAGATCCTTCCAGTCGTTTCGAAGATGGATAATGCGGGCGCGCGTTGTCCGGACTGTCGCGAGTCAGACTTGTTTAAGCGAGAGCAAGATGTCTTGCGTGAGAATCATTGATGCATACTCTGTACCACGTCGATGTCTGCCCGAGGAAACCCGTCAGGAGTAACCAAAGGAGTGTTCATATCAACGCCGTGCTGTGATCTATTCGTTAGTACATGGCAGAGGCAGATGTGCTTGGCATCTTGTGAAACAGACAGAACGAAGAATGCCACCAAGGGCTCGAATCTCAGCCTCGAGGGCATCTTTCTTGCGTTGTAACTCTGGAATGGAGAGGCCAGCGAGAGCCTCTTTGGAGAAGCGTGTTGAGGTAGGCCCAGATGGGACTGTCGGGGCATAGGGAGTCAAGTTGCTCATTGTCAGGACTCTAAACTTCTAAATCTGAAATCAGGCGGTTGAAAACGCTCTCTCTCTCTCTCTAGATTGTCTTGCGAACTAAGTAGCTCCGACGAGTTGATTGTGGTTGTGGTGTTAAGTCAAATCAAATCACACAATGGTGTGGCTGGGTATATCCTGCTGGATGGATGACGAAGCAGCTTGCGACCTACACCAGAGATGTGTCTCCTCAATCCTGTTCTCTCTGACCTGGGTTTTTGTCATTGTCGCAAAGCTTTAGAGGGGCTGTTAGTTCCCGCTGGCTTCCGCGGGGTTGGGGACCCCACCTTGTGTGGCCAAGCGGTACGTACCTGCGGCAGCCTAAGCGTTTCATCCAATCAGAAGTTCAGCTCGGTCAGTCATCGTCCCGATCCAGTGGGCGCAGTTGGGGTACCCTGCCAGGGACTCCACATCCGCCAGAGCTTGTCTTCGGTTTGAGCTCTCAACACATGGAACCAACCTCACGTAGTTGATTCTGAGGTGTGAGAGTATGAGACCAACAACCATTAATGCTCAAAGTGCTCAGACGGATTAGCGTATTCATAATATCTCTAGCATCACTATAAAGGACAATGAATACTACTATCTAGATGGGTAACTATATCCAGAACCATGCCGTCCGGTGTTAATAGTAAATGGCCTACAGTTATCCAAATAGCGAATTGAGACGTCCTTCACCTGGTCTCCGATTATTGTCATACCAGCCCTTCTGCCTGTTAAACACAACTTTAGCCTTATATTATAACATAAATTTCATGAATGACTGTTTACGGTAATCAACCAAAGACAAGAGTCCAAGAACTCATTAAGAGTGCAGTTCGGAACTGGGCAGTTGTGGTTGCCGTCACTAAGATCATCGGTCGGCCCCTAAACACTGTCATCTGGAAAGCCAGTGACAGCTAATGCGTCAATATCAACGAAATTATGGAGACTTTGGGTGTGCCTTCCTCCCCATTGCGACGTGGATTCCCCACACTCGTTGACATGCTGATGGAAGAGCAGAATCAATTACCTAGTTCCGTTTTTATGCTTTAAATAGAACTTCTTCCGATCTGACGGCATACTTTTTTTGTGATTCTGCAGTACCAAATAGCATCCATACTCCAACCCATGTTTGATGCCGACCAGTAATATATTCATGTTATGTTATGGGAGTTACTGGCTTCGTTGTCACTTAGGCTATCCGTGGGTGTTTTGACCAGAAACGAAGCCTATCGGGCCCTCGTTCATGAAACTTCACGGCAATGCTTTCGTCTATTGCTAGACTGACGCCGCCAGGCATACATCATCTTCTGCAGGATATCAGCTTGAGAAACTGCTCACAGATCCCTTGTTCCAAGGGCAAGCATTCTGTGATGGTGTCGGGGGATGATCATCGAAATTATCGTCAAGATGAGGAAACTCAACAATGCAGAATCGAAGGGCCCGAAGTCTCTGAGGAGTCTTCGCCACAACATTCTGAGAGGACAGCCCAGGCCCATGGCTCAACACATCTGAGGCCGTTCCAAACATGGGTTAAGAAATTGCATAAACGCTCAGAACGCCGTCAACACAGGAGAAGTTGCGAAGAAGGAGAAGCTCCATTGACTGTTCTTCCTCCTAATATTGCCGCTCACCGCAGCCTTTCCTCAGAGTCATCATCCTGCTACGTCGACAGAGTTCACTCGGCTAGCTTATCTGCGAGCGCTCTGAGCTTCTTTTCTAGGTCTCGCCAGAGTGCTACTCGGATATCATATGGCCAGGAGAAAATAAATCGAAGCAGCCGCACATCCGGCCCTGAGGGACAGACCTCCGAAGATAGCGTTTCTCTTGACTATCTGGTGTCTCTCGAGCCAGCTGTCATTAAGCGTGCCTTCCAGAGACGTCGGATTTTGGAGGAACTCATCAATACCGAGGAAAGCTACATCGGAGACGTTAAGTTCTTGAGCAGCGTATGTTGAGGTCTTTTAGCCAGTGTGACCTTATATCGCGTAAGTTGAGATCGCTTGACTAATGATCCAACAGGTCTACGTCAACTTTCTGGCCTCTTCTCCCACCGCAAAAGTTGGCCTACGATATTCAGTAAACCGAAACCTTGCTGATCTTTTGGAGCTCCATGAAGAGATATTGAAAGAGTTGCGTGACGTTGTTCCGCACCCCGAGACTGCATCTGCGGCTCAGCTGCGCCCTCTGCAATCCATTTGTCAGCCAGTTGGTCATTCGTGTCGGGTATCCTGCAGCCAACAGCCTCTATCTCGACTAAGAGACATACCAACGGTATTAGCAGAACCCCGGATGGCCGCTGAGGTCTCCCGAGTGTTCCTTAAAAGAGTAAGCATGGAGGTTATGCAATATGTGAAAAATCTGATTACTGACTACAATTGATTATTTCAATACAGATCGATCGATTTTTCATCTATGAAGAATACTGTGCTAAATACGAGCTTATAGTCAAGGATGTTGGCATGGCATCTCGGGCCTTTAGCGGTTGAGAGGATCTGCAAAAAGGACTTGAGACGCTTGCCGCGTCAATGCGCCCTGCAAACAGTCATTCTGATCAACGAAGAAAGAGCCTGGGTATCAAGGATCTTATCGTCAAGGTAAACCCATCTGAATCCAAAACTGGGAAATGAGTGCTCATACCGGAGTGTACAACAGCCAATTCAGCGTGTTTGCAGATACCCGCTCCTTTTCTCTGAATTACTCAGGCGAACACCCGTGGTAGATTGTCCAATCTCGCATCTGGAAGTCAAAAGTGCCCTATCCAAACTCCGTGATGTCACTTGTGAAATCAACCGGGCAATGGATGATCCCCGGTTCAAGCTCGCCTTGGAGAAGACCCTGATATTACAGGATCGACTGCTATTTCCTGACCAGGTATACACCATGTCAAATTCGACGACTCTTGCAAATTCGATGTGCTAACAAAGCAATTGCAGAATCTTGGCCTTAGCAAACAAAGTATCTTCAGGTCATTCGGGGCGGTCCAGCTCTGCGGGGCCCTGTTTGTATGTTGGAAGACCAAAAATGGAGTTGAGGGGCAGTACATGGCTGCCTTCTTGTTCAAAAAGTGGTTTTGTCTTGCTACAGCCAACAGCAGTGAACATACTTACACTATCCGTGTTTGTATTGCCTTAGCTGACATCCAGATACAAGAGTCAGACAATGGCCAAGGTAATAGCTCGTTGCTTTTCTCCTGGTTACTAATTTCTGATGCACATGACAGGTCTTCAATGCCATACGGCGCGATTTTCTTGGAAGATTGTTTTCTTAAACAGGAACCGGTTGCATGAGATCCTCTTAGCAGCGTGCTCCCAGAAGGAGGAGCTTGAGTGGAGGGAAAGGCTGGAGAACCAACCTGCTATTGACGAGGCCAAAGAGACGATGCCGGAGGAGCTTGGCTTCCTTGATCTGAACATTAAGAGTTTGGAACCTATTCATTCAAGACCAGGTATGATGTCTTGTCCCTGCACATTGCATTAGCTAACACATGCCTCTAGGAACCTCCGACCGGTTATCAGTACGCCGAACGGAAACAATATGGCTCAAATCACCGCTGCATCAAGTCATCATCAAAAACACAAGTGTTTCCAGGGAGCCATTGTCGCCTTCACATATAAATCGCTCCAAATCACTACCCGGTTCCAACAGTCGGATTCCTGTGCTAGCCCCTTCACGTGGGGAGCGCGCTCGACTGGAAGCCCTGTTGTCAGATGTTTGGACAAGGGACAAATTGCCTTTCCCCGGAATGACCATTCGAGCTCGCGGCGAGCATTTGATTCGCTCATCAGCATCATCAGTAATGCGCAAGCTGAGCTCTGTCAGCATTACCAGCAGCTTCCGCCGCTCAATAAGCCATTCAAGCGCAGGTGTGGACAAAGGAAAAGAGAAAGAGCAAGTGGAAGAGGATGAGCCAATGGCAACTGAACTGGAACTTGACGGGTTGCCATCACCTGAGATACACATCAGAAGGCTGTCTACTGTGCCATCGGCGAGGACTGAGCCGCGAGTATCGAGTTCGCGAAGTTCAGAACTGAGAGACGCTAGAGGAGGGGACGGCGTTGACGACACTGAATGGGAGAAAAGGTTGGCTGATCGTCGCCGACACCTCAACAGCATCGAGCACCCTGGACATGAGCCCTCTCAGGCCACGTCTTTTCAGCTACCGCAACAACGTCGATCGTCTCCGTCATTGAGCAACCGAAGTACCACGGCGAACCTTGTTGATATGCCCCAGGTTTCTCAGACAATTACATATCAGCCCCCATCAGCGATCGCGAATTCTTACCCAGGCCCGTCCATTCATCAATCTGCTATCACGCAGTCCGACACACAGAAACAATCTGGTGATGAGCAGCTGCCACGATCTCGAAGGCTTCTGAGTAGGCTAGCTGGCCATCATCATGGAAAAACTGTCAAACAGGGCATTCGGGGACTGTTTGAGCGGAGAAAGTAGCTTGCTCCCCTTTTTGCTGCGTGCTATGATAGTAGCACCGCGCTTGTGTTTGAGCGCAATTTCTGGAGAAGACGGATGGACAATGGTGTTGTCGAATGGTTTTGGCACTGGCTACATGCTGCTCAACGTGATATCCTTTCCTTCAATGTTTGGTTCATTCTCTTTTCTTCCTCTTTGTAAAAAGGTTCAACTGTTCGGCGATCGAAATATTGGCTGGATGTCCGCTGATCCGGAAGTTGCCTCTGAGCGAGGTGCAGGTGGGCATGATAAGCATTCGCTTGTGAACATGGTCAAGGGATGGATTATCGTTAGCCAAGTAGGGTTGTGTCGGGCCTTATTGGCCAGAGCTGCCGTATTATGTCAGGTATTGTTTTTCTAGCTTTTTCTCTCAATAGAGCGTGACGCAAGGCTCCAGATTGTGTCCCAGGTCAGAAGGCGTCAGTGATTAGGTAAGGAAGAAACGTACAAGTACTTGCATAAGCAGCACTGTATCATTCGTGACCATCGGACCAATTTTTAGGGACAGGTCTGTAAGTATGACTTTGTTTTTGGACCACATAACAGCATCAAAACTTGTTTGAATATGCAATGTCACAATACCAAACCAGTTTTAGGATTATATAGTGATGTGTTTGTTTTCACGCTAGCGATGGTTGTGTTATACTTACACAGTGATGCCCAAAAGCCCAAATGCTTTCATGCCTCGTCACCGATGACGTAGTGATATCCATGCCGCTGGCATCCCCTCTTCGACTCGAGCTCTTAAGTCATTAAGTCTGACTCGAAATGAGCGTACAATAACCCCGAGACTGGCCTGGAACATTTATCGGCAAGCATTAGGACTTCGAGTCTTAAGCAGGCATCAACTTTATCCGACATAGGCAACGACAGACGACCCACAGGAGCCAAGGGAGTTTCACTACTGAAGAGCATTGCGGATTGCAGTCTAGCAATAACATATATAAACAAATATCACCTCGCGAGATCTGCAACAATGCCACGCGGAGAAGCAAACCACATTAAGGTGCACTACCGTGGCCACGGAGACGAAGACTTCCTTGTGTTCGTTGACAACGTCGAGGATTATCACAAATGGCTCCATGACCGTTCGGTTCCCTTGTCGCATGTGGTCTCGTCCTTCAAGGTGTTTACGACACATAAGTAAGCAGACCGTTGCTTCCTTCACGTTATTGCAATGTGCTTTGATGTATTGTATTCTGTCACAAAACTTGCTTTCCCACCTTGGGTTTGTTTGTGACCAAGGGCGTATGGCTGTTTTAGTCGCCCAGAAACACACAGGAGCTCTTGCTAAAGCTATTATCTGATAGGCACAGCGCCCAGGGACTGCTCGAGGGTGCTTCGAAAGCGATGCTCGAGAACGAGTTTGGAACCGCCAGAGAGGATGATGCAGTCCAGAAGATCCTGGAGAGGGGCACCATTCAAGAGTTTGGGGTATGTTAGCTTCCCTTTTCTCAAATTCATATATCGCCTTCTTGGGCTTCTGCGCCAAATTGTGGGGTTATGTGCTCTTTGAGCATGGCTTTTTATTTGTTTCCTTTTCCTCCCCCCCTTATTCGTCTTTCACTCGGATAAGTTTACACCCACATGCTGTACCTCTCAAATCCGGGTTGGAAAGATCCCCGACCTTGGGTCGCCTAGTCGGTCTCCGTGAGGAGCGATGGCATGATAGCTCCCGCCTAGGTCAGAACTAAGCATATTTCTTGCCGCCGGCACTCGCGCACGGCGTGTCCATCGTTTGTGCCAGAGACGCAGACTCGCTGCTAGTCGGGCGGCTGGTGAAACCAACCGCTGCAGCCTCATGGCGCATGCCTTAAGCACAGCGGTTATACACACAACGATGACCTCCGTCTGCACTCATCCTGTGTATTAACGGTCTCAAAAATGGGCTTATTCTGCACACCGACTCTTCAGTTGTTGTAATTGAGGGCTTAACAATGAGTGGTAGCAACATATACGCTGACCAGTTTAAAAACCACAGATGGCAGAGCGCCAGGGGCGCAAAAACGACTCGAATGGCCCTTATATCTCTCGTTAGTTGGCGGGTCGGCACCTAGAACTTCCAGCAAAATATCTTGTAAGAGAAACTAGAATGGCCGTGGAGAGATAAATGACTGGTTGGTAGTTTCTATGAAGGATGAAGGCGAAGACGGAGTTGTGGGCAACATAGCCGCGAGAGCTGGTTTTAGTAGCCAGTCAAATCTCGACAAAAGATTTGGTTCAAACTCATGTTTCACGCCCCCCTCATCTGAATAAAAAATATCGTTTTTGACGATCAACAAAATCCATTGAACGCCTATAGGCAGGCAGGTACAAGACAACCTGATCGTCAAAGACAAGTCGAGCCACATTAATGAAGATCCCCGATCGCCGGATTTCAGGGCATTTGCCAGTCTGTACTTAAAACCCAATGGACGGGAAGACACGAGCCTAAAGGACATTCTGATTCGCTGACACAGCAGTGAACTTGTCCGTTTGTTCGGGTGGTTACCGATTCCCGTTGCACAGCATTGCCGTTCGTTTTGGAGCCGAGTTTTTTGGAGCAGGACACGTTCGAAGAAGAAAGTCGAAGAAATTAAGGGCAGGGTCACACCGCCAAGAAATGACGCTTGCCAAGCGCGGAGCCAAGCTTCGGTCACCATGTCTCACGTGCTGGATAGGGGAGCAGGGTGGGTAAATTTGCAAGCACTTGAGACCATCGTGAGACATCGTGTGTAGATCGGCTTGGACTTTTCCCCTCCACACCCTTGTCGTTCTTTCTTTGTTTTTTTACATTTGTTTCAAAGTTCAAACAATATCCTGAAGGATTTTACTGCAGACTTGCTACTTGAAAGTGCACGTGGAAACGTCCACAATTGAACTGTTGAGTCCTAAGGTTTGAAATTTGCATGGTTAGCTTGGGGTACCCGCAGGCTGCAACTCGGTCAATGCCACAGCGGTGACTACCTAGGAGGAATATTTTTACACTGGAATATATCACCATTTAAACGGGTCGACAACTTCAGGATAATCAAGGTACCGTATGAACAGCAAGGTGCCAAGTACGCAGGAATCTCAAGTCCATGTAGAGTGTGGCAGATAAAGTAAGGTAAAGATGTTGACGATATTATATGCTGTTATTAATTTGTTTTGGGCAACTCAATACTGCACAGAGAGCTGGTATCTATTTTACATCTTCTCAGGATGTAGCGCTAATCTCACGATTCCCCGAAGTCCATAAGCCATGTAACGCCACGCTTGCCATGCCTTTAACTTCTTGCTGCTCTTCCTTGATCCAAGAGGAACTTTCATATTTCATGACAGCACCAAGCTAGCACGGGATTTATGGTGCTATATGTGTTAGGCGAAGACAAACAAAAGAACCAGTTCTCCCATAAGACTGGATCGAAGTTACAGAAAATTAAGCCACTCAAGCTGCCATGTAAAACGCAATACTGTGGGTATTTCGGGCTGTTCAGAAGCGATATATACGGCCTCTGGCTCCCGCCTCTTTCTTAGCTATGCTTCCGACGAGAATATCAATAACCCTACTCCCGGCATTGCACGTGAAAGTGGAACATCGATAGTGGGAACAGTCCGGTGCAGTTGGATCGGAGAAGCAGTAGCGTCGGGTTGTCGAAGAAGCGTCCCGGTGAGAGCAAGAGGGTGTAATTCACATAACAGGGGTATCTTTGAGGGAAGCGAGACGCGGGTATCTGTTTTGAAATCGGTGGCCTTCTGTCACTGGACGGCAAGGCTGTTCAGACACGTGAACCACCACCTCGAGGAGCCCGCTGCGGAAGAGTCCAGGGCTTTGCGCAAATCATCTATTCAGATTTTGTTAGCCTTCCCCCAGTTAGCACCTCAGACTGACGAAAGGAACATACCTCTCCCTCGCTGTATGCCCAAAAATACACAGCCATGCCGATCACGTAGTAAATCGCAGCATTGGCGCCTTGGTACAATAGTGATGAGGCAAGAGCGGCGAGAGGAAGGAAGGCCAGGCGGGCCTCAAGACTGCGGTGAATGCTGGAGCCGGCGATGAAGCTGAGCGGCCATTCCCAGGCGAGCAACAACAAACCCATAATCAGGTTGATGATTTGGAGCACTGGTATCGGTCGGACAGCTGGGTCGAGGGTTTTGGTGAGGAAGTCCCAGAGAATCTTGGGCCAGAAAAAGGCGTGGACAGCGGCAGTGACTTGGTCTGTATTTGTGATGTTAGTGTCCTGCCAGTTAATATTGACGTTCGGCTGCTGTTGCAACTTACAAGCTGCTGACGAGAGGACGACGAGCCTCGCCCAATGGTTCTTGATCAGCCTTCCCATGGTTATTGATTCAGAAGGCTTCTAGTCACGCTCCAGTAGGTTGCCTCGGTTCCTCTTCTCTCTCTTTTTTTTTTTTTTTAACCCTTTGAGATCCACGTGAAGATACCAATCAAGTCTCCAGTCCTTTTGTCCTTCTCAGCCACGATGAGGGCTTATCCTGTTCCACAGATTGACCACCGAAAGAATCCTCACAAAAATTGCAATGCCGATCGGCGCGGATATCAAGAATGTAGAGCCCGAAATCGACTGCGATCCGGCGCAAGCACTAGGGCAAAGATATCAAAAAATAAGAAGAAAAATAATACAATAAAGCTGCCGAAAGAACGAAAGGCCAGGTTCCAGACCTGCGGTTAGTGACTGTTGGGCCCTCTGAGGGGAACAGGAACCACGGTATAGTCGATATCAGCGAAGGCTATCGACTTGACGAAGGTTGAGGAAGGAAGAGAAGAGAGGGAAGTCTTTCCAAGACAGCCACGGCCGGCGAGGCGGAGTTGGAATAATAGGTCGTATCAGATCTCTTTACCAGGTCGACTCCCCTAATTCCTCGAGCCCTCGTCTTGGTCGGGACTGAACAATCCCGGCAACAGGTACCGTGTGAGAAGGGAGATATGGTCTGAGTGCTGGGTAGTTAGGGTACTTGCCCACAAGGGCTTGCACCGGGGTCTGAATGTTCCTGTATCAGACAGGCAGCTGGGGGGTGTGGATGTGTTTCGGGTTGTTGACCAGATGTTCCTGGCTTGAGTTCGTTCAAGGTCCACGTCCAAGAGTTCTGATCACGACTGAGAGCATTGATCCACCATATCCAACTTTCAATCAAAAGCTGAGTTTTTTTAGTTGTAAGTCGTGTTAGCTCATCGGTCGCAAGCCCCCAAAAACCTTTATTAAAGCATGCTTTGTTCGACAGGAGATGTGCAGGGTATAGATGTGTGTCGCTGAATTTGTCGTTGAGGGATTCCTCAGCATGGGATCGTGATGGAGATCAGACAAAATGTGCGGCTTCCTGAGCGTAGGGGGAGGTTTGAGATTTGAGGCAGAAGGGGGTGTTTTGGGGTTGTATGTGCTCCAAGAACAGGGAACCGCCCGAGGCGTAAGTCGGACAATTGTCAGGGCGCATCTCGTCCCGAGTTGAAACCCTTGCGCAGGTGTGGAAACACAAGTGGAGCAGTGATGGTGTTCCTAGGCTTGGCCATGCAACGCTATGGCAGCGGCAAGCGAGTGGGGGCGAAAGGTGAGGGGTGGGACCAGAGGGCGACAAGAAAACTTCAGCTTGGTATTCCTGTGGCCTCAGTGGGTGCAGTGAGAAAGTGAAGAACGCCAACATGACCTCCGTCTTTTACACTTGAAGCATCTTTATCACGTTGTTCCATCTATTGCAGGTTTCCCCAACCACGGCCGGACAGTTTTTTTGTGTCTCTGCACGAGCGGCTACCAACCCATCCCCCACATCTTGGTGGACAGCTCTTGGGAAGTGTCGCATCACAGCAGGCACAAAGGCCACATTCTGGCTACTGCCGGCCAGCCTCTCGCACACACACCCTTCTAGCAATAGCAATCCAGGTTTTTCAGCACCCCAAGTCATTCACGTTACCAAATCCGGCGTCAACGCCGAAGAGATTGGTTAACGACACTAGTGCATGAGTGAGCTTGCACTGAGCCATTCGATCGGCGCTTGTTGCTCTTGTAGTCTCTTAAGCATAACTCACTTGCGGCCAATTAGGTAACGTGGTGATGCACAGATACCCTCATTGGATGGACCATGGGCAAGAGGAACGGTGTGGCTGCCACACCACTTTGTATCCGCCAGCTCTTCTCCTGATAGCACAGCGGATAAGACGATTGGAAAAGCAAAGAGAGGGCATTTACACTAGATGCAGTGGTAGCGACGGATGGAATGCTGCGCGAATGGGAAAAACCCAGCCATCGTTGGTGTGATTGGGTGTGCCGAGGGCGGCTACAGAGAGTGCAGCCAGCCAATCATAGACCGTGACGCTTCATACGTGCAGAGTGAGACCCACATTCAGGGTGGCTGCCCCTCTCCGCCAAGAGCTGGTATCAACTCGTTATTCCTCGTTGCTTTGAACAGGACCAGTGACTCAAGCTTAGAGATTGCTAAGGTATTTCGTCGAACACTGCATGACACGAGCAGTCGAGGATAAGCACCATAAAATAGCCCCTCATGGAATTTGGTAGTGTGCTTTGTACATGAACACGCGACTACCATTTGCCAAGCATTTACCTGATGCCTTGCAAAGAAGGTTTTCTGCTAGCTTCTTAAGTCGATATCCACCAGAAATCTTATATTCAAAGTTTTATGCTTCGAAGCTAGTGTTAGCTTTGATTTTTTTTCCAAGCTGAAACCTTGTTAGCTGTAAGCAATTGTAAACAGTTGTAATGCAGAGGAGGATGGCTGGGGAACAGTACGTCTGAGCTCGGCGCTCTATCAACGTACTTGCCCTGTGGGCCCAAGGGAGTATCTGGAAAGAGAACCGCACAAATAGGGGCCCTTAGCCAGCTTCCGGGAGCCAGAACCTTCTTGGTTGACTGTAAGAGTCGCTGCGGTGAACTTCAATCTTAGCCCATCAAAAACTACTTATTCGTGCACTCTTTTCTATCAACTAACTTGAGGATAAAAGGCAAAAATTGGCGTATATAGTTGGCAATGGTTTAGTTGAAACATGGCTTCTACAGATTACACGGGGGCACTTCCGCATCAATTAGTCCATTCTCAGAGTCTCATCCGTATGCCTATTATACAATGTTCGATCGTTAACACTACACGCAAGGGGTGACTTAGAGTAAGATGATCCACCCTCGAGTATCAATCTTCATAGTATCAACATCTCTTGATCCTGATCTAAGTTCATCAGGGATTTTCCCTCCATATAACCGTCGTCCATTGTCAGAGTCATCACACAAGAGTTGCACTGGCTCTTTCAGTCAAGGGCCGGACAGCGCGACTATTGGAGAAAACTAGAGTACACTAGGGAAAACTGGGATGTTGATACTTATCACAAGTTCGCAGTTCCTTGGTTAGCAGTGTAGGCATTTTATGAGAATCTGCCTCATTGACTCTACGCTCCCAGACAGGTAGGTATATACAGATAGATTCCTACATGCATTAGTGACTAGTGTATATATTTGCATCTGTTCATCGACATCTAAGTCGGCTTGCTCGGCGCCTCTTCTTGGCTTACTATTGGCCAGTTCCCGGCAGACCAAAATTATCTGAACCAATCATGTAGTGCGGTTCGCCTGCCACTTTCCCGATAAGGCTATTCCCAGACCCTGGTACCTCTCGCCCAACTTTCTTCTCCCCTGACGACTATGGCTACGTTGTTCTAGTGGAGACTCAGCTCTTCGGGCCCCCTCCTCTGCAAACGGTGAAGTTCTGCAACAACAGCTTGCAAAAGTCAACTTCTCCTACAAATACAACAGCACATCAAATATGATATCATCACGAATCCTGCATGCGTGTGGACTTGTGATCGAAACGATATCCATGTGTTCAGGTGTATTGGGGTGCACATTTTGTATATTTTGTTTAAATTCTGGGGTCTTATCCAGCTTTTAACCTTGAGCGTAACTCTGGGAATTTTGGCTTGGCAGTTGCTCTCTTAGGTATGGTGAGTGTCTGCACTGGAACAACGTAAACATGGTCTTCTGGCCTGGTTGCTATTGAGTTTCAATCCAACGACAGTGTAATGACTATGTACTTAGGTATCTAATCCGAACCGGCCTCTTTTACCCGGAATAATCACTTGGGGTACGTGATGTGATGCCAATTGAAGTTCTTTGGATGAAACTCTGCTTGTATCAGAACTGACTGCAGTGTTCAGTTCAGTTGCCTTATTCTATCCAACAGTAAAACCATTCTACATCTTTTCACACTTGCCTTATAAAGAAGGCTGTTGTGTTCCTCGCAGGGTGTCCTAAACTGCACAGCTGTCGTCACATCATCGACTTTCCTGAAGTCAACTACCCAGGTGCCTAAGGGAAGTGCCTATGCTAGGTATGTATCTAGCCTCTAACTGGTCTTCTGGCGTATGTAATCTCTACCTTATACGTCAGCTTGATCATAACTTGGTGCAACTCTACGGATCATCATGCCACTTCCCTAGATGCTAGAGATCAACTGTCTAACTACTCCCAGTAGCTGGGCTTTGCAGAGTGTAGGTCGTGGATATTAAAGGTGGTATATGTCTATCTTTGAGGATTCCCAATCAAGACAAGTCAAGCAATGAAGTCCGTCTGGTGCTAAGGCTTTCAGGAGATCTTGCTTAGGGATATGCAAATCTTCCAACTGACGCATGCCTTTTGTACATTGACCAGAGACCCTGAACCAGTTAAGAATCCAAACAAGTCTCTTCATCACGTTTAGTAAAGCACAGGTAATTCAAAGTCATCTCATGTGCTGTTTTAGCATGTTGGTGAGGTCTCACAGGGACATGGAATTCGAAAGTTGAACATCGTTAAGATCAATCGTGCTATGGATATCTGTCAGAGTTTAACGGGAAAAATGGCATTACTTAGATGATCGGATTTATATCAAGCTATCGTCAATCTATGTTGATAGTTTTTGAGAATTTCCGAGCAATGTTTTGTGCTTAAAGCCAAGGAGATTTGTCGATTGTACGCTGTGGAACAGGAAGACCCAGCAACAGTTTGGTGCTGGTTGCTGAAAACAGCTCATTTGAGAGGACCGCGATAATGTGAATAGGTAGCCAACAAGTGGCACTGTAGCATCAAATTTTATAAAAAAATTTTATAAAAAAACTTTTCGTCCTTCAATGAATTTGTCATTCCATTAAAAAAAAAACTATCACCAGCCATACAGACAGGGACAACCAAGTGTGTCAGAAGCGTTGAAGCAAGACCAAGGCTACCTAATAATAGCACAAACCTCACTTGTACGCATCATCGTCATTTCCAGATCAAGCAACACCTATGGTGTGTGCGTACAGTGAACCATTATATATGCACCTGCAGCAACATCATCACACTCCCGCTCCAGCTCACCGGGTCTTCCTCTGCGGTATGGTGATTTGCTAATAGCACTGCTTCGATCATCTTGCGGGTTGTATGTTTTGAAACCCTTCTAACTGGTCCTCTGTTATTCAGAAGCATTCTATAGACACCTTGTGAGAGAGAAGTGGAACTACATATTTCAAGAAACAAAAGGAAACCAAGCATTGCGGATCAAATGGTGACTGCTTGTCTGTAAAATGTGAGTGGATTTTCAACTTCAACAAGCGTTATACCCATGTATTTTAAGATTCTTGCTTCAACTCCTTATGGGAGGAGTCATACATAGCAAGAAACGAGAGGTACTCTATACATTCTTTGATGAGAGCTCATCTGAAGCTGATGGCACCGCTGTTGCTGCTTGCTGATCAATGCTATGCGTGCCGTCACCAGCTGAGGTGATAGGAGGGACAGTGGATGGGGAGTGTGCAGGAAACTCCCACATCCAAAAGCTCTCCATTCCTTCTGCTGACTGTTGCCCAACCCACTGCCGCAGCAATCTCCTCCCTTCTACTGTCGCTAATCCATCCTCAAGTAGCGCTCGGAAGCAGGGGAAAAGGTCAGTCAGATCGTTCTTCTTGCTTGCAGTTGTGTGACCAACTGCAAGGGAAGAGATCGGAGGTGGATGGGAAGACAGGAAACCCCCAGAGGACAGCTGTCCATGCAGGGGAAACATGGATGCGAGAGTTTGTGAGACAGGAACCGCTGAAGTGGCGGCAGTGGGGGTTTGGTAAATGGTGCAAGATGGAATGAGCTCCGATGCACTGGGCAGAGTTGTGGGCGGAATGCTGCTAGCTGTGCCGGTGAAGGCCGAGAGAAAGGCGGCAAGAGTCGAGGGAAGCAGAGGCAGTGTTGCAAGTGGGATGATAGGAATAGCAAGGTGGACTACTACCGAGAGCCTTCTGATGTGTTAGCTGTCCGAGGTTGGCTTCCTCCTTTGATCTTTCCAGAGTGCGACCAGCGAGCAGGGTGAGTGATGTCTGTGTCTAACGTACTGGATATGTAACTCCATAAATGGCCCCATGGAAGGCTGGCTGCTGTTGCTGGCATCGTCGCAAAGGAGAAATAGAACAGCTATATTATCACCGTGGGTAAATTCAAAGAGTTGCTGAATCCTGTTTAATGTTGTTGCTTGGTGGCTTCTTTCCAAGTCAACTGAGGAAAGAAGAATGAAGCGGAAGATTTCGCTGTCATCCTCAATGAACGGATCGGGGAGAACCACAGAAATGTCATGTGATCTCAAATGTGCTTCTGTGGTTTTGTAACTCCTTAGTCAGCAGTCAAATGTGATGCTTGGTTTGCAATTATTACCCTTCCACTTCCCGGGGTCAGCTTGCAGAAGCACAGCGATTGTCGAGTTGAATGCTTGACGATGCCTCAGGCTCGAACAAACTAAGTTTACTTCTCTCGCCGCACAAAGAGGACCCATGGTAGATGCTAGTGATAGATCGGGTGCTTGGTCACACTGCCGTTAATTCCTAGGCATTTGCTGTCTATTTGCAGAGTGGTAGTTTTTGAGGGTATCTCATGTCTATCAAGATATGTGATGTGCTCTAGTGGTTTAAAGTCTTGTTATCAAGAGGCCATGGATGAGCATCTTGCATTTGTAACCCTCTCGCTCCTTCCCCAAATGGCTGGACTGAAAATCTTTTAATTTAAATCCTCAGACTTCAGGCATCTAAGCTCCTATGGAGGCTGACTGTAGATGCTACCTCATCGATTGAGAATTTTTGAAACCACTGCACAGGTGATGTGCCCTAGAGTCCTATCAGGTCGGGTAGCATTCAAGATTGTTCCTGAAGATGCGGTTGCTTATGTGATTAAAGAGAACTCAAGCGGCTGCCGTGGCTGGGGCAGGCAAAAGAGGTTGCTTTGTCTTGGGATCTTTGAAAGCCCTTAGGGCCTGCTCAATTAACTCGACACGCTCTCGTTGCCTGCGCTCAGCCTCAAGCAGTTCCTGCTCCCTTTGCTGCAACTCCTCGACGCGCTTCTGAAGCTCCTCGATCATCTCTTTATTCTTATCTGGCTTTTGCGACGAACGCCAGTATTCGAACGTAATCAGCCCTCCGGCAACGGCCAAGATGAAGGCATCACCGACAACATCGGCGAAGAGGTCGACGGCCTTGGCTTCGGGCAGTGGCCGGAATTTGCGCCTCCACACGCTCTTGGGCGCTTCCTTGGTCGGGTGCGAGTCCCATGGTGTTGTGCCATACTTGGCACGGAGCTCTTCCTCACGCTTGATCTGCTCCTCTGTCTTGACTGTCGGCGCTTCGGCCTTTTCTTTTGCCCGCTGCTCAGCGTCAGGGTTCCTTAGAATTGCGACCTGCAGCCGCATGTTGAACTGATGTATCATCTGACCATAGCGAGCAGCGAAAGCCCGGAAGCGGGGATGTTCGTGCGCCTGGTGCTTGATGTGATTCTAAGAGGACTTGTTAGCTGCTGGAGGGAACGGCGTCAACCAAGATCTTGGATTCGACGAACCGCGCCGTATTTGGACACATGTCTCACGAACAGTGAAGCCAGTTTGAACAGAGGTAGCGAAACCATGACGGTTCATCGAAGTCGTTGAGGCCGACTCCAAGCCAAGACCAGAGTTGATGTGTGAGTGGTCGAGATGAAATGAAGCCCGATGATTGCTAAGTCCCGGCTAACAAGCTTGCTTGTTTAAGCTGCTGTAAACGGGGTTAACTGCGTATCAACAGTTATCGGTTCGGTTATTTGCACAAATGACTGGGCGATGTGTTCTGTAAAGGATATCCTGCGGGCCATCTAGTTCATCCAGAAGCGTATCTTCAATGACAGGCTTTCATCCCAAAGCCCAAAATGATCGCATCACGATCTCCGATGGAGCTGCCCTCGGCATGTGCGGGATCAACCGCAGGGAAACCAGCCAATCGCGCTGCGCCAAGAGCACGGTCCCTGGACAGGTAGGGCAGCTTGCGGTGCTTTGTCCGAAACCCCTGCCAAGTGGGTCCCCAGCCGTTGCTGGGACGACTGGGGAAAGCACAACAACGCAAGCAAAGGTGCTTTTCTTGTGTTGGCAGCCAGTGAGTGGCTCCAACCTTCAGCCCGCCCACTCCGTTTTTCCCACACACAAACCGCGACGCATCGCCCACCACCATTACCACCACCTCCTCCAGCATCATCATCCTCCCGACCCGCGCACTCAATTGCGCAACAGCAGCAGTGGTGCGTTCCGTTTATCTGGCGCAGAATCCGTGGCCAGATATTTTGCACAACTCACCATCAGCTGCGCTGCATGACATCCCCAGCGACAACTGTGAGTTTGACTTTGTTTACATCCTTGTCTGGCCAATTTTCGGGCTGCTGTGGAACCACGAGAGTCATCCTGCGCTTTTCGTACTCTCCGGTCTCAATCGAGCTTCAATTGTCCCATGCTCATGCTCACACCACGCGGGAACAGACATCCGGGTACACCGTGCTAGAGCTCAGGTAAACAACCTTGAGCTCCCCCTCACGAAACCCCTCCGCACCCTATAGCTTTCCATTCCTCCCCCGCAACTTAGCCGTTGGAACCCGTGGTATCGATATGGAGGCATTATCCCCTAGAGACGCGAATGCCCAACGAATGCCTCGAGGAAACGAGCTGAAGGCGAAGGCAGCTGCCCAGCTCAAGTCAGCTCGGGAAAAGGAGCACCCGCCTCCTCCACCTGCCGACGTGATCGAGCCCCCAAGCTCCGACCGCAAAGACGGCGTTGTATACCATGTAGGAAAATTGCTCGGAAAGGGTGGCTTTGCCATCTGCCACGAGGCCCGGCCCTCGGGCTCGTCGAAGCGCATTGCGCTCAAAATCGTCAAGAGCAAGATGCCAACTAAGATGGAACAAAAGGTTGGTGGTCCTCTGCCGTCCGGCCAAGTGTATATTGTTGAGACCCCATGCTGACCTGGGATCCCTCTCTGCAGTTTCAAACCGAACTGCAAATCCACTCCAAGATGCGTCACCAGAACATTGTCCAGTTCCACCGGGCGTTTACTTTCCAGAATTGCACGTACCTGGTTCTGGAACTCTGCCCCAATGGCTCTCTGATGGATATGGTAAAGCGCCGTAAGGGTATCACAGAGGCTGAAGTCCGCTACTACACTGTTCAGATCGCCGGTGCCATTAAATATATGCACGCAAAGGGTATCATTCATCGCGACCTGAAGATGGGTAACATCTTCCTGGACAAGCACATGAACGCCAAGATTGGCGATTTCGGCCTCGCTGCTCTGCTCCTCACTGGCAAGGACATGCAAGTCATGCGCCGCACCACTCTCTGCGGCACACCAAACTATATTGCTCCGGAGATTCTCGAGAAGGGGAAGAAGGGCCATGACCATATGGTGGACATCTGGAGCTTGGGAATCATCGTGTTTGCCATGATCACCTCTAAGCCCCCGTTCCAGTCCTCGACAACAGACGAGATCTACCGCCGCGCGAGAGATCGGGACTACGAATGGCCTTCTAGCGACCAAAAGCACGTTAGCCAGGAGGTTAAAGACCTCGTTGCCGCCATGTTACAAGACGCCGACAAGAGACCGGATCCCGACACCATTGTTGGCCATTCGTTTTTCACCGCTGGCTATATGCCTGAAGCCTCAGAAATGACTCCAAAGCTGCGCGAATTTCCCCCAGAGAACCCGGCATTTTACGATCCCCCTGCCGACCCGGAATCACAGGCCAAGAATCTGCAGCGGGTGAAGAACCTTGCCCGCGAGTGCGGCGTTGGTCCGTGGTCGGAATCGAAGTTGGTGTTCAAGAACATTTGGAGAGAGATGGCAGAGGAGGAACAGAATGGCTTGACACCGGTGATTCCTCTTGCTGAGGGCGTTGTCTACCGTCCATTTGACGAGATCAAGGCCGAGCAGAAGGCCGCCCGGTTGGCGGGTCAGCATGCAGCTCAACACACGTTCGAGCTGCCTGATCGGACCAGAGAAGCCAAGAGCTCTGCGACCGACTCGAGCCAGTCTTTAAAGCCTTCATCATTGCTCCGCGCACCACCGCAGAGCTTCGCAGCTCAACAAAGAGCCCAGCATAGACCAACTTCTACCATCGGTGTCACCCGCTCTCAGACATCCAGTGAGCCTTTACTTCAAACATCGGGCCTTTCTCGATCAAAATCCACTCGGGAATTGTCAGTGTCTTCACGACAGTCAGACGAGGATGTCGCAGCGCCTTCACGGAAGACGGCTGAAGAAGCCGTCAGGTCATCTCGATCAGCAGAACAAGCCGAGGATCTCACATCGACGCGCCGCTCTTCAGATGAGTCGGCGCCTAGCGCAAGATCGTCAACTCGCAGTTTGCGAAGCCAAACGTCATCTTCGAAAAGCCAGTCAACACTCACGTCCGACACTACCGCCTCTCAGCAATCGGTGCGCCGCACTACCTCAACCAAAGAAACTAAAGGGCAGAGGCTTTCTCTCTTCAGTCCCACAGAGTACCAGGAAAAAATTCCTGGCACTGAACCCGATGCTGTCCTGGAGCGCCTGAAGAAGCTCCAAGCCGAGCTTGAGAGAGCTCTTAATTCACGCAGTATGGCCATAATCTCCTCGAGAGAAAAGACCCCATCTCCCCCACAGATCGTGGTCAAGTGGGTTGACTACACCAACAAGTTTGGCTTGGGATATGTTCTGAATGATGGGAGCGTCGGATGCATTCTCAAGAACATCCCGGCGGTAGAAGGTGGCAAGTCCGGCTATCTTCCTCCGTCTTGTGTGCTGGTCCACGATGCCGAGCGACATTGCTTGCGCAAGGAGGAACCGGGATACAAGGACCGCCACCAGATCATTCCCATGACTGGAAGCATCTATTTCTACGAGAACAACGGTGAGGAGGGTTTCTCGCGGGTCCGAGTGCCCGCGGAGACTTTCAAGGTGCCCATCAACCCCGATGGGACTGTTGGAAAGCTATCAGCCGGTAGGGATATCTACGACCACAGGAAGCGTGAGAGGCTTGTTCTGTGGAAGAAATTTGCCAATTACATGATTTCCTATGGGCGAGAGATGGACGGGCTGTTGGAGGACGACCCCAAGGCTCCCACCATCACAGACCCCACTGCCCCTCCAGCCGATGTCGTTACATTCTACCAGCGGTTTGGCGATGTCGGCTGCTGGATGTTCTGCGACGGGCACATGCAGTTCAACTTTCCAGATCACACAAAGATTGTTCTTGATCCGACCGGGACATGGTGCCACTTCTGGCACCTCCCCGAAGCTGCAGCCATCGAACTCTCGAAGACTGGTGTGCTTGCAGAGTCTGCTCTCGATGGTCGCGCTGTTTTGTCCTACCCGCTCCAGACCCTTCTCAACTTCAACCGACCTTCCTCTTCTTCGACCACGTCGTCCCGCCGCCGACCCGAAATCCACCCTTCCTTGCAAAATGTTCCTGCTGCCAACCACTTTCGTGAGAAGGTCATCTTTATTCGCGATGTTATCCGTGAATGGACTGCCAATGGCGGCATCGGCAATAGCGACTTGAGCCGAGAACGCCGCCTCCGCTGGCTCGGCGCCCGTGAGACTACCAACGTTCAGATTCCAGCCAAGCATGTCTGGGTCACGATCGGCGCGAGATGGGGCGACCGCAGGTTTAGTTCATGGGTAGATCCGCGGAAACCCGGTGAGATCGGCGAGGATATTGATGAGAGCGCAGGCTCATCAGCAACGAAGAAGAGAACATGAGGATGGTGTGGCAGGGAGGAGGAAAGCACAACACAGCAGCAAGGAGGGGACCCTGGTTGGGTCTGGTCTTGTACGACTTCCCAAGGATGTTGAGACAGAGGCACGGGGTATTTCCCATCCCTGTACTGGACTGGTGTACGCGTACATGTGTTGACACTTATTCTGCTGTGTCTGCTGTTCGGATGGTGGGGTGGGCAGGCATGGGGATAGTGCATGTTGACACGACGGCTGATGACGTTCTTCTTTGTCTGGTTTATGTGGGAATTTTTCTGCTTCATTGCTTGCAGTCCCGGCATATGCCCTGGCTGGTTTTGCTTGAGCGTTTGCTTTTTTTTGGCAAAGCATTCGGGAAGGACTTGGGAGTTGGACTTGACTGGGTGTTACTTGGTCATTTCACAAGACGGGAGTTGTGTGCCTTTGGGCTGGTCAAAGAGTTGGCTGGCTTGGGTGTTTGGGTTCCATGGTCTACCTAGGTTTGGAGTTGACGGGAAATGGTAATGATGAACTTTATTTGTGGCCTATTATTTCACCATGATCAGCCGTTCTCTACTCACTTGAACTTGCTCTCGGAAGGTTTGGTTGATATGGAGTAAAGCCAGCACTGGGATGTACCTGAACCAGCTTTCAAAGTTCATGGCATGCGCAAATCATGTTCGTGGGAAACGTTCACAAGCCCGAATCAACTGTAGGCAGTCTTTCATTTGACAGCTGTGCCAAGTATCTGGGCCAAAACCCCCATATCGGCCATTCTCATAGCAGGAATCACGAGCGACTTGATGGTTAGCTTTAGGTAAGTAGACCAACAGCAGCATGAACAACTGTTGCCCCCCACACTATCAGCAGAATTATAATGTCCGGCTCTCCGAACCCATCTGGACATATATACCTATCATCGCCATCGTGTAAATAGGATGCAGACCACGAAGGTGTCAAAAAAGGACCCAGAACTCTGGATTCTGATCCAATCTCTAGTTCTTCGATTTTCCCAACTTCTTCAGCAGGTTTCGCGAAACCACTATCAACAACCATTGATCCTCCTGTGGCCAGGAAGTCGCAAACGAAAGCCTCAGCTGTTAGCTCCTTGTGAATAGTTGTGTCCTCACCGGTTTTCGGGGGATATATTCTCATACACAATTGCCAGCTCAGTTTCATGATATCTGATTCCAATGAATCCCAAACGCTGCTCTTGGTGATGTCATCGTCTTCGATGTTCATGCAAGGAACGAGCCCTTGTTAAGGCAGAGGGGCTTCGACGCGGGGAAGGACTGAACCTTCAGAATGCTGTCGGAGCCCGGAGACGTGTCTGTGGCTGGGAAGGCCTTCAGGTTGACGCACAGAGAAATGTCCAAGCCTGGGCCATGCAGCGTTGATATGTGAATCATCACGGGATTCTACTATCCCACCATCGAGATACTCTACAGTTGGTCCCGTGAACGTCAGTGACTCTGTGTCTGGGAGGACATCATCATTGGCATAATGGGTTCCAAGGTGCTAATATAATGAGGCATCTTTATTAGTCGCTTGGGAGGGGGGTTGTTAGGTAATGGCCCGGAAAATGTTCTGGGGGATTGAAAGTTGGTGAAGGGCTGATAGAATAAGAGGTCCATTGAGGATCATGGATGACTGGTGTGGATGGAAGAGTCTGTGTTGGATCAAGACTGAGTAGTTAAATTGGACGGGACAGGTTAATACTCCCAAAGATTGGTTTGCACTGCTGAGATGGCGCGTTTCTGCTCATGAGAAAAGCTCCGGGAGATGATTGTGCTACCGAGGGAAGTCTGGCTGTTCTTAGAAGATGGGAATCGTGACGTTGTTTTTGTACCTCATAGACGTTTGCTCATAATAGATGGGCAGCGCGAGGCCGAGATTAGTCTCGAAGGGCCAATCGGATTCACGCCGGGTACTATCATTGCTGGAAGAGACAGAAGGGTGAGGACAATGAATTGTCCCGGACACCAGAGACATCTCGTTTATTCACAAAGTTATGAAGCTTCTATAAGGCAAAGCATCTACAGAGTCCAGATAACAATGCGTCCATCGACTCCGCTCGCTGGATGCTTCGATTAGCAGAAGCTAGGAAATTGTGGGGGATGAGGATGACTCACAGCTAAACTTGGTCAGGTAGCCTCCAGAAGTTTCGTAAGGGCGCAGGTGGGTTATGGTGTTTTGGTGCACAGTCTTCAGCTGGGTATCATCCTTCACTTTGCCTCTGAGGTCCATCTGGCGGAACATCTGAAGCGCTGACTCCTCGCGTTGATCGGCGTCCTGGTCAGGCCGGCCCTTGGCCTCGACAGCACCAGTGAGCTGCCAACCATCTTCACCTCCGCGGAAGCGGAAGGCCTCGCAGTCGTAACCGGCGGCGATTATCTCATCCTCCCCGTTCCAGATCAAGCTCATGAAAGGCAGCAGGTGAGTGTTGACAGTGATAACAGCCCGCGGGGGCTGCTCGGGAGCACTGGGGTAGACAACAGTGATAGAGCTGTCGTGGGCGGCGTAAGCCAAAGCATTCCCGCTGGGAGAGAAGGCAACGGAGTGGATCCAGCCGGCGGAGTTATTCATAAACTCGCCGCAGACGGTGTTGAAGGGCAAACGTTCGCCCCAGGCAGTGGGCTCGGGCTTAGAATCAACGCCCTTGATGAAGGCAGAGAACACACGAGCGTGGGCATCGGTCGAGCCGGCGGCCAACAGGACCGAGTTGGGGTGCCAGGCGACAGTGGTGACGGTGCTACGGATAGGTTTCTTGAGGTGCTTAGACACCCACCAGTCGTTCTCCTGCTCGAAGTAGCAAATGGCGATGAGGCGGTCACCGGAGCCGACAGCGAACTTGGTCTCGTTGGGCGACCAGCGTGCAAAGGTAGCTGCACGATTGATGCGAAGGAGGACGAGCGTCGGCTTGTATCCCTGGGCAGTTGGCTCCCAGACAAGGGCGTTGCGGTCTGGAACAGCGGGCGCGGTTAGCCGGGCTCCTGGTTGATGGGAAGCGATACCGAGGATGGGGCAAGAGGGAGCTTGCCCTGCGAGCACGTCACAATACGGCCCGAGTTGGGCGCAATGTCGACGCTGGTGACGGTCTTGTCATGACCCTTGAGCTCGTCCTTGAGCTTGAAAGAGTTGGCGACGCGCTTGTAAATCTCGACCGACGTATCCCTGGCGACGGCGACGGTGTTGCGGTCGGCCGAGAACGAGTGGTCCGCGATGGGCGCGTGGAACAAGTGGTGCACTTCTGGCGCCGCCATGATGCTGTCGTATTTGTGCTTGATGTTTGGGCTTGCGATAGGAGTAGCTCTCTACTATCGCGTTGCCGCTGGGGAACGTGGCCGGCTTCAAGGTTGTGTGGTGTACTAGGAGCAAGGGAATCAAGCAGGGGAAAGTGTTGAGCCCAGCGGGTGCTTTCATCCATTCCCAGACCCCTGCTGACGACTTGACGTCGGCGAGCTTATGGTGGGGTTTCTGACTCCACCGCCGGAAGCCAATTCAAGATAGCTAGCTCAGTGGAGCCGACAGGGGTTTGGCAGCCTTGGCCAACTTGTATGAGTGCAAATCGCCGGCCTTCCTGTAGCCTGCCAGGAGGCTTGAAAGGCATTATTACACAGGCACTGTAAACCCAATCGATCCAAAAGACTCCTTGTACTCGTTGTGAGAGCGCAAGCTCGATGAGTAACTCAAAAACATGCTTATTTGAAGGGTAACTGCCAAAGTCCAGGCACATGCCTAGCACGCGACCACTGGGAGCCCTGTATTTGGCTTCGGATGGCCAAGCCATCCAGTCCCAGAACCATCAAGTTTACTTACTACTTTGGCGTATCAAATAGAGTACATCCCAAGCAACTGAGTCTCGTACTACCTGCACAACACAACGAACCCATTTATCAAACTCGCAAAAAAGAAAAAAAGACGAAACGCACAAACGCACATACCACTAACTGGGCTAAAGACAGATCAGACGAGGAGGAGACGGCCGACTAACACCGTGATTGAACCATCCTTCGAACTCTATCCCAAGCCGGCAGTTCTTGACCTTGACTGGTTATTACGAAAAGGATCATCATGAGAGAGCAAGGAAGCGAGAAAGAAGACAACAGAGGGCAAAGGAGCAAGACCATCGCGCCCAACGACGAGATTCGGTTCGGGCTATGGTCATTAGTAGGCCGTCGCGGGTACCCTGCCCAGAGGGCCGATTCTCTACATCAACAAGATCCGAGAATGCGTCAGTCTAACGGCAATATCGACGTGGGCAAATAGTATCTACCTTTGTTGAATGGAAGCTCGTCTCACAAAAACAGCCCAGGCAGTACGAGAGGGGTGGATAGTAAAATAAAAAAAAAAAAAAAAAACTACCCGGCCCAAGTAGAGCTCTTGGCACTGCGTGTGTGCAACACTTCTGCATCACTGGGTGAATCGATAGACATTCTACTTGCAGAAGCCGGTCTGCTGTGCTTTACTCAAGTCCACGACTTCACGGCTTTGATAATAAGTGATGCAAAAGGAGACCTTGATTCGATTGACAAAGATGAAATTCTTGCGCTGAGCTCAAGGTCAACATGCTAGAAAGGAAGGTCCATCATCTCGAGTCGCTTACCCGGAATACTCCTATAGAACCTCTAGGCAAGTGTAAGACTTCGGGATTACCTGGAACAATTGTGACGGGAACTACCAAAACACTAGACAACCTGGTGATAGAAGTCAACAGCTCAATCCAGACACCAGAAATAGGGCAGCCAAGTGACACGCCGGCTAATAGGTTGGGTCATTCTTCCAATACCCGTCCAGAGAAAGGCCTAGGCCAGGAAGACGGTAATAAGGATGGGGCAGACGCAACATGGGCGCCCAGACAAGAGGTGACCGAGGAGGATCGAGCGATTACGGGGCAGAGTGCTCAAGAATATTTAGCGGATATCCAGTAGCACAGGTACCAGCAAGCCAAAGCCAGAGAGTGCAATTGCGAATTCACGGAAGAACTTAACCTTGATAAAAGCCAACTGGATTAGACTAGAAGTGACCGGTCCCATGGGAGAAGCGGACACAACAGCTGGTTTTCTCATAACTACGTTCTCCGAAAACCACAGTACGTATGTCGAGGAAACGGTAAGCTTCAGATAAAAGAGGCACGACAAATGTGACAAAAAGGTCGGTTGAGCATGAGATACTATGAAACAGCATGAGAAAAATATTGTGATTTTGCCCGCGCTTCATTTGCATACAAGAACGGAAATAGTGCAACTCAAGCATAAATGTTCATACTTCTGGGAGAGTGTCAAAGGACTTGGAAGTGGTTGTGGCTCGTGCGCGCCCGCTGTCTAGGAGCTTTGGTGGGAAATGGGAGTGTTTGATTGGCTAGAAGACCAAAATAACCTTACGCGTGCTTGCTGGGACACCTCGATCCAAGCTGTCATGGGCATCACCGATTTTTTAGCTGGATCTTTGCCTGGACCAGCCTGCCACTAACCACGCCAATTCACGCGCCCGCGCGCCACACGACACACTTCTCCCCTGCAATCGCTTTTTCGACGTTGTCCCTGAACAACAGTGGTTGTGTCAACTCTGCCCACGTGTATCGAACTGGTTCAAAGGGAACGCACGACAATGTCGACACGCGGTGCTCCTCCTCCAAACCTCCCCGCGAAGGTCGCGGCGATCCCGCCCAATCAAACCCTCTACGTCACAAATCTGCCTTCCGCTAAGATCCAAAAAGAGGATCTACGAACCGCGCTTTACATGCTCTTTTCTACCTATGGCTCCGTGCTGGACGTCGTAGCGCTCAAGACAATGAAGATGCGTGGCCAGGCGCATATCGTTTATAAGGACATTCAAACAGCGACTATGGCAATGAGGGCACTCGATGGCTTCGAGTTCTTGGGCCGCCCGATGGTGAGAGCCCCTTGCCTGGCAACTGGTATTTGCGTCGCGTCGTGGACAGGTCGCTAATTCGATGCCAGAAAATCTCCTATGCGAAAGGAAAGTCCCACATTATCGCCAAGCTTGACGGCACCTTCAAACCTCCAACAGCGGCTAAGGAAGTCGAAGTCACAGACTTGCAGCACAGCATCTTCAATGCGCCAGTACCGGGCCAGCCCGGCTCTGTAACAGCTCCTGCAAAATCCAGCAGCCTTCCTCCCAAGCCGCCAGGTGGTGGCGACCAACCCATGCCAGACGTTGGGGCTACTGAAACTCGTGGCGTCAAGAGGCCGAGAGAGGAGGAGCTCGAAGAGGAGAGTGACCAAGATGTTGCCATGGAGGAGGAGAGTGACGAGGATTAATGATACCCCATACCAACCAACATCTGTATGTTTAATGTAATGTGCGCACGTCCACCTTCCCGTTTTTCTGTGTCTTCTCCCATTTGGCAAAGTTCGCTTTTCTACAGGCTACGACTCGAGCGCCAATTCCGGCGGTACCCATAGCCCAACGCAACCGCCAACTAGGCCGAGCCAGACCATCAAATAATTCTCTTTGGAACAGTCGAATCTCGACATCTGCTCGCCGAGGAGACAGGGATGGATAAAGAAGGATGGAACGCCAGTAACTGGGTGATGCTGCAGATAAGAGACAACGGGCAGAAGCAGAACGGTTTGTGTTAGTCTCGACCTCAAGACAAGGTTTGGCAACAAAGGAACAGCCCGGTTAACTCCAAAATGAAACATTCCGGAGAGAAAGGAAAGAGAAAAAAATAAAAGGGACAGCAGACAACATACGTCGACGGAGATGCCACCAATTTGTCCTGCATTACGCAAGCCGGCCTTGTACTGGTCTGGCACGAGTCTCCGAAAGACTGTGTCGATATGCAGCGGCGATTCGTCCACAGGCAGGTCGTGCAGGCTAAACCATAGACAAGGCACCTGGTATGTTGGATGCAGGTGGATCTCGTACTTGACGTAGCCACTGCTGACGGATTGGCTTAATGGTGCCGTTGATTTGGGCAGAACATCCTAGGTTGCAGCAACATACTGTGAGATACTACTGGTACTTTGATACTTGACTATTAGGTCCTTACCTGGTCTGCTTCTTCAGCCTCTATCATCTCTCTATCATTGAGATTGTCTTCATCAAAGGAAAAGTTGTCGAGGAATCTGGACAGGTCACCGTCATCTAACTCTCCTTCCAGCGGACGAATAATCTGAACAAATGTAGTGTACTCCTGGCCAAGTGAGAAATGGGTGTTAAGAGCTCGGCAGACACGCAATTTCCATTTCCTCCTGACAGGGCCGAGTTTAGCCCGGCAGTACCGCGATTCCAGGTAATGACAGACTTCGGCAAATTCATCGCCATTTAAGAAGGGATAGTCTTTGAAGTCAGATGAACGAGAGATGTGAGTGGCATTCATGGTTTTGTGTAGGTAGTATTGGTTTGCACTTGGAATCGGTTTGTATGGTTAGAGTTGCGATGAGCAGAGCCAGCAGTCTAATGAGATGTCGGGTCAGTGTCCGTGCAACTTATTATTATCATTATCATACAAAACCCTAGTTATTAGATGCCATACATCGTAAGTATTCACGATGTTGGTTTATTTTTGTTTTGTTTGTGGACATAAGGCCTCGACTTGTGTCCTGTTGGTTTCTGACGAGATGGAGGTTGAGCAAACGGAAGCCTGCCGCAGGGCTACAGTCCATGGATCCATAGATTCCAAAGAGATGTGGGGTGATAACCGATAAAGATGAAGTCCAGTCATGCCCCACAACCAGTATGCCCAGGGTTCAGGCAAGGTTTGTGTCTCCTACTTGGTAGTGAACAACACCAAAGCCCTCTCTGACTTCCATATGTCCACGAACACGGGTTTAAATCGAGAGACAAATGCTGTGTTCTCAAACAACCCTGGAGTATTATATACCTTTGTTTTTTCTCATCGGACTGGCACTCGGAGAGGGTTCTTCGCTGCCGTTTAAATGCCAAGCCATACACCAGGTATGGACCCCACACACGTGAAAGCCGCTGTGGAAACGCAGGGTTTCCATTTGGGTAGTTGGACCTTGATGAATCGTGTCTTTAGCGACGAGTCGACGACAGGAAACACTCGTCCTGATCGCAGGGGCCAGGCAGACTGCTAGCTTCGCCTTCATCTGATAGCCAAACCTGCTGGCCTGGAGGTTGCTCACATACTGTTTTTTTCTTCAGGACTCACCCCAAGAGATTTATTTTTGTATATCTTGGACCCGTTGAATTGGTATCAACGTGACGGTGTCGCATCTCTAACTTGGGTCGTTTGCATCTTCATTCCTCTTCGTCTCTTCTACTTCTGGCTGCCATTGGCGCCACCATGCATTGCCTGCTGCTTGCGTGCCTAATCCAATGAACGTTCGGGACCCGTTCAATATCCGCAACAATACCTTCAGCCAGACTCCTGCTATTTCCTCCTGGAAGCCGCGGCGCAACAGCAGACTTTCTGCTGCCGACAGAGCCCCTGTCTCTGCCCTGCATCACGTCCTGCGTGCCGCTGCCACCGCGACCCAGAACGCCGCCGCTGACGTCGTCCATTCGGCCCAGCAGGCGCTTTCTCCTGACGCTGTTGCTCAGAAGAAGCTCGCGGACGAAGAGAAAGGCACCCGAAAGCAGAATCACCACGCTATAACCTCAGCTGAGGAGCCAACACACCAGCACTCACAGCCCTATACTTCCAACATAGCCAAACATAAAGACCAGCCAAGTCTGACCGGCGACAATATGTCGTTCTCCATACCGCGCAATATGCCCTCTTTTTCCAGCCCCCAACGCGAGTTCGAGGACCGTTACTGGGTCGCAAAGTCCGCATCCCGCCAACGAAACACCGCCTCTGGAGTTCTTGGAGGTGTTCAGAATCTACTTTCCTCCCACTCATCTTCCAGCACATTGCCCATGTACAAGGACAAACCGTACGCATACCCTCCCAGCTCGGGCGGGAGATGGCGGCCCGCGTACAGGCGGAAGAGGACAAGTTTACTGTTGCTCTTGATCCTGGGGTTATTGCTGTGGTGGATGGGGATATTTTCTAGCCAGGAGGACGGAGGTGTGGTGTCAATTACCAACAGATGGAACTGGTTAGCACAAGAAGGGAGCAACGGAAAAAGAGACAAAAAGGTAGATTGGCTGAGAAGGAGGGAGCGAGTTGTGGAGGCAATGGAACTCAGTTGGGCTGCATATGAGAGATATGCCTGGGGTAAGTTGCACCCGGTGATGTGACCCTTTCATGCCTTGACTTTGCTGACAATGGTTATCTTGGGGGTTTTCCGGCGGGCAGGCTATGACGAGTTTCATCCAATCTCCAAGACGGGGAAGCAAATGGCGCCTAAAGGCTTGGGCTGGATTATCATCGACTCTCTCGACACGCTCATGTTAATGAACATGACCAAGCAGCTCACTCATGCACGCGAATGGCTGGCCAAATCTCACACATGGGACCAGGACCAAGATGTTAACGTATTTGAGACGACAATCCGTATGCTCGGCGGCCTGCTGTCAGCTCACTACCTCTCGACGACGTACCCCGAAATGGCGCCCTTGGCTGACGATGACCCCGGAGCCCCCGGAGAGGATCTGTACCTCGAGAAGGCCAAAGACCTAGCAGATAGGTTGATGGCAGGTTTTTCCTCGAAGTCGGGCATTCCATACGCCAGTGTTAACCTTGGAAAGATGGAGGGGATTCCGTCGCACGCCGACATGGGTGCATCGTCAACGGCTGAGACAACAACCCTCCAGCTTGAGTTCAAGTATCTTGCCAAGCTGACAGGCGAGAAAGAGTTCTGGGACAAGGTAGAGAAGGTCATGCAGGTGGTTGATGACAATGGAGCCAAGGACGGACTTGTTCCCATCTACATTTTCCCCACGACTGGCAAGTTCCATACGCAAAATATCCGACTCGGCAGTCGCGGCGACTCGTATTATGAATACTTGATCAAGCAGTACTTGCAAACCAACAAGCAGGAGAAGGTGTACTTGGACATGTGGCAGGAAGCATTGCAAGGAGTTCGCAAACACCTGGTCACATACACGCGTCCGTCCCGGTTTACGATCATTGGCGAAAGACCGAGTGGACTGACCGGAGACTTGTCTCCCAAGATGGATCACTTAGTCTGCTTCATGCCAGGCACCATCGCGCTGGCCGCTACGGGTGGGCTGCCACTGAAGGAAGCTAGAAAGTTGCCCACGTGGACACAACAGAATGAGGCCGATATCCAGCTGGCACGCGAGCTGATGCTGACGTGTTGGGGCATGTACAAGTATATGGCAACGGGACTGGCAGCCGAGATCACGTACTTCAACATTGATAACCCGCCGCTCCCAGAGTCGGCGCCGCACAACCCTCCAGAGGACCTTGATCCGTCCCCTGATGCTGAATGGCGCAAGGATTTCTCAGTCAAGCAGTACGACAGCCACAATCTGCAGCGCCCAGAAACGGTCGAGAGCCTGTTTTACATGTGGCGCATCACGGGTGATGTCAAGTACCGCGAGTGGGGCTGGGAAATCTTCAAGAGTTTCATAAATTACACAGCTGTCGAAGACAGCGGTGGCTTCACCAGCCTGTCCAACGCCAACGTCATCCCACCCACGATGCGTGACAACATGGAGAGCTTCTGGCTCGCCGAGACACTTAAGTACTTCTACCTGCTCTTTTCGCCAAACGATTTGCTGCCGTTGGATAAAATTGTGTTCAACACCGAAGCACATCCACTTCCTCGCTTTGATATGGGTCCACTCTTCTCGACAGGTTGGACGAGAAAGCCAAGGGATGCTGATGGGAAGATAATTCGATCTTGATATGATGCCAGAGTGGAAGATAAAAACTTGATTGTTGAAGGGTTTGATGACACGATAGACAACGACTGTAACTCCCTCTTTCTGTACATGCCATGAAGAAACGTCGATATCATCCTACCTAGTACTGGGGAATTGAGTATAGCCAACGACAGCATCTATATCGCTGCTACAAATTGAACAAGGACGACTGAATTGATAGGAACGAACCTTTCCGTGCAGGGTTAGGGTTATAAATATGCCTACATAAGTTCTGTTGGCCGGCCCACCGGTAGCAAAGCGGGGCCCTGTCCCCGCCCGCGGTGGTTGCCGTTTGATAACCGGGGCGGATAAGGCACCCGCTCACTGTGCCCACGCAGCCCTCACAAGTTTGGGGGGTCGCAGCGGAGCTCTGGGCCCCAAGCAGCCGTTCTCCTCTTCCTTTTTAAGGCTGACTGTTCTGTTTGTAACGACTGGTCGGATCAATGCGACCTAACCCTACCTACATAGGTATGGACCTACACGCAGGCTCAGCTGGACTTGGCCGCAGCCAAGCAGCAAGCTGAGCCGCTTTTTTATCAGGGCTCCGCCCTCCGAACAGTTGCGAGAGGCGCTCTGGATTCTGGGTTCTGATGATTTGATATCTCTCTAATCTCCCCAGCCCTCGTTACTGTGTGCACTAAACAGTCCCCTTATCTGCCAAAGCAACCTGGCCGAATCCCCGAAACCCAACGCCTGGGCCGAGGTCAGACATGCATGTGCGGTTCCTGGAGTGCGCTCCGAGTGCGTGTGCCTAGCACAACGACAGCGCGTGGTTTGGGCTAGACTTTCGCGCAAGTCCTAATCCATAAGAGAGACTAGGACGTACCTGAGGAAGCATCCGTCTTGCCGACATCCACTTCCAGCCTCATGGCGGCCTGAGTGGATCTTGGATCATTGGATGGTTGGAGAGTGAAGATCGACAATCCGTGAGTCTTTCATGCTTGTCATAGTGCCTACAGCACATCGCCGGCATCCAGGGTCCAATCAAGCCCCAAGACCGTCGGCCTGAACGGAATCTGGACTCGCGTGAGTGAGCAACGGCCGAGTTTGGACCGTCCCTATCAGCTCCAGAGCTCTGCCGTCTTACCCTTCTTCATTTTGCCTTATCTAACGTGCTTGACGCTCTAAGCTCCTTTAATCGTTGCATCTTCCCAATCTACGCCGCCTCTACCTTCATCTCGCAGCCAATTGATGATGAAACGATGCCTACATCCAACAACGTCGAGATGGCCAACATGAACCAGGGCCGGGAGACAGGCACGTCTCCTGCTCCCTCAAGAAGCTCCAACAATAAAAAGAAGAAGGACTCTTGGCCTGGCAGTACAAGCACAAGCATTCGCCATGATAGTGCGACTAGCGGCGTTGTGCTAGGCACAAGCTATCCCATTTACGATCCTGACAACACTAGCCAAAGCTATCAACACTTCCGCCGTCAGTCCTACCGCCAGAGCTACCAGTTCAAGTCAGTCCAGGAGAAAGAGAGTCCTTTTCGACGATGGCTCGACTCCTTTCGTCGGGACCCCGGCCGGAGGATCGCTCCTCCTGACTTTGTAGCGCACGCTGCGACAGATGAGGAAGACGAGTACTGCGATGCCGAGGATTCTGGGGAGAGGAGACGACGTTACTACTTCGACTTGCATGCGGCCAATGTAAACACGGCCAACACGCTGCTGTCGAGGGAGCTGAAGGGCAGACATATGCAGATGATCGCCATCGGCGGAAGTATTGGTGAGTTACTCTCATCGTCATATAATGGTTATTGAATGGAATGAGAATGGCATTCTGACATTCTCGGTGACAAGGCACTGGACTCTTCGTTGCCTCGGGGAAGTCGCTCAGCACAGGCGGTCCGGCTTCACTCCTGATCGCCTATGGCTTCGTCGGGGTCATGCTCTACTGTACTATCCAGGCCTTGGGTGAACTGGCCGTCACCTTCCCGGTTGCTGGCTCATTCTCAGCCTATTCTACTCGTTTTCTCGACCCTGCCTGGGGGTTTGCCATGGGATGGAAGTGAGTTTTGCCCCTTGACCTTCAGCCCTAACGTCACCCGTAAAAACTAAGACGGTTGACCATTTTGTTTTAGCTACGCGTTACAATGGCTCACGGTGCTGCCCCTTGAAATCATCGCTGCATCTATTACAGTTGGCTACTGGAATAGTGATATCCCTCGCTCCGTCTTCATCACAATATTCCTTCTCGCAATTCTGATCATCAACCTCTTCGGCGTTAAGATCTATGGCGAAGCCGAGTTCACATTTGCCTTGGTCAAAATCACAGCAGTTATAGGTTTCATGTAAGTTTTGCTTTACCCCTTGTTCGCGCATCCCCCCCCCCCCGCCCGGGCGACATCATCCTTTTGCTTACTCCTCCTATGCAGACTTCTTGGTATTGTCATCAACATCGGCGGCACGCCTACCTCCGGCTACATTGGTGGTACTTATTGGCGCGACCCTGGTGCCTTCCACAACGGCTTCAAAGGTTTGTGTGCCGTCTTTGTCACTGCTGCCTTCGCCTTTACCGGAACAGAGCTCGTCGGCCTGGCCGCTGCCGAGGCCGTCAACCCTCGTAAATCTCTCCCTACGGCAATTAAACAAGTTTTTTGGCGTATCACTCTTTTCTATGTCGTCTCTCTCACCTTAATTGGCCTGCTTGTACCCTACAATCACCCTCGCTTACTCCACTCTTCCAACCCGCTATCCTCCGGCTCCGGCGACAACTCATACTCCTCGGCATCCCCTTTTGTCATTGCCATCGAATCGGCGGGTATTACAGTCCTCCCTGCGGTTATGAACTCCGTCATTCTCGTCGCTGTCCTTTCTGTTGGCAACTCCGCTGTCTTCGGGTCCTCCCGAACGCTGGCTGCCCTTGCCGATCAGGGTCAGGCGCCTCGCATTCTAGGTTATGTCGACCGCCGCGGCCGGCCCTTAGTGGCCATCTTCGTTGCTGGTGCCGTGGGGTTACTGGGATATCTGGCCGCGGGCCTGCCTCCTCGCCAGGCCGACGTGCTTGACTGGCTTCTAGCCGTCTCCGCTCTCTCTTCCATCTTCACCTGGGGCTCAATTTGTCTGGCCCACATCCGTTTCCGCAAGGCATGGGCTTATCATAAGAAGAAGCTAAGCGATTTGGCATTTGTATCGCAAGTCGGCGTGATCGGATCATGGGTCGGCCTGCTCCTGAACGTGCTGGTACTGGTCGCACAGTTCTGGATCGCCGCATGGCCCATTACGAGTGATGGGACAGTCGTGAAAAAGCCGGGACAAGCGGTTCTGAGTACGGCTGACAAGGGCATTATGCAAGCAGCAACGGCGGGCGTAGGGGAACAGGCGGGCATGTCGGCGTCGGAGGTTGTTCAGAACTTCTTTTTGCAGTACTTGTGCGCGCCGATTGTCGGGGCGTTTTATCTTGGGTATAAGTTGTGGTATCGCACGAGTATTGTCAAGATTGAGGATATCGACATCGAGACGGGAAGACGGGACTTTAAGCTGCCGATTCTGATCGCCCATGAGCGAGCTGAAAGGAGGGCCTGGCCTACGTGGAAGAAGGTTTACAAGTTTCTATGTTAATCTTTGCATATCGTTGCTATTCTTCTATCATGCAAGGCGGGGTAAATTGTGGAGCTGTAACTTTTCTTTGTGGTTGATACGATTCAAGTCGTTGGACTCGAGGTCTGAGGTTCATTAGTTGGCTCGTCTTTGCGTGCTAGAACGATATCATTGTTCTAGGGACTGTTATGTTGAGAGATTGCTTCCTGTAGATACCCGGTGTTCTATGACCATAATGAAGTATCATCAATTTGAAAGCACATACTCTCCGTGCATGTTTCTATTCGGACAAACGCGAGCTTTGGGTCGATATGTTAAAACACATTATTACACAAACGGGATATTATGGAAGGTAGAAGAAGCTCATCATATTGATCAGCTACTAGTCGTAAACAAAGTCCAAACAAACATTCAGGGTATGCCTGCATCGATCCTAATCACCCTCACACGCAACTCCGTAAAAGGTTAGCTCAATACTGAAACAACAGTTGATGCTTACAACATTTCACCGTCTTTTAAAGGTGAAATGAGGATAAGCGCAAATCCTCATGGCAAAGGTATCTCCCTAGCATACGTGTTCTCGTCAATCCTGAAGGCAGCAACCAATCGTCAAACGCCTCGTCTCTGGTGCGATATTCCTACTGAAATGCATAGGTACGATTTAAAAGTCCCAAAAATTATCCGACTTGGCCGGGGGACCACGACTCTTCTTCACCGGAGCAGGCTCTTCATCCTCGCCGGTAAACCAGGCGCGACTGGAACCCTTCTTGCCACCCATGCCATCGCCGCCAATGGCGATACGGTGCTCGTCAGGGCCGAGCCTGCCTCCAGGCTTGCTATTTTCCTTTTGCGGAGACTCATCATGGGGCGCCCAGCTGGGCTGGATCATGGACACCGCCTTCTTGCGGTGCTCAGGAACCTTAGCAGGCTCGGAAGTGCCGTTGTGGTGCGGCGAGCTATCGGTCAAATCAAAGTGAGCACCAAAGTCCTTCAGACGGTCCTTTGCGTTGGCGACTTTGACCGAAGGCTTCTCAGGGACATCATCTTTAGCGTCATCTGTGATGGGCAGTCGGTTCTCGAACAGATGCTTGCTGTGAACGCTGCTACGAGTCGGGCGAGATCTCTGCTCCTCCGTCTGCTCCCCATCATCAACAAACTCGAAGTGAGCCTCGTTATCACGCCGGGGTTTGGGCACTGGAGCATTCGGGTTAGGGGTATTGGGAAGTAGCTCGTTATCGGGGCCCCAGTGACGGATGTCGCGGGCACGGTGACCGCCCTTCATGGCAATGGGCTTTTGGGGAGTTGTGAAATCCTCAAAGGACCACGAGCTCTCATGCACCGTCTTCTTGCCCGTTGCCGGCTTCGGGGCTGGTGGTGCAGGGGTCTCGGAACCGTCGTCGAAGTCGAAGTGCTCGTATTTCTTAGGATCCGGGCGCACAAACCGGCCGGCCGACGGCTTCCTCTCATGCGTCTCAGGGGTGTCATCAGCGACTTCCTCATCGAAGATGCGCTGGGGCTGGAAGTTCTTGCCAGCGCCGACCTTAGGGGCGATGACCTTGCCAGGTGAGTGCGAACGACCACGGCCCTCACTAGGCGAACCGGGCTCGTCGACGGGCTCATCACCCAGGATTTCAGTGAAAGAGCGCTGACGGGGCCTCGTACGCGAAACACTGGCCTTGCTTGGGGACTCAGAGCGATTGCGACCGTCGGTGGGAGACTCGGGGTCCTGGGGCTCATCCCCGAGAATCTCGGTGAAGGAGCGCTGGCGGGGCCTACGGCCCGCGTAAGGAGAGACGACGGTAGCAGGAGTGCTCTCCAACTCCTCGCGCGGCGCAAACAGCTCCAGAGTCGCATGAGGGTCGCGCATGGCATTGGTTGAGCCACCACGCGAGCGAGTAGGCAGAGTTTGGGTGGCAGCGGCAGCGGCGCCTTGGCCTTGAACGCATTTTGTGATCAGGTTGATCTGTTCCTTGGCGTCGCGAATAGGCCAGTTTGCGCCAGAACGGCCTATAACTTCAACCTGCTTGAGCAGACAGCCCTGGTCCCAGCTTTGGCGAATCTGAGTAATCTTGCCATCGCTGTTGAACGTCACAATGTGGATCTAAGGCGGCAGCGTCAGCCAAAGAGTCGACGAAGTGGCCTATCAAAGAAAACCTACAATGGGAAGTGTGACGACACGGTCGGCAAGGAAGTTATCGTCCATGCCCGGGAGATAGGGACCGCCGCTGCTGACAAACTCGAGGATAGTCTCGGCCTCAAATACGAGCACATTGCCGCCCTCTACCGCAGAGAGAGCATCCTCCTTCTTCTTGTTGATCCTGTTGCGCACAGTAGAGAGGTGCTTGATAATTTCTGTGGCGCCGACGATGCTGGTAGTGGTGGTCACATAGTGCAGCGACGCGTCGTCTGCAAGAGCCGACGTGTTCGGCGCAGCGAGGAACTTCTTGTAAACCGCCTGCAGCGCCATGTCGTGGAGAGCCTGAGAGGCGAGTCGATATCTGGCAGACCGTAAATAGATACGAATTACTTGTACTTAGCAGATGGGCGTTGCCAAAACAGCAACAGGTGCCGATTTTGGGGGGGGGGGAGAGGGAGGGAAGAGATTGACAGCGATCCGGATGTGACGTCTAGGTCAGAACGGGGAGCAGAGTGCGCTGCTTAGGATTGGGGAACAACAGGCGCAAAGTCGAGAGTCAAGAGGTCGCGTAAAAGGAAGCGAGTCCCAGGAAAAGAAAAGAAAGCGGGGTCTGGGCCCTTGGAGAGAAAGGGGGGAAAAACGAAAAGGAAAATGAATGGAAGGCCCGGGATCTCAGAGGAAGGAGGACGCAGAATGATGCATGCATGGGGCCTGGGGAAGGGGCCCAGGGGGGCAACGCGGTCTCCATCTTTGTACTTACACGGTACCAGTAGCTTGGCGGGCCCCTCGTGCTGCCGGCGTGTTATTATTTACAAACAAACTAGGATGTCTTATGCAAGGCGACATGCGCACAGAAAGGATGCACCAATATACTCACTAGCCTGGCCTGACCAGAACATTGAGCCCAGGAATGCACGGCTGTTTTAGACTCACCCTATCTGTATACAGAGCTACCGGTATCAGGCCGTAGCTCGCTATCAAGACCGACAGTTACACCCCAACCCCACATGCTTCCAACACTCAATGCCGAGCAAAATTTGGGCAAAACAAAAAATGATCGACTTTTCACTCAAAGCAACAAGCCGACAAGGTAAACCTACACTTCTATGTATTTGCTTATTCACAATCGGTACCAGCCGTGGCCTTTCTTCTACCTTTTCGCCATTCCAGTCCCTGAGCGCTGCCGCAAGCCACACCCGCTGATTTGCGCTATGGAGCTGTGTCGTCCATTGCGGACCAGAGCCCCGCGAACGTTTTGTTTCAGGGTGCGCGCAAGCCCCACCGACCAAGCATGGCTGCAGGGGTCGGCTGCCATGCTCAAAATATATGCTAACGCTAACAGGCTAGCGTGACTTGGCTTCCATGCGTGAACCTGCCTCAAGAGCGTTGTGCACCCCATGGCCCTCCAACGTCTAGCGCGGCCAACAACTGTGTGGATGACTATTTTGTTGTTGAGAGATTGTTTCTCGAGGCTCACCAAAAATCTCAAAAACTTGCTTCCCACGTTGAAAAAATAGTTCAGCTTATGTAGGATCGGCGCGCGACTTGCACACTCCAGATGTACTAGTACATCATACAGGGGATTGCAATCTTCCTCGGCGCCTCAACCCATGCAACTTGATGCGGTGCTCTTCCTCCAGCGACCGATCCTACACCAGATCATCTGTCACTCGATTATCTCGTAGTAGCACGACATATGTAGTTGGGATCGGGTCTTACACTACACCGGAGAATAACATGCACCTCGGTTTGAAGCATGTGATACTGCCACTAACACTGTTCTCCATGTCCCAAGTTGTAAAGGATACCTCTCTCTTCCAGACGACTAGAAGACCCTCAGATCCTAACCACCTAACCAACAATACAGCAAGACTACCAAAATATCAAGACGCCTTCCGTCTCTAAGTCATCAAACACAAGCTTCAGGTGAACCATGACCTGTAATCAAGTATATAGGCGCTGTGCAGCCGATCTCATTACAGCTGGGTCAAAAGCCACTTTTCTGGACCAACTCACCCCAATTGACTGAGCCTTGCCCGTCCGGGTAATCAAATTTGCTGAATTTTGTATTTTGTCTTTGGCTGATTGCTGTTAGCCTGCCTCTGTTGTGGCTTAGTATGTTGGAAATGCTAATATATCAAGAACCTGGCATCTTTTGATAAAGAGCAAGTACTCATTCCTGTCGTCGAGCCTGGTCAGAAAAGTTAGGTCTCCAATGACACTTAGGACAATTCATTATGCAAACATCATTATCTTATTCTTTGACGTTGTCTTACTCCTGAAATTTTTTTTTTTGGAGCGATAGCCTGATTGTCCTCTTGTTCTGCCAGTATCATCTTCAGATCTTCCGTGACAATGACCTTAAACAAAACGCCAACAGACCCTAAAACAGGCCGCTGACAACTCATACCCTCATGAATCATGACACATACAGTGGCTTGCAACATCTCCCCTTATCAACTCACACACAGGTCGACTAATCCGGAACTTATCTAATCATTTTTTTTCTATCGTCACAACCACGCATGTACCCGGTGCTGGACAGATAAAAACTTGATGAAATTGCATCGTGCTCTTGCAAAACATACTACTTCTCTGAGGTGTTTGACAATATCGAAGTTCATTCCAAAATCAACCTCAAACCTGCTATAAACCGAGAAATCGTTCGCTAAGATCCCCTGCCGTAACTATAAAAACGCACAAGCTGAAGAGCACCCTCTCTAGCTATGAATCGTCTCTCACAAAGGCACGACGCCAACCATCTCACTCTCCTACCTCGCGATCGTCAGACCAGTCCACATACCTCACGATCCTCCAGTGCCAGGTGGCGTGGCGCACCTGTTTGCCCCAGATGTACAAGGGAATCCAACAGAGCAATACAGCGGCCGAAATGGCACCCATGGTACCATATGCGTTGAGATATCCTGATTGAGTGACCCAAGTATTGGTGTAGAAGGACAGCAAGAAGCCAAATAAAGATTTGAAGCCCATGACAGCCAGTGTCACCTCGCCGGCAACGGGCCGATAAGCATCAATCACATACACAAGGGCGATATTTGTGCCTTGAACGATGGCGAAGTTCACTTTTTTGTTGTCAGGACCAAGATTCCTTAAGAATTTTCAGAAAATGGAGGACAAGAAAAGGGGACCTACACAACGCAATGCCAACAGTAGATAGCATCCAATGTATCTTGTGATGTACACCTGCACCGAACAAGACGAGTCCCAACGGTGCGGTGATCATGGCCGGGATCATGGCTGGGAGCCGCATTTCAGGGTTACGGATGCCCTCATTGCGCCGGGTAAACCAGTCCGCCACCTTGTCACCAAACTTGCCGCCTACAGGAATGCCAACAAGCGAGCCAATGATGGCCGCGACAAAACAAAGTCCGACTTGGTAAGATTCAAAATCTGGATTGTTCTTGGTTAGGAATCAGCCATGATTATGCAGATTAGCGGAAAGACTTGAGAGCACATACGGTAAGTTCTCTCGAAAGCAACTTCGACATTCGATGTCATAGCTACCAAAAAACCGATCGTTGCGGCTTCGACCAATGCCACCCACAGCACGGGTGGCAAGCAAATCAGCCCCAACGGCCGTAGCACAAGCTTGGCCAGACTTTCGCTCGTGAAAGTGCCATGGAAAACCTTGAGGGTCTGGAGATAGGTATTTTTGGGAGGAATATGACTAGAGGTAGTGGCCTTCTCAGCATCTTTTTTAGGATCTGACAAAGCAAAGTTCTTCTCGACTTTCTCTGAGGAGGAGGTGGCGTCAGAGGAAGAACCCGATCCAGCTGAGGAGTCAGTCTTGCTCTCGCCAAGAGAACTGTTCCGAGTATAGGCAGTCTCTGGAAAGGCGAAGATGGCAAAGAGATGAACAAGCCCAATCAGAGCTGACGCAACTTGGAAGATAACACGCCAGTGGTGGTGGATCGTGATCAACCTATGTCAATATGACGAAGGTCTCATCAGCATTGGATATGTTAAACCCGGGGTAGTGGACAAGGGGTTCTACCCAGAGATAACCAAGCCGACGGCAGCTCCAACAGAAAGAAAAGAGCTATAGAATGCCATGACTGTGCCACGCTCGTGAAGAAAATAGATGTCGGCAATCGTTATCGGCGCTGTTTGCAGATTGGGAGTTAGTGATCTCTGCTACATCCTAACAACGTGAATGCGTGGTCGTACCAACTGTCTCGGCAGCGCCAGCCCCAAATCCCATCAGGATACGTCCAGCAAGGAAACCCCCATAACTGTGCTCGAAACTTAGCCAGATGGCAGTTGCCTAATATCTATCAACATGTGTTCCATAGCAATCGTGGGATCAAGTATATACCTACAAAGTAGATCAGATAGCTGAGAACATAAATCGGCCGCCGACCATATTTGTTCGCAACAGGCACCCAAATAAAATTACCAACTCCTTGTAAGAGCGCAGTTGTAGTAAAGAAATAGGCGACTTTGGCTACTGACGAGCCGAACAGACGTGGATTCTTTGCAGGATGCGCTCCTGGGAAGAAGTCCATGGTTATGTTCACCATAGCAATAAATGGGCCAGCGGCAAGAAAGTTACACATCATCATGGCGATGGAGATAACTGTCCCGGCAGATGTTAGTGGCTCAATATCTCTGTCTTTTCCTTTTTTTTTTACCAACCAGTTGCCATGTAGTGCTTGTACCATTGTGGCCTGTTACTTGTTAGTGGTTACTCCCTGGGGAATATATGACAAGGACAAACACACCAGTTGAGAGGATCATTAGGATCAGCTGAAGGTGTTGGAATTAGAATGATCTCATTCGTTCTGTGGTCACGAAGGCGAACGTTTCCCAGTGTTCTTTTGCGACCTGTTTTGAGATCATCTGCATGAACGTTGTCATCTATCTTCCATGTCTTCGAGTTTTGCATTTGTAGTGCCATAATGTTGTACTCGGGAATAGACCAAATATTGGAATCCAAACCAGAGGTTAGATAAGGTTAGGCAATCCTTTCGATATGGTGAGAATGTAACTCTGGAGATGAAAATGTGAAATGAAGGGCTTCTTGGAAACAGTTGGCTTTATAGATTTAGGAGGGCCCTGGCTGTCAAGTTTGGCAAGTTTGTGGTTACTCTTTTAATTTGGGAGCTTTGATAACCATGTCCCTATTTATCAGACAACAATTACTATGTTTAGATGATAGGAAGTTACAATTTGGGGATTACTGGACCAGGAGGCCTATGCTTACCATATTCTCTTCATCTATGAGATCTAGTCGATAATAGCCTTCGAATAGATGAGAGCGTTAGATGTGACAGAACCAAGATGGAATTGTGCTATACTATCTAGGTAACCTCCTCGTTTTTTTCTTAATGGTAACATGGGCAATGTTTCAATTCAGTGCTGTTTGGAAGCCCCCTTTCTCTCGGTAACACAACGGCGAAGGTGCCCTGACAACTTATCCTAGTCGCAGTGGATCTGACAGTCAAGAAAGTAGGCCCCGTTACATTGCGTGAACTACCTATGTTGCCTCTGACAGAAAGGGCTGCTTGACTAAGCAGTGCAAATTAGATAAAGTGCCAAAGAGTGCCACAACAGGCCTTGGTATAACCACTGAATTATACCAAATAACGAGGATATCTCTCGCCCCGATGCCTGGAAAACATATATGATCTAAGATAATCCATCTTAGGTTGGATATGGAAATTTAATCACAAGCGAACAGATAACACCGGCTAATTGTTATTGAAGTTACTTCGGATCGTTGAACCCGGTATGAGGTTACGGCCCGTTTAACTATTTCACTTCCCTTCGCGGCATTGGCCAGCGTTGCTGGACAGTATAGAGATGAGGTGGCTGCAGGGGCTCTCTGACGCTATTCTAATCCTAAGCCGCAAGCAATATCAAGTGGAAGGAAGTTGCGCTTAGCACTATCAATCACGATTAACAGCCATCCGCTGTGGTTTTGGAAGAGACGTCCCTCTATGCTCAATGGATGGCGGCGGGAGGCTACATAGAAAGGTGCTGCACGCGAGCAGATAAGCTATCTATTTTACATGAGGAGCTTGGGCCGCGCGTCGTCTCCTGCTGATGGCTCTTTATTATTTGCACACTCTTCGGACTTCCCCAACACTGGCATTCTTCTTCGAGTCTTAGAGCTTACGTAGTCACCCACTGCTAAGGCTCTGCCACGGCAGCAAAGTCTGCAAGAAACTTGGGGCATCCTTCAAATAGTGGCTGTTTGGTCATGCTAAACATTGTGATCAAGACATTTACTTTGCGACTCGTATGGAAACAACTTTCAAAGAAACACCAGGCCAGAGATCTCTTGCAGCAAAGGTAGAGTGAAAGGACGTCATAATGGCCATATCAGGTCCCTCTTTATCCTGTAGTGGGTAAAGGATAAAGTAAAGGCGGGATTTGACCCTAGGGAAGAAATATTGAAGAGCCAGATGCAGCGATATCAGATTTGCATGTCATTTTAATGGCGATCTGCGGGAGAGGATCAACGGGGTGGGCAATCTGATGCCTTGAATTCCGTACATGGTCGCGACAACAGTTGAAGCATTCCAGTGAATGATTTGAATGCAGACTGCTGAGCCTTGTCGCTAAGGAAGCTCTTCGCCTTGGATCAGATCTGTTCTGGACATTCTCAGCTGTCGTGATATCCCTAGAAAGATCATTTCCTGCAGCCCAGGCCCTCACAACCTTGCGGTGCCCGGCCATGAACTTACAGGCAGCACAGTGTGTTGGTCTTGGCATACACAGTACATGATGCAAATTTCACATAAGTAGCCTATAAGGTGGAGAGATGCCGGTCCCTTGCCCCACTGGTTCCTGATCGGAGTCTTGGTCTCCCAGAGGACAGTGGGCCGCATATGTGTCTGTGCCATAGAATGAAACCTGACAAGGCGCCAAGCGCCAAGCGCCAAGCGGGGACTGGCCGGGGGCTGCCGCGCGTCCATCCGCGGTGACGGCGATCGGTGATGCTCATGGGTGCTCACACGACAGCCATTGAAGGGTTTCCGGGTTGATAATTGTGCAAACCAAAGGAAAATCAGTCAGGGTAAAAATCAAGGAAAACTCAAGTGTGAACGACATTGACTGGAGATCGAAACGGAGTACGACATTACACTCAGACTGCCGATCTGGGGTCGCGCGGCACGTCAAAACGGTCAATCACTATCAAGTATTGAGAACATTGAGATTCCAACCCCAAGCCAGCTTGATCCGAACGTCAGGTCCAGTTCAAGAATGGCCGGTCCCATTGGGTATCTCATCAATTCTGACCCAGCACCGCCAACTCCTACCATCTCTCAGGTCCAGCAGGTTCCATCCGTACCGTCATCCGCGTCAGTAGCACAGCCAGCGGCGCCATCAGCACCGCTTCCAGGACACCCAGGATTGCCGTCGGTGGCACCGCTGTCATCATTGCCATCGTTCACTTCTGCCCCGGTCGCGAACACCAACGCCGCTCTCACCACGCCTATCGTCAATCACAGCCCGTTCAGGACCTCTGAGGCCTCTGACACATCTGGACTTCCGCTCGTTCTCACGCTTCCGTCCCCTTCAGTACCTCCAGTTTCATCAGTCCCTTCCGTCTCTCCCGCGTCTTCTGTGCCTTCCCTTCCTCCTGTTCCTTCGAATGACCCGGCCTCATCACCCCCGACGCGGCTTGGCTCCAATGGCCACAATGCATCTACCAGTGCCGGCAGCCATGCCAAGGGCAAGCCGTTGTACCAATGTGCCGACTGTCTACGTACATCTGCCCTCTTTGTGCTTGCATGGGTACTTTACTCTTCTCCCCTGGGGCCATTGCTGACTGGATCTTGTCACAACAGGCCGCTACTCGCGCCCTGAGCATCTCCAGGTGTGCACCAACCGCCCATGTCCCCCCCCCCCTCTCCTCCCCTTTGCTTCTCTCTTCATGATCACAATGACTTAGTTGTCTGACTTTTATTGCTAACCGCGTCTGAAACAGAGACACATAGCTGCCCACACGCTCGGGAAGCGCTTCACGTGTGATGCGGGTTTCTCCTCACGCTTGGGCCAAGGTCTAGGGGCTAACACCTTTAACAGGTCTGCTCCAAGGGCTTTGCTCGGATTGATCTCCTGAAGCGTCATCGTGCCAACCACGATGACACTAGTGGGAAGAAAAGGCGTACCAACCTCATGCCAACTGCGAGCCGTGTTGGCAAGGCATGTCAGCCCTGTGCGAAAGCCCGGGTGAAATGCGAAGAGACCAAACCGCATGTCTACCCCTGACCCCATCTCTGGTTTGCCTTATGCTGACAGCTCACAGATGCACACGCTGCAAAACACGCGGCCTGCGTTGCGAGGTTTCTCTGTCCGAAGATGCGCTGCATCTGCATCATATGCCGGTAAACAGGTCCCATGTCCACCCAGAGGATTCTGTCCCTTCCTCGTCCAACGCCTCCAGCGCTTACCAGGTAACGCTGGAATTAAAGACAGAGGAAAGCCCAGGATCAAGCAGTAGCCAGGAGCTCGCGGGTACTGTCCCGTCCCTGTACAAGGAGGAGTCCCAAATTCCTACTCCAGCAGCTTCCTTGGATCAGACGAGCTCCGATTTTGGTCCATATACTGCGGCCTATCTAGGCCCCGCTCACGATGAACACACCAAGCCTGGCTTTCCCGATTTCATCCGTGATATCCTATATCGGTCGTCTTATGGTGATGCTTCTACCAAGCTTGTCGACGTCCAGGCATCCGCCGTTCTTGACTTCTACGATGACACCAACTTTGCGGACTTCAACGACTTCAACTTTGATCCTTTGAGTCACTGGAACATCGATGCATCTCGCACTGCAGCAGACCAGGCAGATGGGGCTGACAATCCACCATCTATAACCGCCATGCGTGCTGCTTTGTGCAAGCTTTGGACCGAGTCTCCGTGGAGGTGGATTCCAGAAAAGACAGACAGTCGCTATACCGAGCAGTCAAACCTCCCTCTATCCTCCCATGATGCACAGGGTGTCCAGCTTGAGGCGAATCCGATGCCGGTGGACCGAGTGACTAAGGACGTACTTCAGGGCTCATCGCGGGATAAGATTCTCGCTATCGTCTTGGGCACCTTGCGCGACAACGCAACAATCAACCGAGTAGCATCCTCGTTTCCTTCGACTGACGCCATGGACTCATGGATCAACGTCTTTCTTGCTGCGCATCTATGCCAAACTTCCTCCTGGATTCATTACGCTTCACTCTATTTAAACTCTCAGTACCCCGAGTGGCTTGCTATTGCTGCTGCTGCTGGCGCCCTGTTAACTCCTGTTCTTCCACTCAGGCGCTTTGGCTTGGCGCTCCAGGAGGCAGTTCGTATGTATATGTCATCATTGATCTGGATTCTTGAAGTATAGCTGACGGTTTCTACGACAGGTGTTGCTATCCCCGAGAGGGCAAGTGCCATCGTTTTGTTTATTAACACTTCGACGTTCCTCACTTCGTGGCCACTAACAGCGAATAGTTTGAAGAGAACAACAGGAGTATTGCCGACCTGGGTAAAGTTCAGGCTCTAGTTATGATTTGGGACGTTGGTCTCTATAGTGGTAACCGGAGAAAAATGGAGATTGCCGAGTGCCGTAAGTGTCTTTTGCGATCCCTTCCGGTCCATACAGCGAGTTGACGCAAGATATCTTAGATTTCCCAATTGCTATCACCGTAAGCGAACTAGACGTACCAGTACCAAAGCTACCTATGCGCGCTAACTCATGACAGATGATGCGCTACCGAGGCAAATTTGCAAGATCCGCCTACCAACAGATCACCATCTACCCCACAGATGAAGGCAAAATCCTGGAAGACAAGTGGAAAGCATGGTGTCAGTACGAGTCTTGGAAAAGGTATGTCCTTTACTTGCCGATATGTCCCTCGGCGCTCCCTGACAACGTTTCAGGCTTTCCTTCCACACATATCTCCGGGACGCGCAAATCTCAATGACACAATTCAACAACATGAACATGTCATACGCAGAACTCACCTTGCCGCTGCCCTGCTCCACACAGTTGTGGTTCGCGCGAAGTGCAGAAGAGTTCAAAGCGTGTTACCTGCAAGCTGGCTTCTCAGACAACAGCAAGAGACTCCCCTCTCTCGGCGACCTCTTCCGTGATATAAGTCTCCTTTCGGCAAACCGTCGGCTTCTTGACGTCCAATTCTCCCTTTCAATTTACCTGCATGGATTCTGGACTCTGATATGGGAGTACCGCCAGATGTACTCTATTCAAAGACCATCCTGTTCAGCAAATCCCCCGCCTCCCAACCCTCTATTGGAAGCCCGCCGTGAAGATCTCCAAAAGGCGCTCAGCAATTTCCACGATCTTATTCGCGGCTGGCAAGAGGCAACCCAAGAGATCATGCTCTTATTTCACTTGATCCTTATGAACCTCTACGTCTCCATCCTCGACCTGCAGCTGTTCACTGGCAAGGAGGGTGAAGAACAAGCCCGAATAGTGTACCCTTCCTTACAGCGGTGGGCAGTTAGCCCGGATGCGCGCCGCGCACTGTGGCATGCAGGCCAAATCCTGCGCCATGCCAGATCGTTCCCCAAGGGTCATCTGAAAGAATTCTCGGTGATTGCTGTACACCATGCAGCTTTATGTGCGTGGACATGGGGGGTAATCATGAGGGCATCAGGGGTTATGAACCCAAACTTTAGCGGAGCAGGTGATGCCATGGAAGGAGTCTCGCAAGAACAGGAGCCACAGACTGATCGGCGGCAAGAACATCAACAAAATAGGGGAGGAGTTTTCCAGCTCGGGTCAGTGACCGCTTCGAAGAACACGGATTTGCCAGTCGTGCTGGTAGATGGAGAGGACGAGACCTCACGCATACAGACCTGGATGGAACATGGTCAAGGCCGGCCTGCTATCAGGGGTATAAGCCACCTAAATTCTCAGGCTAACTCCAGCCAGAGCCATCATCATACCGTGAACGGCGTCAGCAACACCGACCACAACCCCTCACTCGCTGCCAGTAACGGGATGGATACTGCTCAGGCATCGGGCTGTCAATGTAGTGGTGGGAATTGTCAGCAATGCAGTTGCTACGGAACCAGCAACACCATGGAGATTGTTTGTTGTCCACTGGATGATCCACGTTCTTGCATGGCTGTCGTGCAAGAGATCATCAAGGCTAATTTCATCGGCGTATGGGAGAGCCTGCCGCCCCTGAGCGAGAACATCGTTGTTGTGCTCAAACAGCTGGAGGAAGCTGCTCGTGTGGTGGCAATGGCTGCTTCTGCTTCTAGAAATGTACCAGGATCAACCACTCCCACACTTGCTGTGACTCTCCCGCCCGCGGCAATGATGTCTGTAATCGTGGGACCAACGGGTACCTGCATGAGTTCTGAGCCTCTGACAGATATGACTGGGGCAGGGCAGATGGAGGCTGGAAGATGAAGGCGCATACTCTATAAAACAAATGGCTTTGATATTTCTAAGTCCGTATCATCTCATTACCATCCTTTTTTTTTTGGGGTGGGGGGGGGCACAAGGGGGCTACTTTACAATTGAGGATACCATTCCTTGTTTTAGTTGGATGTCTTCTTGATACATTGCCACATATCATACATGTCAAGGTACATACCTACGGCACCTACGTACGTAATGCACGATATTAATATAAGTGGATATGATGACCGTTTTATCCTTCATCCCGGGAACTGGTTCAAATAGTGAACAAAGTTCGACTCCAGAGAATCGAGAAATTATTAGTTGAGGTTGTACTTGCACTCAAATCACTTTATTTTTTTTTTTTGACGCACAAGCTGACACTAATAATTTCACCCACTTCAACTCTCATCTTTTCTCTAAACGTATCCTCGTCATTGCGGCTGACTGGTACCCTGGAAATCGACGCTCTGACTCCTCTGCCCAGCCGCCTCACGATCCAGCTTAACATTTTTCTCCAGCTTAGCCTTCTCTTCGGCCAACTTGGCTGCAGTATCCTTGCCCTGCGCTCCCTCGATGATAAGGGTCGTCACCTGCAGCTGCAGTTTCAGCACCTTATTCTTTATCTTGCCGATCTGCAACGCCCTGCCCTGGGTCGTGTTCTTGCCGCCAGCTGCCTTTATAGCTTCATTAAAACCACCGGCTTTGGTCTCAGCGTTTTCGGCAGTCTTGCGCGCCGCTTTTAGAATGGCGAGATCCTCGGGGTCAACAGCTGCCGGGTTGGACATGTCGATCTAAGCGGCGGTTAGCAGAGACATGGCAAATCAACGATATTGATTCGGGAGGTCGACGCACAGGGAACTTAGAGTGGACTTCTTCGAGACCATTTCCGGCCACTCCGTCGGAGACTTGGAATTTGAGTAGTTCTGGGGCCTTAGGATGGCTCTCTTCTGTGTTTTATGCTCGGCATCTGGTGTGGGAAGAGCCAGACCGAAGGCTAGGAAGGAAAAGAGTACCACTACTTCAAGCTGCATCTTGATATGCCGTAGGTGTGAGTTCTGCACAAATTAGAGGAATCAAGAGATATGGAGAAACGAAAGGAGCACAGCTGCTTGCTAAAGGTACACTGAAAAGCGAAGCGAGGGAAGTGAAGGATGTGTCGAGACAGAAGTTTGAGAGATGAGCAGAAACTATTCCCGCATTGGTTGAAATTAAGGCCGCTAATATGCTATTTTAACGTCATTTTAGGATCCTATACAGTCAGCTTCAATTGCAATTCTCATGCGAAACTAAACGATTGGGTGAAAGCTGAGCCCCAAACTCTCCCCAGGGCAAACGACGCTATGAAGACCATTATTTGACCACACATTAGTTGAGATCCCATGGTCAATCCAATAAGGACCTGACGACCTTCGGGAAACAAAACAAATCTTGGGCTTTTTTTTAATCTTCACCGCCATAGATATTCTCAAGTGTGTTTTGGAGGGTGTTGCATAAGGTTGTGACGGTGGTTGCCAGTCGTCTCATCCCCTTGTTACTCCTGATTCCAGTCAGGATCGCCAGTGTCTCATACCCCGCTTCAACTTGCACTTTGTTAAACAATCCAGGTGCCATGCAGAAACTATGATATGCATAGACGACAGCTCTGTATATCGAGATCTGGTATGCATCTTGATTAACAGATCCCGTGAGTTACAGAAAGCGGGTGCCAGAGCCGGCACTTTCACTTGAGCTTGTCTAGGTGTGTTACATTGCACCCGCATCGCAAGACTTGCAGCATTAAAGGTGAAGACACATGATGCGTGCCATATCCAAATTTGTCCATTGCCCATTGAGTTGTAGTTCTGCCTGGCAAGGGAAAGGGTCAATACTTGGATATTGTCATAGTGAGCATTGATCTGTCGCTAGGATTTGTTGTCTGTGTGCTTTACTCAGTATACAGCTCGAAGAGCCCGAAGCCAAAGGCGGAGTTTGGGGACCAGTCAACTGACAATCCTAACATCATTACAGGTAATCTTGGAGCAACTAGGCAACTTAGAGAAAACGACAACTCAGAGGATAAGAAAGTTCGAGAACGATTAGGTGCTGAAAAGAGGCACCTAAGAATCATGGTCCTAGCGGCAGCCAGTCCTACACGGCACATCAATCACTTTAGTTTGACAGGGTTGATTTTGCTGGTCCCCCAGTTGTGATGTCAGTAATGGACAACAAACACTGTTGCAGCTTGGATGCTGTGCCACATATTTCACAATACAAATGGGTTTAGCGCCTGAGTGCATTTGCAGCTCTCACTTTCATCCTACCCCTCCCGATATAGCGGTCAGGGTGTGCTCCATGGAATGCCGAACTGGAATAAACTAGGTAGATAAAGCCAGCCAGAGAAAGTGGAAGAGCTCACGGGAACACAAAGGCCCGGATTGTGGGAGGGCGGTACGTAATACCATGAAAGGAGTCCTGATTGTACGACGTCGTACTCGAGCAGCCCGAGAGGTGTTCAAGAGAACGTGTCAGTTAACAGGTTGTCATCGCTCTTTTGCTGCTGGTTGTGTCAGTTTCATTAAGATTCACGAGGGGCCTTGCATCATTCAGAATTGCACATTTGGAGGCTTCATATCAGCCAAGCTCTGCCAGGCTTCGCCCAGCTTTTCGGTACTTCACGGCACTTAATTGTTCCCCGTCATTAGAGTCATCGGTCGCAATGATACGTTCCGGCTGCAGGATATGCGGAGTAGTCCCTGTTGTGTTGTTGCTGGTGATCATACTGCATATGTTCCTACAATGGGGTACTTCCCTGACCTTGGGCAGCTTCACCAAAGGCAAATGGCCCAAGCCTCTCGATGTCGAGCTTGTTGTAGCTAGTCTTCAGAGAGAGGAGTAAGCCGTGAAACTCTCTCCCAAATCTCCCAAACATTCTGTCTCCAACGGCTAACAAGGCTCAGCACATTGTGGGTGCATCGCTTTATACCAGATTGGAGGACAGCTGTCTATGTTGTTGACGACCCGTCAGCAGCATACACAGTTCCTCAGAACAAAGGCCGCGAGGCCATGGTCTACTTGACGTACGTTACGATGATTATGGGAGGAAGGAATCAATCCCAGGGACAAAGGCCTGATGGCTGACTCCGATTCAAAGGCATATCATCGAAAACTACGACAGCCTTTCATCAATCACCGTTTTTGTTCACGCGGCCCGCTTTGCATGGCATAACGATGATCCGGACTATGACACTGTTAGGACCCTGCACAACCTCAACCTCAGTTATGTTATAGAATCGGGCTACGTAAACCTGCGATGCGTCTGGACACTGGGGTGTCCAACTGAGATCCGTCCACATGCAGACTTCCTGGATGAACAAGGGCGGAACGAGGAAATTGCGCAGGGCCGCAAAATCATGACAAAGCATGTGTATAAGGAGGCACTCCAAACGCTTATGCCCGGAATGATGGTACCGCACCTAGTGGCCGTCAGCTGCTGCTCACAATTTGCAGTGTCCCGAGAAACCATCCAGACACACCCAAGAGAGGATTATGTGCGTTGGAGAAAGTGGCTCCTGGAGACGCCATTGGATGATGACATCACAGGCCGGATATTCGAATATCTGTGGCATAGTGAGTACTATTTCTCTGCTTCGGGCTGAGTGACACTGTCTGAAACCTCGACACAGTCATCTTTGGCAAGGACGCTGTGTTCTGCCCACCAGCGGGCGAGTGCTATTGCAAAGTCTACGGCCTTTGCGACCTCAAGTGCAGCTCTTTCGAGTGTGAGGGACGATATGTACTGCCAAAAGTGGCCAACTTGCCGGTCGGATGGCCAAAGATCGGTTGGGATGGGGAAGAAAGAAACTTTACTGGACCCTTATGATAGATATTCCAGCGTATTAGAAAATAGAAAGGATCGTTCAACAATAACAATATCGGTCCAGAGCTGACGACGGCCTGGCGGGGATTGGGGATGCTGTGGGGAACAAGAAAGGTCGGTGTCCAATGTGGGGTTAAAACAGGGATGGCACGGATCACCCCCGCACTTCCCCGAGCGGGGCAGGGCTCGGGCCGATGATAAACGACAACATCCAGCCGGACAAGCCCAGCCCTCCATATGCCTTCAGGGACCTGTCCCAAGATTGGTAGTAGCCAGTGGCTGGCGTTACTCCATTACTCCAAGCGTCTGCAATCAATGGATCAAGTCAACTCACGTAGACCTTCAGCAAAAGCGATGGCAGCCGATGCCAGCCACGGGCCAACCGATATTGGCAAAATTAGGAGGGCTCAGAGCAGCGGCTCGAACTCTGGTATCTCGGAGTCAAGCGGTAGCGCAAGATACCCACTTACCTACTGTGTACGGATTACCTGCCCAACAATACTTGCCCCAATTATACGCAAGGAACAGAATGCTTGATGTGTTCTGTATAGTCCCTGGCTGATCCCCACCTGTCTGTTATTGAGCTGTTCCTGTTCCAAGTCCCAAAAGCCCATCTAGGATCTAGAATCTATCATCCATCCAGCTTTCCTTGACCTTATTGCCATCAATACCTACCTAGGTGCTGTTGTGGGCCGCCATCATGCCGTATCCCTCGACGTTCCCACCTCTGGATATCCCTAATGACATCGACCTTTGGACACTACTGTTTGATAAGCAGGGAGACTTTCCTCCATCTAAAGAGATTTTGACATGCTTTGAGACCGGGCGTTCCTACACATGGGAGACTTTGCGCAGGAAATGCGTCGAGTTCGGGGAGGGGCTTCAGGAACAATGGGGTTGGAAGAAGGGCGACGTGTTGGCCTTCTACACCCCAAACTCCATCGATGTGCGTCCTTAATTCCTACGGTTTGATTCTAGGGCCGATGCTAACATATTCCCAGACCCCAATCCTCACACTTGGCGCTCTCTGGGCAGGCGGCGTGGTTTCGCCCGCCAATCCGCTTTATACCGCAGATGAGCTTGCTTTCCAGCTCTCCAACTCGTCTGCGAAGGCCTTGGTCACTCAGCCTGCTTATCTTCAGACTGCTCTCATAGCTGCTAAGAAAGCCGGCCTTCCCCCAAACCACATTATCCTCCTCGGGCCCCAGAACGGTCAAGTGTCGAGCAAACACCCGCATTTCACAACTATCCGCGGCAGTAACAAGTCTCCACACATCCGGCCCCCAATCAACCCTGCCACGGATCTGGCCTTCCTCGTCTACTCCTCCGGTACAACCGGCCTGCCCAAAGGTGTCTGCCTGACCCATCGCAACATGGTGGCTAATCTTCTCCAAGCCAGCTACGTCGAAGGCATTCAATATCGTAGCAGAGGAGGGCCTGACGGTCGTGGCGATAAGCAACTCGGCATCCTGCCCTTCTTCCACATCTATGGGCTGACTTGCGGAGTGTTGATGTCCATATATGAAGGCTGGCAGCTCATCGTGCTGGAGCGATTCGACTTGCACAAGGCACTGCAGGCCATTGAAAAATATCGGATAACTTTCGCATATATCCCACCGCCAGTGGTGCTCGCCTTCAGCAAGCATCCTGATGTCGAAAAGTATGATCTTAGCTCGTTAAAGGTGTTACACTCGGGAGCAGCCCCTCTCACTCGGGAGTTGACCGAGGCAGTGTGGAACCGGTTGAAGGTGCCGGTGAAGCAAGGGTTTGGTCTCTCCGAGACGAGCGCAGTGGTGTGCTGCCAGACTGTGGACGAATGGGCAAAGTTTATGGGATCTGTGGGCAAGATAATGCCGAATATGGAGGCCAAGATTGTTGATGAACATGGAAAAGAAGTTCCGGAGGGCGAGGCCGGTGAGCTTTGGCTCAAGGGGCCTAATGTGTTTCCGGGATACTTCAAAAACCCGGAGAGAACGAAAGAAGCATTCTCTCCGGACGGTTTTTTCAAGACAGGTGATATCTTCCGTCGCGACAAGCACGGAAACTATTATTGCGTTGATCGCGTAAAGGAGCTGATAAAATACAGTAAGTCGTCCCCCTCGTACCTCCAAACAAGTCAAGTAAATACTTACTTTCAAACACAGATGGTTACCCTGTCCCACCAGCTGAACTCGAGGGCGTACTTCTGGGTCACGCGGACGTGGCTGATGCCTGTGTCGTTGGTATTGAGGATCGAACGAGAGCAACCGAAGTTCCACGTGCTTATGTAGTCCTTCGCGCTGAAGTCACACTCAAGAATGAGGCCGAAAAGGCACAGGAACTTACTGAATGGGTAGCAGCTCGGGTTGCTCCACACAAGAGGCTGCGCGGCGGTGTTCGATTTGTGAAACAAGTCCCGAAGTCGCCGAGTGGCAAGATCTTGAGGAGAGTGGTGAGAGATTGGGCGAAGAAGGAGGGTAGGGCTGAAGGGAGCAAGCTGTAGCCTCGCTGGCTTCAAGACCTAGGTTTCTGCCGTGTCATCGTACCAGAATGCCGCGATGTACATACCCATCGAGCCTTATACCTGCTTTAACGAATGGTGCTGTAAATCCTCCATATAGCGCCAGCAAAAGTCCATACCCATGGTCCATATACCAATACACAAATCAATCCATAATAATACAGAAATGTTGAACCATCTAACCCATCTTCTCAGCTTCTTCCATCAGCTTCTCAACGCTGAACCTGGTATCCCCTTTACCGAACCACTCCAACAACTTCCTCCTCTCCCCGGCCCTCTCCCGAGCCTCCTTGCTCATCTGCACACCGTCTGCATCGCTTAGCTCCCACCCTCCGTAAAACCTCTGCAGACACATCACAAGCCATCGTGCGTCGTCCACCTTCACTCCCCTATCATCCATTACCATGCCCTGCATCAAAACCACCCCCTTTTCCTGGGCCAAATCCTTATAGTGCGTCACAGTCGTATGTGGCACCGCAAACTCTCCGCGCGCCTTATACTCAGCCAACTGGGTGAACAGGACAGTAGCCGAGCGCGTGGCCGCGTCCCACGTCCACTGTAGGAAATGCATCTCGGCGCCGCCTTGGTCAGGGTGTGGTACGGGCAGCACGAACTGGGGGTAGCTTTTCGCGAGGGTCTCCATGGCCTCAAAAGTTCTGGCGGGAATCACAGCGCAGAGGGAGTTAGGCTTGGCCTGATGATGGACTCGCCAGATTGTAGAAAGCTCTTCGGTGGGCAGAGCAGAGGCCTTGGGGAGATCGAGGATAGCTGACAATGGTTTTACTCCTGTTGGAGAAACCTCTTCACCGCCAGCAGCGGCTGCCTGCGAAGCCGCATTCCCCGTCACCGAACCATCTTTCTTTCCCCTCTGCTCCTTGACCAGTTCATGCATCTTCCTCTGCTGCTCCAGCAGTCCCGGCGGTACCACGCGGTCCGTCTCCTTACGGAACTGCTCGATCTTGTCCTTGTAGGCTGCCTTGAGCGCATCGATGTCGGGAAGACCCTCCTCGCGCGCCTTGCGCTCTAACTTCTCGCGGTACTTCTCCAGCACGGTCCGAGTCGGCTGCTGCGTTGTCGCCAGGAAGCGCACATCATGCACTTGTGCCCAGCGCCGCTGGTTCGACGCGCGCAGCATGCGTGTCTGGCAGCTCAGCAGGTGCCGCAGCATCGGGACTCGTGATGCCGCCATTGTTGTTGTCTAGGAGCGGGATTTGGCTTGGCTGCGATGAGTGCGAAACTTATCGTCCTGGGTGCAACTGAAGGCGTTATAAAAATTGAGGTTCTAGACTGACGTCAGGGAAGAAAAGCAACCCTAACCCTGAATACAGGAGGGTGAGGGAAGCGGGTTACACATATGTCCAAATTTAGCCAGATAGGTAGCTACACAAATAAACCTTTGTTAAAACGGAACACTAAGTTCTAATTTGCATTGCTTTCTGATACTGTTCGAGGAAGATCAAGCGACATCGGGCAGAAGATTGGCGCCCTTGGACTACGATAGGAGACGGTAATCCTTATGCATAATCCGTACCAAAACCTTTAGATAGATAACAAACGTCTGCATCAGTTCAGATGAAGTATTGATGAATCCGCATCTCTTTAGTGAACCTTGACGGCCAGAGATACCAGTATCAATGAATATGGATATGGTCAGATATCCCTTCAAATCAACACTCAATTCGCCCGCATTGTTTTACATGAAAGCTCATTTTTAAAACACAAGGAAACCGCTCAAGACCATGTAGCACGGCAACAACCTCCTCTGCATAGCCTGGCCTGGCAGGCATCATGATGCGCAGGAGGGACGTGCCACCGGTAAACACGTAAACCCCTTGCCCTTGGCCCGGCTGGTATTATCCTCCACCTTTCCACATCCCCACGCCGTGAAGCGTCATGTCTATTCTGGGCACATCAAATGGCGGAATTAAGCCACTGAGATCCAGACAACTCCCATCTCCCAACAAAGAACCCATCTGCGAGGCCGGGTAGGTTACTCGCGGGTCGACTTGAAAACATAGGTAGGGGTGTCCTCCTTGAAGGGAACACCGAGCTCGAAGAGCTTGGTGATGACGGCAGCGAAGTCCTTGAAGAACAGGTCATTGTCGGCAGCGTACTTCTGGACCCACTTCTTGAACTCCTTGTCCTGGACGAGGGACATATCGGCCGGGAGCATCATCAGGGACTTAGTCTTCTTGTCCTCATACTGTGTTTATTGTGTTAGCAATAGCCCTTTAGCCCCGGGAGAAGTTTCGAATGAAAACTAACCTGCTTGGGGCCGTTCCACTTCTTCCACTGCCACTTCTCTTCGAGCAGGAGCTTGAAGTAGTCGTTGGTCAGAACAGTAGGAGAGAAGGTCCAGGGGCCAGAGTAGCCGGAGCGGTCGGGGTGGCAGCGGCCCAAAGCGTGGGCACCAGCAAGGGCAACGATCTCCTGATCGTTGAAGCCCATGCGGTAGAAGATGTTGCGGAGGTGGTCCTGGCCCTGAGCAGCATCGGGGAGACGGCCATCAGGAGTGCAGGCGGAGACATCCTTATCCTGGCGACCAGGGCGGAAGGGGATCTTGGGGCCCATCATTTCCTGGATAGCGCAGATACCACCGATGATCCAGAGGTCAGAGTAGGAGATCCAGGGGAATTTGGCTATCAAGGAAAGTCAGTCAAGGTCTTCAACTTTGACCACTTTAGACGGTCGAGGAAAGCTTACCCTTGACGGGCTCAAGGAAGTCACGGGCAGCCTTCAGACCAGCATTGGCGCCGTGGTCAGCCTCGGGAGAGAAGCGCATAGTGGCGCCGTTGCTGCCGCCGGTACCAGTCTCCTTATCGTAGGTGCCGCTGGCGTGCCAGGCAAGGCGGAGAAGGACGGGGCCGTAGCTGCCATCATCGTAGTTTTCATCCTCCTCCAGGCGGTTGGCGATCTCGTTGTAAACAGCCTGGTAGTCCTCGAACTTGGGCTCAAAAACCTTAGGAGTGACAGGGGTCGAGCCGTTCAGGTAGAAGTAGGCACCGCCGCCGGCAGCAGCGGCAGCACCAGTGAGCCAAAGCCAGGCAGACGAGCCCTTCTTCGCAGGTTCAGATGAGTAGAAGCGGTGGCCGCTCTGACGGAAGGCAATGCGAGGGGCAGCGCTAAGGGCGGGGCGGGCCGAGGTGCGCAGAGCGCGGGCGAAAGTACGAGTTGCGGTCGCCATCTGGATATGATACGAGTTCTTTGGTTAGACTTGGCACTTCTCGACCTCTTTTCCGCTCTTCAGGACAGGTGTTTTGCGGATATGCCAGGGTAAGGTGGCAGGAAGGAAGGGTTGATGGGAAGGGAAACGCAAGATGGCGCAATTTCCGGAAGTTGCTGATAAGGACGGGAATGGGGAAAAAGAGAGACTGGGGAACAGAAAGAAGGTAACGAAATCCTAGGACCTTGCTCACCTTTGGGTTTGGGAATTAAAAGAAGGGATGTGGCAAAAACAGAAAGGAAGAGAATGCGGCAACAGAGGAGGGGAAACGGCCAGAAAAGGGCTGTTTGATGCTGGGGACTGCTTCGTAATGTGGGAAGTTCAGGCACTGGACCCCAAAGAGCTAGCGGAGCTGGTGGAAATCTACCTAGGGCACTTTCGGCTCTTGCCAACGGCTGGTGGGGAGGTTGGAATCGAATCGAAAAAAATGTTAGATTTAGCCAAAATTCTATTGGTCAATATGCTATCCGGGGACCCCACACACAGTGGACCTAAAGATCCTGAAGACAGTGTGAGGAGGTTCCAGGGCTCAAATCAGTCCAAGGTTCGTCCCTCTCCCGGAGAATCTTATCTCGACACGCCGCTCGCCGCTGTGGGCATCGTGGCCATCGAGACGGGGTTTGGCGGGGCATTCAGCAGGGTTGCCACGCAATGACTCAGCCGAGTACGTTCTCCGAAAAAGCCCGAACAGCACCGCAACATGAGGCTCTCGCATCGATGAATGGCCTGGGCACCCATGGTGTACCTATGGTTTCCAAATCCCATGTCTGATGGGCTTTGCGTGCCCCGTGAAAAATCACCAACTTAGGACCCCGAGAACGAGACGAACAATACCAAAAGATCTGATGACTCAGGCCTGCAACGGGCAAAACGCCTAGAGCCTGGAAGTCCCAGCCACGAGTCAATAGGTGCCAATTTTCAGTGCTATTTGTCATTCGTGCCGAGGAGCTGTGGTCGCCGCACAGAACATTCAATATTGCAATTCGGCGACTTGAGGACTTGAGCCTTGAGCACTCGACGTGGATCACGAGTTACTGCGGGACTCACAAGAATGGGTGGCAACCGCTCGAGGGCGCGCGCGACATGACACGGAAACACGTGCCTCGGCGGATTCCCGGCTTGGCGTGTTGAGGCTCCCCCCACATGACAGAAGATGAACGCCGATGAACGGCGCTCGGCGGTGGACACCGAGCAATCGCCGTTGAAAATTTGATAATGGCCAATATCAATTACATAGGTTTCTATGCGTAAACCATCGTGGTTATCAAGACTCATCGGCCAGCTCCGACATATGCCAGGACGAGCTGCAAACCTGCAGAGGACGAGCCTCTTGGGAGATACTCTGCGCTCTTGAACTCTCGAGCCGCTCCACAGCCGCGTAACGGTATTGCGGCGATGCTGTTTTTATTCAGGGGTAAAGCTACGCCTGGGACAAGTTAGGCAAACAGGCAAGGTAGGTTGCTAAGATGTCCAGCAATACGTATCACGGGTTTGGAATCGACACGTGGACAGCATAAGTACAAGACACTGATGAATTAGGTAAAAAGAGAGGGAGAAGTTTTGCACAAGACCTCTCACCCGCCGTCCATTTCGGATGGCAAGACGAATACCTACACATAAGATCAATAGAAGCTAAAGTTGAGTGTCTTCTCACCTCGAAGCCACTACTTCCGAAACACCGCCGTTATATAGCAATCATTATCATACAAAACAGAAAATATGGGCTGTTGCTGTATGCTTCACTCACTCACAGGGACACAAAATAGCCGTGGCTTTATTCAAAGCTGGCTGGACCTGTAGCGTTCGGATCGGGGTCATAGAACAACTCATAGTAGTTGTAATAACGCCTCTCGGCCCGTAGTCGGGTCGCCTCATCCAGTTCAGAGAGTCCACCATTCTCTTTGCCAAACTTCGCCCTGGTGATGGCGGAGACGGACTGAGGACTGTTCTCAATGATTAGCGTCATTACCACTATCACATCGCATAATTGGGGATCAGAAAAAACTCACCCAAACAACTCCCGATCAATGATCAGGAACTCTTTCATAGCATCCTTGCCACCCCGCTGCTGCAGGTAATTCATGTAAATCTGACCCAGCTCCTGCTTAACAGCAGGGGACAGGTGGCTCTTTGTGCGCATCTCAGTGAAAACATGCTTGACGCGTTCCGCATGCTTGGCCTCCAACTCCGCGTTGGTGGGCTGAGCAAGCTCAAACTCAAGCCACTTCTGCCAGAAGTGCCGGCTGTTGGCGTACCACTCCACATTCTTAACAAAGGCTGTGCGCGCCTCCTCGGGCGAGCCTTTCACTTTCCAGAGCAAGTATGCCCATTCAGCCACAAGAACCGCCTTGGTGTAGAGATCAACCTCCGTTGAGTCAATCTGCCTCTTGTAAACCTCGATTGCCGCATCAAGCCCACTCTGGCGCCGTTGAAGGTTGGCCCACGCAACAATCGCCTCCACACAATCGGGAAGCTTGGTAAGGATAGATGCATAGATCTCCTTGGCCACGTCAACACGGCCACAGGCTTCCTCGAACTGGGCAAATTGAATACGGATACCAGGCCGGCTGATGGGAACAAAGAGAGTAGATGCACGCAAATAAATATTGCGGACCTCCTCTTCCTTCTTCTCTTGAGCAGCCATCCAGCGGGCATACCGGAACCAAAATTCCTCATAAAGAGCACAGGTGACGAGACAGCGCTCATAGAGGGCAACAATACGGTGGTAATTGCCTTCTGCCTCCTCGAAGTCTAGGTACTTCCGCCAGTTGGCCAGTTGCGCGTGCTCGAGCTCCGTAACGTGGAAATAAGGACGCTTGATCTCGGCTTCGAACGTCCAACGCTTGTTGGTTTCAGTCTGCGTTGTCTGAAAGACCTGGTAGTAGTAGGCATCAATCTTAGCCCGGATATCACGTTCGATTTCGAGCTCGGTCTTCTGCATGGCAAACTGAGCAGCCTCGGCCTCGACTTCAGCGCGGAACCGGATGAGAACATCGGACGATACCAGCTCATGAAGAGGGCGAGTGTGGGCCATCTGCCGGAAACGCTCATAGTAGCGAGCATACTGATGCATCGGGATATAAATAACACGCTTAAGGATGGCGAAAATCCTATCATGTGCCTCCTGCCGAGTCTCGTACTCCAGGTACTTGTCCCAGAAGGGGTGAGACAAGAAGTCCAGGCCGATATGCGTGGCAGCACGCTCAAAGAGCCTAGGAATGAGGTCAGCAGTGAGTAAATCTGTCTGGAAGGGGGCGGGGTGGACGGGATGGGAGCTTCAATACAAGAGGGGACTTTGGTGTTGTAAGAAGCGACGCGTTGCAGCCAAGATAGCCAAGTGACATCTCCGGGGCATGTGCGAACGAGAAACGAGCAGACGGCCACAGTATCATGAAACGTGATCTGCTAAGTACAGCAGAACCTGGCTAATCGTTGTGAGAGAGGCATCCCAGCAAGGGGTGGCAATGGCTGCCATTGGTTTTTCTCTCACCATGTCCCGCGCGTGTGTGTCCGTGTGCGTGTGTTTGTATGTGTATGTGATAGTTGGCCGGAAGTGGTATGTGGTGCTTCTCTCTCTCGGTTCGGCGGCGGCCAAGGCGGCCTCGCAGAAATGCTGCGGTGAGGTATTATGGAAGGGGGGAGGGGAGGGGGATGGGAAGGAAATTTCCATCATCACTTACTCTCTCACCAGGTGGGGAGTGTGAGTTGTCTCCATCTTGAAAGAGCAGTACTCGGTCCAGAGGTCAACCGAGTTGGTGATGCTGGCGCAGCCCCGCTCATAGACCTGACCGCCATGTCAGCAGCTGTATGATTACGTCGTGTGGCCGATTGAGAAGACCAGCAACCGGACATACCATCTCTGCCGCCTCAGGGCCGGCAATGTTGAACTCGAGGTCGGCATACTTCTTCCAGTAACCAAAGAGGAGCGGAAACTTGAGCAGAAAACGGTCGTACGAATCGCGAAGCGTTGCCAGGGCTTGAGGGCTGGAATTGCGGTTTAAGCCGCCCTCGAGGTTCTCGCAAGTCCGAACTAGCCTCTCCCAGTTTTCGAAGTTGTCTGGATCCGAGTCCTACAGGCAGAAAAATTGCATCAGCAAACATGCCTCCGAAGGCTTCTCTGGCCTGCCGGCATTGCTTTGAAGAAACCTGCTGGTGCTTGTGATGGGCTTGAAAGAGCCTGGCAACTTACGAGCTCGGCATTGAGACGCTTGATTTCGGCATTTTCCTCGTCAGAACCGCCGTAGTTGAAGTCGCCCATCTTGAAACAATGTATGTCAAGACTAAGGCTACGAAACTATTTAGACAGGGGGCTCTAGGTCAGCAGAAATTGGTGTAGAGGTCGGGGCTGCAGGAGAGACGTAGGTAGAATCAACCCTGTTGACCTCTAAGCGTGTGTCAAAAGTTCAGGAATAAAAGGGTGCGTGAACGCTGGTGATGAAGCAGCAAGGTTGTGAAAAAGCAGAGGCGCAGGCAGAGACCCACTTATGATGCGCGTCAAAGAGACACGGAGTGCACAGACCCGCTTGGTTGCCAAGCGACCACCGCAAGAAGCTTGGCGTCCATAAAGTTTGTTCTGTGTACTGGTCTCTGTTCGACCTTTTCTCTTTTCCACCAGGCTTGTGATGATGCCATCAATTGTGATAGGAAGAGGATGATTCTCTATAGCTTGGGAATGTGATCTTCCACACTGATGCAATCTGAAGCCTATTTGTGTTCTCTTCTTGTTGCTTCTTTCTTCTTTGTCACTCTCTGCTGTTAGAGGTTAACTCTGGTCTTTTGCAGGGCTGATCTAAATTAGTGACCTGGATAATATTTAGGACAAACCTTTTTAAAACGTTATGCTGCTGATTGATAGACTAAAATGTGACAATGGCTGCCTCCTCAAATGGGACACCGATATGGAACCAAGTTGATGAATGCATTTTCATGGGTACTATCTAGGCAGATACTTTAGGTGGCTTCATAATCTGTATTCTATTTTGCTAAGAGCGTGTCGAGACTTGTGTGCATCAAAATATGAGAACGGTTGTTGGACTTACAGGTGGAAGCCATGTCCTTATCCTGCACGTCAGCCCCACGCAGCCGCGGCTGTGGACACAAAGTGTCTGCCCGCAGCCTGACCCCGGGAGCCACTAGCGCAGCCGACGCCGCTGCGGTTACACCGTACGTACCTTTATGTGGCCTGCAACCTGCGGACTGCCTTGCACATTGACAGTGTCCCTGGGATTCCCATCGGTTTAGGTGGGTGTTTATGGTATGGGGACTACTGAGGAAGTTGAGTCTCACCGCTTGCATGATTGTCACCAGCAAACCATTTCCAAAGAGTTACGACTGGTCAACATTATCAGTTTGGGTTTCTGCATCTGGCACAACCCCAGGAAACCAACTGATCTCTCTTCAAACCCGAACCACCATGCACTGTCCACCTAGAACAATCACCATACTTGCTCCCCTCCATCTCCCTGTTATGCGCGCCTAAACCCACACCATGAGCCAGATTTACAGCGATTCGGTGGTAATCGCGCCGCAGGGTTCACGCCCATCTGCAGATATGACTAGTCAGATTTTCATCCGCGACTATCCTCACCGCGCGGTCGCAATCGCATCCGGCTCGCACACCCTGATCTTGCGTCACAGCCCAGCAACGAGCGAAGCTTCTTCCAACGGCAGCCTCGCTTCTTCTGGGCGCCAGCGCTCAGGAAGTTCCGGTAGTGTATCTTCAAAATGCATGGTCGAGTTCACACCAACTTCAAAGCGACTACTGGAGGACTATCGCCCGCTCACACCGCGCCCCATCTATGGAACGCTGGGACTCATTTCCACAGGACGTGATGTCTTTCTCTGTGTGATTACGCAGGCATCTCGTGCTGCAACCCTTCGGCCAGGGGAAACGGTGCAGAGAATCGAAGCTGTGGAGTTCTTTTGCTTGAATTCGGCCGAGTACGACGACGTCCCCACGGATCCTTATGACCTCGACTCGGACATCGCTGTCCATACCGGCCAAGGGTTTGGCCGGAGAGATGGGCTGGATCACCCATGCCAAGAACTACAGAAGCTCTTGGGCAATGGGACATTCTATTACAGCACCGACTTTGACGTGACAAATCGCATGCAGGATAGGTGTGTGAACGAGCGGCTTGAGATGCTCAACTTGAGAACTAGAACGTTCGCTAACCCCATTCCAGGCCAGTTGATGCCACAGAATTCGATCTTGATAACTTCGATGAGTCCTTTCTATGGAATTCCTTTATGATCCGCCCCCTTATCCAGTTCCGGTCCCGACTACAACGGCATGAAAGGGAAGTCCTTGATGCATCAAGGATTCTCACTTGTGCAATTCGCGGTTTCTGCAAGACTATTCCCATCCCCCAGGCTATGGCGCCCTTGAGCACTTCCCGCTCTGGACTGCCCTCATACTTAACGGTCATATCGCGTCTCTCATGCAAGAGGGCCGGCACGAGGTTCAACTCGCGCGGTATTGATGATGATGGAAATGTTGCCAACTTTGTTGAAACAGAAACGATCTATTGGAGCCCATCAGGAGTTGTTTTCTCCTATGTCCAAGTTCGCGGGTCGGTCCCCGTGTTCTGGGAACAGTCTGCTGGCCTGCTGCCTGGTCAACAGAAAATCACCATCACTCGATCCCCAGATGGTACCCAGCCAGCATTTGACAAGCATTTCTATGGTCTGGAACAGGCATACGGCGCTGTGCATGTGATTAATCTCCTGAGCGCCACAAAGCCATGGGAGCTTGAACTTACCGAGCTCTATCGACTTGGCATCAGAAACTGTCCACTTAGTCATCCTGGTGGGAACAAGTCTAAAGACCACGCCTTGCTGAGAGACACTGAATATGACTTTCATGCAGAGACAAAAGGCCCTCAGGGTTACGTAGCAGCTAATGAAATCCGCCGATATATTGAAGACTCGGCCGACGGTTTTGCGTACTATCTGGCCGAAGAATCAGATGAGGCACAACCCGACTGTCAGGGCGAGCGCAGATACGTTGTCATTTTGCAACAAGAGGGTGTCTTCCGGACCAACTGCCTCGATTGCCTGGACAGAACAAACTTGATTCAAACAATAATCTCTCAGATGGCTGTTGAATCTTTTCTTGGTCACCGGGGCGAGCACGCCCTCTCAGATTTCTGGTCTAGGCATGGTAGCTTGTGGGCTGATAACGGTGATGCTTTGTCTAAGATATATGCTGGCACCGGCGCCCTCAAGTCTTCGTTCACAAGGACTGGCAAAATGTCTCTTGCCGGCGCAATTGCGGATGTGCGCAAGTCTGCTACAAGGCTCTATATCAACAACTTTGCCGATAAAGCCCGACAAAACACCATCGACACACTCCTTGGCAGGCTGGTAGGCCAGTCACCCGTGATTGTCTATGATCCTATCAGCGACTATGTTGCTGGCGAGCTGCAGCGGCGAAGCCATGAGTTCTCTTCAAATCAAAAGATCCACATGTACGTGTCGTACAAATAGAGAGGTTTAGGTTTGACAACAGTAGGGCTCTGCACGATACTGACCTGTTGCAGCTTCATTGGGACATTCAATCTAAATGGCAGAACTGAGGGCATCGATGAGGATCTTTCGCCATGGCTTTGCCCTCCTGAACTGAGGGGTATCCAGCCAGAGATCATTGCCATTGGGTTTCAGGAGATCGTAGAGCTCAATCCCCAGCAGATCATGAACAGTGACCCAACCAGGAAACAAGCCTGGGAGCGGGCAATCAAGCGAACGCTCGACAAGCACTACAAGCTGGAAGGAGACGATAAGTACGTCTTGCTCCGAAGTGGTCAGCTTGTTGGCGCCGCTTTATGCATCTTTGTCAAAGCCTCGGTGCTGCCTCACATCAAAAATGTCGAGGGCAGCGTGAAGAAGACCGGATTGTCAGGGATGGCTGGCAACAAGGGAGCTGTGGCAATCCGACTCGATTATGCCAACACACCCATCTGCTTTGTGACAGCCCATCTAGCTGCTGGCTTTGCAAACTATGATGAGCGGAACCGAGACTATGCTACGATCGATCAGGGCCTCTGGTTCCAGAGGAACAGGGGGATCCGCGACCATGGTAAGCCATTCTGCAATGAGCATGAAAATATTGCGCAACTGACAGAAAACAGAATCCGTCATCTGGTTTGGCGACTTCAACTATCGAATTGGGCTGGATCTCGAAACGACCAAGAACCTTGTCAAGAAGAAAAACTTGGAATCGCTATTTGCCAACGATCAACTGAATCTGCAGATGATCGCTGGTCTTGCCTTTCAGTATTATTCAGAGGCCCGCATCAACTTCTTGCCGACATATAAGTACGATATTGGCACAGACAACTTCGATACCTCGTAAGTCGTGGAGCCCACCCCCCCAGAAGATTTGATTCTTTTTTTTTCTCAGACCGGACTGACGAACCGAATGTAGCGAGAAAGCAAGGATTCCTGCTTGGACGGACCGGATCCTTCGAAAGGGGAGCAATCTGCGTCAGTTGGTTTATAATTCCGCCCCTCTGCGTTTCTCCGATCATAGACCCGTCTATGGCCTCTTTGAATGCACAGTAAACATTGTGAACGAGAAAGTCAGGGATAAGATCAGTCGGGAAATCTACGAGCGACGCAAGGCCGAAGTTGGCCGTGATACACCGAATCTCTTAGACGATTGGGAGGATGAAGATCTCATCGGCTACGAGGCCATAGAGCCCGGCCTTCCGGCGGCCAGCTCGGACAGGCAGAAGTGGTGGCTAGAAGGCGGCAAGATGGCGCGGTCAGGGATCAGCCCGCCCAAGCCCGAAAGTCCGGCTCACCAAACTATTCTCAATCCTAAACGACAGGCTAACCCATATGTGTTGTCTGACGAACCAGATTGGGTCAGCATTCCAAGATCCGAGTCCCGGATGTCCTCGTTCTCTAGCATGTCAACATCGCCCTTCGAAAACATCACCCATTCCATGCTATCGTCGTCCGCGTCAAGCTCAGGGCCTAGGAAGCTCCCTCCGCCATACAACCCATCAACTCTGCCCGCTAAGGTTGGGCGAATGCAAATTGTTGACGAGGCAAAAGCTTCTCAAACTGAAGGCCCGCCTCCTCCTCCTCCGCGTAGGACGACAACCAACGCAAACTTTGGTGCTGCAACCATTGCTTCAGCTAGCTCGCCCTCTGAATCTTCGAAGAGAAAGCCGGTACCGTCCAAAGACACCACACCAGTTGCCAGCGGTACCGGTACTCCTGCTGTAGCCAGTCCTCCCCCGATCGCAGCGAAACCCGCGAATCTCAAGTCCAAGCCTGCTGTTGCGCGCAAACCAGCACATTTGGCCGCGCCAACTTCCCCGGCGAGTAGTACCTCGACGATTGGGCCAGCCGATACGGCAGTACAAGCGCCGCAGCCTCCTCCACGGCACTCAATATCTAGCTTCGGTAACGTCGGGTTTGACAGCACGCTCACACTGCTTGACTCAGACCCTACCTTTGATAACCCCCCTCCTAAGCCGCCGCGGCGGACCAATACAGGCGCTAGCGTCGCCAGTATGCCGCCCTCTATTGGCAACAAACCGGCAATAGCAGTGACATCAATCACACAATCGCACCGAGTAATACCTCCTGCCGGTGCTCTACCTGGAGCAGGCGGAATCCCTCCAGCGATCGGAGCGGCGATAGCGGCGGCAGCCCAGGAACGCCGGTTAGCGCTCCCGCAAAGGAAGCCAACAACTGGGACTTCCGGCTTCATGGCTGGGGTTGGAGCTGGAAACAACGCTAATGCTGAGGCTGGAACTCCGGGGGAATTTGGTTCTAACATCAATCTCTCGTCACAGAAACAGGCTCCGCCACCACCCCCAAGGAGGACAACGAATCTTGATCTGCTGGGGGATGATGATGATGCGGGGAGCATGAGCGGGTGGGAAGCCTTGAAGCCCATGAGATAATTGCAGAGATGAACATTGCATCTTTTGTTCCCTGATTCTTGAAGGGAGTTGTCGGTTCGTGAGGGACAAGCTGTCCTTCACGGATCGCTTTTCCAGTTCCAGAAAGTCCTGGAACTTGGAGCCGAAAAATCTCACGGTTAAGATAAGGCCAGAGGCATAGGATGAGCTGAGCAAGGAGGCCGGGTATTCCAAGCCAGATAGCACCACTGCCCTCAACTTTAAGGAAGAACGAGTAAAGGAGTTGATCAAAGCGAAAGTTCAGAACCAATGAGAGATAAACGGCAACGGACAGGGTTTAAAAGCGGATTTGGACTTGCGACCGCAAGTTGATACGCTAAGCTTACAATCGAGACTACCCAACGTTCTGATAGAGAGGTCGATGAAAACGGAATGGGCTGCTGATCAGATCAGCCAGTAGTGTATATGTTTTACAATAAGCCAAGTGTCTTCCTGGAAGTTGTGCGGTGATATGTTTGATCAAACCTTCCCGCGGTCAGCCCTGTTCAAAATAGCTAGCGAGTTACCTATTTGGTGCCTATGTACATCTTTATGCAGTGCACAGTACGCGGCACAAACCAGATGGTGCATCATACCCATTCCAATTACAGACGTCACCGAATCTCAACGTCCTGATGAACACCCGTTCTCGGTGTGTCCGGCACCCGAGTTCTGCCTGATTCATCGCAGGAAGCGAGATAAGTATCCAAGGGGGGAAGAAAGCATCAAAAGATACCTCTGGACAATGGCGAGTTAATTGAGTTGGAGCCGGGTTAAAAGAATTGGTAAGTGGGTGCATCTCGGTTGCTCATGAGAGCCATAGGAAATGCACATGCGCCTACATACCCGCCTAATGTAGGTCCATGTCCGTCCGATTCATCTTGTCACCACTGCCAGCCGCAGTTCCTTATCATGTCAGATGCAACCTTATTCTACGTGCATACCTACCTACCTGCCGTAGCAAATAGTTTCCATGGCTGCAGATGCCTTGCCTTCTATACTAACGGGTATGTCCATGAGTGCTTATACAGGATATGCTCGATCATCACCGTTCCAATGTGCTGCAGCGCAGCGGGTTTGCTGAGGGCTGCGGCATGCACAACGAGCGCTGTCCGTCGAACTTCCAAGCACCTGCTGGTAAGCGTCAGAGCATTGCATACTGCCCTGTCCTCTTGGGACAGTGGTCCATGCCTCTGTCCCGAGCTTGCTGGGTGCCCGGGGCTGAGGCGGGTCTGGGCAGCAGGTGGGGTCCATCCATTGTCAATGGGTGCCGTCGAGAATGGAACAGCCCAGGCTGCAAACAGTGGTGCTGAGGCGGTGGCCATCGCTGAGTGATCAGCAGCCCCACCCACGCCAAGCATGTTAGCACACCCCGAACGATGCATCGTCCAGGGTTCGTGGTGGGCTGCCGGTGGGTGCTGTGGGTGCATGTGGATGCTTACAGAGTACCTACCGAGAGGGACAAGCCCCCGATCCAGTGCATCAAAAGATTTCTCTTGAGTGTTTGACCGACATCCACAGGCGCACTGCACTAGACAGAAGCACCAAGGCATGCCCAGAGGCCCCAACTTCCGTCGGGCAAAAAAGACGGCACAGGCCACAAGGACGCCTGGACGCTTGATAAATTGTGAAATCCCACCTCACCTTAACATGCTCTCCGGTTTCCAGATTTTGATGGTTTCAGATGACGGACGGACTGCAAACTGCAAAACACTGACCTATGATTATGCATTCCCCCTTTCTGATTTTTTTGGATTTTTTTTTTCCTGAGCAGCGCAACTGTCTCTGTACCGATACGGATTACTTGCCTACTTAGTTGAAACTGCAACTGCTTGAGCGCCGAGCTGGACGCTGGTGTGCTCTGCAAACTGGGATGCGAACAGAGAAGTGCGCACCGCTTCAGTCTTCCTTCCATTTTATCCTATGCCTGCCTTGGTCTTTTGCCTCACCAGCTGTGTAAACCATCCCCCATCGAGCTGCTGCAACCCACCTAAGCATTTGTGCGGGTTTCATCCTTCTCCAAGCACACGCCAATTGCTTTCTGCAACTCGTCCAAAGACAACGCGCATCCCTCCCAAGCGAAAGTCTATCGGTCCTGGACAGCCATTGCCCTGGACCGGATTATCGATCTAGCTCCTGTATCTTCCCGAAGGAATGGCTGACGCTGCCGCCGACCGGTGACACAGCGCTGTTATCACTACTCGACCACAAAGTGCCACGGGACACCCCATACACGCCAGACGGAGAGATACGAACAGTTTCCCTCTGACCCGTTGCTGACTGGTTTTTGATCCATTCGTTACCCACTCGGCCTTGACGTTCCGTCTTGTTCTGTTGCAGCTGATCGGAACCCGGGACACGCTCGCTGCCCGTTCCACAATACCGCACGTATCACAGGCACGTGAAGCACTAGAACGACCTGAGACCGGTTGCTTGTGGGTGGGTGAGTGGCGAGTTTGTCCTAATTTCCTCCGCCGTCTGTACCAATGCTGCAGGCCTCGGGCTTTGGCCCTCTCGTTTGTTTGTCCAGCGAGACTTGACCCTTTGTTTCCTTTTGCTTGTTTACTTCCTGGCCTAACCCCTATCCACATCTGACTCGTGATCTCAGACAGAATACTGGCAATTCGTATCAGACTCGCTGTTTTCCGTGCTGACAGTATTCAACAGGCACAACATCGAACTGTTCTTCAAGTGATAGCAACCACTGTGCAAGCTTGTCCGGTTCACGAGTCCAGTGCCACAACCATGCGTCCTGGTTCGGGAGAGTCGGTACAACTTAGCGCTCCTGCTCCATTGAATTTGGACCTATCTAGATCTATAGCATTGGCCACGCCCCCGTCGACTTCTCCTGTTCAACCCAACACTATGACATCCAAGACAGACATTCCAGAAACCGCCAGGGAAAACAAGTCCCTTGCAGACGACAGCTCTGTGCCACAAGACAAATCTCAAGCCGAATGTGCTAGGCAAGATCGTCATCGAGACACACGTGCGACTCCTCCGACGCCACCCTACAGCGCAGATGAAGACCTTCCACCTCCTCCAGTTGACTGGCTTGCTACACGATCTCAGCTTCTTCCTCGGCGGAATCAGGGCAACAAGGCCGATTGGATTCGCGGCTGGAGTGCCGCTGTCAGCAGTCATGGGAACGAAACCTATTGCGCTTGTTCGGAGGCATTCGAGACCAGTATATATCTCGCAAGCAGTAGCAGCAGCAGCAGCAGCAAAAGTGGTGGCAAAAGACGTATAAGCTTAGGAAGGAAAGCCAGCGGGATCGTCACGGCTGTTCGCGAAATACTTCTTCCTAGGTCAGGTCTCAACAACCTTAAGCCCTCTGGCCCCCCACAAGTGTGTCCCAACTGCAGCCGTCCCCCATCTCCGCCGACTTCTATCCCCTCCTCTAGCATCTTTTCCGCAAGCGAGAAGCTCAGCGAGTCGATCCAGCTGGGTACGAGCCGCCTTACTAAGCGAGTAAGCATCATCTTTAAAACCGCCAGCGACCGAGCGCGAAACCTTGGTTCAGGCAGGAGGAGCAGTTCCCAGCAGCAAGTACCACGATACAGACACCGCGATGACCACGACGAACCGATAGCTTATCAACCACGTTGGGCTACCGCTACCCAAGGCAACAACAGCAACAGCAACCGACGTTCTCTACCCCCTGTGAATCGCTCTCGGACACAGCCCATAGCACAGAGGAAATCACACGGCAGCTTGCTAGACGTTTTTAGCAAGATGAAGGGGGGAGGAGAGGCAGGTGGTCGTGTCCCGCAAACATCGTCAACAAGAAGGCACACCCTGTCAGGGCTGTCAGAATTGTCAGATTCGGATAATTCAGATTTTCCCTCTCATGGTGGAGCCGGGTTGGCTAAGCGGTTGTCAAGATTACAACGGGCCGCGGCATTACTGCACAGAAGTCACAGGTGATCCTAACCGAAGGGAATAGTGTGGAGGCCAGAGAACCTAAGGTAGCTCATGGCTTTTCATCCTGCGGATACTCTACGAAGCTACAGTGCTTACATTGCAAAAACGAGTGGCACAGGAGGAGCTTGGTGCTTTTTGGTTGTGCTCAAAAAAAACTTTACTGCCTAGAGCTCAATCACCAGCGGCGATCAGTTCACCTGGCAGTTCACAGGTTGCACGTTCCTTAATGCACGACACATATGAACGGCGAACAATGTTTCCCATTACTCTTGCTGCACGGCAACGGCCAAGTTACCTACTGCCTATACCACTAACTGCTACGCCACACCCATCTAGCCAAAGATCCCAATGAAAAAGCCGGCATGCTCACCCACAGAATCAACGACGAGGGAGATGCCTTTTTGCCAACCATTGATTGCCGCTTATCACTCCGCTTACCGGACACAAATCATTGAACCTGGGATAAATGTGGTGGGTATTTGTTCAGGGCCAACATCAGCATAAAGTGTACTGTATAACACTGATTGACAAACGAGCCGAGTGGAAAAGAAGGAATGGGCGTTTGAAACTGGGGTGAAAGGTATGATGATTCTTTTTTAGATAAGGATGTTAGGATATGTGTATGACTGTTTGTCTTTGTCTATGGGATACAGACGAGACACTTAGGATAGTAATGGTAACTTTAATCACCTCATTTGACACTTTTTTCAAGCGGATATTTGATTAGTTTTGAAATGCTTTGGGGGCCAGCTTTGCTTTCTGCCCTAATTTCGCATCCGGTATGATAGACTGTCAACTTTGACTCAAAAAATGATATTGCTTCAATCATAAGGCTGTAAAACGTCCTACCAAAGGTAGAAAGTTCGTCGGATTACTTCCTCTCCTGTATATCTGGAAGACAGCCTACTTTAATTAAAACCGTGTTCCAAAGACTACCTGCCCGAACCCCCACCTGTATCAACAGTGGTCACTCCTAGTAATAAAGTACCTAGAAAATCCGCACATCCTCTTGCAAATAAAAGGTTACCGAGGAAGCGGGCAATTTGGGAACTCAAAGACCATAACACCCCCCAGAGAAATAGTGGATAGGAGCAGGCCGGATGAAGCACTAGTAAAGGTGAAAATTTGGGATGGGCTTTAGTTTAGATGTGGTATATTGCCTCCACTGAACGAGGACAACGGATTTCTGGGGATATGGGGGATGAGAGCTTGTCTCTCCTGGGGCAAAAGAGACAGGAGAAGGTGATAAGCGTAAAGGACTGATTACAAAAATAAGCCGATACGCGTCTCCCGCTCGCCCAAGGAAAGAAAGCAGAGCAAAAGAGGAAAACGGGGTGTACGAGGTAGTAACAACGAGAAAACAGGCAGAGGGGAGAAAACGGGTGTTACCATCCATGCCCTGCATTTTCAATTCCCCCCCAGCTCCCACCAAGCAACCAACTAACTCCCTTACGCAAGTCCAGCCCTTTGCCTATTGACCAAACCGTGCTTGCCGCAGATCACGTCTACCAGCCAGCCCAGTCCAGAGACAATCAAAGTTCCATTTCCCCAGCGCAGCGATAACTAGAAGTCCCGAATTAGGAGACACACAAGAACACCAGTACTCCACCCATTAAAACAGGCGGTAGCAATCTGGACTTGGAGCTCTTAAAAGGAGACTGAAAGGGCGCGATAATAACTGAAAAAGAGGACAAAACGAGGAAAAACGAGCTCGCAACAAGACGCTTACTGCTGCTCGGGAGCAGGCTCGTCGGTCTTGCCGTCCGTCTTCTCCTCGGCAGGCTTCTCCTCCTTGGAAGGCTCGGCAACGGGCTCCGGCTCGCCATTGTCGGACGAGGTCCAAAGAGTGAGGTTGTCGCGGAGCAGCTGCATAATCAGAGTGCTGTCGCGGTACGACTCCTCCGAAAGCGAGTCAAGCTCAGCAATGGCATCATCGAAGGCCTGCTTGGCGAGGTGGCAGGCACGATCAGGAGAGTTGAGAATCTCATAGTAGAAGACGGAGAAGTTGAGGGCAAGACCCAGGCGGATGGGGTGAGTGGGGGTCAGCTCGCTCTGAGCAACATCGGTCGCGCTCTGTACAAGGAAAATTAGCAACCTCGAACTTTTTAGCGCACAATGGTGGTGCTGTCATTACCTTGTAAGCCTCATGGGCAGCGGTAGCGGCAGCTTTGCGCTTCTCACCCGAAGCGAACTCGGCCAAATAGCGGTGATAATCACCCTTCCTGTTGAGAAGATTTCAGTTAGAGCCCGACCCTTTCGACACAAAACTCCTGCGACAGGTTAAACTTACATCTTGTGGTAGAAGACCTTTGACTCGCCGGTAGAGGCGGCGGGGATCAGGTTGTTGTCAAGGACCTCAAGAACATCGTTGCAGACCTTCTCGAGCTCGTCCTCAATCTTGTGGCGATACTCGCGGATGGCAGCGACGTGCTTCTCGGCGCCCTTGGACTCCTCCTTCTGCTCAATAGACGAAATGATGCGCCAGCTAGCACGACGGGTGCCAACTACGTTCTTGTAGGCGACCGACAGCAGGTTGCGCTCATCAACCGAGAGCTCACCGCCCATCTTGGCCACATCCTTCATGTAGGTGACCATCTCGTCATAGCGCTCAGCCTGCTCGCAGAGGCGAGCGAGGAAGGTCTTGCTGTAATTTTATTATGCATCGGTCAGCTGGTGGTGCGGGGAGAATGAAGGTCTGCCGGCAGCGGCGGGATGCTCGCAGCCTGCAACGGCGATGGAAACACACCTCTCGCGCTACATATTGACAGAAACATGTTAGCTTTCTGCAATCTCTGATGAGAGGATGTGAGACAGCTTGGGCTGACTGGCGCTCTAGTGTCGTCGCCGAGCCGATTGTGATATCATGCGGTTGAGGAACGGCGGGCTGCTCGGCGGCGGCCGGTCTGGCGACTTACCTCGTTGGCCATTTTGAATGCTAGTCGGGATGATTTGGGAGTTGAGGGTTTCAGAAAACAGATTAAAAAGTCGCAAGGGAAGGTTGGTGGGAAGAGGTGGACAGGACTGATTTGTTGTTTTTTGTGATGGTGTTCAGAAGTTGCAGGTGGGTTCAAAGCGAAAGGGACGCTTGGGAATGAGGGCCAAAAGGCAACCCCCTCATCAGCCATCAGCTGGTGGGTGCGAGTGCAGCCGAGAAGCTGGGGCCCCTGTCCCACTCGGACGCTGGTAGGGGTGGGCCCCGCTTTGGTCGCGTTAGCACGTGACCCTGGTGCCACCTTATTTCCCAGCAAAGGAGAACGAATTGGACGTTTCACCCTAACAGGTGCTCACATCGGTCAGTAGTCCCCACAGTCCGGAACACATCCCTCTCTGTCATCTGCCGGGTCGCTCTCTGGACGCTCATCAACTGGTTCTGATGAGTGGATGCTGTCATTTTACGCCAGCGTAGTTTTGGAAAGCAGTGTGCATCTTCATTTTATTATCTCGGCGCCAACCACCGTGTGAATGCTACAACGCCATTCATTGAGCAGCCGACTTTGTCTAATCAATAGCCATCAAGGCGCTGCTGCCTGCCTTCATCATGACGCTGCTGAGCCGCTCTCAAAGTTTGAATCAAATAGAATTACAGGGTGTTTAATAAACAGTCCCCAACGGTTTCCAGAAATGATGAGCACATACTCTCTTCTCTTCACCTGTCCTGTCTGAGCATGAGTGTCGAATCTCCCAGTGACATCGCCCAACACCACAACGCTCTTGCCTACCATCAAAAAAGACGAACTTAACCTTAAAAGTATCTGGGCCAGGTTGTGTTGAAGCACGCAGTGCCCTCGGTGGCGGCGAACAGTGATCTTGGGCCTAAGCTGCAGCGAAGAGGTACTAAGTATCTCTGGGAGGGGCTGCTGGCACGTCACAAAAAATTCATCCATCCGCACACCACACACACAGAAACAGAAGGCAATCTTGACACCAAGCCCCTCCATTCAGCGCATCCGATCTGGTTCCCTCCTTCTCATCTGCCTTTTCTTCCCTTATCAGCACACCTCCCGCGCGCCCGCTCGTGGCACCCATCCTGTTTCATGCCGTTATCCATGGCCCAGTCCTATTTCAAGCTGGCGGCAGTCACGGGGTAAGGCGCTTCCTGTTTCCTGGAGACCCAAGCTGTTTCCCCTTTTCTCGGTTCTGTGCTGGACAGCGGTTGGCCTTTTCAGTATGTGGGGTCTAACAATGATGGCCCCACTTGCCAATGGTTTGGGTCCCTTCCACTTCTTTTGCTTCCTCCCCTGTCGTGGTGGGGCTCAGCGACAGCTCACAACTCCAGAGAGAGATGGAAGCGGCTAGAATGCCACAAGCCTTAACCCTCAGCCACTGCTTTTCCCCCTCCTTTTTGTGCCTTCTACCACACAATTTGCTCTGTTCAGACACATTAGGGCAATGCGAAACCGGCCCTGCCCAGCAGGAAGTCTGGGGGAGATTTTCGGGGTAGCAGGCAGCACAGCCCCGAGTTAGCAACTTGTCGCTATCGTCGCCGCCTTTCTGCTTTTTCTTTTCTTCGTTTGCTTCCCCACGCCGCTGCATCGCGTGGCTGAGCCGCCCAGGAAAGGCCCGGTCCATCGGCCCATCTCCGCTCATTAGCGAATCCCGGATTCCGCCATTTCGTGAGCAATGACCCGCCAATCGGCGCCGGGGATGGCCTTCCGGTCGGTGCTCATGTCACGCGGATTAAGCTGCCATCAAGACGGTGAAGTCACGGAGGTACTTCCATTGCTGCTGCATTCCAGTCTGTTTGAAAAGCATAATTAAGTATCTGGAAAGCCTGAGGGCAGAATTGTTTGTCAGGCACCTTCGTAAACTGTTGAAGTAGATTGATAAGGCTTCAACAGCCTACAATAGGACATCGGTGGTGTTGGGAACACTGGAGCAGTGTTTCTCATCAACGGCGCAGATGCCTGTCCTAATGTTAGCCATATTACTGAGAACTGGTCATGGATTGATATTTCTCAGCATGGTTTGCACAGCCGTTGTATGGGGTAGCACAGCGACCTGCATCCACCATTTCAAGCCCATTCAAGTCGACTTGGGGAAGTTCGCTATCTGTATGCGGTATTGTCCCTACATATCAATCTTGCTCTGTTGTGCTGGCGGTCAGGTCCTGTCAAGGGAGTGTGCCCCGTAACAGCTATCTTTGCCTCTTTGTCGAGAGGATTTTTATCAAGGTGCTACTGATCATGTATGATGGTCATCGCCCTTCAATCGATGTACATGTCTACCGCAGGTCGATTCCAAGATCAGGTAGGTAATTCAAATGTACCGGAGCCCAGCTCTTCCTGGAGGAATATCCCTTCTTGAGTACTCGTGTGAAAAATGATCAACTAAACTTGTTTCTCACTATTTGACTAGGGCCTTACTGGTCTATCGCAGTCTCCTTTGTCAAAGGGATCCAATGCAAAGAGGAGAGCTGTGTGATGTTCAATAGTTCCGTAGATATCCTGCTGTATGTTATTCTAACCTCCACCGTTGCTGATGACCACCAAACAGTTGTGAAAAGACCCCCATATTTTGCGAGCAATGGTCAAGTTTATTTCGGTCCGGCTAGGGAGCATTCGTCTCTGACGAAGTGGTTTGTGTCGAAAATAGGCTCTTGCATGGCGGCAACTGAGTCTGTGAATCAGTTTACCTGCCACCGTTCAGCTAGATCTCAAACGAAGATCACAAGTGATCAGGCATCGTCCAAGGACGCGACGGTGCCAAGGCTGCCGGAATGAGCCAAAGTTCGCATGAGTCAGGGGGCGATTATACACATTTGGCCAGGGTAGAGGGAAGCCGTGTTTATAGTTTGAGACTCGGGGTTGAGAGGCCCGGGGCACGGCCGCAGCTCCAGTTCGAACATGATATGCGAACAACACTGCTATGTCTGCTTAGGCCAAAGCTGGGAACGGAGACGATCGAAGCATAGTATTCCGTGATGTCATATCTCTGGTGATAGTGGGGGTCATTATACATCCAGGATACAAGGTCCTAATGCTCTGATTCTGAACGGTTGGTTCACTCTAAGCCTGCTGATATCAAATAATGACAGTATCCCGAACGCTCATGGTGGCTAAGCGAGGACAGAAGGTCGGCATATTACTCTACGTTTTCCTCGACATCCCTTCTCATCAACTGATTGGGACATTAGCAAAGGTATCACACACCCAGAAGCGTTAACCTGTCACAGACTTCTCAGCACACTTCCCCCGCCCGCGGGCAGATATTCTGTACGAACAATCATGACAACTCTTTGGAGTGTGATATAGATAACTGGAAGTCCAGAAGTATTATTACTGGCCATCACAACTTCTCCTAGTTCTGATAGGTGATATAGGTTATGGAAGGGTAATTTTTTGTTGTGATAACTCCGGGCTTATTTCGAGGTGGCTGGGAAATTGTAAGCGACATCAAGTGCCTGATTGAGAGTTATTAGCTTAAGATCGTGGGTTTGATACCATTACTGGCAGGATATCATTAATTAACAATGTGAGTAAAACTGGTTACCTGTCGCAATGCCAACTGCCCCTCTATATTATATACATTGAAGCCAGTTGATAACAACTAGTGATCAAGTTTTGATCACAAGTCTGCTGGCTCGTTTCCCTCCTCCAATGTTACATTATGCCTGCCTCGCCACCAATCCAAGGGGCCTTTGTCAGGAACGCAAAGACCCAATCTATAAAAATAATCGCGATGTGCATACAAGGGATCCCAAAACTTGAGAGCTGCTGGAATCCAGCCATTCACTACTGGGTCTGAAATCTCGGTTTTTTCTTCAGCCTCTGTCAGCCGCTTGCGGTTCTTAAACCACCCAAGGATGCGTAGCAGCCAGCTTTCATCCTTACAACCTGCGATACAAGACCGATCATCATCGCCTCGACATAGGTGAAGATCCTTAGGTTCTGGTGGCAACTCCGACTTCGAGATATATACTTCACCAGCATGTGAATGATATCCCCACTTTCCTGGTGGCAGCAACGGCACTGGATCACCGACATGCGTCACTCGACGGTAGAGTAGACTTTTCCCTCTCGGCCTGCCCTCCGCCGTTTCATAATCCAGCTCAAAGGCCCAATTGATAAAGTGTGCCAGTCCTTCATTCCCAATCCTAGGCTCCCCAAACGTTGTCACCGACACATCCTCCCATCCAAGCCCAATCTTCATCTCCAAGGCCGCCAGGGCTGCAACTGCCCCTCCTAAACTGTGTCCGATGAGGTGCACGCCATATCCAGGCCACTGTTTCCTTGCTGCTTTCACGACGGGAATCACATCATGCCGCGCAGCGCGCCAGGAGGCCATGAAGCCCATATGGACGGTGCAGTTGTGGCATCGGGCACTTTTTGCCTCGGGCCTGCCCCTTTTTCCTTTCTGATCAGCACCACCTCGGCCACCATTTCCTGGCCTTTCAGGTTCCCCTGGATACGGGATATACTCTTGTTGTTTTGTGCTCAAATCGGCCACTACATCTGCAAAACTATACGTTCCGCGGAAGACGACTACAATTTGGCCCTTACCCCCTCCCCGGGGATGGTAGCGGCCATAATGGTCGACTGCAACGTACCCACAGCTCCCAGTAAGGCTGGGGTGCGGAACAGTGCCGACTGTGCGCTCCCATGTATGTAGTAGGTGCACATTTGGGGGAGCTATATCTGGGTCATCGCAGTGGGAACCACAGTTGAATGGCTCAGTGAGGTGGGCTGGAGGAGGAACAACACTGCCGGTGCAATAAACAATGTGAGCTAATCGAGCTGCTCGGTCTAACGAGACGAGGAAGTGCTTTGAAACGCCGCGAGTGGTGGAAGGAGAGAGTTCTGAGGAAGAAATGACATGCCGCCGTTGTGATTTTGGGGAGGAGGGCACGAGAGCACCAGTCAATGCTGCGAGCAGAGTGAGCTGGATGACTGCCTGTGGGAAGTGCATTATATCGTGCTGACAAGTCTCAGGAATGGCTTGTATGATGAAACAGCAACGTTCATATCCTCTAAAGTTGAAAAATAGTTGCGATATTGAAGGTAAGGACTGAGTTGGTGAGTCCTCAACAACACCATGTTCTGTTGGAGGTTGTACCCCTTGAAAGCACGGTCACAGGACTGCTTGTAGTTAGGTAGGTGTGCCTCGTGACCGGGGTCTGCAGTGTGCCAAGAACAAGAGGTCTGCTTTGTTCTCAAATTTTCAAGTCAACCCCGTTTGAGCGATCAGTGGTGTCTCAGAATCGATGACATGTTTGGCGCTTCGAGGAATGCTGATGGCAAGCGGCATAAAGGCCAGCCATTTGAAGGCTGTTGTTGGTCGCAGTCTGCATTCCGCTGGCAGTCTTTGTGGCCACAGTCTTGGCATTTGGATTCTTGAATGCACGGGTGTGGACCCACCGACCCAGAAGTTTGAGCTTGGGTGGAATCTCCAGTCCCTCCTGATCGCTGGATGTTAGTGATTTAGGTACCTTAGGTATCATATCTTGTCAAAGATTAGTCAGAACTTCAAATGTCGCTCTTTAAGGTATTCTAGCTCTAGCCAGTAAAAGCTGAAATGGAAACAAAGACATCAAAGTGCATTGGATAATCAGAGCAATCAATCCTTAAACAAATACCTTCCTTCCATTGACAATGCTGGGCTCCGATATCAAACGACCTCTTCCCACAGCAAAGGCGGACTAGGCTGCAAGCTTGTAAAATTTCCTTCTGTGTCACTTATGGCCAAACAGCCTTCTCCCTGCTCAAGGAGAAAGCACTCGAACTCAGGAAACACAGTTCCCGCTGCCTCCATGCTTCCTCTGCCAAGAATATCAGCAATCTGCAACAGCACTTTTATAACAGAGAAAAATGCCAACTTACGGGCTCCCTGGACATGCCTTCTCAATCAAGGTCAACGATGCCCGTTCTGCATTGAAGATAAACTGCACCCGGCCATCCTCGCATGCCCATCTTGGTGTTGATCCCTTTGGTGCTACGTTGATAGAAGTCTGGTTGTAGTGGCAATCTGCGTATATGCTTGTCCCATTGTTCACATAGCTGAAGTTTATTATCGCCTTCTCCGCTGTTGTCTTGCTCAGTGGCACGAAGATGTTGAACTTGTGCACTACGAAGTGCTTTGGCAGAATGCAGTCCCTGGGACTATGTATAGGGGATAAGCCAGGAGTTACTTTGCGGTCCAGAGATGGCAAGGCGAAGGCAAATGTGGCCGAGACGAGAAACCCAAGCGCGAATAGGTTCATTTGTCTTTGTGTTGGGTACGAGACTCTAAAGTAATATGCGTCATCCATCAGTAGCCAAAGACACCAGAGTATTTGTTCAGGTCAGGCTGTCTTGGGCACCCGTGAAATCCTACTTGTAATATAGAAGAAGAATTGCTCATCCTATCTTTAAAGGTGATCGCTGGATTTAAAAGCACCATCTTCACGGAGCGGGTCCTTTGACAAGTTGTGCACACAAATGTTTGTGTTCTGAATACAAATTGTGGCATATATGCGGGCGCAATCTCCGTAATCAGATGCGAAGCCCATTGTTTGGTACTACATAGCAGTTGTTGGCTTTCTTCTCTTCTTTTTCTCTTTTTCCTTCTTTTTGGAATTCGCAAGACTGGTCGTTGTCTTGGAATATGTATGGTACATCAAAGCAGATTCTAGAACCAATGAAGTTATGAAGCGGATATATCTGCGATAATGTCATGGTCTCATGAAGATTATATAACGGGGAGGGAATAATCTTTATGGCACCAAACTTTGAGAGTTGAGGCCTCATTGAAGCCCCTTCGCCAGTACCGATAAATACCCACGTAGTACCCTTTTCCAATCAATTCCTAATTCGAAATGCAATAGGATTCCGATAATCACTTGCTGGGGAAGGCCTCCAAGTTGTCACCTTGTATTTCTGAATTCCTTCAACGCCTTTGACTTGTTCAACGTTGCGAAAGCACGAGATGGGAAGGCATGCGGAACACTGTGAAAAGACGGCAAAACTTCCGTGGAACTCGGCAAGCTCATAGAGGTGTCACAGTACATCACGAGGTTCGATTCGAAGGTTACAAATAGATTCTGCAGTTGGGACCGAGTGTAGTGTTTGAATGGGTACCGATGCGCAAAGCTGACTTAGTCAAGCAGTTCCATGCTAGTCATTATTCACACAAGGAAATACACATTATGGACAATGCCTCCTGCTCATCCTCTTCTCTCCCTTCCAGACGCCAAGCCTGTTGCCATTTCTGACGGGGCCCCCGTTGGCTGCGAGTTTGAGACGTAGCAGCTGGCTCAACGGTAATAGAAGAGATATCAGATATTATTGTAGGTGTAAGAAACAAATATATTTCAAGGAAGGAGAAGCAACTTAGATTAAACACGGATTCAACGCTTGCGTTGCGTAGGTCGACTGTAGGCTCTGGAGCCTAGAGGGATAGATTGCCAAGAACCGTGAACCAAGCACTAGCCACAAGCCACAACCACAACGGCCCCTTCAAGCCACAACCACAATTTGCGCCCTCAAGGCAGTTCCACAAAAATCCGCCCAGGCCGCACAAAAAATCCACTTCCACCATCAGCGCAACGAGTCAAACCAACCCGTTCGTTGTCCGACCCCCCGTCCTAGTCCGACGCCCCCTCCGCTCGCGGTGCGCGCCCAGGATCCAGGATTGAGATTTCGATCGATAGCAGAGATTACGTAGCGTCTGCAAGGATGTCGGAGGACGCAACTCCCAAGGCCCCCGTTGAGAGGACGGGCCTCATCCGCGGTCTGAACAAGGGCCACGTAGGTGTTCCCCTAGATTTGAGGAAGTGAAGTCGCTGGTTCTGTCTTGTGAGAGAACGGAAGTGGAAGTAGAGGTGGGATTAGGCAGGGCAAACGGTGGAATATGCTCGGCAGTCCCATGTGCAACGGATTGGAGGAGCGCAATGGAAGTTGCGAAGACTTCCAGGATGGCAGAGGGATTGATCGTGGACAGCATTCAATAATTGGAGTTAAAGAGGGCATGTTATCGGGATGGATTGCTGACTGGTGATCTCGATGGGGTTTCAGAAAACTACCCGCCGCGTCCTCAAGGAGCGGCCGTCCAGGCGTAAGGGCGCCCAGAGCAAGCGTACCCAGTTCGTGCGCTCTCTGATCCGCGAGGTTGCTGGGTAAGTATCTGCTCTTGATCATGTCTTATCCTCCTTTACAGGTCCGTCCTGTGCTCGGACAATGACAGGTCCGCACCACATGGGAGCCCAAGAGGCAATGACACCAGATGGTGGATGCTCAGCGGTCAATCATGGATCTCTGGGTCTTCTTATGTTAACTGAGCATCACCCCGTGATTTGAGTTATGGTGCTAACACATTCCCTTTCACCAGTCTTGCCCCTTATGAGCGTCGTGTAATTGAACTGCTGCGCAACGGCAAGGACAAGCGCGCCCGCAAGTTCTCCAAGAAGAAGGTATGATGTAACCGTAGACCACTTTCTCATACGTCAGCAGAGGAGCAAGAGACTGACCACATCGGGTACCAGCTCGGCACTTTTGGGCGGGCTAAGCGCAAGTGTGAGGAGCTGCAGCGCATCATTGCCGAGTCCAGAAGGGCTCACTAAATGGGGCTGTCGAGACCATATGCATGCCATCTAACCTGATCTACACATCTATCTACACTACGGGCAGATGACAATACCATGGCAAAGGTTGGGAGGGCCTGGGTACTCGGTGACAAAAAGACCTTTTCGAATGGGATTGGATGGATGACTACATGGTCTAACGGCACCCGTATCACTACAGCATGCACGCGTGTGGTCTGTTGATGTGTGCGTGTGTGTTTTTTTGAATTCAAAAACGCTGGGCGTATTTGAGGTGCCTGCCGGCTATATGTTACTGCTGCTGCCATCCTCCAAATCGACATGTATAGTCATGAAAGGAGCAACATCCTATCCAAGTGCAGTACTGTGAAACAAGTTCGCAATGTCCCATCTTGACTGTTGCTATCAACAGGGCGGGGAAAAATTGAGATGCATCATAGTTCTCTTTAAACACCCATAGCGGACCGGCGAACCGTTCGACAATCTCTTAAGCTCTTAGCTGCCAATGACTCTCCAATTCGTACCCCCCTGAGCGTCGTCTCTCATTTTTTCTTGTTCAACCCGAGGAACTTGCTCAGCTTCTTCTTAACAGCTTCTGGGTCCATGCTCTGTCCGCTACTTTTCTCATTGTTCGATGCCCCTTGGTTGGCGGTCGACGTCGATGACTCAGCTTTAGTATCCGCTTCCTCCTCCTCGTTGTCATCACCCATCGCTAGCGTAGGTACTACGATTTCCTTGGCCTGGCTCGCAACCGTTGCCTTCAAGAACGGATCCTTCTTCACAGCTGCCGAAACCCCGGGCTCCCACACCAAGTTCATCATCTCGCGGCCCTTGAGCTTGTATGTGGAAATCAACTTCTTATCATTCTCCTCAATCGTAATTGTCCTGGGAAATTGAGGGACCATGAGCCTGAACGGCTCGTTCGGATGTGTCATAATGCCGCGGATTGCCTGGTACAGGAACTTGCCTGTCTTGTCTGGGGTGACCGTCCAGACGGCTGAAGTTTGGTCTGGGAAGCGAACTTTTATCTCAACCTTAGTGATCTTGGCTAGGCGCTCCGCCTCAGCGGCAGCGTCGGCAGCGAGCTCTTCGTCTGACTTAAGCCGAGTATTCTGCGCCTTCTTCTGCAGCTGTTGTTGGTAGGACTGCGCGTGGGCGATGGTTGGCTCGTAGACAGAATCTGGTTCATGGGTGAGCGCAGCTGCGGGAGTGGAGGAAGTCGGAGCGGAGTAGATAGTTGTAGGAAGGAATGCGTTTTCTGGAGCAGCAGCAGGCTGCGAGTCGACGTCCATACGATTTGTATCGGTGGTAGGCTCCGTTAGTTCTTGCGTGACCGGTTTGGTGCTCGTGGACTCAGCCTCCGGAGGAGTAGCTGGTAGTTCTTGCTTCGCCGGCGCCGGTGTGCTCTCGTTGGCTTCCTCGCCTTTGGCTTGTCCGGCTCGACATCTGTAAGATACTGGCTAATATCTTGAAGGGCATCGTACAGTGTCCTGTTGGTGTCCTTGAAAGACACCCGAATGACTATGCTCCCTGAACTGATACCGCATTGCGCAAGAGTCTTTTGCAAGTCTTCCAGTGCCGAATATTCTCTGCCCATAATGTTAAGAACGGGTGCCTCGTAATACAACTGGCCGCTGTTACCGCCTTTTGGAACACCGCGGCCCGTGATGACTAGGCCTCTCTCGGCAGTCTCGAACTGGCGTAGTATCTGCCATAGTGTCATGTCGTTGGGTAGTCTTTTGGTATAGCGCTTGCCATTGACATCAAGCGCAATTGATATGACGGAAGCACTCTTCGACTTCTGTACGAGCTCGAGCTTAGCTCCCGGCCCCAAACCAGAAGTGCGGTAGGGGCCACTCAAGTCAACTAGCTTCTGCTTGTATCTTATGTCGTGTGAGCAACCACTTGTCATATGCCAGTTTCCTAAATTGAACTTACTTTAATTCAAACTTGTCGCTGGGAAGATTCAATTTTCTAGTGGCCTCGTTGAGGACATCAATCATATAAGTGCCGGGTGAAACTTTGACTTTGACTCGCCTCAAGTCGGACGAGACAACTTCTACGTGCGCAGACATCCTCGTAAAGTCGACAGCGGGAGAGTTGAGAACTTGCAAATAGTCAAGATCAGAACTCCAGCTATGGTTGAGACTTGATTTTCCACCAGTCTAAGACCCTGCACCAAGCACAAGGAGCGTCCCGGTCTTTTGATCCGTTGCCGCCAATGACAACGGGTATCGAGCTGTTGAAGATGGTAAGAAATGTAAATCGTGGCGGAAGAACGTAAGCTTCTCGAATTTAGAGTTACAGTGCCAGAGGAAAAGGCCTGCTGGGTTGCGGGCGGGTCGAAAAGGAGAGGAGATGACTCCTACGTATGTGAATCGAGCCTTGAGCTTGTAGACACCAACTGCCGCGACTAAACTTGAGACGTAAAGCTTGTTGAGTTTTGTGAGATATATGCTTTACAGCCAAGACGTATGATGGCGTGTAGTATTGCTGGGAAAGCACTGAACCGCTGAGGGCAAGGTGGAAGTTGATAGAAAACCGCAGATGTGGTACCTAGAAGGAGGACAATTCCATTCACCCTCTAGGCCTTCATGTGGCTTCGTCAGCAGGGCCATCCAAGGCGATGGAGGGGCAGCTGGACCCCTGGCAGGCAGCTGCCGGCGACAGCGGGGTCCGGCGCCTCAACGGAGCTCCCCCAACGGCGGGGTTGCGCCGCTCCACACCGCCTTTCCTTTCCTGGCTCTCTTGAAAGACTTCCCAGCTGCTAGGCACCCCTGTCGCTTCTCTGGCCAGCCGCGCCAGCTGCGTGTTGCCTTGCACTGGAACTGGCGTCAACTCCGCAGCCTGTCTGTCTGGATACTTGATGGTCAGCTCCAACCCAACGACAGAGACGACATCTCAACCTTGATGACCGATTGATCGCAAAGAGCTCCAACGAGAGCCCCAATCAACGCCCATTTTTCAATTATTCCTCACCACTTAATCACCCGCAAATTTGACAAGTAAACCAGGGTGACGCCCCTTTTTTTGACAACTGCCGCCTTAAAATTGGGAGCTCCATTGCTGGTTCTTGACAAGGTCTGCGATCTACGTACAGCTATCACCGATTCCTCCCGGCTCTCCTGCCGTACCATCTCAGACCTGCCACGCGTCTAAAAAAGATGGTATGCTAATCCTCCTGTTGTGTGAGGTTGTGACTTTGCATAGCTAATTTCTTTCTTTCCGCAGTCGTCCCCCTTCTCAATAAGTACAACACCCCTCCCCCACTTCACCACTCTCCTCCCACCGTTTCCCGAACTCCCGCTCTAACCTCCTCGTTCCCAAACAGACGGCGGCGCCTGCGTCGCTATGGTCGGCAAGAACTGCGTGGCCATCGCCTGCGATCTGCGCCTGGGTCTTCAGGCATTGACAGTCTCGAACAACTTCCCCAAGATTTTCCAGTACGGCGACCATGTTTTCTTGGGGCTTACGGGGCTTGCGACGGACGTGCAGACAGTGGCGGACATCTTCCGGTACAAGGTCAACCTGTATCGACTGCGCGAGGAGCGGCATATTGCACCGCGCACCTTTGCCAACCTGGTCAGCAGCTCGCTGTACGAGCGGCGTTTCGGCCCTTGGTTCGTGTCACCTGTCGTTGCAGGGCTGGACCCCAAAACTGGAGAGCCATTCATTTGCGGATTTGACAGCATTGGATGCATTGACTTTGCGAAGGATTTTATTGTGAGCGGGACGGCGACCGAACAATTGTTTGGTATGTGCGAGAGCTTGTGGGAGCCGGATTTGGTATGACTATCTTTTGTTTTTTTTTTTTTTTTTTTGGGTAAATTATTCCAATCCAGGTTGCTAATCATGCGTGCCAGGGCCCCGAGGAGCTTTTCGAGACGATATCACAGGCCCTTCTCAACGCCGTCGATCGCGATGCCCTTTCTGGCTGGGGTGCTCACGTCTACATCATCGAGAAGGACAAGGTGACAAAGAGGCTGCTCAAGGGACGGCAAGACTAGAGGGAGAGGGGATCAGCAGGGATAAAGGGCGACCGGGGCATAAACACCATGGTAATGAGAATCTGAGCATATTTCATAAACAAGATGACAACCGATTCGTGTGCTGCCACCGCCGTAACGTTTTTGTCCTAGTCAACACTGACAACTCTATGGAATGCGTGGTCTACGCCGGGATATCAAAGATTAGTGTGGCTACATGGTCTAGATATCTATAAACCGCCGCGCCTTAACCCCCGTTTCCGTCTTCTTTTATTGCTCCTTCGCTTTGAGCTGCTTCGTCTTGGCCTTTTCGACGATAAACGTCCGTTCCACGACTTTGAGACACTCGTCAATGAGACTGCTTGACCGTTAGCGGGCTGCTAATAAGTTGAGAAGAGCAAAATGAGACTCACATCACAGGGGCACTGATAGCAAGTACTCCCTTCCACTCCGTCCAGTTTAGCGGCATGATTGAGAACAGCGCCTGGAGGAACGGAGTATACAGCAAAGCAAAGTGAAGCATCATCGACAGCGCAATTGCATACACCAGCTTCATGTTCTTCCACACGGGCAGCGTTAGCAAGGACTCACTCGACGACAGCGCGTTCATGGCATTGAACATCTCAATAACAACCAAAATTGACAGCGACACAGTTGACGCCGCGCGCGCGCTATCACCCGTGAACATAGCGCATCCGATCTCAGGGAAGTCGGCCGAGCAACGGTGGAAGTGCGACAACTGGTAGAAGCTGATCTGCGGGCCACCTTCGTAGAACATAAACCACCAGGCATAGCCGGCTACAGTAGCCAGGCCAACGTACGTGCCGATGATGAGGTACCGGAAGAAAAGCCAACCACCAATCAGGGCCTCGCCGCGACGGCGTGGTGGACGCTTCATGATATCATTGTCAGGGGGGTTGAAGGACAATGCTGTGGCCGGGAGACCGTCGGTGACGAGATTGACCCAAAGCAGCTGAACGGGGATGAGCGCTTCTGGCATGCCGAGCGCGGCTGTCAGGAAAATGGAAACGACCTCACCGATGTTCGATGAGATCAGGTACCGGATAAACTGCTGCGTGTTGTTGTAGATAGCACGACCTTCCTCGATGGCGACGCCGATGGTGGCAAAATTGTCGTCGGCGAGGACCATATCAGCGGCGAGCTTAGAAACGTCAGTACCAGAACCCATCGCCACACCAATATCAGCTTTCTTAAGCGCGGGAGCGTCGTTGACACCATCACCAGTCATGGCAACGACTTCACCGAGGGACTGGAGTAGGTCGACCAGCTTCTGCTTGTGTGTCGGCTCGACACGCGAGAAAAGAGAAGCGTTTTTAGCTGCCTCCAGCTGCTCTCCAGGAGTGAGGTTATCAAATTCGCGACCAGTGAAGCTCTTGCCGGTAAGATCCTCATCAGGGCTGAAAACACCGATCTGCCGGCATATGGTCTCTGCGGTGTTACGATTGTCGCCTGTGATGACGATGACACGGATCCCGGCCTCCTTGCACTTCTGGATAGCAGCGGGAACCTCGGGACGTGGAGGATCCAGCATGCCAACGAGCCCAAGAAGGGTCAGGTTCTGTTCCAGAGCAGCGTACTCGGCAGTCGACTTGGCCTTGCTGACCAGAGGATCGTTCTGGACCTGATCACGACTCGCAAGGGCCATGACACGGAGACCACGGTTGCCGTACTCCACAACTTCCCTTAGCAAAAGCTCAGCAAGCTTGGAATTTAAGGGGACCTTTCTGCCATCACGGCCAAGCAGAACATGGGTGCACCGCTCAATGATAGACTCGGGAGCGCCTTTGACGAGCAGTTTTTGCTGGGTACCGTTTTGGACTAAGACAGACATGCTCTTCCGATCGCGGGAAAACTCGTATGTAGCCAGACGAGTGTACTGCTTCTCGTACCAGGAGCTGGCATAGTGCACACGGTCCTTCGGGTGGCAGTCTTCCGGTGCGCAGGGGCCAATCTTCTCAACCATGACGCGCAAAGCACCCTCAGTGGGCTCGCCAACGTTGGAATAAGTGCCTGAGTGAGCGTGATAGTCGAGCCGAGCGTCGTTGCAGAGAGCAGCAACCTCAGTGATCTGGCGCACAGTAGAAGACTCCTGAGCAAGGTCTGTAACCACCTTGCCCTGATACTTGATGTTGCCCTTCGGTTCGAAGGTAGTACCCTCCACATCGAACTCTTCCAGGCCAGTCCCGCTCTCGCTGAGATACACAATCTTGCTGACGCTCATCTGGTTCGTGGTGAGGGTACCCGTCTTGTCGGAGCAGATGACACTGCAGCTACCGAGGGTTTCGACAGACGGCAGACTCCTGACAACAGCGTTCTTGGCAGCCATCTTCCTGGTACCAAGGGCCAAGCAGGTAGTGATGACAACGGCGAGACCTTCTGGAATAGCAGCAACGCCAAGCGAAACAGCAATCTTGAGGTAATATATGGCGCCCATTGTCCAGTTGCCGTGCGCCGGGTCGTTGAAGTGGGGGATGTTGATGAGCCAAACCAGGACGCAGATGACGGTGATGACCTTGGCCAGCTGATCGCCGAAGTCGTTGAGCTTCTGCTTCAGGGGCGTCGGTTCCGAGATCTGGGCCGTGATGCTTTCGTGGATATCGCCAATGGCCGTGCTGGAACCGGTCAATACGACAACAGCGCGGGCGTGACCCGTCACAACAGTGGTACCAGAGAAGAGCATGTTAACCTGGTCTTGCAGGACCGCATTCTCATCTCTTAAGACCGCGCGGCAGTCTTTTCCGACACTTTCGCTCTCGCCTGTGAGGATAGCCTGGTCAACGGCGAAGCTGTTGCTCATGATGGAGATCAGACGGCAGTCAGCTGGGACACGGGCGCCAATAGAGACGTCAACAATGTCTCCAGGGACTAGTTCCTCGGCCTTGATGCGGTGGATTTGACCATTGCGCAGCACATTGGCCTCGTTGGCCGAGTATTCCTGCAGCGCGGCGATCGCCTTTTCCGCGCTACTCTCCTGGGAGACACCAACAATAGCATTGAGGACCAGAATTGTGAGGATGACGACGGGGTCAACAAAGGCGCTCCAGCCGCCCTCATCCTCGAAGAGCGCCAGGACAAAAGAGACAACGGCAGAACCGAGTAGAATTAAGACGAGCTGGTCCTTGAACTGTTCGAGAATGAGCTGCCAAAGTGGGGTGGGCGGTTCCTCGGCGATAGCTGTTGGAAAGACGGTCGTTCATCAGCCCTTGCCTATATTCCTACAGAGGGCGCGAGGAAGACGAAAGCCAAAGCACAAAGAGGCATACCATTCTTCCCATACCTGGCCTGTAACCTCGTAACTTGTTCATCTGTAAGGCCAGTGGCAGGGTTGACACCTAGGGTGCTTAACACCTCGTCAATCGGCTTTGCGAAAGCCTTCTCCATCGCTATTGGTGTGTCAGCCCCCAGCTGGGGCGCGTTGGAAGGAGGATCCGCTACGAGAAAGTCTCAGGAAAAGAAGTGAAAGACAAAAGAGGCAGCGATTCGGGAATGCAACGGTGGCAGATTCTAGCTGCAGAGAACCGAACCGAAAAGTAAACCCCTTGGTCTATAACGCCAACCCTGACAACGAACGAAGCGAAGATGGCAGAGGGGATGGTTATGAGAACACGAACAGCATTGGCGAAGGCAGACTTCCGAGGGTCAAGCAAAAGAGAGTCCTCAGGACCTCGATCAGAATGGAACAGCAAAGAAAGCGAGCACAATTGCAATTGCTCGGGATGAGAACGGGCTCGGCCTTTGTATCCCGAGCAGCGTATGGAGCAGCAGAGCAAAATTCCCAACGGCCCCAAGACCGTGTGCACGACGTGTCCAGTTCAAACAAGTCGCCTCGCTGCACGTTTTGGGAGTGGAGTTCAGCTTCGATGGGTTGCTTTGGCCTGACTGGCCGCCTAGGCCAACAGCATCCGACTCGCTGTTGTGATTGGCTGAAGCCGGCACACGCCCCACGAGACGCTGCAGCGTTTCGAAAGGTTCTGCTCAGCCTTGCATCCTTGCCGAAGCCTAACGCCAAGGGTCTGGTTCTCCCAGCGCAGGGGAAGCCAATCGAGGGCGTGGCTGGTACGCCACCGGTTCGTGTGAGGTCAAAAATGGGCCAAGTTCTGCTTGTCGCATGTAATTGATACAGAGCCTTGTGCTGGATCAGAAGAAAAGCGGCCACTTATTGAAAAAGTCTCAGAGAAGCCAGTGCCAAGAAATAGTTTAACAGGACCTGACTCGATCACTTGCTGTTAAAATATCGAAGCATCTCGGCACTTGGTAACCGATTGTTAACAGTGTCCGAGTATGTTCATGTGGCCTGAACATTTAGTGCACTCTCGGAATCAGACTCTTGGGGTAGGCTTCATGAAATTGTGCCTGGACATTTCCATGGAAGGTAGGTGAGCCATCACGGCGATATGGAAAATGGAACGACCTACCTGTTGTGGATGGTTGCGATATCAAGGCCCGCCCTGGAATCTGGCCTGGAGCACTGGCCGCTGCCAGCTGTGGGATCAGGACATTTTGGCCAGAAGATTTCCGTCGTCCAAACCCGATCCCAACGTTTCGAACCTAGGCGAAGGCAAACTTGATGATGTGAAAACAAGCTTCAGCCGTAGCATCAAGATTGAGAAATTGGGCAAGAGCCTCAGGGCAACTGTTCCATCAGCCAGCGGTTCGTCATGCAACTGTCGAACTGGGCCAACCCACTTACCCCGCCAACCCCACTTCACCCATTTTCGCCGGAACGATGAAGGCTGAAAGTCAACAACGCGCCCAAATTAAACATCAGGATAACTGAAAACACTAGCTCACGTTTGTTGCTCGCCAGCGTGACGGTTTTGCCTTGCTAAGTTACCGTCAAGTGGGAACAGTACACTAGTTTTCTTCTCGATCATCATATCTATTTTTTTCAGGTTTCCTTAGCCCATCTTCTCCCCAATCATGGCCCCTCCGTCTCCTCTCGTCATCGCAACCCAAGCCTTGAATCGTCTGGTCAAGGAAGAGTCCTACTACCACAAAGAGCTGGCCAGCCAGGAGAAGCGTATCAAGAAGCTCGAGGATGACATTGCGAGCAATAGTCCGGACCTGGACAGCAACGCTGAGTACATCCTAAAACAGGAGGTATGCCAGGCACTCGGGGCTTTGCCCAACACCCAGAGCTTTTCTACATCACCACCAACCCTAACCCTTAACTGTGTGCATCCCTAACTCGTGTCAACAGAAGAAAGCTCTGGAGGAGACCAAGGCCGTGTTCGAGCCGTTGCGCAAGCGGATTGCTGCTGCCATCGACAAACTGGAGGAACAGATTGCTATTGCCGAGAGTGCCGGGAATGCGCCGGCCGAGGAGTTAAAGAAGGCCAAGGAGGCCCTGGGGGCTGCCCAGAAGGTTCTCGAGCAGAAAGAAGAAAAACCAAAAGAGGAAGAAGGGAAGGGCGGTGATAAGGAGGAGTTGTAAGCCTTCTGGAGCACGCCAGCAGACAGTTTTGATTGCAGATGCCACGGCTCGGCGCCCAAACCAACTCATGGATCCATTATGACCTTATGACTTGTGGTGCCAATTGCTCCCATCTATTTTACAGTCAACTAACTTGGTAACTATACAACATACCGACCCTTTGTATCCGAGATAAAAAGATTTAGGTTGTATCCATTGTGTCTGGCTGAGTATCCACAACGATCTGTGGCGCATCATCAGCTGGGGGTGGTGTCAACGGGCTGTCTGGCTCTGACTGGTCGTCTTTAACCTCGATCATCTCGACATCCTCACTCTCCTCCACCTCGCCTTGCTCTGCCTCGACCTCCCTCTCCGTCGAAACCTCACGGCTGCCCGCAGTGCTCCCAGCCTGCGAAAAACTCGCGCCAGCCCCTGTCGGCGGCTTGAGAAATGACTGGCCCTCCGGAGCAGCAGCCGACGGCACAGAACTTTCCCTCGCTGGCGTCCTGCAGCCTGTTGTCGACACTGGCCGTGGCGTTCCCACATCGCCGCTATCCGCAACACTTTTGGGAGCCGGAACTCCGCTCTCTGGTCTTGGAGTCGCGTTGCCACTCACCGCCCCCGAAGGGCGTGGCGTCTGCCCGGCTGTTGTCTCCCCGCCTTCGGCAGAACCACCAGTCTCTCCTTGATCATCATCCATGCCCTCTCTTCGATCAACTTCCTCTTTCTCGTCCCTGATCAACCGCCTCAGCCTCATACTCTCATCCATAATCCTAGCGAACTGCTCCCTCCGCTCATTCCACGTAACGCTGTACTGCTCGGCCTCGGCCTCCAATTCTGCAATCTCCTCCTCGAGTTTCCGCAAATTCTCCGCCTGTTCCGCCCGAGGCTTCAGCGCCGGGTTATTCGTGATCGCATCGGCGAGCTCATCGAACTTGCGCCGCTGCGCGAGCGTCGCGCGTGCCTGCTCTAGTTGCTGCCGCAACTGCGCGGTGTTATTACGCACGGCCTGCGATGCGGCCACGATACGCTGGCGTTCGGCCGCGTACCGATCGCGCTCACGCTCGTTGGCGGTCAACAGGAACTGCAGGCGCGCGATGCTGCTGTCGAAGGCGGCAAAGTCGAGGGTGATATCTTCCTTGAGCTGTGCGAGATCGGTTGAGAGGAGTGCGTCGGTCGCCGGAGTGGGCGATGCGCTCTCGCCGGATTGGGATGCTTGCTGGGTACCATCAGTCGGCGCAGTACTGCTGGCAGTCTCGGGAGGAGGTGTGGGTGCCTGCCGGGCGTGGACGATTGCGAGGGTATGGAGAGTATTAAGGCGCTTGGTGATCCGCTTGAATGGCTTTTCTTCGACGTTGAGAAGTCGAGATTTATGGAGTTCGTTTTCTTCCTTATCGTCGAGAAGACCCCAAGTCGCCATTTTGGTCTGCCGTTTGGATATCACCCCTGCGAAGCTATTCACGACTGTCAAAGCACCGTGGAATTGTTGGATGTTGTTGGCGGTAGAAAAGGCAATGGCGTGTTATACGGATAGAGCAAATAGGTTGTTCGGTATTTGCTGCAGTGATGTCAGGTCGTCAAGTGTTATTATGCATTGGCAAAATGAGCAGGGTGTTGTAGCAAAGCACGCCTAAGACTGCGGGTTTTCCGTCAGCTCCAACCAAGAAGGGTTAGGGTTGTGACCCAAGATGTCGTAACTTCTAGGTGCTATCGAAGCGAGCAGGTAGCTGTTCGTTCGACTTGGGCATACCTGCATTTCTGCATCCACGCGTCGGGAAACCTTTGTTTTTTGTCTATCTGAAAATAATTTGAAGGGTCTAAGAAGTGAAGTGAATTGAGTACTCCAGGGCGCCACACAGGAAATAAGTTTACCCATAGAGTACGGATCTGTACAAAGCTCGACAATGATGGGCAGGATTAACTTGCTTGCTTAGAAGGGTTGTTGCTGAAAATAGGATGCGAGTCCAGAGCTACAAGGCATCCATCGTCATGGCCAGCTCAGATTTTGGTCATGAAGAGCTACCGGCTCACTAGTCTGGTGGATCTTTTTTGACTAATCTTTCCCAGATATAAGCCAAGTTGTGCAAAGTCTAGCTCCTGTTTTATCATTCCTTCACAATCCCACTCAAGACCCTTCTTAACCCTCTCACATCCTCACTAACCCCCTCCTGACTCCTAAGAGTTAGAACTGCTGCCCGTTGTGCAACATCTATCAACCTCTCAACCCGGCCACCCATCGCCAGACCAGCTACTAAAACACCCACAAACGTATCTCCAATCCCGTTGACTGACACTACCTCCTGATCAGGCACCTTCTCTGCCGGCGGGTACAGACGCATGTACACACCACCGATATGTGGATGATCCGGCACTGCACAGCGCGAGATCACCCATCTGGAATGTCCCGGATCTCTCAGGCGAGGGTCATCTGGAGGAAGAAGGGCTGTCAGTAGGGCGCCGCGGGGCCCGAGTTTTGTGATGAGCGTAGGAATGTACGGCAAAAGAGAAATAGACTGAACAGGCAGGCCAGCATCGACAAGATCGCGGGCGTTGTGCTGTGAAAAGATGGCATCGAAGCGGTCACGCCCGGATGAACGGCCCGTGATGCCAAATGCATCGATTACGTCGAACCAGGCAGAGGTGTCGAGGTGACCGTGAGCTTTGGCCGCTTGATACATGGCAAGTAGTTCATGATGGTTAGGGGTTGCCAAGTCAACCAAAGGACGGGGATGGACGGGGAGTTCATGAGGAATGACAAAGTCGTGTTTATGATGGTGGTGATGGCGTCTCCATGCGTCCAGATTTGGGAAAAGACGTTGAGATTTGGCGACGGAGACGGGTTCGAAAATGATTTTTGCACCGTGCCGTCTGCCGGCCTGGATCCACGATTGGATGTCGTGTTCAGACCAGTTGGCGTCAACAACAAGCCACTTGGGGCGGGCAGCGGCCACAGCTGAGTTCCAGTAGGCTGGGAAAGAATGGCTGGAGAAGATAGCCATATCTGCCATGGCCATGACGAGGTTTTTATTGGCATCATTAACAGCCACATACTGGGCTGTCCGCGCGGATGGGTATTCGTGGCCAAGTTGGCGAATGCATGATGTGTCGAGGCCCGAAGATTGCAGGGTCGACAGGATTGTGTGGCCAGCAATGTCGTCGCCGACCATACTGCACAGACGCACCTTGCCTTCGTCGCTGACCAAGTGGGCAGCGCGAGCGATGTTGTGGCCAACGCCGCCAATCGACTGGTGGATGGTGGACGGGTTCGAAGTGTGCATGGCTGGTGTGACCTTGTCGCTACTCTCTGCTGAGCCAGCACCGCCGACGTAGTTGCAATTCAGGTCGAGGGCTACAGAGCCAGCTACCAGGACATCAACTGGGTGGCTTTCCTGAGTAGTGTTAGTTGAGAGTGGTTTTATGTTCACTAGTTATGGCAGCTTCATCAAATCTGCAAAACCCACAATTTCTGGCTTGGTCTTTGCCTCTACCTCTTTTGATTCAACGTTTATCATGCGCCCCGCAGATGGTTTGCCAGCGGCATCAAAACCTTCATATGAAGTAGTTGTTGTGGTTGTAGTTGTAGTGGTTGTGACCGTCCTCGGGGTCACGGGAGAACCATCTAACATCTTGGCCAGCTCAACAGCAATCCTGGCTGCCCGACCAACATTGGCCTCGACCAGTGCTTTGTTCGCTGGCACACTCTTACCCTGACTTAATTCTCTGATTCTCTTGAGAATGTATGGGGTATTCGCATTCCCAGTAAACCCCTTTTCCTCTGCTTCCCTCACCGCAGTAGCGATGATCTCTTCCATGTCCTTCCTTGGGATGGCAAACTGCTTCGGTATCGGGTTCGCAAAGAGCAACCCTGACTCAATTCCCAGTTTCTCCTGTGCCAAAATGATACCAGCAGCTTCCTTCTCGTCCCTCACAACAGCCGGGCTGGGTGAGCCACTTTCTCGTGCCCAAAACGCAGGAAACTCTACCCGCTCCTGGCCCTCATCAGCAAACGTCGCCACCAACACCCCTTGAGTCTCCAGGTACTCTAGCGTACGAGGTATATCCAGAAAGCCTTTGCATCCGCTGCTGACAACAGCGACCCGTGTTCGTCCTAGCTCAGTTAGATCGGCCGACACGTCCATAGAGCTCTCTCCGCCGCGATGGACGCCGCCTAGTCCGCCTGTACCAAACACCCGAATACCCGCTAGCCGTGCAAGCACCATCGTCCCCGAGATGGTCGTACCTCCATGCAACTTATCACCTTTCCCGACTAGATATGCCAGGTCGCGGCGCGATGCTTTCTTCGCTCCCTCGGAAACCATACGCATAATCTCAGCGGGCTGGAGGCCAACCGTCGGCACGCCCGCATAGACGCCACATACAGCAGGGATGGCCCCATGCTCCCGAACAAGGCGGTCCAGCGCGTGAGGGAAGTCCTCGCTAAGTGCTCCGTGAGTGTATATGGTCGATTCGAGAGCCACTACAGGACGGTTGTTGGCGATGGCATCAGCGACTTCCGGGTGGATATTTATGAGGCGAGACAAAAACGGAGCGGAGGTATAGGACTGGTAGTGGCTGCGAAGGAAAGCATAGTTCGGTTGGCGTGGGATGGAGGGTAGTCGGCGAAGATGTGCCATAGACTTAAGGGCTGGCCGGGTCAGCCAAGACGAGAGTGTGCGTGCTGCCATACCTAACTGTACTCGGGCTATGCTGCTGATGACGGATTGGCAAAATGAACAGTTTGCTAACCTTCAAGTACGTGAACTGTGAGGAAAGATCAAGTTCATTCAATCCCGAACCCTTTGTGAGGGGCTCAGAGAAGGTCCGCTGGAATGGAACCTCGAGAAGAAAGTAAAACAGTGCTCTTTTTTGGCTAGAACATAAGATTGAAACCATTGATCAGCCACAGCCGTCAGCAGTGTTCATTAAGCCTGCCTGAACAAAAGAGAGCTGGGGATGAGCCCTCGGCACGAGAGGGTGAGAGATGAGGTGGGCTAGTAGCTTGCGAGTTGAACCTTCAAAGAAGCCACCCCGCTCATTGCTTTACACTACTGTGTGCAGTACACAGTACCTACCAGGTAGCCTGGGGTGCCCTGTGCTCCACAAAGATACTGTCTGCATAGCATTGAGCCCAGCAAATCACCTTCCGGATCCATACGCAGTACGTGCCTTCGTATGTACATACCTCGGTTAGTTCAATCGCAACCGAACAAACTGTGATCCGTGCTTAAGTATCTACCTGCCTATGTATCTTTGGAGTGTGGTCCTGCGTCACGGGCCACCCCACGCTCCAATGTCTAAGCTTGACTAAATATGTGCTAGTGCCAGGTACCCGCCCGTCCCGTCAATCTGAAACCGACCCGAGTGACGCAACCCTCGGCTTTGGGAGTTGTATCTGAGAACGGAGCGCAGCATTTTTTAGACCTGTCTCGAAGTCCCAGGATCTACGCTTTGTTGTATGAGCCTCAACCTGGATGATACCATTCGTGTTCAATCATTTCCTACCAAAGACAAACTCTAGATTGTACAAAAATGAACAATCATGGGAATCTTCAGTTTGCTTGCAGTCATCCCCTCCTGAAGCATGGCCGGGACAAGCTGCAAGCGAACCCGGTCTCTGTTTAGCCCGTTCCTGGCAATCTCGGTCCGTTATTAATTTGGTGATGCTCGAGAGTGGCCTCCTGAACGCACCCGATCCCAATCGCTTGGGTCCAATTTGGCCCCCCTGTCGTCTGCCCCATATCCGGTGTCCAGAGATTCACGACATCCGCATTTCTCGAGTTTGCCCTCTCTCATATCATGTATACCTAGGGAGGTAGTGATTGTTGCCTGTTGGAGTCTCAAAAGAAGAGTTCGCTACCTTCGTGCCCGCAGATACTGCCGTTACCCGTTTGAACCCAAAGTATAGCTTTAGTCGAAACACTACCATCAGATCATGGCGCGCTCCAAACTCCTGGCTGCTTGTGTAGCGGGACTCTTGTTCCAGGCCCAATCCTTATCTGCTCTCAACTTCACCGTCGCAAATGGCCAAGTATTCACACCTGGCCTGGCCATAGTCGATGCACCGCAGCCAGGAACGCCGCTTGGTGGAGGTTAGTAAACCGGCTTATGGCCCATCAGTCATGACCACGAAGCACTCACACCTCTCAGATCAAGTCGAGATTGCTCTCGATGTTACTACGAATGGCCGGCTGCAACTGCCTCCTTACCCAGAGGAGAGTCCCAGTATGATCCATAACATCCACATATTCCTATATAGCTACACTACGGGGCGCAATTTCACCATCACCAACGGCACTGCCTCTGCCAACAATGCAAGTCTGGGGGACATCATGTTCCAGGAGCCCGGAAGCACCGTCAAGCACGTACGTTGGGTCTGGCCCGACTGCCTAGTTGGCGATGGGCAGCCAAAGGATGCCGACAGTGACCGCGGTGTGTACAATGTAGGTTTTCTGTATCTGTCGTGGTGAAGCTCAACATTATCTCACTATCCTCTAGATCTCCATCCATCAGTCCTTCCGCCTCAACGGCGAAGATCACTACACTATTTTTGATATGCCAATTTCTGTCACCAATAGTATTCCTGAGAGTGACTCTCGCCCGTCCTGTGACGCCCTCGATAATCAGCCAATGCTGTCACCTGAGCAACTTCGCGAGTCTGCCGACGATATGCCTATTATGTTCGCCCCAGGAGATGCTACTGTGTTGCAGACGATCGATGACTTAAGGGGATTGGGCGGAGCTGCGGCTCTTACTGCTGGTGGCTGGAGGAGCATGTTGCAGCTTGGGATGGCGGTGTTGGTTGGGGCATGGCTGGCGATGTGAGCCAAGAGTGGTGCATATGATACTGCAAATTCAAGACCCCGGAGTTATACAACGGTGTGGATACCAGCTGGGATTTTATCTGTATTACCTAGCACAAGAAATTCTAAATACACCTCTCTAACTTTTCCTTGCTAACCCATCACATTTGTCAAAGCAGTCACTTGGGTAATATTGGTTCATCTCAAGGCAAAAGCTATTGATAAATGTGAAATTAAACTGTTATTCTTGCGAAATCGACCTGGGATATGTGGTTACATAAGAAATTCCATATATACAAAAAGTTTACTTCAAGAACCAGATGAACATAAGTTGTATTATGTGCTTTTGGTCCTACAAGCAATATCACTGCTCTGGCTCTGAGTATACATGAAAGTGTTGAACATGAGAAATCTTTTCGCCATGTGGCTGCATTAATCGATGTTGTCCCACTAGGCAGGCATGCCCCACAATTGTGGGCCGCATATGCAAGGCTGACAGATCCACAAAAAAAAGTTCAGCCATCATCGGAAGTTCTCTTCCTTCCACAACCTCCCGTCTATCCCAGTGTTGTCAACCGCCACAATGCCGCGAAGCAATAAGAAGAAACAGATTGAAGACTTACCGTCGGACTCCGACCATTTCCCTGAATTTCCAGAGGAAGAGGCCTTCTCTTCATTGTCGGAGGAAGAGGAGGCTGAGGAGAGAAAAAAGCCTGTCGCCGAGAAGGATGCGGAGGAGGAAGAGCTAGAGAAGTTCGTTCTGGGTGCCAAAGAGACATTCCGAGAGCAATTGTTTCGCGATGACTTCCTTGCGCCTGCGAATGACCCAACTGCGCTCGTTAAAGCCGGCGATGACGAGGAGGAGACGGGCCATGAGCACCTCGACGACTCGATGCTCTTTGTAATTGATACCGAAGGCGACTCAAGCATTCAAGTGCCTGCACCTACAAAGGTCACAGCAGAAGAAACTGGGGGAGATGCGCCTGCTTGGGAAGATAGCGATGATGAAAGGTTGACAATATCTCTGGCTGGTGCGACCAGACTCAGGAAACTGCGTATCTCCGAGTCTGAAGACTTGGTCAGCGGCATTGAGTATGCGCGCCGGTTACGACAGCAATATTTACGACTCTATCCTCAACCAGATTGGGCAAAGGAGGCAAACGGAAGCAAGCGGAGGAGAAGGCGATCATTGGATGCATCCTCCGACTCTTTGTCGGGATCAGACATGGAAGTCGACAGTGACGGCGAAAGCATCGATGCTCCTCTGCCTCTTGATAGCTTCCTCCGCGATGCCAACTCCTTCAAGGTCGCCGCCGAAGATTCGGCGCGCAGCGCAAAGCGTCGCAAGCTCCGTCCCGAAACTATCGACATCCAGCGTACCCGCGACATCCCTGACACCCACAAGGCTGCCATTAGCTCACTTGCCTTCCACCCGCGTTATCCTATCCTCCTTTCCTCGAGCACGTCATCCATTATGTATCTGCACAAGCTTGACGCCTCTGCTTACCCGACTCCGAACCCTCTTCTTACATCAGTCCACGTTAAGCGCACCGACCTGCGCCGCGCCGCCTTCGTTGGGCCCGACGGCGGCGAGATCATTTTTGCCGGTCGTCGCAGGTACTTCCATTGCTGGAACCTGTCTTCCGGGTTGGTTAAGAAGGTGTCCAAGATCCAGGGACATCAGAAAGAACAGCGAACTATGGAGCGCTTCCGCGTCAGCCCCTGCGGCCGCTACATGGCATTGGTGGCTTCGGACAAGAAGGGTGGCGGTATGCTCAACATTATCAATGTTGGCACGATGCAATGGATCGCGCAGGCGCGCATCGATGGCCGTCATGGCGTCGCAGACTTTGCTTGGTGGAGTGATGGTAATGGCTTGACCATCGCCGGCAGGGACGGACAAGTTACCGAGTGGAGCATGATTACTCGCCGGACGGTTGGAATCTGGCGCGATGAGGGCTCTATTGGTGGCACCGTCATGGCCTTAGGCGGCCGGAACGGCCCGGCAGAGCTTGGAGGAGACCGTTGGGTTGCTATTGGCTCTAATAGCGGTATTCTCAATGTCTACGACCGGAATGACTTGATCGAGAAGCCACCAAAAAAGAATGAGTCAAACCAAGAAGAGCAAAACTCTTCAGAAAAGACCAAAGAGATCCGCATCAAGAAATACCCTACGCCAACCCGCGTTTTCGAGCAGCTCACGACATCCATTTCGGTCGTTGCCTTTTCTCCCGACGGCCAGCTGCTCGCATTCGGCAGCCAGCACAAAAAGGATGCTCTTCGTCTCGTTCACCTGCCGAGCTGCACTGTGTACCGTAACTGGCCCACAGAGCAGACGCCTTTGGGCCGTGTCACAGCGATTGCATTCAGCAGTAAGAGCGACGTGCTGGCCGTCGGAAATGATGTGGGAAGGGTCAGATTGTGGGAGATTCGGGGGTAGTATAAACAGTGTTAGTGGCTGTTGGTTGTAGGGGGCAACTGGAGGCCCGACATAATCGGTGGTTTGCGATCTGCATACAAACATAGATGGGTTGATATCCCAATGGAATGCACGGTGGCATTGAGTTCGATTTTATCTGCTAACGCATGCGTGCTGGTTTCCCCCATCTGTGCTTGATTTTCCTCTCATCGCCAAACATTCCAGGCCAAGCAAACCAAACTAACAACCCCGTATGGTATCTTATGATACTTCCACCATATCTTCCATAGTCAAAAAATCTGGCGCAGAAGGACCTTCACCGGCCCCATCTCTTTGACTTTGTCTTTGGGATAAATTCTGTGAGTGTTGATTGTGTACTGTCTAAGCGCGTGGTGACTAGGAAACGTCCTGGGCTTCTCTCCACAGCGTACGGCGTCTATCAAGTCCCAAATATTGACGTGAACAGTTCCAAGGGCCTAAAGAGACAGCAGCAGTTTTTGTATGTTGGCTTCTTGCTCTTCTCATGGATAGGAGAGTGACAGACGAGTTGGTGGTTTAGGTTGAGAGAAGCGGAGATGATGGAACGAAAACAAGGGGTAGCAGGGGGCCAACCTTCCGACATTTGGTAATGCTGCTTAGGTCCCAGTCTTCAACATCAAGTCCGACGTCACGGCAGAGTCGTTGCCAGTCGGCGAGCGTTCCAGTGCCAAAATAGTCGTCAAACTCTTTGACGATGTCTCGCCTTCTGTTGCGGTTCCTCTTCCGGCCCATTTTTGCCACTTTCGTTTTCGATGTCTTGATTGATATCTCAGTTGATGGGCAGGCTATGAGGGCAGAAGGAACGGTATTCGGGCTATCTGAATGCTTGATCGTTCTCTAGATAGATGGTAGTAGGATGTAGCAAGATAGAAATGATTCGTCTTTGAGGTGCAACTAATGGGCTCTCTGGCAATACCACATCGTCGTTTGCTATAACTTGTCTCTGCCCTCAAAGACCTCCAATAGCATCTACAAACGGATAAAGGACGTGTCAACCGCTCCTGCTGTGAGCACCGCTGCTTACCGCAAAGTTTGTTTGTTTTTACAACACCAAAAGGTAATTCCCTCTTGTTTGTCTTGCAAACGCATATGATGGGCTTTTAAATGCGCCTATCCCTTGAGTAACTGTGGCTCGTACCGTCAACCACCAGCTGTACGTTGAAAGACACAGTGTTCAACCAAAGTCGCTTAGAACCCTTGTTTGGCAACATCGTTTAGCTGAGCAAGCTGGAAGCAATCAGGCATTAGGCTCGTCAGCATGTGACGTGTGTAACCTCTGGCTTGGAAGAGAGGGACAAAGCGCTTCCTTGGTGGTGACTTGAAGCAGTCGCTTGGGAATCTTGGATCTTCAAGAAAATCCTCTTTGGCCCACGTGTTGGAAAACATACAGCTGGCATCGCTGTCTTGACTGTTCTACAGGCTGGCGGCTTCTAACAATGAACCTTGCCTAGGTATGAAGACCCGCAGTTGCTTGTGAGGATCTTCAGGGGAAGTAAACAAACGTCATCCGAGTCCTTGCTACGTTGCTTCTGATGACGGTTGGGGCTCATTGCAAAGTAGGCAAATCGTATTGTGTAGGGGAGAGGCAATCCGCAATCCGTCCGTATTCGTACCCCCTTCCAGGTTTTCCCCCCCCCCCCCCTTCAAGCCTTCGAGGGAGCATTGCATGCAGATACTAATGTAGTTAGGAATGTATAGTGCGATTCTATAGGCCCACACATCTCGAAGCATTCCGATGCCGAATTGCGACGCGCCAAAGAGCATCGGGCGCAACCGAATCACATCTCGATGTGCTCTGTGGCCCAGGGAAGAGGCGACCCGGTGATCGACGCCAAGCATCAGCCCAACCGGACTTCTGGAAACTCCCGTTTTGGGGGCCCTGGTCTAACTGGCCGCTTGCGCGGCTTTGGTGATGTTCCACAGCGCCGCGCGAAGCGCGAGACTGGTTGTTAGGTCTCAAGTGGGGTCCACAGATCGGGCGTCTGGTCGCACCTGGGCACGGTTTGGACGATCGTGGACCCAATTGGAAGGACTTGGCTCTGCCTCTCACGGACCACGACATCCTCTTCCCAAGACCAAAGCAGCCAAACAGATTAGTGTACATTAGAGCATTACAGACGACTGACGGCGAATGGCATGTGAGAGTTGACCCTAGCGCTGCATGAGAGGGCAGCCCGAGAGCAAAGGTCCAGGCAGAGACCTGGGACCTGGGGGATCTGGGTGCTGGGGAGAGCTGAGAGAGATGTGGCTTGATATCATCGATGGATGAGTGATTAATCGGACTGGAGCGAATCGGGTAATCGGGGCATGCGGTGGACGTGCAGTGGGCCAGACGCTGATATCCATGTGTCTGATGGAAATTGCTGACGGGCCGCATCCAGAGCTCGGTCGAACGTTCGACATCATGCTTTTTTTATGCTTTTTTCTTGCAGCGCCGGCCAGTGCGCCGCATGCAGGTGGTCCGTGGATACCCGGTCCAGGTGGGCAGTGGACTCGGCCTGCTTCCTTCCTGGTTTCTGTTTTGCTCGCTCGCCCTGGGCCCCAGGGCTCAGGCTCTAAGGTAGGTAGCATAGCTCCAGCTTCGGAGAAGACAGTGAGCAAGGGAGCTCCACCAACATGAAAAGCTTTGCCCAGCCTGCGATTTTCCATATGCTCGTCAGAAGGGACACTGGACACAGGGCCCTGCGATCAGGATGCATCAGGGCTCGCAGGCACAGGCACAACTGGAGCCCGCGACGTGAAAAACGACAAGCTCGAAGATAGGATCCATGACCGGAATGGGATGGCAACAGTCGAGTGGATACGGCCATGTGCAGGCAAAAATCTGGAGCTCAGCGATGATCGCATCCCAAGCTGTCGTCGGCCACGCAACAACGGCACGCCATCTCATCCGGTCTCCCTACCTTTGCTCTCGTATACTACTACTTGTACTCCGCAGTCCAGCCCAGCCCAGACTGTGAGACTGATGCTGCGCTGAGAATTTTGCTCGCTGCGGATTTTTTGCCCATCTCACATCTGGCTCCTCCAAGTCCTCCGGCTTGCTCCGCAACGGGCGGCCAAAAACCAGCGATCTCCCAGGCTCCGCGCTACGTGTCAGGCCACAGGCTGCCCATCCGCTGCCCACAGCCCGCCCGTCATCGTGGGCTGCTAATCTCCCAATCGGCTGACGGTACAGCTGTGACCTCAGTTGGTCCAGCACCCCCAACGTTGGACCGTCGCATTCTCTTGAGTGACGCAACTTATTCTGACCAGCGTCGACCCGGCCTTGCCCGGTCTTAAGGCCCCTCCAATTTGAGAGTGACGATATCCTCATGCCCGACATCCCTGCTTTGGAGGGGCTTCTGGCCGCATAGCGCACTGCGTGTGCAGCTCTAGAGCTTGTGACAGTCCGATACGGATAGTCATAGCGAGTTAGCGACCTACACAGTACACTGCGGCCGGTCAGGTCAGACACAGGTCAGGTACAGCAGCACCCGCTAGCCCTCATCATCGTCGTCACCACCACCATCACGCTCATACAGCGGCCACTACCGCTATCACTGCTGCCACCAGTCATCATCGTTGCTCGTCACTTACTGTGCAGAGAGGACATGGTCGTCCCTCTTGCATCTCCAGAAGCCTTTCTCTGCCCTATCCCCATCCGTCTCCTCGACCCCTCCCCCACGAGATAACATCTATTCCTGGTCCCGGCCCCGTTAGTGGAGCCGGCACGAGTTCCGAGCCCGCAAAAATGGCCTGGTGGGATTCCAAGCACCGAGCGGCCGGGCCTTCGCCGTCATTGCCGCCGCCCATACGGCCCAGAGACTCCAGACAACGTTTGGTTATGGGCGATGTCTTTCCCCGTCTTGACCAAGGAACCTTATACAAGATCGACACGGAACAAGAACGTGAGCGGGCCATGCTGCCCCCCGTTTTGGAGGTGCAGAGGCCAGGGCTGCCGACAACTCCCGCATTGGTGGTGCATGTTGAGATCCGCTTTACGGATCCGGTCATACGGTCTCGGTACTCGCGTACCTATGCTAGCTCCCCAGGCTTTGCGGCCACTAACAGGATCTGCCGCGGCCTTATACGTCGCATCGAGCGCTGCTCTCAGGAACTTCTCACTCGCAAAGATTCTTCCGCCCTCGACATGTTCAAGGCCGGCTCCGGTGAGCGCAAGCCTCAACGATTCGAAATGAACTTCCGTATTATGAGAAGAGACCGAGACAAGGGGGATAAGACAGAATGCGCTGAACGAACTTACCGCTCTTACCAGAAGCAGCCTCTCACCGTGGCCCTCGCCAAGGAGGTCGTCACCGCCACCCATCGCATGGTTGGTCTCTTCATGCGTCGGCATGATGACAAGTTCCGTTGGGTCGACTGTCCCTTCCCAGACTCGGATCCCCAGGCAGAGTCCCTCGAAGTAACAGGAGGCGGTCCTCCCACGCTCCTGTGTGTTCCCAACTCACGCTTTAACGAGGCCACACAAAAGTTCGAGTTCACTCCCGGCTACAGCATCGACCTCTTTTTCCGAAGTAGGAGCCATCATCGACCTGCCTTGCCAACCTATGACAAAAGATTACGCATCAGCAGCACGCAGACAACGCCGCTGACCCTGCAGATGACCGACGACTTGCTCTGGAGAGTTCTGGAAGCTATTAACCAAGGCCTAGAATTGAAGAAACGGGAGCATGATGAGCATCTTCGAAACCGCGTCGGATTCGGCCATTCACGCGACGATGCCCTCGAAATCGCCGTTCGCATCAAGAATAATTTAGGACCAATATTCACCCACGCACAGAGGCAAGTGAAGAGCAAACTAGGCCTCTTCCGCGATCCGCGCGCCGCCGACTGCGAAGACTTCCTACGTAGCATGGAGCACTACCTGTCCCATGCCAGGAACCAGACTGACAAGAAGATCAATGCCCTGAACGACCTGGACTTCAGGGTGGTCGAGCTCAAGGGCGTAAACTGGAATATTCGTGAGCCGTTGAAGTTCACCATTGGCCCGTCTGCGTCTTATGGCCGCCGCACCATCGGAGCCGCCCTGGAGCGCATTCAGACCGGCATTGGGGATGTGATCCGCGGGCACAATGTCGCCATCCACATTCAAGCCCACAAGCGCGGACATCTCATCTTGGACAAGGCCATAGTCGCCCATGAAAAGCGGGGCCGGCCGAAGGAGTATTTTGCTACTCCCGATGAGGCAATGAATGCATTTGTGTCCAGGCTCAAGCATCGTATCCAGCAAGACATTGACATGGTTTTCGAGGATACATGCGCAATCGATGACCTCCCCGAAAACGATGAAGACCATATTATGCAGCCAGTTACGTCTTTGGGAGCAGACCGGGGACTGTTTGGAGAAGCGGCCTTCTCGTCAATATTCATGCCGCCGTCGCCCTCGTCTTCGCCGACAAGAAAATCAAGGACCACAACCGGGGCTGGTTCCCTTCGGAGCGAGCAAACTTCCTTTTCTCGTCCATCATTAGAGTCGGTACAATCGTTCGACTATCTCTGGCAGCAAAACGAAGATCTATTCACAGGTTCAAACAGTCGTCCAAGTTCAGGCCACAGTATCGAAGCACCATCCGCATCCACATCTAATGGCCGGCCGGATTGGCGCTCCTACTGGAATGCATATCAGCGACCTAGAGGTAACGATCGCTTTTCGCTCCTCTCCCAGGGTGATTCGATACCAGCCAAACGGTCGTTCTCACTTGCTCCGAAACGATCATCGACCACAGCGCGAACAAGCAATGCATCAAATTTAGTCGACGACACGCGAAGTATTGCTGCAAGTGAACAGAGTAGAGATGAAGGTGACCAAGTCGCCGGGAGACCGGCTAGTCGTTTGTCATCGAGAGAGCAAGAATCACCCTCCGCCAGCTTCATTCGGCGTAGTATCGACAGCAACTCGGTCAGGTCAGCAGGTGTCAGCTCACAAAACTCTTCCCAGGACGAGGGCGGCAAACCTATTACGTCGGTCAGTCACGAGAATATCGCTGCGCCAAGTCAAGAGTCGCCCATCCTCCCTCCAGAAGAAGGGATGGAGGAGCCCGAACCCTTCCGGGAATTTGCGGTCGGAAACACCAGTGTTAGGTCAGATGAGACTCGGCTTGCAACTCCCGAGCTCAGCGACGGAGCTTCGACGTCGCGCAAAAGCCCGCTGTCCACCCCATCCTCCCTTCGGACTGCTTCGGTATCACAGCCTGCTATTCTGCAAAGTCCAACGAAGTTTGAGACACACGTGCCGGGTGTGGTACCAGGAGAGCCAGCTTTGAAAGGAGAGAATGAGCCCTTCGCACTCAACGGCCAGATCCATAAGCCAGTTCAAATGGTTCAATCCACGCCAAACATTGTTCCTGCACAGACGCCAGATGATCTCCAGAATGCTACCGTTGACGTGACGACCCGCGACACACAGGAAGGATCCAATCCTGGTCCAGTCGTGATGTTACACCAACAAGCAACCTGCCCTGAATTGGCATCCACAATCCAGCAAGCGGCATTGCCCCTTAACAATATTCTTTGCAACTCGGATGCGGTTGAAATGAAGCAGTCAAAACGCAAGGCGGTTACCGAAAGTCTCGGGGCCGAGATCAACTCGATCTCCGACGTCCCTTGCCCTCTTGCAACGGACTTCCCCACTACTGAGGTCCGGAGACCTGAGAACAATGAAGCAGCGCAAGTCCTGGTCCACCATCTTGAACACAACTCTAAACAAGATGTTTCAACTTCAGATATTGCGTCGCAGTCCCGAGTCGAGCTTCATTTCAGAGATGCTACCGGTGATAATCTCGGCGCCGGCAGCGGTGCCGAGGTCAAGCCTGTGGGGGACCATGTAACCAAAGGTGTCTCCGCTGACGACGCTCCGGGAGCAGTTCTGTTCACCAATCCGGAGCAGATCCCCAGCACGGAGCCGGTGAGAAGGCCGTCGAGGACCAGGTCAATGAGCGAGAGTATCGTGCAAGCGACCGAAGCTTTGGCCGAGCTGGTCGACCAAGAACAGGAAGATGGTACGCAAGTATCGAGTGCTGAAACCGATCCCGGTACGGCAAACAAAGGCTCTGATGACGTCGCCACAATCACTGCTGCTGCCACGGTCGGATCCAAGCTCGCGACCGAGGCGCAAGGCAATGAACCATCTCTCCCAGTGGTACACGACGTCAGCACCGCAAACACCGCGGAGATCTCAGTCGCTCAAGGGCAGCTTCCCGAAACCGTGGCTCAGGGGCAGCCAGCAGCCAAACCACACGCTGCTGGAAACACTTGCGCTGTACCCCTGAGCAATGTTGCTGCGCCAGAGTCATCTGAGACAATCAAGGAACAGACGCAAGGCGATGCTCTTATCAAGCTCAGCAGCGACAAAGCTGACATGGCCCGTGCCGTGCAGGATGCAGCAACAGCAACAGCAACGGCGGCGATGCCGGCAGCGGCTCTCGAACAACGTTCAAATGAAAATGAACGTGTAGCAGTTGTGGGTGCCGGGAACGAAACAGTCGAGGTTGCCCAAGTACAAACCGTCGGTCGCGAGCTTGACTGTGGCAACATGCCGGGATGCGATCTCGCGTCCGAGGAATCTGCCATGGCATCCGTGACGACTGAAGTCCCCGTGCGCAGCCACGTGTCCGAGACGAGCTTGACTGCAGGCCCGAAGGTGGTTGATGCCATTAAGGAAACGGCACCGGACGTGAATATGCATTCCGAACGTGGCGTTGCCGTGGCCGAGAAGAGCTGCTCCGCACCCGAGCCTGATGTGAAGGAGCCGAAAGGGAGTGCGGCGCCACTTCAGGATGGTGTTACCGGGACCGAGTCCCACCCCGAAGATGTTGTCGGGCAGAAGGAACACATTGTGCTGTCCGAGGTTGTTGGCTGGGGGCTGTCGAAAAAGGAGCAGGCACACAAGATGTTAAGCGATTCGGTGCCCGAACTCAGGGGCTTGGAGCCCGATGTCACGGCGGCTGTTGCAAGAGCGAGCGCGGATAGCGTTGCCGATGTCGTTGCGGGTCCTGAAGGTTCAGTCCGTTCAGCTGTTGCAGCTGAGCATGGGACTGAACAACGGTCTGAAAAGACGTCGGCAGCAGTTCCAGCTGCAATCACGGCGGCCGATGCAGAAAGCGAGGAAACAAAAGAGAAAGAAAACATCACAGAGCAGGCGGCTGCCCGCACGGCTGACGTGGTCACTCTCGCGACCCACTTGGCGGAGGAAACCACAGAACGTGTCAACACACCGCCAGTCCTGACCCCACCCGGATCCGCTGATGCCAAGACCGGGTCCACCAGCACTGAAAAGGGCATCGCCGATGAGCTCGCCGACCGCACGGCGCTGCCACCTCCTGTCGTCCCGGAAGCCAAGACTGAAGTTGGCGCCGGCGCCACCGAAGCTGTCGGCGCGGCTGCTGCCGATGTCGAGGTTAAGGTGCAGGCCAACGACTTCCTCCAAGAAGCTGTGTGCATCGGTGTCGTCTCCGAGCCGCTGGTGCACGAGCCCGCCGAGGAGCTCAAAGTCCAGGTAAAGGACGACAAGCAGGTTGTCGAGGTCGCCGAGGTCGTCGCGGTTGAGCTTGTTGCGAAGCCTGAGGGTTGTGAGGCCCTTGATAAAGAAGTCGGCGCCAACACAGAGAGTTGTCTCGATCATGCTGTATCACCGGCAATTTCAGCTGAGCCGTCGACTTCCCAGGCATCTGGCATCTCGATCGCTTCGGCCGAAGCAGAGAATAACACACATGTTGCCGCTTCTGTAACTCCCAAGCCCTCAGCAGTTCTGCCGGCAGCCGAGGCTCCTCAACCCCCTTCTGCAGAGCCGGAGGTTGAAGGCAAGCCTCAGCTCGCTGCCGTCCCTGATCCCGCCTTACTCTCCAGGCTTCTCGCTCAAGAAGCTGACGAGAGCGACGTGGACGAGGGTGCTACTGCTCGCTCGACTCTTTCTGCAACTTCCATTCCCCCAACTCCTCGTAACTCGGTCGACTCTGTGCGTCTATCCACTGGTCTCGACGATGAGGAAGCCTCTTTCGCCATTCCCGCGACTCCTGAGTCTGTGAGGCCGAAATCGCGGGACAGCGATAGCAGCGGTGTCTCATTCCGTCGTGTTGGTCTGCAGCCGGCTTTCACAACCGCCGGCCTGCTGGGTCTGCGCGATTTGCAGCACCGGCATGGCCAACACCAGGCTCACAACGTGAGCAGCTTGAGTGTGAACACCCTTGTTCGTGGCGGAGGTAGTACGGGAAGTCTTGTGTCCGGCCGGGTGTTTGGGGATGTGTTGCAGGCAGTCGTAAAGCGGGAGACCTTGGTTGCTACCTCGGTCACATCGTCGGACAAGGGTAGCGAGCTTGATCTCGAGGAGGCGAAGGAAATTGAGGGAAAAAGGGCAGTTGCTGAGAAGCAGAAGACTGCGCGGGAGGGTCAAGTGGATGAGGATGGCGAAGATGAAATGACCGCCGATGAGGGTATGCTTCCAAAAATGGCGTTGGTGATTGCTGGAGCGATGGCGATTGGCAAGTTCTTTGCAAAGCCGTAGTTGAGGGGATCGGGCGGCTGGTCCAGTAACGGTCACAGATTGCTTTTCTCCTCTCCTTTTATGTTTTTCTTTTCTCTACGCACTATTTTATTGTTGCGCTTCGTTATCGGTTTTTAGTTGCTGCGTGAGACCGTTTTTGCATGGCCCGGGGTATATTTTTGGGATGATGACGATCTTGGGAGTTAGCATAGTGGTCATAAAAGTACTGTGTCATGAGTGTATCTCGTTGAATGGATATCTATGGTTACTATTTGAATCCTCAACATCGTCTCACTGTCCTAGAAAAGGCTGAAACCTCTTCTCAGTTGCGGGTCTCAATCCAGCCATCCGGCCCGAGTCGGGCATATCTGCAAGAGCTTTTCTTTAGTTTTTCTAGCTTCGGCGCGAGTAAGTGTGGATCGGAGAACGGTTTTCACCGTAATGCCATAGCATGGCAGCACCAAATTTGGCAGATAAAACAGACCAATTATCAGGGGCATCAAGAATTACTTTATTGCATCTATGTTTTTATGCCAAGTCATAGTTCATCTCTCGCCGGCACCTGCACCGGCTCCGGCTCATCCATCGATTCTGATTCAGCATCCCACATCCTTTTCTTCGGATTAGGCTGTACTTCCTCCCTCCCTTCTAACTCTGGTTCTGGTGCTGGCTCTTCGGTCTTATCAGCATCCTCCGTTTTATTTGCCTCTTTCTCTCGCTGAATCTGATCCAGCGTGTCCTCAATAATCCTTCCTATTTGCCCGACCATAGACTCGGGTTCCCCTTTCTTCTCCTCCTTCGGTTCCTCTTCTAAGCCAACTCGTATAAGAGGCACTTCCTCCTTCCCTGCGGTACCTTCCACAACACCTGTAACACCAGCCCCCGGTGCCGACAGTGAAACCGACACAGACGCAGAAGACTGCCCTTCTCCCGACCCGCCAACAACAGCCTTCGTAACCCCGCTACCCACCCTCCAGCTTGTCCTGAGGGGCAACCAGATCAGCCACCAGAGCGGGCCATACAACCATCTCCTGAATATCAACCAGGCCAATGTCCACAGCAGCATCCGCAGTGCCATCTGCAGGTACCACGTATCGCTTCGGCGCGCGGCGACTAGCTCGCCGACCAGCTCGCGCGATGCTCCCAGCAAGGCGTCTAAGCTGGAATAGCTGCGCTGCAGCTCGGCTAGTGCGGCGGTGCTCTCTGCCAGAGTCTGAGCCGCAAAGGTCGACTTGGCGAGTTCGCCGGCTATGAGGGAGTGGGTGCGCCGCAGGGAGAGGGTGATGTCTGTTGACGTGGTGACGGCTGGGTCAGCAGAGGCAGCGTAGAAGGGGTTGTTATTATGTTTCTGGCGATAACGATGGCGGGGGAAGAGACGGGCGCGGGGGTCATCGTTGGGGTCGGCGCTGGCTGATGCAAGAGAGGGGGGTTCTGGATGGGGTTGGTGTCGTTGTGACTGTTCTTGTTGGGTATTTGAGTGAGATATCGGCTGTGGTGGCAACCGCTGGCTCCCCGTAGGAGAGACAGCTCCCGAGCGCGAAACGGGGCTCGTCACAGAGGATGTCGAGGCCGAAGCAGCATACGCAGCCAGCAGCATCTCCCTCTCCCTCTTCTGCGCCTCCTCTAGCGTACGCCGCGCAGCGACTTGCGCGCGTCGGAAGGCTACCCGATACTTCTCAAGATCCATTTCAAGCCTGTGCACTCCATCCCTCAAACGCGTCTTGCGCTGCTCGGCCTCGCTGCCAGGCCGGCCAGAGCGCAAGTCGACGACCTCCTCGCGAAGTAGCTCTAGATCTTCTTCCTGTTCGCGCAGCAGCTGGCCGATCTCGGCGGACAGCTCGGCGGCTGGGTTTGCGACGGCAGCGTCCGGATCTGTTGTAGACAGGGGCACAGTGCCGGGCTCGAAGGTAATGCTAGCTAGGCGGGAGATGAGGTCATGGAGCTGGTTGGATACTTCGTGCAGCGCCGTCAGGCGGTCGTGGAGGGCGTCGGACGAAGAAGCCATGACGGGAAACAATGTCTAGTTCAGCGACGTTTCAACAGGAGAGTCAAGGCATTGGGAGCGTAATTGAAGGTAATTTGGCGTTGGATGCCGTCGCAAAAGTGGAAGAGGGTTGGGAGGTGCGCCAGCCTTGTCGGGTGTGTAAGTTGCGAGCTGGCATCACGAAAGCACTGCGATTGGAGGTTGCGATAACTGTTGGCATAGGTAGTTCATTACGTTACGCCGCTCCTTCGTTGGGGGGGAGGTGGTGAAACGGCGCACAAACGGCAGGAACTTGCTTTTATCGATAAGAGTGTTTCACCTCCGTTTCCTTCCATCCCGCCTGCTTGCCCCTCCTCCGTTCGGGTACTTCCGGCCGAAGCTCAACTTCATCGCCAATTTTCCCAACCATCTTGAGCCGCACCCATCCAGGTTCCATTCCAGAGCAAGACCTCCCAGCCTCGCCAGCACCGGTCCCCGGAGCAATACGCAACCGCCAGTTGTTTTCCACATCGTCCAGATTTTCAATTGACGTGTTCTCCAGCTAGCCTTCAAGGTGCTGCAGCAACCGAAAAAAAAAGGGAAAATACAACAAAAGAGTATCGCCAAAATGATCACCCGTTTCATCACCGACGTCACAACCCGCTTTAACCCCTTCTCACCGAGCGCCAAGGCCGCGCGCCTGTTCCTCTCATTCCTCCCGCCAAATGCTCGCCAGCAGGGCATGAACATCTCTGCGCAGCTGCTGCCGAGGTCGTCGACCGAGAAGCCGACGCTCTATATCAAATTCAGTACGTTGCTCAAAACAACGAGCTCTCTCACTTTGATAGTATGGCGGGGTCAGACGAAAGCACAGAACGCTAATGTGAGGAACAGAGGACGGCAAGGAAATGAACATCGACTGCGAGAAGATGAATATCAAGACTATCATCGAGGAGGTTGACCGGCACTCGCGTATGCTGCAGAAGGAAGCCGATCTGGCCGAGGCATAAATCGGCCATCCCCGAATATGTTATTGTTTTCACTCGTGTATTTGTCTGTATTTATCTATTGGCATTGGATGGCGTTGATTGTCTTTTGCTAGCACTTACTCAGGAAGTTCGAGAGAGAGAAAGGGTGAGACCCCATGAAGATATATTATGGCATGTAATGTCACGAACCAGAGCAGTGTGCAAGATAGATTTAGAGGCCCGGATTCACTGTTTACTCCACTTATTTTGTATTTTTAGCGGCCCTGCTCCCATGCGAGGTCTATCTACCAGACAAGTCGCTATTCCAACTACCAGTACGGGCAGCATTTAAGCGGCAGCATTTAAGCGGCAGCACCGCTGATGAAGAACCACTTGTCGATGGAGGGGTCAATCGGGGCAGGAGGAAGCTCCTGGTTCTGAGGAAGAGGCGGCAGCTGCTCAGAAGAAATACGGCTGGCCGAGTGGGCAACAGTCAAGTTGGCACTAGCATCATTGTCAGCGATCCAACCTTGCTTCCGACAAAGTCGAGAGGTCACCTACGTAGAGATGTTGCCAGCGGGGGTCTTGCCAGTGATTAGGCGCTCCCAAGCCTCATTGCACTCACGGATGACATCCATGGCGTACCTAAGATGGTCAGCTACTGATCCTTGGATAACTCTTTCAAAAAAAAAAAAAGAAGACCTTACTTTTTATTCTTGCATTCGCCAGTGAAGGCAAACTGGTTCTCGGGCTTGCCATCAGGGATCTTGTAGATACGGAACCACTCGTTGGTGGCACGGAGTAGACCAGGCAGGTGGCGCTCGACATCCTCAACGTCGTTGAGCTTGGGAGCAAGGGGGTCGTTGACGTCAATGACGATGACTTTCCAGTCGGTCTCCTCCTCGTCGAGAAGGGCCATCACGCCCAAGACCTTGACCTGCTTGACCTGGCCGGTGTAGCCGACGAGCTCACCGATCTCGCAGACATCAAGCGGGTCGTTGTCGCCCTTGGCCTTGGTCTCGGGGTGGATGGAGTTGGGGTCCTCCCAGGTCTGGGGGAATGCACCATAGTTCCAGAGGTAGCCCTTGTGCGGGAAGCAATTGCGGACGTAGCGGAGCTTGCCCTTCTTGGTGTCCTGCTTAATGGGGTTGAGGAGCTCGTCCTTGGAGATCTGTCCGTAACATACATTGTCAGCCCGGCTGCCCCGCCCTTCCGTCCGGTCAGGGCCCAAAAAGCAGACCACACAAGAAAACGCACCTCGAGCTTGGCATTAGTCCAGCGAGGGATCTCAACAATCATGTTGAGGATGGTGCCCTCAGGGTTAGCATAGAGGGGAATGTCGTGGAAGGGCGAGATGGGAACGCCATCCTTCTCGATGTAGACACGGTGGTCGATGGTGTTGGGCTGGCCAACCTTGCGGATGGTGTAGGGGGACGACATCTTGGTGTCGGTGTTGTAGCTCCTAGCCGGCTGTGTCTGTGACAACGATGATGACGACAGGTGTCTCGCGATCTGGGCACTCCGCGACGAAGCTGTCCGCAGCTGGGCACGAGCGGGATTTGCAGCAGAGGCAGAGGTAGAGATGGAGGAAGCAGCAGCGGTAGCAACAGACGGGAAGCGAGGGGGAGGGGCTCCAGCAGCAGGATAGCTCAGGCTCGAGGTGGGGCTCGCCAGTGACGCCAGCGGGCGGCTTTGTGATTGGCCGGGGCAGAGACTCGATTGTGGCATTTGATTATGTAGCGGGGAGGGTTGTGCAAGTAATGGAGCTTCTCTTCTAAGACTTGACTTTGACAGAGACAGTCCGCAGGCTCGTGCAGCAGACACAGGCACAGGCGTCAACACCTGCCTTGTCGTCCTTAACGCTGCTAGGGCCGGCATAGGCAAACTTAATGCGGAATAGGGAAATGCTATAAATCCTGGGAGTCCCGGGATGCGGGCAGGGGGACAGGGGGCGTGAGGGGAAAGGGGGAAGGTATTTCTTCGACGAGGCTCGTCCCCTTTGGCCGCACTCTCGAGTCTTTGCTGCTTCTCGAAAACTTCCGAATGCCCGACACGGCGACACCTACCGCGGAATTGGAGATCGACAAGGGCGTTATATGGCTGACCTGTGATGTGTGATGTGTCGTCGTCCTCTCGGTAAAAATTCCCAGACGAGACTGTCCCAAACAAGGCAATGAAAGAGGCGCAACACAATGTCTGGTCCTGCAGTCGGATTTGGACTCTGCGGATCGCCGTCGACACCTTGATTCACTGGCCTGGAAATTTCACGCTGTTGTTCGGAAGCTCCCGGATGCCTGAGATCCACCCAGCAATGGTTGCCGGCCCGGCAGAGCAGATGCGGCTGGGGGTAGTAACCCCTGCAACATACCCAACCTCATTGTGGCTGGTGGGTGGAATAAGCCCCTTTTTGTGGCCCAGCAGCACGCCCCAGGATTCATAAAGACTTATCACAACAACACTCTCACCAAGCCATTTCATCAAAAAGAAGCCGCGTACGGTATCCATAGTAAAGGGCAAGCCCAAAGAACGCTATTTCCCACATACAAACTGCCGTAAAATCCGCATTACTCACAGGGTTGGGTATTGCGTGTCAAATATCATTATCATCCTCCACCAAAAACGCCCTATTACATCCTCTCCAGACCAAGAAACCAACCCATCGGGAGGTGAATTAGATCGTTAGGAGAAAAAAAACAAGCAGAGAGAATGAACTGAAGCAAATCTGGCTATCATCACCGGTCATGTCTACTTCCTTCCAGCACAAGGCATCTTCCCAGGAGGAGATCTACCGCCTAGGTAGTCCTCCCCGTCCATACAACGGCCCACCAAATGGGGCCGCTGCCCCCGATGCCACGCCCCCGTTTCCGCTGTTGGCATTGAACCCAGCCGGGCCCCATCCCGTCTGCTGATAAACGCTCTGTCGTACAATCATGGCAGCCGCTTGCTGTGCTGCCATGCGCTCCTTCTGTCTTTGCCTCTCCTTGAGGTAGCCGGCCGCCTCGGGCCGCATACGCAGAATTCGCAAGATCATATCGTCGCTAGGTTCTGCCTGTGCCTCGCGGCGACGCTCCTCTTTCAACTTCCGCATCGTGCCCAGGTTCCGGCTCATCATGATGCTCTTGCCACGCCGGATGGTACCGAGACTGCCAAACGCGATCGGGACCGGCACGGAGCCAGGGCCGCCCGGCACACCTGGGACGCCAAGGGTTGCTGGTGCTGAGAGACGCATCTGCTGCTGGGCTTGTTGCTTGGCACGCTCGACGTTAGCAGCGGCCATGCGCTCCGACGTACGGATGAGGGACTCAGTCGAGTCAAAGTAAAAGAAGTTGAGCGACGCGAGCTCGTGCCACTTAGGCGACTTTAGTACGTCGGCAGGGACGCCGAGCACCTCGCCCGACTCTTGGTCTTTGGCGTTGAAGAAGGCAAACAGCAGCTCCAGCCAGCGGTAAACGATATCCATCTCCGCTTGCGTCAGCGGCTTCTGCGATGATGGCTTGTCTGACAGAGGGGGAACAAGCAGGTTTTCGATTGCGATAAGCACCTCTTTCCAAAGTCGGGTCATGACTGCCATCATGGTTGCGTCCGTGAGCGTCTGCTTCATGATGGCGAAGTTCTCATCAAAATAGGTAAACAGTGGCTGCAGTGCATCCTCCACTTCCTGCGGTGTTACTGTTGCTGCCTGTGACTGCCGCTTCTTCCAGAGGCTGGTCACCGAGGCAGCCAAGCCCTTGTTCAACAGACCGCGCAGAGTGTCGCGGGAAAGCGACGAATTAATATGCATCGTGAGCTGAGCCCCGTTAGCAGCAACAACGAGAGAACCGACACTTGTTCAACCAGAAAACAAAACGTACCTTGCTGGTGACCATGCGGACCATATCACGCTCTGTCCGCTTAAGATGCCGGAAAGCCTTACCAAAATAAAACTGGATATCGTCTCGCTCACCCTCCATACTGACCCGAATCAGGATCCTGCCTTGGGTATCCAGATCTAGCCAGAACTCTCTCGGGAGATAGTCGCTGAAGTGCACTGGATCTAGCTTCAGCGACGTTCTCCCGACAAAGTCGTGGTCGCCAAACATGTCGTGGTCCCAGACTGTCAGGATGAGATTCAGCGGACCTGACACGGTGATATCAACTGACTCATCCCAGCGTGGGTTGAGGTTACGCTGGATAACGCGCGTCTTGAACAACCGCTTCTGGTATTCATCGCAGAGAACGACGTAAGGGTCGCTGGTGCCGCTAGGGTCACATGCCTTGAGCTCCTCGCCTTCAATGATCTTAATAGTGAAGACATAGTGAGCTGGCTTCTTCGCATACTGACGTGGTCCTTCTAACTTGCGCAGAATCTCAGCGCATTCGTCGACGTTCATGCGCTTCTCTAACCGATCCAGAGCTTGCATTGCCCACTCGATGTTATTAAACTTGACGAAGGACTAAGCGGATGTTAGTAGTTCGAAGACAAACTCGAGAAAAAAAAGCATGAGGGAACTGACCGTTGGATAAAATTGGAATGGCTCAATCTTTTCTTTGTTATTCCAAGCATCCTTCGCATACTGCAGAAACCTCTCCTGAGCTGACTTAGCTGCTGCAGCTTCTTGTTGCGTCGGCCGGTCCATCTCCTTGGCAAACATGCCCTCTACAACCTCACAGTAACGTCCGATGCCGATGGAGACCGCCTTTGCCAAAGACGTCATGAACCGTGCGACCTGCACCTCGTCCTTCCATTCTAGCTTAACTAACTGGTCGACCGTCTGATTGAAAAAGGTGAAAATGTCGATTACGGACACGCTGTGACGCTCGTCGTCTGCAGGAATGTCGTCTGGGTGCCGCGTGCGCACCTTGAACTGGTCCTGCCGAATTGCCTCATCAACGAAAGGAATCACCTTCTCGTGGACCGTCTTGAGCCAGCGCCAGACAAAATCTTCGAGCAAGCTCTCAATGCTGAAGGCAAATGGCTGCCGAGGCAAGAGTTCGACATGCATTTTCCGGATCTCGCCAAGCTCCTTGTACATGTCGAACCCATCCTGCAGGGCCACCTCCTCGCCGGATTCCTTGGCCATGGCAACGACCCGCTTAATGATCTCATGCGCATCCTCTTCAAAGCTTGGCAACGCAGTTTCCACTAACGCCCGGAATGGGCTGGCGCCCATGATCTCGGGGCTCCGGCGGTACCGCTTCTTGATCTTCTCAGCGAGCGCAACCACCCCCTTGCCTAGGTCAATGACATGACCAAAGTGCCAGTCACGCTGGTGTGGCGGGATAACATTGTCCAGTAGTTTGCGGTATGCCTGAGCAGCTGCCTCGCGGAGCCCAGTATCGAGTTGTTTGGTGAATTCCTCAGCCTCATTTGGCCGTTGTGAAAGGGCCGTATCATTCAGGATGTGATCGTTCAAGAGCGCCATGACAACGCCGACCGTGGGCGGGTTTGGCTCGTAACAGCGCGTCAGAAGAACGTACAGCTCTCTTAACAAGGCATCGTGGAGATCATGCAGTGCTTGACGATAGCCGGCGAAATCGACAACGGTCCACTTGCTTGAAGGGATATCTGTCAGAGAGGACGTGTACCCTTGAATAAGGGATGGCTTCTTCCCCTCCTCCAGGGGTTTCTTTACAAGCTCCAAGCAGTTATACAGCTGCTCGCCGGGCAATTCCTGCTCGATGAACTTGTGGGCAGCTACCTCAACCAGGGCGACATGGCGTGAAAACTGAGGAATCCGCCAACGAGCTGCAACCTCTACCAAAAACTGCGCGGTCTCCTCCGCCAGTGGCGTTTCCGACACATCCGAGTTTTGTTGGTCATACGATAGGGCATACTGCAGGATGGCCTTATACACAGAACGAGGGTCTGGTGGGATGAAGGTATAGTTTGGCTCGTCAACGCTCCGTATGCTCGCGGTATCCTCCAGGGATAAGGAGCCAAAGTTGAAGGAGGGATCAAAGGGACTTGTTGGAGAGGATGCGTCCGCATCGGCGAGACGCTTTGCGAGCTCGGCGTAGCTCTGGTCCTCGTACATGGACATTCTGACGGAAGGCAACGGCCTTTCGCTACCGGGGCCAGATGCCCCCTTCAAATCGGGGCGGATGCTCAAAATTTCTGCGAAGATTTTGGCCAGGTGAGGGGCTTCTCCCTTCTTCCATTCCTCATACGCCTCGTCTAGGTCAAAGTCCTGCTTCCGAAGTGTGCCGGCCATGCCTGCAGAAAGCCTGAACTGGTAGGCCTTGTAATCCTTCAGGGCAGCCTCTTCCGTCCATTCTGACTTGTAGCGGTCGATGTCCACCTGTACTTGGGTGAGGGGGACGTTAAAAATGCGGGCAACATGCTGCACCATGGGCATGTCCTTAACCTCGTAGCTTAGGGGAATTTCAACCTCGACAAAGGAATGGTCCTCCTTGCCGGTGTCAAGGGTCAAGCTTTGGTCGTTCAGCATCAGCTTCCTCTCGAAGGTATTCAACTGGGAAACCAGTTCCGTCTCCCCCTTTTCTCGCAGCGTATGGACCAGCAGCCGGACAAACATGGCCAGATGCTTGTCTACCAACGCCTTCCACGAGTGATCATCGGGGGCCTTCCCCGCCCCTGGGCCTTGGTAGCTGCCGAATAGAATATCAGGACGAGGTCCTCAACCTTCCTGTCCTTATCGAGGCTCTTCTGGAACTCCTTGGCCGTGAAGGCTGTGTATGCTTCGGCGAAGCTCCTCTTCAGAGAGGCATCGTTATAGCCGGGCAATTTTTCGGCGCCGGTGACGACGCCAGACATGCGCTTGGCCAGGGTACGGCTGAAGTTTGAGGGCAGTTTTGCGGCAGGGTGACCCGAGGGCCCGATCTCCTTGACCAGCTCGCTGATGCTCGACGAGTGGGCGCGCTGGAGGCGCTTGGGAGCAGCGACATACTCCTTCCTCTTTTTCCTGGGCTGGAGGATGTAGCGAAGGAAGGCGACTCGCAAGGCGTAGGAATACGCATCTTCGTAGCTGACAGGCGGGGCGCGGGACCTGGAAGAGCGACCGTCGTAGAAATCGCCGTGGACGCTGCCCAAGCGAAGATGATACGAGGACCGCGAGGGCGTCGACATGTTGAAAATATGTGGGAGCGCGGCAGAGAAACGGTTGTAAAACGAGTCGTGCGGCAGCGACGGTGTAGATAATAGCCGGCCAGGTTTAAGCGCTCATGGTCAATGGCACCGGTTGGACCAGACGACGAGTTATGGATTGGGTTGGGATGGGGTAGGGATGGGGTAGGGTACGTTGCACAGGGAGCAAAGTGGTGCTGTTGGCTGGCAGCGAGCCAGGGAAAAGGTAGTAAACAGTAACTTTGTAGCCAGAGACGCACTTGGCGGGAAGAGGATCGTAAGGCAGCCAGGTCAACGACTGTCAACGGGTCAAGGTGGTTTTGGTGGTTAGATGCTGGAAACAGAGATAGACGCGCAGGGAGCAGGGAGCAGCGATGGAGGTGAACAGCGGTGGGGGGGTGTGTCAGGTTGGGTGGGCCGACTGCTAATGGATGCTCCAAGAAACGTCATAAGATGAGCGCCGAATGGAGGTCCCCCATCTTGACACAGGTGACAGGCCCGGTGCCCTGGCTCAGAAGTTACCTTAGATACGGATTACCTTTCCCCCATCCTTAGCCCTCACTTCACTCCTTGATCGCTCTTTACAACTTGCAGGGTACCGTACTGCTTTTTGTAACCATGTTGTGGTCGGTGAGGCTTGGTTTTGGTTTGTCTCCGCATGACAAGAACTCCGCCCTCTTGGTTTTATTGTTTCTAGGATACCAATGTAAAGCAACGATTATCGGATCAAGATGCCTGGGACAAGCACACAAGCACCCACATCCCCAGCCAACTCAGGGGCAATTTCCAGGGCTTACTGAGCCGTTAGAGGACATGCTAGACTGCTGACTGGCCAACGAACAGTACGCTCCTTTAGGTAGGGTTCTGGGATCCTGGATACCCAACCCTGGGTGACCAGAACTAGAGGCATTGCCGCGCCGGCTCGCAATATTGTCTCTTTATATAGCTGCCTAGGTAGGTATATATGGATCAGTACCCAGCAGGCAATGCAACAACCGAAGGCACTGAAATCTGCCACTGGATCCGATGTCGAGACCTACGCACAATAGGTACCCACCAAAGATGCCCGTCGGAGGGACGGATAGATTTGGTGTGATCTTGAATTGACGTTGGAATGAATGCAGCTGTCCTTGACTCTCTCGACTAACAAGTTCCTCAAAGTAGTTTCTCACTGCGGCAAGCAAATTCACATGCTGGATGGCATCGATGTGTGTTGGTCCAAAACGCGAAGAGCAAACATGCCTGTTCCAACATGCCTACATCCACAGGGTAGAATATTAAACACCCGTACGAATATATACATGTACATAGCCATGCACACAAAGCCATACTTACCTAAGTCTTGGAACAATAAGATTTATAATGGGGATTTGCCCAGCAAAAGCTAAAACAGCGCAACAGAGGTTTGATCACCAGCAAGCCAGGTGCTCGAGGCCGTTGAAGCTGGGATGTTCAAAGTTGAGGGGCACACTAAGGGTGATTTAACGGATTGCCGAGCATGATGTTGACAGTTTGTTGCCGGATCGCAGTACCAAAATCAACAGACATATACCAGGCATTTTTATAAGTCTGACAAGATCACAGCAATGGCAGCAGCACATCAAACTTCCTTTTCCAGGTCCTAGTGTCCCAGATAAGGCTCGCAGTTTGTTTCATAACATGATAAACCTCCCTTGACATGCAATAAGTCTAATTGCTTGTTTGCGACACATGGCAAACGGAAAAACAGGGGTGAAATCCAAGCTCTTCACTGTGCAGGTAGTGTGCATGGATTCCAGAAGCCCGGAAATGGCCGTGTTCTGTTCTCATGTACAGTGTGCACGCGACCACTCAGCCTTTCTCCCGATACCCATCCCCATTGCCCCATGATTCCCATGTTTGACAACTTGATAGTGTAGCCAGCCTCGTGGGGCTCTGAAGCGGTTGGGTTACTGATTGGCCGCTGTAGTGTGCTTACATTCACTGTTCCTGTTCACCTGTGCCTGGAGGTACCCACTCTTAGATGATCTGAAGCATTGTCAATCAACCGATTCCCACCAGATTCTGCCTGGGAAGATCCCTGGGGGGAACTGACGATACTAGCATTAAGGGGCCTTTCACCAGGTTGGTATCTCTTACAAGGTCGTCCTTTTGCATCTTTCGCTGATACCTGGTTCTTAGCGATGGCCACACACTCAACCCGAACCCTTGCCCCCATTCGAGCATCCCGGTTTTGGCACAAGCCTGCCGTTGCAGGGGCAGTGTTCAGCGGGTCTGCAGGGTTTCAGACGAAGGGCTCCATCCGCTGCAGTTGTTGCAGTCAGTTCCGCCAGTTGATGCGTGACCCACGCACCCTGCCGACAGTTGCCAAGCGCAATCGAATCAAACTAAAGAGAACCCCGCTGTGCCGCTTCAGAGCGAGCTCGCTGCCAACTTCCATGTTCCCATCCACCATCCACTGGCACCGGACATCCACTCTTTGCCTGCGCTGCACCTGCATCTCTACTGTGGCCAGCTTATGTGCCCAGCCATCCTCCTCCCGAGACCTTCTGAGACCCGAGTGCTACGAGTGTTACGGAGCATCCGTACCTTGTCGTCGACTTTAGGTATCTAACAATTCGAATACTACGTATCAGCTACCAGCTACCGATTAATCACCTTAGCCTATCCTTTCCTGCGCTGCCCTGCCTGCTATACCTAGCAACAACCGTGGCGTTGAAGACTCGCAATGGGCAACGTGAGCAGCGTGCCCGATGAGGGCGCAGCTCTCTATCTGAAAGACCAAAATCGATGTATGTCCCGACCATCTACCTGGATCCCGGATGCGTTCACCGGGATCTGCACGGCCTGCGATCGTCGATTCACTGTCACCCATCTCCAATTCCATATCGTCGTTTGATGGATGAGTTATAGTTTTATGGGCCCGTGTGGGCTGCATATCAAAGGCGGCCACTAGGACAGGACGGGGCCAAACACACAATACAAGATCCAGAGCTGCTTTGCTGACCACACGTGTGTCCGCAGTAACTATCTCTTCGTGTGTCATAACTAGCTCCAAACGGCGCAGTTCCATCAACATCGTTCCGAATGCATTTCCTGCTACCAAAATATCCGCTTCACGGTCACAGGGTGACCATGCACCCCTTGAATTTGTTCTGGTGTGCTCCCCCCCCCCTTCCCAGCACAGGCGCACATGTCCATAGGTTCCCACGCGCTAGAAAGGACAATGGGCAGGATTGCTGACATACTCGTGTTGTTATTTTATAGGATACTGAGCCTAATGCGGCTGCAACAGGTCCGCATTTCTTATTGAAACTTACAAATGACGAAGACCTCTCCATCACATTCAGCTTTGTTATTCGCAGGCAACAGGCTCTACCAACTCCAGCTGGTGTCGAGGTAAAACCACCACCGGATACCCAGATCAACGGTCTGACATTCGTCTTTGCGTCAAACGCCCGTGAAATCGAGAATCTCTTGACGAGAGAGTTTCATGCAGACCCAAATCTGCATAAGAACGCCAATGTTTCTCTTATTGGTACATACTCTACAGAAGGGCATCCTTCAGTGACATTCGATTGGACATGGAAATGGAAGCCTCCAAAGCCAGCTGAAGACAGGGGTGGTGGATGGCGGACAGCATGCAGCGTTGGTGCTTCCCGATTTTAGCTTCCGACATTTCACATTGCTAATATCGCACTCTCAGATTGTTGAGTATGATCAGCGCAATCATCGCTTCATTACCCTTGCGAGCTTCACACTATATGTTGCCAGTACGTTAACCCCTGTCTTTCTTATCAATGACCTTTCTTGAACAAAAGCAGGGACTCATTCATAAGAATCAGATACGGCTTCATATATCAGCCATCCAAATTCCCCAACCCCTCCGCTCCTCACTGCCCCGCCAAAACTCCGTGCCGTCTCCGCACAATCACTGGAATCCCATATTGGCACCATACCTGAGCAGGATGAGTCCACTATGCTGCCACCACCGAGTCGCGATCTCCCAAGCAACCCTCCTCCCCCGCCGCCAGAGCCTATCAAGATCGACATATCTTGTCCTCGACCAGGCGACGATCTGCTGTTTGATGATGGGCCGGTCTTCCGTGCAACAATCAAGGCTCTTGAGCAAAAGACGGGTAACATGAGGCAGCAGATGAAGAGAATGATCAAAAAAGCCGAGCAAGTTTACGAGGCACAGCAGGAAGCCAACAATGCCTTCGCTGCGTTCATGGAAGGTCTCAGGGAGGTGTCAGCTACCAACCGGAATGCCGTTCAGCCGGCCATCGAGCATTACTTCGACAAAATCGCCCGCGAAATCTTGCTGTATGAGCGGCAAAATACGGCCAATATCCAAAACTTCATCATCGACCCTGTCACAAAGCTCTACCAGATGGACATCAAGCAAGCCGAGGCCAAGAAGCGCGATTTTGAGGAGGAGAGCAAGGAGTACTACGCCTATGTCAGCCGTTACCTGGGCCAGCGCAGCGATTCCGTCAAGGCGAAGCAGAGCGATTCCAAGTACCAGACAAAGCGCAAGAACTTTGAGCTCAAGCGGTTCGACTATTCGTCTTTCATGCAAGACCTTTCTGGCGGCCGCAAGGAGCAGGAGATTCTGTCGCATCTAACCAAATATGCGGATGCCCAGGCACGCCTGTTCCTCAGCACTGCCAAGAAAGTTGATGCCCTCCTGCCTCAGCTTGAGGCTCTCTCTACCGAGGTCCAAGAGGCGGACAAGGAGTACCAGTATCAGCGTCGCGAGCGCGAGGAGAAAAGGCGGCAGCTCGAAAAGGGCACCCTGTCCCTAAGCGACCTGGAGTTCCATTCAGGAACAGGCTACGTGAATGGCCATCATGGTGGGGATCATGATCCTGGCCGTGCTGATGGTACTGGGTTAGGACTGAAACATTCGCGTTCTCTTAACGCAGGTAGCTCGGCCCATGATCCATCTAGGTCGCCGGGAGATATTGGAAGTCCCCAGCAGAATGCGAAGTTCAAGGGCATCCGCGATTTAGAGGAGCGCGACCCGAACCAAGCGGCACATGCTGGCAAGGATGCTCCTAATAGGAAAGAGGGCCTCCTTTGGGCATTGAACCGTCCTGGCGGCCATGTCGACCCACGAAATCTCAACAAGCAGGGCTGGCACAAGTACGTGGCATACCTGAGCGGTCCTTTTAATTTTTCTTTTCTGATTAATCACGACTAATTGTCTTGTGCAGATTTTGGATAGTCCTCGACCAAGGGAAACTCTCTGAGTATAGCAACTGGAAGCAGCGCCTCGATCTTCACATGGAACCTATCGACCTGCGCTTGGCCTCTGTCCGTGAGGCCAGAAATGCCGAGCGCCGGTTCTGCTTCGAAGTCATCACGCCGCAGTTCAAGCGTGTTTACCAGGCAACTTCCGAAGAAGACATGAACAGTTGGATCACCGCCATCAATAACGCGCTACAGAGTGCTGTTGAGGGTCGCGCGTACAAGGAGAAACCGGCGACGGCCCACGGCGACTCGCCCACCAATGGCAAGGACTTCGGCGCTGTGCTGATGGGGAAAAGCCCCTCTGTTGGCCATGGGAGCCACGGTTCGAGCGGCCTGCCCTTTAGAAGGACGACTGTCGGTGCGCGGCCTAGCACGTCGCGTGGCGGCAGTTTCGAAGAGCGTCCTGACAAACTGCTTCAAATGCTTCGTGAGGCCGATCAGGGCAACACCTGGTGCGCCGACTGCGGGTCTAGCAACAAGGTCGAATGGGTCTCGCTCAATCTCGGCATTATCGTTTGCATTGAATGTAGCGGCATCCACCGGTCCTTGGGCACCCACATCAGCAAGATCCGGTCGCTGACCTTGGACACGACCTCGTTCACGCCCGATATTGTCGAGCTGTTGCTCATTGTAGGGAACAGGGTGTCCAACATGGTGTTCGAAGCTAAGCTGGAACCAGCCGCGAAACTCGCACCCCACTCGACTCGGGAGCAGCGACTGAAGTTTATCACAGCCAAGTACGTCGATCGCGCCTGGGTTGAGCCTATCTCTCCTACCCTTTCGAGGTTTGCTACTGCAGAAGAGACACTCCTTGCTGCCATCAAGAAGAACGAAATCCAGCAGATCGTTTACGCCCTAGCTCTTAAGGCAAACCCTAACTGTACCGATAAAGTTCGCGGCACCCACGCTGTCTACTTAGCCCTTGCTGCGGCTGACCCTGCTCCTCCTTCGCCACTGGTAGCACAACAACAAAACACCAGCCAGCCAACAACCAGCCATCATAGCGCCGCCGCCACTGTTACAGATCGCACCGTCCCTTTCCCTGTGGCTGAACTCTTAATCCAAAACGGGGCCGAGATCCCTGATGCTCCTCCTCCCGTCCCGCTTAGCATTGCTGCACAGGCCTACCTCGAGATGAAGCGTGGCCGCAAGGCTGCCATCGAGGCGTCCGGTTCATCAGCTCTTGCGGGATACTATGAGCCCACTTCGTCGATTTCGTCGATCGCTTCGACGGCTACTACCCAAACGACGGCGACAGCAACCGGAGATAAGCACAAGGAGAGAGAGGCACGTCTTCAGAAGCGGGTCAGCGCAGGTGGAAAGCTGGCTAAGTCGCCCATCCCGGAACGGTAGAGCGTGTTTGGAGGAGTAGGCGTGTCGGTGGCTTCGTGTGGCGTAGTGACGCCGTTTTGGAGTCGTGCCAGGGGAAGGAGTTCAACGGGTAGTGGGAGCACGAGTGGCGAGGGCCTGCCTATGTCGGCTGGGGCTCTTGATGGCAGCTCGGATTATGAGAGTAGACAAAAGAAGTGGAGGAGATATGGGAGGAGGAGGAGCCTTCCTTCGTGGTGACAAAGGTTTAAGATGTGGGTTTGTTTGGTATGCTGTCATGACACAGTTCTTTTTTTTCTCCGTGGTTTATGTTCTCTGCACCTCGTTTGGTCGTTATGTCTTTTTTCTACAGCCAGTTGCGCTGCCTTTTTTTTTCACGGCTACTCTTCCTCACCTGCATGGTAAGGTTGGCAAGCAATAGCCTTTTTATTTTCTCTTTTTCCCCCCCCACCTCTTCTCATACCTTGTTCTCTAATAATTCTTTCTCCCATTCGTGTGTTGATATCTGTTATCTTCTTCGCTTATCCTTATCCCTTGTTTTACCTTAACGTTATCTTTTCTCAATTACCTTTTGTCTATTGTTTTTACAAGGCTCTCCCCTTTGGGCAAGTTCTCGACAACCGTCACAGTGGGCGAACGCGACAAAGGAGCAACAGCACTGATTTGTCCCAAAGTAGATTAACCGGCCTTTCTTGAAGGGGCAATGACTGGTGGCGATCTCCTCTAATCAATTCCCCCCTCGTTTTCAAAGAATACGAAGGAGCAATAAGGCCATTGGTCGGCTGTTTTGGGGATGAGGATGGATGGCGTGACAATGGGTAAAACAGTCTCGGTCTGTATGGATATATGAATGTCGGAGAAACGATGAACACAACAGAAGGTTATTCGCACAGACCATGAGGTATGGATGGCAAGGGGTCGTAGAATGGCGTAGGGAAGCAATGGTTGCGATGATATTTGGTCGAAGGCACAGGAAGAATGTATAGGTGTTGGGATGACTCAACGGATGGATGACAAGCATAATTGTAATGTCATGAGTGAATACAACAGAGGTTTTATTGGGTCTGATGACAACCATAGCCCATTACATCGTAGCATGTGTCAAGGTGTCCGTTTCCCTTTTCAGTGTACTAGGTACTGCACATTCTACTGCGTGGGAAGGGACTGCGAGAGAGAGCCTACGTGCTTGTAAATGGTACTAATTGAGCGTAGAGTAGAGAGAAAACTCGACGAAGCACGCAATAAGAACCGGGGGAAGAGATCAGAATGCAAAGCACTGCACCTTCTAGGCATTATTGTGCGATGAAGTCACGACCCTTAGTCACCCTGTCAATAGCAAACATCACTTATGACAACTCATTTGGTAGTGCTGCAGCGGTTGACACAATTCAGATTAAAGGAATAAGTTATCACATTTAGAATATACTTGTTTTCTTTTATAATCGTAACTTATCAACCCGTTCTGTTTCTTGTATCGAGAAGTGAAAAATAGAGGGGGTAGAGGACAGAGTACTGCCGGAGATACCTTGAAACAAAGGGCAGGTATATATGAGATCCATATGAACAAATCCTCCACTAACTTGGAAAAGGTTGCAACCCACAAAATTATATCCCGATGGAACACATCCCATATCGGTACCGGTCAGTCCCGGACAGGGAGGTACAAGATCCCAATATACCAGCCAAATACAACCAATTCAATCAACACAAACCAAAATCGGAATAACGCAAACAAGGATCAAATAGTGCACTCCTCACCAAGGAAACTCAACGTCCCTTGCCTTTCCCCTTGCCACCTTTTCTGTGGGAAGGCGAAGCCGGTCCGGCCTCAGCATGCGTCTTATGCTTGGCTGCCGCTCTCTCCGCATCGCGGCCGTTGTCTTCAAACAAGACTTGATCGCCTTTCCCGCCCATCTCCATAAACTCTCCTGGGTCGCGATTATCGTCCGGGCGCATCTCTCTTTTGTACGGACTATTAATGGAGTGAGGAGGATTTGGCCTGTTATAATGGTTGGCAGCACGCAGTGCCTTGGCGTGCTCGCTGAGCAAGGTACGCTCGCGAGTCACACCACGGCGATTCACTTCCAGACCAGCTAATCCGGAGACTAAGCCGTTGGTGCTGTCGTTGACACCTGGCTGTTGCTGCGTCAGCCAGGGGTCGGCGAGGCATTGGTCAATGGTATAGCGCCTTTCAGGCTTAACAACGAGCATCCTATCAATGAGGTCAACTGGAGTGAGGAAATTGTCAGCGGGCAGTACTCGGGCGGAATAGGGTTCAAACAGTTGGGAAAAAAAAACGTACGGGCTGGGTCACCAATGGGGTCCCAATATGGGGATGGGTACTCATAAAGCCCTCTCTTAATCTGTTCCTGTAGGTTATAGGGGAAGTCGGGCCTCTCGAGTTCCGCAGAGAACGGCGGGAATCCACACAGGCAGATGTAGAGCACGACGCCCAAGGACCAAATGTCGACGGCCTTGGAATAGTGCCGGCGTCGGCTTTCGACAATAACTTCAGGAGCCACGTAGCTAGGGGTTCCACACAAGGTAGTCGCGAATGAGTCCTCGCCGACGATCTTGGCCAGACCAAAATCAGCCAGCTTGACATTCAATTGGTCGTCCATCAAGAGAATATTTTCAGGCTTGATATCTCGATGAATGATGTTGCGGTCATGTAGGTACTTGACACCATCAAACAGCTGTTTGAAGACCTTGCGCGTTTCTCCCTCCGTGAGCTTTCCGTGGTCGGCAATCCGCGTGAAGAGCTCGCCACCGGGACAGTATTCCAGTACAAGGTAAACGGCAGTCGGCTCGTTGAAAAGCTCTTTCAGGCATACAATGTTAGGATGGTTGACACTCATGAGCATGGCGACCTCCTGTTGTAGACCCTCGTTCTTAGAACGATCTTCATAGCCGGGGTTCTTGGTAAAACGCTTGACGGCCCAGCGCTGACCCGTCGACTTCTCGATGCACAGGTATACTTCAGCAAAGTATCCCTTTCCGAGCTCTTGGACGGCCGTGTACTGCTGTAGGAAGGCGTTGGTGCGACGGTTCTTTGGATAACGGAAGAAGAACTTGGCGCGGTTGTCAGCAATGGAGATCTCATCGTGCTCCCTAAGCTCTCGACGCTGATTCCGGCCGACGATCTCGTCGTTAATGTAGGTGCCGTTGGTCGAAAGATCCTCCAGTACGGCAACGACATCAGTACCCCTATTTTCAGTGAAGAGCAAGCAGTGCCGGTTCGAAACTGCAGCATCATCAATCCTCAGATCTGCAAGAAGCTTATCAGCAACAACGATTCCAAGCAGTAGAAGGCATTGGCAGACCAAAAAAAATAAAAACATACCGCACTCGGGATGGCGTCCAATAAGAAAGCCAACAGGAGAGCCGGCTTTGACTGATTTGACTGCAGCCACACGTTGACTCCTCCTGCCAGCCCTAGAGGACTGGCTGCTTTCCTTCTGCTTTTCAACAGCGTTGGCGGCCTGACAAGCGTCCTTTTTCCTCAAGACATAGGGCGTAAGCCCAAAGCGCGTGTCCAGAGGGAACAGGTAGCCCCAGACACCCTCCTTTTCCTCATCCTCAACCTCATCCGAGAGCGGAGCATTGGGGTCGATCTCCTGCTGGCTGAACGGCTGGGTGTCGTTCGGCTGAGAGCTGTACAGGAAGTTTTGCGAGTTCTGGCTCGCACGGGGTGCAGGAGGAGTGGCTGTCTCTTCCTTTGTGAACTCAACGCAGAGGGAGTCGCTGGTAAGATGTGTCACGGGCGAGGGGAGCTGGTGCTTATGCTGGACGGGAGTTTTGAGCTTGCCGTCGCCGGCATGGCCGCCGCGCTGGGACAGCTCGGCCAGGCGCTTAGAGCGACGGATGTTGAACGATTCCTCTTCACCGGCATCGGGGGAGCCCTGTAGCAGCCAAAGCATTAACCGGCGAAGCATGGTTGGCGGGTGCGACACAATCAACGGGGAGAATACGGAGTCATCGCGAGAGCAACAGGCAAACTGCGGAGGTACCTACAAGCGCACGGCCTCGCTTGAGGTGGCTGCCTTCAGACCGCGGGGGCATGATGGGCAGCAGCAAGCCGGAAGGTGTAAGACGGGGCCGAAGCAGACGATTAGATAGACAGACGGGGGAGGAACGTGGCACGGGGAAGGGAGTGTGCGACGAGTGCGGCGAACGCGACACCTGACCGTCCGGAGGTCAGATGGAAAAAAAGATTAGGAATAGCGGGTCTAGCCGACAACTTAGACAGGTAGCCCGGCAGTGTACGAAAAGGATGGAGGACACACAGGAGCAGCTAAGAAAAAGAGCGCCCAATTGTTGAGGCCTGACTTGCTGAGTCGCGACCTGTTGCCTCTTTCAAGCAACTCAGCAAGTCCCTTTGCGGTCAGCTGTGGGCTGCTGCAGGTTGGAAATGGGACGGAAGTAGGTGAACGAGGCCTTGCAGATGCGGCCCGAACTGGAGTCTGGACGTTGCGGAGGCTGAGCACTGGGCTGACCACGCGCAACCGACCTTGATGCTCCCAACACTGCAGACGCGCTGCAATTGGAGGGCTGCTCTTGGCTGAGAGCCCAGGTCTGTCGCTGCTGTCGCTGTAGCTGTGAGCCTGTCAGCGAGCGCGCAGCCTGGACTCTACTACCTAGGTGGGTAGCTGAGGTCCTGATTCTTGTCTGTTTCGCGGAATTCAAAAACTCGGATTGCTTCCCTAATAGATCTCTCGTCTCTCAACGAAGGAGTTTCTGCTTGGTCTGTCGCGGGTGACTCGTGCCCTACCTTATGTAACCAGTGCAGTGCGACTTGGCCCGGTCGTGTTTGGTTTCTCTCGTAGCACGCGGCTCCCACGGGCCAAACATTGGCCGATCCGCAGCGTTCTGCGTGGACGGGATGCCGCGTTCTGTGGAAGCTTCGCTGCTCGCGTTGGAGCTTGGAACGGGTTGGCCGAGCCAAGGTTTATGCAGGGCAGCAGGGGTGGTCAGTGGCCGCAGCGGCCTAGCGGAGTCTCGTAGGGCTGGAACATCAGAGCTTGCTAGCGACTGTCGGGGAGGGGGGGGATCAACAAGTAGTCCGGTGGCACAAGCAGTGGCTCAACTCTCATCCATCCAGCGACTGCGACCAGCCCGGCAGCTACCGAGGCGCAAGCCCGCAGCTGCCACCGTAGAGTGAATCTCCTGCAAACCACCTGAATTGCAGCGTCGTGTACCATCACTGAATCCTGTATCCGAAAGGGCGGTTATGGACTTGACTCTCCTGTTTTTTGACCTGCAGGCTTCCATTTCTAATGCCCAAGAAGTTTCGTTTGGACAGGATGTGTGGATCGGCAGACTTGGTTATGCGGGGTCTTCCCTCTATCAGAAAGCAATGCGTTCCCAAAGTCCACAGAGTCTCAGACCTACCTTAGTTGCTTACTTACATGAATGGCTGCTCAAGCCTTCCCTCAGCTCCCAGGTCAAAGAAGGGAACTCACCAAACAGTGATCAATCTCTGCTCCACACTGACCTCAATTTCCATAATCCGTACACTTCTCAGAGTTTTAGGGGGGACCTGGCAGGTACCCGAAATAGTTGAGACATAGCAGGTAGATACCTATACATCTAACTCTATGAAGAAGAACGTGAGTTATGTGCAAGAATGCATCACATCCCAGTGCCTCTTATTAGAGGGTGTGCATCCAAGTTCACTCCCCTGAAGAGGGCTGCTCAACACAGTATATCGAGGTCAATGATAGCGCTGCGTTCCAGATGGAAGGTTGCAAAAAAAAGGGACCCCGCTTCCCCACATACCCTATCCATCAACCGAATTATCGCTTAAATTTCCTAAAACGATTAGTGTAGCATTCACGTGACTTTCACCGCACAGAACAGCGCCGGGAGACAAAAAAATGGCGACGATTGCGGGGCAGGGCAATTCTGCTGGCATTGCAGGCGCTGAGAAGGCCACTGGCGCTGAGGGCAACCAGGCCACGAAGAATTCAAACCAGTCGCCTCGCGTCCGTCGACCGCTACCGCTGCCCGAACCCCTACGGAACCCCCGCCAACTCCATTACAGCGTTCCCTACGAGCTCGAGGACGCCATCTCTCCTCCAGCCCTCCCCAAGAGGAACAAGTCGAGTCCCCCGCATCGCCAGCCTGAGCCTGTCCGATATCTCACAGACTGTCTCTCCCCGGTGCCCGAGGTTCTGCGACTCCCCGATCCCATATCTGACCTCAGCTCCTCTGAGCCTTCGTCGGCCCATAGCGGCTACTGGGACTACTACCGCAACTCGCGCACTGCTGCCCTTCTTGAAGGTGTCACGGCTTACTTAAATTTTTTCGGCCCCAAGAAGCCTCGCTACTACTGCCCCACCGACGAAGAAATCATGGCAACCCCGCAGCTGCTTTTCGTCGACGGCACCTTTGCCGAGTTGGCCCAGGAGCTGGCCGACTTCATCCAGATCGGCGACCAGGTCCGTCCTCTCCTCGCCCAGGAGCAGAACGACGAGGCCCTTGAGGCCATTGTCAAGGCCTCGCATGCTTTGAACTCGGCCCCTGAGAAGGACTTCACTGGCGCCTACAATCTCCTCATTCATCTGGTCCTGCAGTCCGACGACCCGAAAAAGTACCTCCCTACCGTTTGCGGGAACCTCCTCAAGCCCATCACCTCGTCCCCTGCCCATGGCTTCACCCTCGCCGCCAATGCCCTCAGCACCATCTTCAACCTCCTTCAACCCAGCAATCCCCTGCGGTACAATGTCTTCCTGCAGATCGTCCGCTTTATCCGCCAGCACAGTCAGTTCGAGGTGCTCAAGCCGCGGTTAAAGAACCTGGACGGCTGGTTCGCTGCTTGGAAGTCGGACGAGGAGGACAAGCGTAAGCTCTATGTTGAGGTGTCGGATACCGCTGCTGAGAGCGGTGATGAAGAGTAAGTACACCAATTCTGCCTGGTGGTGTTCTTAATGGTGGATTTCTGACGGGCTCTCTACCACGCAGTGAGGCCTACCACTATCTGCTCAAAGCCATTGGAACCTTTGATCGTGAGGATCAGGATGACCTCTCCTCGGAGGAGGCTCAAAAGCTTTCACTCAAGGCGATCCGCATGGCCTTGCTGTCCCCTACTCGCTTCGACTTCCAGGACCTCCGTGCCCTTCCGGCCGTTCAGGCCCTTGGTGACTCGCAGCCCATCTACTCGCAGTTGTTGGACATCTTCACCGAGCAGGATCTTGAGGATTACAACGACTTCAATGAGGAGCACAAGGGTTGGCTTGAGAAGGAAGGTCTCGATCATGAGAAACTGCAGCGCAAGATGCGCCTGCTCACCTTCGCCAGTTTGGCTGCCAGCACTCCTAACCGCGAGATTCCATACGCCAAGATTGCAGAGCGTCTCCAGATTCCCATTGAGGAGATCGAACACTGGACAATCGATGTTATTCGCGCCAAGCTTGTCGAAGGCCGTTTGTCTCAGCAGCAGAAGGTGTTCCTGGTTCACCGTACCACCTATCGTGTCTTTGGTGAGAAGCAGTGGCGCGAGCTCGGCACCCGTGTCGACCAGTGGAAGTCGGTTGTTGACCGGCTGTTGACTGTTGTCCGCAAGGCCCAGGCTGATGTCGAGGCTCAGCGCGAGCGGGAGCAACAGGAACTTGAGAAGAAGCTCGCTAACGCTAACATCAGCGGTGGCCACGGCGGTCGTCACAAGGGTGGGAAGCAACAGCAGCAGCGCACGGATGAGGATGACTAAAGGGGTAGAGGGGTCGATAGCAGAGCAGAGAACATGACAATGAGATGGATGATTTCAGTGCAGCCATCTTGCTTGATTTGGGAACACTGGAGTTGGGACAACATCCCCCCCCCTCAACCAAACAAAAGGGACAAAAGCTGGAGCTGGAGCTGGACATTGCTTAGAGGGAAACCGCTGCTCTTGCTTTTCTTTTCGTAATGAAGTAGATATCCAGGGCAATATCCTGCAGAATCCGTCAACCAGACTTTATGGCATGGCGGACTTTGCAGCAATACCGAAAGGTTACCAGGGAATCGGTTCGGGGCCATGCACGCATGATTTATTTACTGCTGTTTAATCGGGGCAGTGTGTATGATTTACACCGTTAGACATGAACATGATGACGGGAACACGGGTGCTTCAATCTTGGGGGAACATGGTACAGAACTGTTTGCTATTGCATATGGACTCCGTAGAGTGTAAACAGTTCCAAAGGAGCACAAAAAGAGACCTGAGTGATTAATCCAAAGGCTGTTTTTCCTGCTCTTTCACACACCACTTACTATCTGCGCCCTGAACTATGCCTTTACTCTTACACGCCAAGCTAAAGCGGCCAAAACCGCAGCATAAATGTTTGGTACGCTCATTACCTGCGCTTCGTAGATAAACGCCTCACTAAATGCTATCCCTCTACCGAGCCTCTATAAAAAAGGAGATGCTGTCTATGTCATCAATCAAAGCCAGAAATCTAAACTTAGTTCCCTTATGTCCCAAGGAACCATTCACCCCAAAGAAGCCTGCAAAGGCAGGTATCTCACAGCTTGTCGCCCAGCACCTCCTTCAGCTTCTTCTGTGTCTCTCTGTAGACCTCGTCCACCTCAGCAGTCGAATCGACCTTGACGACCTTGCCCTCCTTCTCATAGTGCGTCACTACAGGCATGCTGGTTTCAACAAAGGTGCGAAAACGCTTGCGAATACTCTCAGCATTATCGTCGGCGCGACCGCTGGTCTTGCCGCGCTCAAGAAGGCGCTTCTCCATCACGCTCTCCGGGCAGTCGTAGAAGAGCACCAGCTTAGCTGGGCACACCACCTCCTCGAACTTGAAAGCTTGGTCCATCTTGCGCGGGAAGCCGTCGATGAGGAAAGTTTTGCGACCAGTCATGGCTATCGTCTCGCGCATAGCGTTCTCCAGCAGGGCGATGGTCACCTCCATCGGCACGATCTCGCCGTTCTTAATGCAGTCCTTGATCAACTGGCCGTACTGCGAGCCAGGCCGGTCTTGCTCGCCCCGCAGCAGGTCGCCAGCCGACAGGTGCGCCAGCGGATAGTCGCGAACCAGGCGTGAGCATTGTGTGCCTTTGCCCGCACCGGGTCCGCCGAGGACGAAGATGACGGTGACCTCGGTGGGGTCGAAGGCGGGAATTGTAGTGTTGGTGTTGTTGGCGGCGTTGGCTTTTGCTGCTTTAGCGGCCGACATTTCTGTTATCAATGTGGCCTGTGTGTCAGTTAACCAGTTACTTTGAACAGTCGGCTTCGTTGGTCGTGGGTGTTGTTCGCTTAGTCCAGCGTGGGCGTGGATGTGGATGCAGATGTAAATGGGAGATGGGGATGTGGGATGGGCTGAAGCCTAGGATGAAGATGGGGGGTGTTGGAGGCCAGGATGATGGAAGGACGAACCTTTTCGTTGGTTGATCAGGAGAACGTAACCTCCGGAGCCGAGTGCAATGACAATCAGGAACGGCCAGAACTTGATCTGCTGGTTGCCCTTGTTACGCCGAGGGGGAGGAGGGGGAGGGGGCGGTGGTGGGGTGTTGTGGCTCTGGAGACCGGTGCTATACGGCCGTTGCTGCGCGACCGGCTTGTGATTCTGATGAGAAAGGGGAGAAGACGGCCCCGAACGCGTGGACAGAGGTCGGGCTTGGGATGAAGCGGACGCGGGTCTCTTGACGAACGAGGAGGGCAGTTGACGGCGTTGCGGCGTGCTTCTCAGCAGAGATGAAGGCGCTAAAGTGCCAGTGCTGCTTCGCATCAGCTGCCGCCAAGCCTGGCGGCCAGAGACGGTTGCGGCCATCTTGATTCGCTGCAAGCGCTGAGAGGGTTGCAGACGGGTGGTGCAAAGAGAGACACGGGGGAGGTGTTGGGCGCAGTGGATGTTTGCGATGTGAAAATCGAGGGTCCGGGGGGTCCTCCTTTCCTCGGCTGGGCAGCTAAGACAGTGGACGGACGCGAGGTATGATGAGGGTACGAGAGCAGGTACCTATGAGCTGAGACTGATTGAGCCTAAGCACCGGTGATTACTAGACAGCCGGCACTGCTTGGGCAGCGCCTGATATCTGGCAGAGTTGTGACGCTTTCTTCAGTTCACAGCGCCGTTCCACACACTCGGGAAGACACGAGTGATCATCCCAAGGAACTTGACCAAAATTGTTACGGTCGCCTCATCTCGTCTCATCTTGTCGGCTCGGCGCAGCCGGGTAGTGGTGGACCCCCCTTTGCCATTAGATTTGGGTCCTGGTCCCAAATCGCGATCTCTCGGCGCCTGGATCCACCACAATCACGAGCCTAGGCCATATTCATTTCGGGCTCTGGACCTCCATGTGAGAAGAACCTTTCCAACTCCAGCAAACCCCATCATAGCTAGAAACAAAATAAATTAAATAAACCAAAATCAACCTTGCCATCAGCAGCTCACAAAAGTGTATATGGGAAGGCGGACGGAATCTTGAGTTCTCTGCCGTGTATGGTCGTGTGAGTTCGATCATGAATATGCATCTTATGAAGAGGGAAGCATAAAACCGACATCAGTCATCAAATCTTTCAGGCATGCTGCCACAGCTTTTACCATTGACACATGCCTCGTTTGCTGAGTGAGTGGGCACCGAGCACTTCTGGTCACGGAGCGAAGACATGTGGCTGATGGGTAACCGCCCATGTTCACACTAACAGTCATGAATTTGCCAAACCAACTCAAACAAAAGAGGGAGGTTTATGAACCCTCGCATGGTCTGATAAGAGTTGGCGTGCATCTCACAAAGGAAGCTTCTTTCGATGACTGGTCATACCATTTCCTGAGATTTCTAGGAATCTCACAAGAACAGACATCGAATCTACCCAGTCTTTGCAGATCATCTTTCATCACAGCCACTTGGTGGTCCATCGTTATCTTACGCTTACTTGTACAAAAACATCCCAACCCAATCCCTCCCAGGCTAGCCCATTATAAAAAACAGTCTCGGAAAAAGGAGTAACCCATATCTCGTCGGCCCAGCCCAAGAAAAGGAACCCTCAATTGGTATTTGCCCACAACGCCCCATGATAACAAACTATGTGCAAATCATAGATATATAGATATATAGTTCATAGACAGGAGAAGGACATGAAAAGTCTAAATGAATGACTTATGCATGATGGTAATTCTTCATTGCTGGACATTGAAGGTCGCTTGTACAGGGCTCTTGATTGCCTGCCCGGAGTACGCGCTGGGGATCGGCACAGCCTCGTACTGCTTCTCGCCTTCAGCCATGGGAGCTGGGGCATTGACATGCACCTGCTGCTGCACTGCAGGAATTGGCGGGGTAGTAGTCGTAGGGGAGAGGCTCTTGGGCGCGCTCGGCGTGGCGGGGTTAGCCTTGGGCGGCGGGGCCTGCAGCTTGAAGTTGGAGTTGGCAAACGAGGATGTCGGGACAACGAGATTCTTGCCGCCGGGAGTGAAGGGGTTGACGCTGCCCTTGGTGCTGTCATCGTCGTTGTCAATCTCGGCGAGGTTCTTGTAAGTCGATGGCGGAAAGCGCGGAGAGAGAGCGTACTGCGAGAAGGTGGGAGACTTGGGGAAGCCAGGAGTGTTGGGGGCGGACTGAGAGCGCAGCTGGGCAAGGTAGAAGTCGGAACGAGCCTTGTCACGCATGTCCATGGATTTGTGCAGCTTGCGCTTTGTCCAGTAGCGGTAGAAGACAATGCTGTACAGGGAGATGCTGATGACCTCGATGACGAGCTCGATGATGATGCAGATCAACGTCCAGTCCTGCAGGCGGCACACCAGATCGTAGTCGACGTTCTGGGCCTGGCCCTGGATCGTCGAGCGCCGGTTCTCTACGCAGGCCCAGCCCCAGAGGTCTTTGTTGTTGCTGTTGTTGCGCGAGAACTGCAGAACACCAGCTGCCACAGCCCACATCACCATGCTAAAGATGAACCAACCGACAGCGAACAGCGTATAGTAGACGCCGACCTTCTCAGCTCGCCGGTGCCCACCGCGGCAGTACATAATAAAGATGGTGATGCAGATGCAGAGAGAGATGCAGGCGCAGACTAAAACCACAATCTGCGGCCAAACCTTGGTGTTTTCCGCCCAAGTTGGCAGGTTGCTGAGCGACGGGAGCGCCTTAGTCGCATTGAAGATTGAAAAGGAAGCAGCAAGCATTGACAAAATAATGAGACTGCAGCTGAAGCTCACACCACGCAGCGCAAGCTTAGCCATGCGTACTCGCATCTTTATTTTCTACAATTCAGTTAGTTGCCATACCCACGGACGAGCAGCACGGGACGGCAGCACTTACGAGATCCCTCTTCTGATCCTTTTCGACCCTCTTCTCCTTCTCAGACAGTATTTGCTCCTCTTTGAATGTCGGGCTCAGAGGGTTCGGGATGGCGCGCCCGTTAGACCCGGGGGCCCTGAGGGCGCTCTTCAAGGGAGACTTTGGCGTCATTGGCACAGCTGCGTCCCGGCTTTCACTGTTTCCAATATAACCAAACCCGACATCACCAGGCTGGGCCTTCTCCGAGAAGGGGTTGTTGGTCGGGGGCTCGATGGGCGAGACAATTGTGGTCGCTTCAGCGAAGCGTGGTGTTCTCGGAGGCTTCGCTAGTGACGATGATGTTGACGAGGAGTCTGTGCTAGAAACCGACTCGACCGACTGAGACCGAGCCGGCGTGAGTTTGAGGGCCGCTGGCCTCTTTTTCTCGTCGGGGGCCATAATGGGAAGGAGGTGCGACGATGAGCCTGTTTGTCGGTTGTCTTGATGCAAGTGCTCGCTGTTGTGAGTTGTCAGTTGGACCGCAGGGCAAGCCGAAAAACGAAGAGGCCGGTCCTCGTTCTGATGATGCTGACGGTCTTGATTCTTACACAACAGGGACGTTGAAAAGCCAGAGTGAACGGGTTGGGGCTTGCGGCAAGTCGAAAGAAAAGAGATGACTGGGGGAGGGGGGTGGTTGATATGAGGTTGGCTATAGCCAGAGAAAGAGAAAACCTGGACTGGGGGAGTGGCTTCTCGGGAAGGGGGTGTGTACTGTGAAAGTGATGGGTTTGAATAGCCGCTGGCAGAGTTTCCCAACAAGGACACCACATCCGGGAAGAGCAGGATAGGCTGTTTGGTCAGCCGGTGGAGGGTGCTGCAGCAGCATGGGACAGTGGGTAAGTGGCCCGATGAGAGAGATTCTCCAGGAATGTTCACTTACATGCAGAGCAGGGGTGGGAAAGCGATGCCGTGGCCACTTGGGGTCCGCCGGCGCTGATAGGGCAGAGGATGAAGCTACCAATACAACCGGCTGTCTCGCAACGAGCAAATAGACGCCGGTGAAGGTGAAGGTACGCCGCCGTATGGGGCGAGAGTTGTATTTGGGCGGCCCAGGAAGGAGACCTCGCCGGTTCCAGAGTGAGGCAGCGCACAAGAGTCAAAGAATCAAGGGAGGACGGAGATAGAGAAAGAAAGAGTCGGTGTTTTACACTTCTTCACCTCGACTACACATATGTAAGTTCAAGGGACAAGAGATGGGTTGGGTTACTTGAGGAGAGGGGAAAGGGCCGGGAGAAGACATGCAGTTCGTTGAAGGAGGGTTGGTTGTTCCCAAGATAGCAAAAGAGCCAGGAGGGACAACGGCCCGCAGGAGAAGATGCCGAGAGATGGGATGTGATGTGTATGCAGAGAATGGGACAAGTTCGGAGAACCTACAGGGGCCAGTGATCCAGGCCGGCTGTTTAACAGTGGAAGATTTGTGAGTGGTGCAATCCGTTAGAGGGATGAAAGATGCCGGGACCGGCAGTGTTGGGGCTCGTTTTTGCACTTCCGACCTCGACTCGAGGCAAAGAGAAGAATGACCGTATAAGTAGAATAAATCTTTTGTCTGCCTCGTTGTTGCTCCTCGATGTTTTGACGGATTTGGCGCTCTGTCTTAGATCGGAGCAATCGAAGATCTCGACAACTCTCATCAACCTGAACACTGCTTGGCTACTCATATTCTCACGCTCTTTCTCGCACACCCTCTCATCCGCCCTCTGAAAAATCTCATCCTTGGCGCCCAGGTTCGTTGGACCACCCCTCACACGCTTACACCCACGCAGTCGTAGTTCGCTGACTGAATGGCGGCTGGATGCCGTCAACGTCAACCAAAGAGCCAGCTTTCTGCCGAATGGAAGTGCGTGCAGGTCGTCCCAATAGACATAGGTGGTTCAGCGATGCCAAGCCCCAAGGCTTGCAGAAAGAGGGGATCAGGCACATATGATTGGCTAACTGGACTTCCCCCCTGTCAACCACCTGCCAACCTTGCCGCCAATGATCGCCGCTAGCCCAGGGTCCTCCAGGTGGCGTCCCGCTCGGCGCGCAAACAGGCACCCAATCGCTTCACAGATTGCCGTGATCGAGCTGTCGCTCATGCAGATGGGCGGCAAGCTGTGCCACTCGGCGCCTGCGTCCGGCCTATTTGCTCGTCGAGTTGTCTCGTCCGCTGTGTTCGACCAGTGCAACCATTTCGATAGGCCACCACAGAAGAGCACCGTCAAATCCCCTCATTTCGCTCATCGCCGTTGGTCACATCGCTGGCGGTCATGGGCTCATTTCTTCCTCTTCAGAGAGAACTTTTTTCTCGCCTGTTTCCGAGGGGTTTGTGATAATGAACGAAACGAACATCGATGCCCATCCCACCATGAAGGGTTCTACGTAGATGAACGGGCCCGGGCTTCGAACATTCTAAAACCCGCAGATTTGGATTATCTATTTTCGTCTCCCATCGTAATCCGTACAGTATACATAGTTATTTTACTCGCGGAATACCCGAGGGCAATCAACAATCAAGGTGGTCAGCAGTTACATTACCTGCACTGCTGTTAACTACGACTGAACTATTCCGGAGACTTAAACTCAAGATGGATTTTATATCGACTTGATTGAGTCGACATCCTTGATCACAGCAAACTTGCAGAGTGATTATAGGCCCTGGTTTGGGTTTGGTAGATTTCCAGGACCCCCAATCACCAACAGAACCCTGTGTGGTCACATTACCACCATATCGCACATTTTCTATATATTTTTAGGCCACACGCTCCAGTGAATGAGTGGGATAATAAGTTGATAATTAACTGTCTTCTGATCTCTCGTCATCTCATCCGGCTGAAGCTGCATGTTACTTCGGTAACGACATGACTTCCGCATTGGGTCAACCTTGCACAATGGTTACTGGGTTCAATGGAGTGGGAGATCAGCAGCGCGGGTTCTGCCAGAGCAAATGGCTCGGCATTCTGCACTCTAGTTTTCGACTGCTGCCGTCACACTGACCCTCGCTCACCGCTAAGAGTTGTGTCAGTCCGCGGGCTAGGCAACTTGTTGACATCCGAGTACGGGCTGCTAAATATATAGCGGGCAGCAACAGCTAACCAGTTGGGCTGGAGCACCCAAAGACTTCCGTAAGAGCTGACAATGCAGTGCCCAATCTCACCTCTGTATACCAGGAAGTGGCAGGATCGCACAGCTGTTGAACCAGTCGTGCTTAGCTGTGGATTCTATGTCACTTAGTTATCGCAAACCGTTGAGATTTAGCCGTTTCTTCTACAGGTTGTCCTCACATGCCAGATGTCTACAAAAGCCTCAGGTTTTTGTAGATCAAATTTACCTCTTGCTCGTCAATAAAAAAGGACTTGATTCTCCAGATCTGTACCTGACTTAGAGCCAAAACTTGTTCTGCTGAGCCTACTCGGCTGCAGTACAGCAGTGGAAAAACATGATGACTGGACCTTGCGGAAACTGTTGAATATGGTGTATGCTTTGTCTTAGGTCTATGTATAAAGCAAACATTACCTCACCCTGAGTGTGGCACATTTCTATCCCTTGCGGAGATGCCGAAACTCCCTTTATTAAAACTATTAAAACTGGTCATGGTTCGGACTGATTAGTGAGAAAGCCTACCGTATCGGTTTAGCCCCGTTGTGCAACTTGCGATGAAACGGCAGCAATTGAAGAAACATGGGCTTCGATTAATATCTTAGAAACATTTCATTGAGATGATGTCCTTAAGCCTTTCGATAGTTCACCTTGAGATATGTTGTTTCTTACCGGTTGATAGCATCTTCTCTGGCATGACAGTGCTCGATTGCTGAGTTTGTTCATCGATCGCTCATCATAGTGTAGTTAGGTATACTGACAATTAGGAGGCAAATGAGAAGAGAGCATACACAGTAGAGGGGGACAAGGCTGCGAAGATGCCGAAGAGTCTTGGAGACAAAGAACCAACAACTTTGAACAACACCCCTTGACGCCATCACTGCATAGGTACCCAGGTATCCATAACTGTTCTTGTCATGATCTCAACGCGATATTTCACAATTTATGTATATGCTTATGTGACTACTTGGCCTTGGTTCGCATTTGATCCCTGTGCATGGAGACATCTATCTTGTTCTCGCACCGTAAGTCACCCGTCAAAAGAGGGATTTTCTCGTGAAGAGAGATTGGATGCTATGCTTATGGTATGTGACTTATACAAAAAATAGCTAGAGTTGAACATCAGTCTAGATAAGAAATTGTCGAGTTCAATCATGTCTCATGACATCTGTAAGCTTCAAGTTGAAGAAGTCTCATTTCAGTTTCCAGCCTTGTGGATACAAGCGAATGAAACAGTGCTCAGATCCGAGGTATGTGCGTCAACCGAACGAGTAGTCCTGCCACTCGACGATATACTTTATATTTTAGACAGAAACCGGACCGTCAAAACTATCTCTTGTGCACACAGCATCTAAGCTCATGAAAGAGGCAACGAGGCAGAGAGTCCGTCGGATGACTAAGGCAGTCAATGACAACGCCAGTCGGCCAGCATTTGTCGTGCCCCGCAGCGTCCACCAGAGAGCATTTATCGTTTATCGGAGGGCGTGGGGCAACCACGCTAAGCCTGATTAGGACTGGCCGCAGTTCTGCACCTCCCGCAAGGATCAGAGTCCCAAGGCGATGACTGCACACGAAAATCGTGAGAAATATCGACGATCCAGTCTGCAATCCACCCATTCACTAGGAAACGGTCCTCTCGCTGACCACGCCCCACAGTCACATTCTCACCGACCTCGGGCACTTTGGCATAGTTTTTGCAGCGGCCATCGCGATACCCGGTGAGCCCGACCAACAACACGGACCGCCCGTTGACGGAAAAAAGAGGGGCAAGCCAAAAAAAATCAGACTGCCCAAACAACCCACAACCCCGCGAGACAGCCACAGTAGTTGTGGTCAAAGGTCAACATGTCATCCAACGGAGACAGGTTCGGCAACGACATCGAATCGGACTCCGACTCGGGCAACGAGTCGCAGGTTGAGCAGCACCATGAGTCGGATCATGAGGTTGCTGAGAAGCAGCAGCCCAAGCCAGCGCTGAAGAAGACCCCTCCTCCCGCGCCGGCTCCCCAACGGCCGCCCCTCCCGCCACAGACAGATCCTAAAGACCTCGATATCTCGACCCTCACCCCTCTGACTCCCGAGATTATTGCGCGGCAAGCGACCATCAACATTGGTACCATCGGCCATGTCGCTCACGGCAAGTCAACCGTCGTCAAGGCCATCTCGGGCGTGCAGACCGTCCGATTCAAGAACGAGCTGATCCGCAACATTACCATCAAGCTTGGCTATGCCAACGCGAAGATCTACAAGTGCGACAACCCAGAGTGCCCTAGGCCAACATGCTACAAGAGCTACAAGAGCGACAAGGAGGTCGACCCTCCTTGTGAGCGCGAGGGCTGTGGGGGGACCTACAGGCTACTGCGTCACGTCTCGTAAGAATTCCTCCATTCTATCCCCTTTTATGGATATCGTGTTGTCGAACATGTCTTGACTGACCGTCCTGCCCTCACCTACAGCTTCGTTGACTGCCCCGGTCACGATATTCTGATGAGTACCATGTTATCAGGTGCTGCCGTCATGGACGCCGCTCTGTTGCTGATTGCCGGCAACGAGTCCTGCCCCCAACCACAGACTTCCGAGCACTTGGCCGCTATTGAGATCATGAAGCTGGACAAGATCATCATCCTCCAGAACAAGGTCGATCTGATGCGGGAAGAGGCGGCCAAGCAACACTACGAGTCCATCCTGAAGTTCATCAGAGGTACCGTGGCCGGCAAGTCGCCTATCATCCCCATCTCTGCTCAGCTCAAGTTCAACATCGACGCCATCAACGACGCCATTGTCAACACGATCCCCATCCCCCCAAGAGACTTCACCATGGATCCTAAGATGATCGTCATCCGTTCCTTCGACGTCAACAAACCTGGTGCCGAGATCGAGGAGCTCAAGGGCGGTGTCGCCGGTGGCTCAATTCTGCACGGCTTGCTCAAGCTCGGCGACGAGATCGAGATCCGTCCTGGTATCGTTACCCGTAACGAGAAGGGCGAGATCCAGTGCAAGCCTATCTTCAGCCGCATTGTCTCGCTGAACTCCGAGGCCAACGATCTTAAGTATGCAGTTCCTGGCGGCTTGATTGGCGTTGGTACCCGTATCGACCCTACCCTTTGTCGCGCCGATCGTCTTGTTGGTTTTGTTTTGGGTCTCCGTGGTCGTCTCCCTGAGATCTACACCGAGATTGAGGTCAACTTCTACCTCCTGCGCCGTCTTCTTGGTGTTCGGACTGCGGACGGCAAGCAGGCCAAGGTCGAAAAGCTGGCCAAGAACGAAGTCCTCATGGTCAACATCGGTTCTACGTCGACCGGTGCCAAGGTCATTGCCATCAAGAAAGATGCCGCCAAACTGCAGCTCACAAGTCCGGCCTGCACCAACATTGGCGAGAAGGTCGCTCTTAGCAGACGTATTGAGAAGCACTGGCGTCTTATTGGCTGGGCTACTATTGCGGCGTAAGTATCTTCCGTAATAAACTTGTTTTTCACATAGTACTAACTTTGATATCTAGTGGTGTTACTCTTGAGCCTAGCAGCTAAACAACACCAACGAGATACATGTTCCGTTCGGTTACGTCTGCTATGAGACTGGAATAAGGAATTCTTGGACTTCAGGTCTGTGACCGACCATACCGATTGCAGACAGGTAGCTAAGTAGCTGCCTAGCTGGCTCGAGCTTCCGGTAGATAGAAGAAGGTTGGGCGGGTGACACGTGCATAACGGATGAGGGCGGGCCATGACAGACATACAAGGTCTATAGCTCCAAGTACTCTCGCACATGGACCTGGTAGACCAAAAAAAGAGCGGAAACGTTGGGTTGTTAGACATTTATCTGGCTTCTATTTTGAACTTGTTAGACTGGTGGGTTCTCTTGCCACTACCATTGTGCTCTAACACCTCCATTACAAACATGGGCCTAGCCATGAAAGGACATGGGGGAGTGTAATGGTATGAATATTTAACTCCTACCGTGTCCTTGGTTCCGTGTCATAGTTAATTCACCTGCGTCAAGTTCAAGAACACCAGGAAGTTTTGTTGCGTCATGTATCCCACATCCCCCCTTCCCTTCTCCTGTTATCACCACAACCACAACAATGGGGCCTCACTTTCTCACCTTCCTTGCATGTTTCACTAAATTCTCAATCACACCCTCGAATGCTTCACGGTCACCGATCTTCTCATCTGTACACTTTTGCCAGTATGTCAGCACACGCTGGGCTGTCTCCATCATCGCCTCTAGTCTCGCAACGTGGGCCCGCAGCTCTACATCTGTCATGCCGTGAAGCGCCTCGTCTGTCAGCAGACATGACTGTCTGGCAGAAATGAGATCAAACAGACGCTCAGGTTCGGATGTTGAAGATGCACCTGACTTCTTGCTGTCCTTGAGCTTCCCGTCGTCTGCACTTTTCTCAGACTTTTGCTGACACTCAGCATTGGGTGCATCACCGGCAGCCGACCCATCGGCGCCATCGCCTTTTTCATTTATATTCTTAGCTCCGCCACCGTCTCCGCCGCTTTTCCGCGCTTCGCTATCCTCCTGGAACGACCCTGACGACGAGCTCCGCCGCAGGTTAAGTGACGGCAGCACGAGCTTCTTCTGTTTCGACGATGCGGGCAGGATTTCGTCTAAGTCAACAGGCACGCCCAGAGAGACGAGGAAGAGTCGACGGATACGCGAGCGGATCCAGTCGGGCGGCTGGAGCGGTGGCGGGGCGACGAGTTGCTGCCATAGAGATGCGGAACGCGGGGTCAAGAAGATGGGATTGTCTTTGAGAGAGAAGGACTGGAGGGGTGGGAAAAACGAGGGGTCGGCTTGCGGGAAGAGGGCAGTGAGGTAAGGCTCAGAGATGGAGAGGATCTCTGAGGCTTCGAGAGACTCGAACGAGGGAATTGGCTGGGAAAGAAATTGATTAGTAAGTGGTGACAAGGTGACAAAAGCGCAGACGTTGCGGTCGTCATCACGGAGGAGAAGCTTACGACGTTGAGCGCCGGAGCGGCTGGAGCGGTTGGTTGCGGTTGTGAAGGAGGGGGTGGCGGTGCCACGGGCTCGGCCTGCTGGAAGCCATCGTCGAAGTCGCCAAAGTCACCATCTTCCCCGCCCTCCTCAAAGTCGTCAAACTCATCACCGAACTCGTCATCGGGATTCTCTTCCTGACCCTCTTCTTCACCAACGGCTGGACCATCAGGGGCGGATGGCAAGCGGGGGCTTAATTGGGAGCGTCTTGACGCAGATGAAGATTTCCTCCTGGCGCGGGCTGGTGATGGAGGAGTACTAAGAGACAAAGATGGCATTGGAGTATCTACGCATGAAACAATAAGTTAATAAAACTATGGAATAGCAAAAGAAAAGAAAAAGCCGAGCAATCAAACAGCGGGGAACAGCGCGAAGGCACAGAAGAAGCAGGCTACAAGTCCGTACCATTTGCTGTTCCGCCCTCTTCCACTATTATCTTGCCATCCGGCTTGATCACCACGTCTGGCTTCGCATCCGACATGCGCCGCTCCCTCGGGTGCGGATGCGTCACCGAACCCTCGGTATCTGGCGTCTCCTCTACCACCGTCCTGGGGATGGGGTGCCCGCCGGGGGTTGGTGACCGGGCCACGGGCTCGGGAGCAGGAGAGCTAGGGTCCGGGATGATAGCAATCTCATCCGGCTCCGCGTCCTCCTGCCTCAACTTCCACGCCTCTGTGCCGGGGACTTCCCCGTACGCGGGCTTGTCGTCGACCCTCTCGACTCTGGTGCGCGGGATGGGCGACATCACAGCAGGCGACACACGCCCCGAGAGAGCATCGGTGAAGTGATCTTCTGAGTCGGAGGCCTCTGCTGTAAGGGTGTGAGCTTTCCCTTCTTGAAGATGGTGCGCGAAGGAGGGAGGAGTACCTAGATCGTGCGCCCCGGGATCGATGGCATCCCTTCGAGGAGGAGGGTTCAGGCTGTTGCGCCTTTCCGACATCACTGACTGGCTGGAACTGTTTCAAATGAACCGAAGAAAATCTGACAAGTAACCGGGCAAGCCCACGAAAGGCCAATAATATGGTTCGGGCTACAGGTGAGGACAGAGACGACAAGTAGACGGGGCGATCAATTGGGGATGCGATTAGTTATCAAGACCCTGCCTGGTCTTTGGAACTCGGCGTCCTGGATGCGGGGCTTCAAATAGGCTGAGGGAAATGGACATAGCACGCACAGTCGATGATCCAGGTCAGCCACGAAAGCTTCCAGAGAGCAGCGCAGGCTGGCTCTGAAAAGCAGGGAATAGAAGGACACAGCCGTTGCGGCTCGTCCAGTCTCTCGCGGCCGCTGGCGGGGATCACTGGGCTTGGTGTCGTCGCCTAGCGGCCCTGCTGCCCTGAGAGTCAGTGCCAGCCGGCCATGAGGGTAGCCGTGGGTGGGGCATCGCCCCGGGCTGCAGCCACTCACAGCAGAGGAGTTGAGCCACAGACGCCCCATGCAGTCCCCACCGCAGCTGCACTTCTCCAATCTCTATCAAGCGCCGGCGCGTCAAGCGGATCGGGCGAGGCTGAACCCTTCTTTTTTCAGTTGTCGCGCCCTTGGAGTTTTGGCAGCTCAGGTCTTGGACGCCAGCCAAACCTCAACATTAACACTCAATCCCCGACTGTGCCGCGCCGCAACACCATTTTTGCGCCGGCCCCGTTCGCACCTGTAATCATTTGCTTGCGCATCCCACATCCGGTGTCGCGTAGGCATTGTTTGTCGCCAATCGAGCCGACGAGATTCGACATCCTTTAGCACACTTCTGGCTCGCCCGTTGTCCGTTTCCCGTGTCTCCTGCTCCCTTCATTGTTTTGCCCGCACTTTTCACATCTGTGCCCAGAAGACAAAACACAGTCATCGTGGTCCTGACCGAACTCGCCTTCTTGTTGTCGCCAACCTCTCAAACGACCGCCAATACTCCGTAGGACAGCAATTGCCCCATCTCCACGCGAGCTTTTCTTAATTCGAATCGGTCGGCCGCGCCGTTCTCCAAGATGTCGTTCACGTTCGGTCAGCCATCCACCAGCGGCGCCTCAGGCCAGTCCAATACGTCGACTGCCCCCGCGAGCGGCGGTCTCTTCGGCAGCACCACTGGTTCGAGCACGCCAGCCTTCTCATTCGGCAACACGTCCGGCACGCAGTCCGGCAGCCTGTTTGGCGGTGCAACCACAGGCCAGAAGACAAGTCTCTTCGGCAACACATCGAGCACTACCCCAGCAGGCACGCCAGCTACCTCGCTTTTTGGCCAGAGTACCAGTTCTTCGTCGGGCCCAAGCCTGTTTGGCAATGCCAGCAAGCCGAGCGGCAACCTGTTTGGTAACACTTCTACCTCTGCGGCTGGCAGCTCGACCCCCGCTGGCACGCCGAGCCTGTTCGGCAGCAAGACTGCCACAACATCTGCGGGAGCCTCGTCAACGACGCCAGCGGCCACAGCGGGTAGCGGCAGTCTCTTCGGCTCGACGACAGCCACCACCCAGGGCTCTTCTACTCCTACCTCAACCGGTCTTTTTGGCGGCAGTTCCACTGCTAGCAAGTCCTTGTTTGGCTCAACCACCACTCCTGCCACGGGCACGTCCGGCTCTCAGACGACCCCGGCAAAGCCACTTTTCGGTAGCTTTGGGTCGACTACCCCGGCGGGTGCCCCTCCGACCGATGCCACCAAGACTGCTGGCCTCTTCGGCAACTTGTCCAAGCCAGCGACCACCGGGACTTCTACGCCCACTCTCTTTGGGTCGACTTCTGCCACCACGCAAGGCCAGTCTAGTACACCTTTGTTTGGGGCTAAGCCTGCGGAAACATCGACTACCACTGCTGCTTCTGGGGCTGCCACACCTGCTACCTCTGCGCCGGCCTCAACAACGCCCACGCTGTTCGGAGGCGCCACTCTCACGTCTTCTGCTCCCGCTGCTTCTACGAGTACATCCACAGCAACAGCGTCGACTCCTGCCGCGACCAAGCCCTTGTTTGGTGCCACTGCAACGACCAGCGCTCCTGGCTCATCAACTACAACGGCGACACCCGGGTTGTTCTCGACGACTCCTGCTACCACTGCCGCTGCTGGTTCAAGCACGGCTACCTCGACTTTGTTTGGGACCAAGCCGGCTACCACCACTGCAGCTGCCGCCTCCTCTACTCCTGCAGCGACATCAACGCCAAGCCTCTTTGGAAGTAAGCCCGCGTCTACCACGGCGCCGGCTTCTGGCACTCCGACGACCACCACCGCACCTGCTTCTACCTCTGCCCCTGCGACAACGACCGCCGCCCCAACCTCAGGGGCGTCAGCGACTGCATCAACAACCACAGCTGGTCAGGATGCAAAGACTACGACCGCCGGGCTTGGTGCTTCTACCGTCGGCCCCCAGTCGCAGCTGCCCCGTCTGAAGAACAAGACAATGGACGAGATCATCACGCGGTGGGCAACCGACCTGGCCAAGTACCAAAAGGAGTTCAAGGAGCAGGCGGCGAAGGTGATGGAGTGGGATCGGTTGCTGGTCGAGAATGGCGAGAAGATCCAAAAGCTGTATACCAGCACCTATGAGGCCGAGCGCGCAAGCAATGAGATTGAGCGCCAACTATCTAATGTCGAGAGCCAGCAGGAGGAGCTAACGGCCTGGCTGGATCGCTACGAACGGGAGCTGGATGAGCTGTACGCCAAACAGATGGGCTCTGCCGCTGGCGAACAGGCTGCTGGTCCGGACCAGGAGCGCGAGCGCACTTACAAGCTGGCCGAGAAGCTGACAGATCAGCTGGATGAGATGGGCAAGGACCTGGCCAAGATGATAAAGGAGATCAACGACATGTCCAACACTCTCAGCAAGGGCAGCAAGCCCGATGATCCAGTACGTATTCTTGCACCAAGTCCTGATGGAATTCTGCATTCAGAAAACTAACTCCAGTCTAGTTGACTCAAATCGTGCGGGTCCTGAATGGACACCTTGCCCAGCTGCAGTGGATCGACACCAATGCCGCTGCTCTCCAAGCAAAGGTTGCCGCAGCGCAGAAGGCTGCTGGCAGCATGGGCGCCAACGTCCCTGGCACAGAAACCGATGCTGCCGAAAGCTTCTACAGGTCATACCGGGGTGGGCTCAAATGAATATAAACCCAGGGGCTACGGGATGAAGAGCGGGGGGAGGAGGGGGTATCGCCAGACCAAAGTACAGAATGTGATGAAAGTAGTGATCGTACGATCGTATCATAATGCCGGCTAGGCAAACGGGATAACTAGGTGGATTCTTTGAGTGGTTCTGCTTTCGGGGGCAGGTCTGTGACATATGAAGAGGCAGCCATAACCCACGAAGTTGATGAAATCGGCCATCGACGATAGCATGTGCGTATTGCGAGGAGAAAGACCTCCCATTTCGGTCGACGGCGGCAGTTAGGTAACTCGCGCACACTTGGAAGGGTAACAAAAGGACAAGGCTTGGTTTGCAATTTCATACATAGGTACATGTACTTGTACAAGGATGCAGCTCGTTCCCCTTGAGACAGCAGGGGAGAAGTCAGTCGGAAATCAAACAAACGGAGTGAAGAGATAAAGAAGACCTATAGTGCTTGTCATGGGTCCCAGTAGGCACCACGATCGTTTCACTCTACTTGCACTTCCTCCAAAGCCTCCCATTCTGTGAGATCAAGTGGCAGCCCGTCCAGTACGAATTACGACCAGCAAGATGGCAAACAACAGGAAAACCAAAACAAGCCCTTTCGCTCCGTTTAATACTTCGACTCCATATAGTTGGGGCAAACGGTTCTCCCATCACGTCATCCCGGAGATAATTGCTGGCATCCTCGGCCTTCCCGACTTTGGGAAGCGTTCAGCTCTGTCCAGGGGGGGAAAAGGAGGGCGGAAACTTAGTTCTGCTCGCCACCCTGGTCCCTCGTGATCTCGTCACTACGCACAGAGCTGTCAGCTATCTGGATGGATATGCCTTCAGGGGGCTCAGCATAATGCGAGAGAGCTCTTACATGTGGTCCGCAAGCTGCTTCAGGTGGGCCTGCTGCTCCTCGAGCTTCTTCTTGAGCGCCAGGAGCTTCTCCCTCTCGCGCTGGCGGATGGCGAGCTCCTCCTGAGCACGCTCACGGCGCTGGAAGGCATCGCTGTTGGTTGGAAAGCATGTCAGCATTCAATTGCCTCCGCAATCACTCCTCTCGGGCGTCCGGAGGATGAGTTGAGGGGTGTTCGTTATGCCATGCTTGTCGAGTTATCCGTGGCAAAAAGGGATCTGGGGGCTTAGGGAGTGCAGTTGGCACACAGATCGCTTGCCAAATATCCGACCCAAGATCTTATGGTCACAACGTTGGCCTTCGGCGTTGTGCGCATTTATATCGACGGTGGACGCGCCGCCAGTGAGCAACCCCTCCACTCCCCAAACCCCAATCCAACCCCGTTGCGGCCCCGCTCGGATCACTCAATGCTGGCCAGAAAAATCCAAAAAGCACGGATTGACCACATGTGTGTGTGGTGTGGTCCTGCACAGGGCACAAATTGCAGCAGAAAACCGGAGGAATACGTACCCCAAACCGCCAGTTTTCGGCGGAGCGCCAGTGTCACCAGCGGACATGGCGCGCACAGTAGTCGAGAAAGTGGCCCGGGAGAGCAGCGCGGGGCGGGCAACCTTGACAATCGAGGTCCGGAGCATATTGGCGGTTGTTTGGTGTGGCTATAAGTGTTGAGTCTGTGTCGGTTTCTGTCCTGAGAAGTGGCAGATGGGGGGGAAATGCGGCTCTGCTCGGGCTAGACTTTTTTTTAAAAGCTGTTGCAACAATGGCAGGTCGGTTTTGGTAGACAGCCAGTCCACAGGGCCTCGATCGGATCGCCTGACCACCGCAGCTCGGGTGTGGAGAGCTTTTCTCCCGGAAGCAGGCATTGGCACGTCATTCTGCCAAGTTCACCCGCCATCACGACCCGCTTTTTCCCGCCTGCCCAGTGTTGTGGCGCTTGTGGCGTTGGGGGATGCTAAAATGACACTGGGCGCCTGACGCCTCAGGCAACACATGGAGGATGGGCCCTTGCAACCTAGGTCGTCCGGCGGCTAAAGCTGTCAGGCTGTCAGGCTGCCCAGGCAGGCATGTGGGGCACACTGGCCGCGACGACCCCGCACTCAGCCCCTCTCTCCTGACGCTGACGCCTTGGGATCGCGTCCGGCGGACTTGGTCGGGTGAGAAGCGTCGAGATGGAAATCTTGGACCTGCAACAGCTTCCGTTGTGTGATTGACTTTGCTGTGCGGCCATGATATCTACAGGCAGCTTCCAAAGCCATACTTGTTGACAGCCCTGGCCTTATGCAGCGAACTCATGGGGCAGATCCCTGCGGACGAGCTCACCTTCAGGGGCTAAACTGTAGTTTATTTACGTAAGTAAAGGCAGAGGCTGCTGTTTCGCGTCAACCTAGATTCAACATCAGCCCTTTCTGTGGCAATCCGATATCTGCTCCAATATGCCACTATGCCTCGCGATTGCTGTAGATATATGGTTGGGCTCCACGAAATTCAGCACCTCACATCCACATCCAGGTATATGTCATTTAAAAGCCATTGATGCCCGCTCTCCAGCCAGATGGCCGCTGCTCAGCTCGAGGCCCACACAGCTGGTCCATGGGTGGAACTAGTTTAGCATACCTATAACGAAGGCAGCTGTCGCTCCCACAGGCTCGATCTGTCTCCTCGGAGCTGGGATCAACTTGGAGGCAACAATCGCGACATTACGCAGTGAACCCGACAGCAGCGCTCTGTGGGAAGACAGCGCAAGCAGGTGACCTACTTATATGTGGACCGAGACCAACACGCAGCGCCATTGGGGCAGATAGACGCATAAATGAAACCTCCTTGAGCCTGGGTCCTGGGCTGCTGCTGGTGCCCGATCGTCACCAGCTGGCTGCCGGTTGAAAGCGATGACTCTGTCTCGGGCGCGGGTTGTGGTTGAGGGGGTTTGGTGAGTGATTGGAGACTTGGAGTTGGGTAGCAAACGGACATTGCTGGGATGGAGTTAGACTCGGAGTCCACGTCTGAGGGCAGCTCAGATCCTACGCCGCCGCCGCAAACCTGGAAGCGTCGCACCAGCTGGTTAACGCAGTGAACCTGGAAATGATCAAGGTGAAATAAACGCTATGCAGAGAGCTTCCATCCCATGGCCAAGCACTTGTCCATGAAACGTTATCTCTTGAGGTATGGACGTTGCGGCGGGCCGGTGACGTGCTGGAGAGAAGCTAAGTCGTCACGTGTTGGCTCTCGTACAAAGTATTTGGGGGCTCGAGCCTAGGAGGGGGCCTTGGAGGGGCCTGAACCAAGGGGAGGCCGCAGCCCAATTTTAGTGGACGCCCGCCCACGCATCCCGCCTTGTGTTGTCGCTGAGACGCCTTGCCCCTTCCTTCATTTGCTCCCTACTCCGTACAGCCAAAACCTCTCTCAGTCGCCTTTTTTGTCCTTGTCTCTTCCCCCAACCACTCTAAGACAGTAGCTCGCATCGCATTTCTGCAACCTTCTTCTGCACCACGACCGCCACCATCCCTCCTCAAACCGTCGTCTACATCGATCGACTTTAGTCCGCTTTTAGGTAATCTCAGGTGAGTGTCCTGTCCTGCTCGCGCCGGCGGATTAGGCACCCCCTTTCTCCTTTCACTGCATCCCATCCCATACCTGCTCGACCATTCCTATCATCCATCTACCTACCTGACCTACTTGCCTATCTACCTTACCCTTACCTACCTTTCCCACACCTCACCACCTACCCTACCACCACCTCTTACCCAGTATCGCCATCGCCAGTGCGGCCGAGCTCTGCCATTCCAATCCAACGCCGCCGCCATCGCCGTATCCTGGTCGGCCCGGACTGTGAGTTCAATTGCCTCCCTGCCCCGTGCGAGCCCAAGGCTGTGGATAGTGGGCGGGCGTCGCGCGTGCAACCCAAAAGCCTCCGTTCCAGCTTCAAGCGGAGAGGTCAGACAGGGCTGCGCAACGCATGCCACACCCCGCTCTCGGCGGGGAGAAAGCCTGGTCACCAAAGATGAAGACAGCCCCATGCATTCGCCTCCGCGTCAGCGGACGTGTGCCCAACGGCGACCGACTTGCTTGCCCAGAATCTTTGAATTTCGCGGATTTTCTTTTTCTGACCCAGGGCTTGGCCTTATCTGGGATTTTGTTCCATTCACCGTTCCCTCGTCTTCTGACCCTTCCTACCTTGCACCACCATCACTATAGCCAAAACCACAGTCATCCCGCGCTCATTTACTCGCAATCCCGCCTGGTCCTTGATCGCAGTCGCTAACCTCGACCGTCTAGAGTTCTATCTACCAGCACGACAAAATGGGTCACGAAGATGCTGTTTATCTGGCCAAGCTCGCCGAGCAGGCCGAGCGCTATGAGGGCATGTATACCTGACTTCCACATGCCCCCGCGAAAGTCGAGGCTGACGTTCCGCTCCGCGCGCAGAGATGGTTGAGAACATGAAGATCGTTGCTTCCGAGGGCCGCGACCTGTCTGTTGAGGAGCGGAACCTCCTGTCGGTCGCTTACAAGAACGTCATCGGCGCCCGCCGTGCTTCGTGGCGTATCGTTACTTCGATCGAGCAGAAGGAGGAGTCTAAGGGCAACACCACGCAGGTTGCCCTCATCAAGGAGTACCGCCAGAGGATCGAGGCCGAGCTGGAGAAGATCTGCGAGGATATCCTCGGCGTTCTCGACAAGTACCTTATCCCTGCTGCCAAGACTGGAGAGTCTAAAGTCTTCTACCACAAGATGTCAGTTCCTGCCCCAATGTTTTTCGTGGTTCTCCTCAGTTTGGTTTCTGACTGTCCTGTAGGAAGGGTGATTACCACCGCTATCTTGCCGAGTTCGCCGTTGGAGACAGGCGCAAGGAGTCGGCTGATAAATCGCTCGAGGCATACAAGGCCGCTACCGAGGTCGCCCAAACCGACCTGCCGCCGACTCACCCTATCCGTCTGGGTCTTGCCCTTAACTTCTCTGTCTTCTACTACGAGATCCTCAACGCCCCTGATCAGGCTTGCCATTTGGCTAAGCAGGCCTTTGATGACGCGATTGCGGGTGCGTATTCTGTCTTGTCGACCAATGACGGAGTAGGAATGATTCTGACCGCAGAATTATGCAGAGCTGGATACATTGAGCGAGGAGAGCTACAAGGACAGCACTCTGATCATGCAGCTCCTCCGCGACAACCTGGTACGTAATTCTGCATTGTGCAATGCATAGGTATGTTTTGCTAACACATGTGACAGACTCTTTGGACCTCGTCCGAAGCCGAGCCTCCTGCGGCTCCGGAGCCCGCTGCTCCGGAAGAGCCGAAGCAGGAGGCTGCGGCGGAGGAACAGAAGGCCGAGTAAAAGGCCTGACTTGATGAGTTCTAGTTGTCACTCTGATTTCTCTTGGCAATTCCCTCGATGGAAATGGTGTCTTTGGAGCGCGGACTGGAGATCCCACACGTAACGTTGCATGTTTACGGCAGATACAGACCTAAAAGAACGGTGGGCGGTTTATCGCGGAAGCTTGAGGACTAGAGTGCGGCATTTGGAGGGTTTATTTTTCTACTTTCTCAGATTGCTCGCCTTTTAGACTCGACTCGCGAAAATCGGCTGGACTAACAAACCCCGCTGATAAACTTGTTTCCGCCGTTTACGAACAATGATATGGTGAAGTTGCCAAGGGTAAAATCAGTATTTCTCTCTGCCAATTCTTTGCCCGAGTCTATGTAACGTGTCGGTACTATCTATGGAATATGCTTTCTGTCTGCGTAATGATGACGATCACGATGCCCTTTATCTTTTCCTTGTACCATCTCCTAACTCATTCATCCACGGTTTTCTCTCGCGTTTTCTTCCCGCCATCATGCCGCTCTCCTATCATCATTCCCCTTGACCATGGCTTTTCCGTCCTGCAAGATCACCCTCCTCTTCCTCAATGACTGAAAACTGCACCCTTATCCATAAGCTACAGTCTTCACATCCGACAAGCAAGTCTCCCAAGTCCGCCGATTCTTCCAAATCTGCTTCAGTGAAAGCATATCCCTTAGGGTTGCCACATCGGCAAGAGCGGTACCACCTCGCTTCCGCTTCGGAATAGTCTAGGTCATCTAGGTCAACCGTCTCAATGCCTGTTTGAAAATCAGCTCCCTGGTGCTGGCTGTGGCTGCCCTCTTCTCCGTTGTGGGCGGTGAGCAGAGAGCGATCGTAGGCTGCTCGAAGAGAAGGCGTGGAGAGTGTTGTGTAGGCGACAGTTATTTGGTCAATTGTGTATACTACTGTTGCTCCGGGGTTGCGCTGGTTACTTGGTGAGACAGGTAATTGTTTAGCTTTGTCTGGGTGATGGGTAAGGAGCGCCCTACGATAGGCTCTTTTGATGAGGGGAGAGGGGTCGTCGAGGGAGGATATGGCTTTGGGGGATATGTTGAGGATGTCGTAGTAGGTTGGCTTTGTTTTTAACATTCTTGTATGTAAAGTTTTTTTTTTTCCTCTGGCAGTGGCTAAGGGGTAATGGCGGTGTAAGTCATAACAAAGCTTGAGAGGTTGTGAGGGGTGAGGGGTAACAATGGAATGGAGTCGAGGTTTTGGAGTCGATCACGTGCTTCCCATCACTCATAAGTGACCTCAGCCGTCTCCCTGGTCCAAATGCCCCCCCAAAGATTAGTCAACTTTCCACAGGAGATGTCAAGATGTGAGAGTTAAAGTAGAGGGTAAGATTTCACCAGGGGTAGGGCCGAACTACGTAGTTGGAGGGTAGGAGGCTTAACCACGTGGGACTGCCTGCGTAACAAGCACAGCCCATAATGGTAGGATTCAGAGGTCAATATCACACCAGCAATTTTAGGGCAAGATATTTCAAGGACAGGAAACGTGAGAGCCATGAAAGCACCAAACTGAAATCCGAACCGAAGTGTTGTACAATGGTATTGGTACAGTTTACACATATCTTTCCTCATCCCCATGAAAACTGGCTGTTCATTTCGGATACTTTGTCCAATCCCTCTTCCCAACCTGCACTCAAGGTCAGCGTGGTGACGATCGGGGGTTAAGCTAGACCGAATGGCAAACGACAAACCTTCTTCCATTCCTTGATGAGCTCTGGCATCGCAAGCATGGCTTGTCTTCTCTCCTCCATCCTGTAAAAGAACAGTAGAGTCAGCACCTGCGGTTGGCCCCAACACGTAGGCCATAGCTCTCCCCCGAAAAGAGTTGCAAACATACTTTGCCATGAGTTGTCTCTCGTGCTTGTGACCCTTGACTCTCTGCCCAACACCAGTACCCTTGACGCGCAGACCCAGCTCGATACGCTTGCGTAACCTGGCCTCGGTGCCCTTGGGAGTGTAGGGAAGCAGTTCCTCAACTCCGTGCTCGCGGGCCATCTTGACCAGCTCGGCCTGACGGCGCAGCGAGTACTTGGGGTTATGCCACTTTCCAGTGACTGGGTGCTTGTATGGCAAAAACGGGTTCGGGCACTCTTCCTGATAGGCCGTCTTCTTAGGCTCCTGGCCGTCAGGGAAGATTTGCGGGGGTGGATAGCGCGCAAGGAATGTGCGCAGGCGTTGCGGCAACGCCAGCGCTAGCTGGATGTACTTCGACGACTGTGAGGCTGCGGACGCCATGGTCGTCGGATCAGCGAGGGGCTGGCGAGGTGGTTTGGCGAGGAAGAGTGTCGCAGCGCGGACTGAGAGGTCGGCGTGCGCGGCCGTTGGAATCATTCAAGAGACGTTCCTCGAAAAAAGTTCCCGCCACGCGTTGAACCCTAACCCTTGCTTTGTCGCAGTCGCTCGTTCCCGTGCCTTGCAGGGATTGGCCCCACTTATTTTTGAGGATGGGGACATCACCACACCGGTGGGTCTCACCGCAGTCTTGTGAGGCTCCGCCGACCCACTAGTGATCCAAGTCCAGCTGCAGGTCCCTTCCATGCTATCAACCAAGCATCATACATCACACTGGAAGGCAAACAATTGTGACTTCGGCCGCCTGCAAGTCACTCTACCATCTACCGACAGATTGCGTACTCAGGTAGTTCGCCAAAGCGTCAACACATAGAATCAATCCCACCGATTTGAGCGACCAGGTTGCTGCTGCTCTACGAAAACCGCGTACGGAGCTAGCCATGGGCACAGAGCCAACAAACAGACGAGTGCCGCCAGATGTGGCGGCCTTGCTGCGCAAGCGCAAAGCCGAAGAAGAGCTTGCCTCGAAACCAAGATTTATCCCGAAGAAAGAGAGAGAGCGCTTGGAAGCCGAGAAGAAGGCCAAGGAAGAGGAAGCGCGTCGGCGTCAAGAAGAGGAGCTTAAAAAGAAGGAAGAGGAATTCCAACGTGCTATCAAGAACGGCCTCAGTGGGACAAACGGAGCCAACGGCATGGATGGGATTGATAACAAGGCTAAGTCGCAGCGCGACATACCAACCGGCCCCAAGGCTATGCGACATGGCGAGGGCGGCAAACGCGGTCGAACGAACGAAGAGGAGCAAAAACGAGCCGAGATGGAGCGCAACGACGAGGCAGAGCTTCGCGCGCGGTATATGGGTCCCGAAGTGAACCAGTCCACATTTTCAGTCAAGAAGAAGAGGAGAAGGACAGCAACACAAAAGTTCAACTTCGACTGGGATCCCGATGATGACACCAGCCGGCCCTTTGACCCCATTTACGCCGAGCGCCCGGACCCTCTCTTCAGGATGGCCGGCTACGAGATGGACGACGAGCTAGTGCTGCGTAAGGCCGAGGCTATCCGGCGCGGTGACCCGGAAACGGGCGAGGAGCGCGCGCGGAAACTCCTCGAGCAGCACCAGCGCGTGAAGCAGCTAAAGGAACAGAAGAATTTGGGCAAGCATTGGTCGGAGAAGAAGCTGGAGGAAATGAAGGAGCGCGACTGGCGCATCTTCAAGGAGAACTTTGGCATTTCCACCAAGGGTGGTTCTATTCCAAACCCGATGCGGAACTGGGAGGAGTCTGGTTTACCGCGGCGCCTGCTCGACATTGTGTACAGAGTGGGCTACGACGAGCCAACTCCCATTCAGAGAGCCGCCATCCCAATTGCGCTCCAGGCCCGGGACCTTATCGGTGTTGCAGTCACGGGTTCCGGCAAGACGGCTGCCTTCTTACTGCCACTACTCGTCTATATCTCAGAGCTTCCGCCCCTTACAGAATACAACAAAAACGACGGGCCTTACGCTCTTATCCTGGCGCCAACCAGAGAGTTGGTACAGCAGATCGAGTCAGAGGCCCGCAAGTTTGCGGACCCCCTAGGATTTACCGTCGTGAGTATTGTCGGTGGTCACTCCCTCGAAGAGCAAGCATTTGCGCTGCGAAACGGTGCAGAGATCATCGTTGCAACTCCTGGTCGTCTCGTGGACTGCATTGAACGGCGTTTGCTAGTCTTTTCTCAGTGTTGCTATGTCATCATGGATGAAGCGGATCGCATGATCGACCAGGGCTTCGAGGAGCCGCTGACAAAGATCTTGGACGCGCTCCCGGTCAGCAACGAGAAGCCCGACACGGAAGATGCAGAGAACCCGCAGCTCATGAGCCGGTATCTCGGCGGCAGAGACCGTTACCGGCAGACCATGATGTATACAGCCACAATGCCGCCTACGGTAGAGAAGATCGCCAAGAAGTATCTCAGACGGCCGGCCATTGTAACGATCGGCAATGCTGGAGAGGCTGTCGACACGGTCGAACAACGGGTCGAGTTTATTGCGGGTGAAGACAAACGCAAGCGGCGGCTCCAAGAAATTCTCAACTCCGGACAGTTCAAGCCACCTATCATTGTCTTTGTCAATATCAAGCGCAATTGTGAGATGGTTGCCAAGGACATCAAGTCATGGGGCTTTTCGACCGTCACGCTTCACGGCAGCAAGACACAGGAGCAGCGTGAGGCGTCGCTGGCAGCGTTGCGTAACGGTCAGGCCCACATTCTCGTGGCAACCGATCTTGCCGGCCGTGGTATCGATGTGCCCGATGTGTCGTTGGTCGTGAATTTCAACATGCCGTCCACCATCGAGGCCTACACCCACCGTATTGGCCGCACGGGTCGTGCTGGCAAGAGTGGTGTGGCCATCACGTTCCTTGGCAACGAGGATGCGGACGTTATGTACGACCTGAAGCAGATCATTTCCAAGTCATCCATTTCGAAAGTTCCCGAAGAACTGCGGAGGCATGAGGCGGCGCAGAGCAAGCCGAACAGGGTCAAGAAGATCGAAGATAGTAGTGGGTTTGCCGGAAAGGGCGGATGGCAGTAGCTTTCTGCGAAACTAGTCGCAGGCGCGTTAAAGTCCTAGCAGGTTTAGCTCAGCGATGGCAGTGACTTTTGGGCTCTAGTATCCGGCGAGGACGAATGGCTTTGTTAACCTTGATGGTTTCCGTTTAACTGTCTAAATGGCTAAGGGAAATACCTGCCCACCTAGCGAACAACTTGTGTGCTACGGAGATAGTGTGGAAGACTCTGACCTACGTTCTCGCATCGGATGGAATAACTCTTGATTTAGGGCAGTCGCCGGCTTGCTCTCGACATTCTCGGTCCGCCGCCGCATGGTTGCAGTGAAGAAGCGCAGATCGCTGTGCGAAGCGAGGTGACGATGTGCTACATTCCTGCCCATCGAATACAGATCATAAGTATATGCAGATCTACTTTACACGGCGGTGCTGATCCAGCAGGCTCTGAAAGACTGTTTTGGCATTTTGTCTCGTCACGTCAACACCCGGCACTTTAAAGGCGTCGCTGTCAACACTGCCCCGAAACCGAGTGATCGTCAAGGTACTCGTGGCCGAGTAGCGGATCGGCTGGTTTCGTACATGGTTTTTTGAGGTCGCAGCGGCGATGTCGCTCCTAATTTTGATGAGATGGGTGTGCCAAATCGCAAAATCGTCGACTCTGGCTACGTAGCTGAGGGAATCCAGACCCAGTTTTGGCCCTTGGGGGCTTCTACCAACCTGGTAGCAAAGACAGAGCTTTTGGGAAAGCCCAGGGACTTCTCTCCAGGTTATCAGATTATCAGATAAAAAAGTAGTGCGGTAAGATGACTGGTATGTTTCTATGTCCGAGTAGTTTCCATTTTGTGAGGAGACTGTGTCTCGAGTAGCGTGCCCCTCCTCGTCCCAGGACCCCGCTTTGTCCACCACGGAATGGGACCCCATGAGCGCCAAGCGCTGCGCAATGGGAGCCAGGGAGGCAAGCCGGGGGCCTAACAAAAAAAAAAAATTTGGTCTTTCTGGCGGCGCACATGCCACACAGTCGCACGGCGGGGGAGCGGTGCTTGACTCCGATGAGACGAAGCACCGGTAGGCATCCTGGAATTCTGGAACCGCCATCCATCATGGTCCTGGTCTGATTTTCGGGGCCGCCAGTCCCAGCCGAGGAGGTAACAGGCCCTTTCCAGTTTTCATTTTTTCCCCCTGTCCTTTCACCTTTGGAATAAAAAGGATGATGTGAGGTGTGAGCTCTTTCTTTGCCTCTGTTCCCACAATCCACGGCGACGGGCCGAGTCTCGAGGAGCTGCGCCCTCCCTCCGACTTCCGACGTCCACCAAGCAACAAAGCCCCAGTCCAGACTCCAGACTGCCCTCAAGCTGCGGGCTTCGTTGATCGGGTTGAGACCGCTTCCATCCACACATCTAGGCAGTCCAGCCAGTGTGCTGTCGAGGAGGAAAATTCCGATCGTGGTTTTTTCTTTGCCTGTTAGTGAACAGTCACCGGGCACCCCCTTGAGCTGTCGCCGGTTGGACTGGTTTTTGGCAAGCTGCGAGACATACTGACGCGGGCAAACAAGTACCCTGCTTCCCGCGATCTGCCCCGCATTGACAGCATTTTCTGTGCCTACAGTACGGATATTTGCCCGTAAAACACATAGATACCACCATCTAGGTGCATTCGAGGCATTGACCCCGGGTTGTGGTCTCAGAGTACTCAGAATACGCACCCCATCCCGAGACCGACGAAAGCAAGCCGTTGACCAGCTCCCGGAGTAGCGCTGACACTCTTCTTTTCTAACCCCGGGGCCATCTTCTTAACGGGGAGTCAACCTCCCTCGTGAGACACAGAATCTCCTGCATCCATTCATCATGGAACCCACCATCCTCTCGGACGCCGCAACAGCGCCTGTCCAAGTGTCCCGCAGGACTGCCGCCGTGGAAGCTTTTGAGGATATCGTTTATGGCTCGGTAAGACATCTTCATACGATTTTGCCTTTGTTTTGTTGCCGATCTGACCTTTTCCTCCCCTAGGTTGCCGGTATTGTCGGCAAGTACATCGAGTACCCGTTCGACACGGTCAAGGTGCGCCTACAGTCGCAGCCTGACCACCGCCCGCTGCAGTACAAAGGCCCTTTGGACTGCTTTCGCCAATCGATCCGGGCGGATGGATTTCTAGGTCTGTATCGAGGCATCAGCGCTCCACTTGTTGGTGCAGCCTTGGAGAACAGCAGCCTTTTCTTTTGGGAGCGCATCGGTCGCGCCGCTATATATGCTTCAGGCTATGCTCCGCGAGAGCAGCCACTTCCCTTATCAGCCCTCTGGATGACGGGCGCTTTTTCGGGCGCCATGACGTCGTTTATCCTGACACCCGTTGAGCTGGTCAAATGCAAGATCCAAGTGCCCGGCAAAGGCGAAGCCGGTGCCCCAACTGCCCATCTTAAGCCGATTCCTGTCATCAGGGATATCTTCCGTCATCAGGGCCTGCGTGGATTTTGGCATGGCCAGCTCGGGACCTTCCTTCGCGAGTCGGGTGGGTGTGCCGCTTGGTTTGGCTCTAAGGAAACCGTCACAAAGTTCTTCCGGGATTGGAATGATAGGAGAGCGGCCGCTTCTGGTATCCCTAACCCCATCAAGGATGACGACCCCCTTCCTCTTTGGCAGCAGGCCATCGCCGGTGCATCAGCCGGCATGTCATACAATTTTCTCTTCTTCCCTGCGGATACAGTTAAATCACGTATGCAGACTACGCCCATTGGCGAGCTTGCGTCTGGCGCGATGCCTCAGCGGACATTTGCTGGTGAGGCTGCTGCTCTGTGGAAGCAGGCTGGCATTACGGGGTTTTATCGCGGATGCGGTATTACTGTGTTGCGGTCTGTGCCCAGTTCAGCCTTTATCTTCATGGTGTATGATGGTCTCAAGAAGTACTTGCCCATGCAATGAGCAAGTGACTCTTGTTTCACTCACTTTTTTCCTTTTTGTTATTACGATAATCGATTTTCAAGAAGCTTCTCAGTCAGAAGGGATGATAACAGGCTCGGAAGCGTTCTATAGATGATATAGACCGACAGGATGCATTGATGACTTTCCGTTTTCCTCGGATATACACACATACAGCAGCGGGCGTTGCGGCACTTTCACAATTTCAACAGCTGGGATAAACACGCTCAAATGAATAGACACACTGGTTTGCGATTCCAAAGCAGGGGAGAGGAGGGGGGCAGCTTCCTAGCTGTGTGGTTATTTCTTGATTCGATACATTGTTTTGGTTTCATTTTTGTTTGTTTTGGGCCAAATCTACACTGAATCGGATATAGACAAAAACAAGGGCAGATGTATATATATATATCAAGAGCTTTCTCATTCTCCTGCCAATTTGCACCATCCACATTCTCTCCCATGCTGCAAGTTAGTCATCACTAACCCTCCATGACGAATGCTTACAGTTCCTTCCCCTTGTTTTCTCCCTCTCCCTCTTCCAAGACACTTCCACCGCTCACAATGGCGTTCTTGTTCCGCAAATCCCATCCATTTAAGTACCCTGTGCCCGCAGAGAGGTAGGTCGCCAAACCCAGCCAGGCAACGTACGGTGCCAACAGCCAGCCAGCTACACGATCAACCCGCGTTCCCCAAAGCCAAGCTAAGTACCCGTTAATACCGAGCAAAGCAGCGGCATCCAAGGTTGCTAGTATGGGGCGGTTCATCCCGTAGAAGAGGGGCATCCAAGCTAGGTTGAGGGCTAATTGGATAGTGTAGAGAGTTAGGCCGTGGCGGGCTGCGTCTCTGGTCTTGAAATTGCTTTTGTGAGTCTTGTCTCTATCTGAGAAAGAGAGCTGGAGCCTTGAATCCCTTGAGGAGAGGGGCTTACCCTTGCGCTGTATATTAAATCTGATGTACCATAGTGCACAATACGATGAGCCGCATAGCCCATCAGCCCATAGAGCGCTGTCCAGACAGGCGGGAAGACTTGAGCCGGTGGCCGAAAGGGAGGGTGTTTAAGGTTAGGAGGAGAGGGGTGGGTGTCGGCTATTGAATGTACATTCATGTTACATTCATGTGTTAACTGACTCTTCTATTCTCTCATCGACTCAACTGGGTATGGAGACATACGCCTGGTTGCATAACCAACCGCACCTCCAAGGGCAACAGGAAAAAGAACTGAGACTGGGAGTGTTTGGAAGATGAAGTCAGGGAGGGTCAGGGACGGGATATAGGTCGTCATGATGGTTACGTTGTTTTTGTTATCTTCGCGTGGTTATTTAACTGTGCTTTCGACGGAGCGGGATTGAATGATTAACTAGGACTAGATTTTGTTTCATCAAGAAGTGGTCGTTGATAATATGAGCAAAGCCGGCTTCTTCGACCAGTGTATGACATCACTTATGACTTGATCCCTTTGTCCTGACTTCAGGGTGCGGATTACATGTCTACGGCTCATCTGGTTTGCTGCTGGGATCCACTAACACTAACAGGAGTGTTGTTCAACTTTCCCTTGGCCAACATCGGCTTCTTGAACCAAACCGCATGCCCCGTGGTAAGTGCCTAAATACTTTTGACCATGCCTAGCAAAGGTGTCATCGGTGACTTCATAGGTCATACATCCCAAACGGCATCAGATTGGCAATCTCAACAGGTTCTTGGTTCTAGGTTAGCATATATTGAAGTGTTCGTACTTTTACAACCGATTCGATTTTCTGCACTTTTATTTTCACATCATTTCCACACAGTGAATATGTAAAGGTCACGAAGGTCAGCTGTTAAGGCCAGCCTTTTTCTACCTCAGCTACTTACCTAGGCAGGTACCTAACTCCTCTGCAAGTGTTCCTGCATCTGCCCCGCGCTGCTCCCCAAAGCCAATAACTTAGGGCCAAGGGTCTACCAACTCCAGCTGAGCCTTGTCACGTGATATATGCTTCACCCGGTGGGGCTGTGGGCTAAAAGACAGCAGCCTATTGTTGTTGGTTGGCTAACTGGCTGGCTGCAAGCAGCGTAGCGCCAACGGCCGATGGCCGAGAGTCTTGGAGTCGCCTGGAACTCCACGTCGCTGTCGCGATTCCCACTCTCCAACATCCAACGCGCATCTGCCGACTGTGGGCACATCGGCACGTCGACGCAGCCATCATCGCCAGAACAACTGATAATTGTTCGTTCTCCCCTTTCCTTATCTCTCTTCATCCCCATCTGACCCATTGTCGCCTCTTTTTGCCTTCGATATCCATATCCGCCGTCATCGGTTCCTCGTTTGTTCCTCTGCTTTCCCTGCCGCCTCTTGTCGGGAGCTGTCTTCTGTCTTGGCCTAGCCCGCCAGCTCTAGTCTTCTTCTCCCTCTCTCCCTCATTATCTCAGACTCTTCTCTCCCTGCCGGTCCAGCTCCTCTTCCCCAGCCCTCATGCCCCATCACCATCACCGAGACAGCTCCTTTCTACACAACTATCTAAATATCTATTCAATCTTCTGTCCCCTTCCTCCTTGTCTCTTCCGCTCTTCTGGCTGCATGGTGCGCCGCCTCACTCGTCACGCTCATTCCTGTCGCATCTCCCATCGACCCGCTCCGTCATCACTACTTTCGCCTGCTCTCTTCTTCAACTCTGCTCTCTAATCCATCCGATAACCATTGCTTTCTAACCGCAATCATGTCGCCAAACAGAGCCTGCTCTCGGCAAACGGCCGCATCTCCTCTATCTGACATCGCCTGAGCAAGCAAGCCGCCGGCAAGCGACTGGTCCAAAGCGGTGCGACTGCCCGCCAGATCTTCCGTAATATCCTTTCAATCTTGCGCCAAGTTCCCGAAATCTCGTCACTCTGTCTTTTTATCTCTCTCGCAGCAACAGCAGCAGCAAATAGTCCTCTGACCCGAACACGACCGTGTCAATCGATCCCAGCATCACACGTCGTCCCAGAAGCGCAAAGACTTAATGCAACACGAATAATCAGTCGCAATGGACCCGCATCACTACCGCGATTCGGTTCGCTCTCCTGGCGACCGCGACCGAGGCTGGAGCAGCCGAGATGATAGACTCAAGGATGAGAGAGGTGATAGGGACCGAGACTACTATCGCAGTCGCTCTCCCGGTTCGTATCCGTCCTGTTCCTTATGTTATTACTGGAGTTTATTTTTTTTCTTGATTACTGGATGCTTCGCCGGTTCTTTCATATGACTTTGGTTATTTTCTTGGTTTGTGCCATCCACTTACACAAACCTATTTTCTAGGTACAGAGCGTAGCCGGCGCCGTTCGCGATCTCCAGTTGCTGTTGATCGCTACGAACCGAGAGGACGTGGTCGCGACGACTACGCTGCCCCCCGCGATCGCGACGATCGGCGCAGAATTGGCTCTCCTCCGGCCAACATCGATCGCTATGTCCCTGGCCAGGATCCTCTGCCGCCCCCTCCGCTAACCAATCCGATCCCCGATCCTTTGAAGCTGCCGTATCAAGTCGGCTTTTCATACTTTGGTGAGTGGTGGCGGGCAAATGAGAGAATTAAGGAGGAGAAAGAGCGACTCAGGACTGGCCGCCGTCGCGAGCCCGAGCGCGTCCGCACGCAAGAGGACCGTGAAAAGGAGAAGGCCAAGATCCAGGCTGCTTACGACGCCTACAAAGAGGAGCTTCAAGCCAAGATGGCCCAAAGCTTCGTCAAGCAGCATAAAGAGGATCAGTGGTTTCGGGAGCGTTATGTCCCCGAGGTCAGGGATGCTCTTCGACAGAAGCTCAATGAGATGCGCCGCGAGGCTTACGCCCGCTGGGAGCAGGATCTTGCCAGCGGTGTCTTTGATGACTTTACTTTGGAAGGTATTCCAAAGAATGAGAGCAACGGCGCCGGTGGTGTGGTGGAGAAAGAAGAGGGCGAAACTACCGCCGCAAATGAAGTGCTCGGTGTTGGCGATCTGGTTCCTGCCAATCCGAACGAGATTAGAGACGAGAGCCTGTATCAGCCTACTCTGCTGATCAAGACGATCGCCCCGTCTGTCAGCCGCCAGAATCTGGAAAACTTCTGCAAGGAACACCTTGGTGAGGGTGAGGGTGGCTTCAAATGGCTATCTCTCAGCGATCCCAACCCCAGTAAGAGGTTTCACCGTATTGGGTGGATCATCTTGAACCCAGCTTCTGAGCCGCCCGCCGAGGCCGACCCGGAAGAGGCCGGCAAAGACGAGCAAGAGGATGGAGAGTCTAAGCCTAAGCCCCGGACCATCGCCGAGAAGGCCCTGGAAGCCATCAATGGCAAAACTGTCAAAGATGAGCAGCGCGGTGACTTTACTTGTCATGTCGGTGTCCACAATCCTCCTGCCAACCCCAGGAAAAAGGCCCTGTGGGATCTGTTTTCTCATCCGGATCGCATCCGCAAGGATCTCCAGCTCGCTACTGAACTAGTCAACAAGTATGAGAGCGACTTTGGCTCCGACTTCAATGCCGTTCTGCAAATTGAGGAGTATGTCGAGAAGCTGCGGTCGGAAGGGAAGCTTGAACCTGCGGTGCCTACATCCCCCGTTAAAAAGACCAAGAAGGAGCGCATCGTCGATAGCACTGACGATGCTTTGGACAAAGAGGTCGAGGAAGGGGACGCTTCTATTGTAGGGGGCGAGGATGAGGATGAAGATGAGGGGGTTGTCGACGACGAGGTTGACGATATAGACCTGCTGGTTACCAAGAAGAAGTTGGATCTCACCATCGAGTATCTCCGCCGTGTCTTCAACTTTTGCTTCTTCTGCGTCTTTGAGAGCGACTCTGTTCATGAGTTGACGCGCAAATGCCCCGGCGGCCATCTTCGGAGACCTCGCAGCACACTATCTTCTGCCGCAAAAATTGTTGCTCAAGCGAGCGCTGCCGGCGAGCCCTTCCCATCAAGGAAGCGCAAGGAGAGCGAGGAGGTGGAGGAAGGCGAAGCGACCGAGCCGGAGCAGCGCAAGTTTCGTGCCTCGTCCAAGACTGAGCAGCAGCTCCAGCGGGCGTACAACTGGGTCAAGACATTCGAGGACAAGATCAACCAGATTCTCCATCCCGAATCGGTCGACATCCGCAAGCTTGGTGGCAAACCTGTCGAGGATGCTGTTCACGATGAGCTGAGCAAGTATGTCAAGCAGGAGGACGAGCACAAGTGGCGCTGCAAGATCCCCGAGTGTACCAAGCTATTCAAGGAGGAGCATTTCTGGCGCAAGCATGTCGAAAAGCGCCACACTGAGTGGCTCGACAAGCTCAAGGAAGAGGTGAGTTTTAAGTTCACTTGTGTCCAGTTCAACGAAGTGGCCATCTGCTAACGCTCTGATGCAGTTCGAGCTTATCAACGCCTATGTTCTCGACCCTGCCCATATTGCTCCTTCTCGCACGGATGCAAACTCCAACGGGCATTTCCCCCAGCCTAACGGTCAGCAGCCGACGGGCACCCCGCGGGGCTTCAACCTCCAGAATTATGCCATGAACAACATGATCAACTTCGCGGGCTTCCCCATGTCCATGTTCCAGCAGAATATGCTTGGCGGCGCGAATCCCTTGGGTAGTCAGGCATGGCATCATGCCGGAGCGGCTAGTGCAGGCGGTTCCGGTGGCCATGACGACCGCGGTGGTGGCGGCCCGGCTGGTCCAATCCGTCGTGGCGGTCCTGCGGGCGGGGCTGGCAGTAGCGGCCGGTACAACAGCCGTGTTGGACCGTACGATCGCCGTGGTGGTCGCTGGGGCGGCGGTGAGGCAGGTGGTATGAACGGCGGGGGTGGCCGTGGCGGTCGCGGCGGCGGAGGCTTCTCGAACAGATGGGGCGACGGTGTTGCTGGAGGCGGGGCTATGGCGCCACGCGAGGCTGTCCAGGGCCGCACGATCAAGAGCTACGAGGATCTGGATCAGGTATCGGGAGGTGGTGGGGGAGAGTTGAACTATTGAGGCTTGATTGTTAACCCCATTGCTCTCCCGCATGCCTAGATGCCTAGAACGACTTGAGTTCTCTTACACCTCTCGCTTTGGGTTTCGGTTTTTTTTTTGTGATCAATCAAGCGGACCAGGAGGGTCAGTGGGGAGTTGGTGCATTGATTGATTGGTTGGTTGATTGATATGGATCATTGGGACGGTGTCTAGCACACGAGGAGGGATAATGTGGTCGTTTTACGATGGCTGGACGGATGGATGGATCCGTTAGATTGATTTTCTTTGTCTGAATGCTGTGCGTTTCTCTCTATCCGCATTTCTACTTATTCTTTTGAGGATACAAAACAACATTGTTAGCTTCTTCCCAGGTTTCTTTTCTTTAGGTAGACTTCTAGTAGCGGCCTTGATGCGGCCCAAGTCAAATACAAAAAGGCAAATAAGTTTTTCTCCCAAAGGGCATCTATTGATCATCATACAAAGGCGTGATATGGAAAAGTATGGGCTTTTCCCTTTCTTCTATCACTAGGAATGTCAGAGAACACTGATACAGGATCCTCCGTATAAGTGGTCCCGGTGAAGCAGAGCACTCAGCAATTTTGTACTTCGTATCTTCCATGACGGGAGACAACTCTCGAGTAAACACTGACTAGGCCAGATCGGGAAAGAGCAGATTAATTCAGATGAACTTGTTCTCGGGGTCATCAAGACCAAACTACGTACTATTTACGGTAGATGATAGGTATTTTTTCTAACCCTCTCACCCTCACCAATATCACATTCCCAATGTATTGGCGAGCATACGGTCGGTACGAAACAGCTCCCATTTACATGTTCTGTAGCATGACAACCGCTTGTCATACATGCAGAAACCGCAACTCCTCTTCTACTCCGAACTAAGCATCATCCTCAATCCCCATTTCCTTTACGTTAGCCCCTTTACCTGCTCAGGGCGATATCGTCAATACGCAGGATCATCTTAACCGTTTCGGCCGCCAGTTCAATGGCGCTAGTGCTGACGAGCAAAGGCTGCAGGACGTTCTCCTTGGTGATATCGGAGCTGACACCACCGCTCTTGATGCTGACGCCGGCATTCTTCTCGCCCATCTCGTGGCGGTGGCGCAGCTCTGTCACCACCTTGATAGGGTTAAGACCGGCGTTCTCAGCCAGCGTGGTTGGGATGACCTCCATGGCGTCTGCAAAGGCCTTCCAGCAGATGGCCTCGGTGCCTGACAATGCCCGGGCCTGCTTGTTAAGCTGCGCAGCGATCTCGATCTCGGGCGCGCCACCACCAGCAATCAGCGCCTTCTTCTTGACCAAGCAGCGTACGACGCACAGTGCATCGTGCAGAGAGCGCTCTGCCTCGTCCAAGATCAAGCTGTTGGCACCACGCACGACGACCGAAACAGTCTTGCCCGTCGACTTCGTGCCCGTCACCTTGACATAGCGGCTGCCGGCGCTGTGTACTTCCTCGACGAGGTCAGCCGAGCCGAGCTTGTCCTCAGTAAAGCTCTCGATGTCGGCAATGGGCTTGCAGCCAGTCGACTTGCAGATGAACTCGACCTCATCACGCTCAATGTCCTTGACAGCCAGGATACCCAGGCGCTGCAGGAAGTGCAGAGAGAGATCGTTGACGGCGTCGCGGAGGATAGACTTCTGGATAAAGAGCACATTACACTTGGCTTTCTTGATCTTCTTGACCATGTTGAGGAGGTACTGGCGCTCCTCTTTGACGATCTTGTCCATCTGGCGATAATCGTTGACTTGAATGGTGTTTTCCATCTGCGGGATAGGCGTTAGCTCATCATGCCAGCGGAAGAAGGGGCGGGGGCACGCTTGCGTACATCAGGCTTGGGCGGGCTAAGCTGAAACTGGATCATGCCAATCCTGGCTTTCTCCATCCGTACAGGTCCTCCTGCGCTCTTGATGACAGGCTGCGTCAAGACCAGGCCGTCGACAAGCTCGCTGTCCTCTATCGTGCCGCCGACCTTCTTGATAACACGGATGTTCTTGAGGTCAACGTTGTCAGCCGTCTTGATGTCGATGGTCTTGGTGACGGCGTTGACGGCCATGGGGCCCAGGAGGTTCGAGTACTGCGAGACGATCTTGGAGGAGAGGGAGGTGTTGGCAGCCTGTAGAAGGGCGGCGGTATCTGTGAGGGCGATGGGTTGTGACATGTCATGGAGCACCTGTACAGCGGCGGCAGCAGCCCTCTGGAACGACTCCGAGATGACGGATGGGTGGATTCCCTTCTGTAGTAACCTGTCGGCAGCACCCAGCAGGCTGCCGCAGATGACCACGACCGAGGTTGTGCCGTCACCGGCCTCGACGTCCTGGGCCTTAGATAGCTGAACGAGCATCTTGGCTGTGGGGTGCATGACCGACATGCTCTTGAGCATCGTGCTGCCGTCGTTCGTGATGATGGTCTCGCCCTTGCCGCTCCGGATCATCTTGTCCATGCCCCGCGGGCCGAGCGATGTTCTGATGGCATCGGCGACGGCTGCAGCATAGCAAAACGTCAGTCAGTTGATTCGACCAGGGTGACGGGCCAGCACGGGCGTGCCCAATGTTCTCGCGACGGAAACGGCGACGGCGACGGGGACGCTGCATACCTCTAGCGGCGACAATGTTGGCGGACCGGACCGCAAGGGGCTTCTCCTTATCCTATTGCAAGACAACATCAGCAAGGCAGTCCAGACAGCGTACACGCGGTCAAATACATCGAGGGCGGGGGGAGTGCTGGGCGTGCTAGGAGTGCTGGGGGACATGGGGCATGGAGGGGTGCTGGGTACCCTGAATGCTTGGTTTGCAACCCCGCTGCCGGCTTGTGTTGCGGTCGCCATGATGCAACGAGTTCTTTGGGGGTGGATTAGAGGATTATCGCGAAAGATGGGGGACGTAGTGACTTCGACGCCGTGTTTCGGCAGGTCAAACTGTCAAAGGTGAGATAGGGGTGCCGGGGTGCCCGGGTGCCAGCGCGTTCCAAGCTTCCAAGGCGGGATGGGATGGGGATTTTTTTCGATCGGGTGCTGGAGTTCTTCCCACGCCGCCGCACACAGTGGGGGATAGAGCCTGGAACCTTCGTTAGGAATCGCAGTATCTGGCACCTGCGCCATCGCAGGAGCCGGCTCGCCTGCCTTCCATGGGCCTTGTGCGGGGCTCCAAGTTGGCCTGAACTAATCCTGTTTTGGCTTAGCGCAATTTCAGCCTCGCAGAGCTCTGGGCCCAAGGCAGCATGGATTACGGAATGGCAAGCATTGGCAGCTGCATCCATGGATCTCCAACCTAACCACCAGCCTGCACGCCTACCCACCCGCATCCAACCACAACTTCTCGTCCTTCAGCCATCATCGCCATTCTATCTACCCGCAGACTCGCACGACTACGACTAAATCTTCGAAAAATTGCTTTGCGTGGCACTTTTGGTTCTGAAATTCGCTTGCCTCTTGAGACGTCATATAACTCAACAGCCCTGACATCCATCACTACCAGCAGTCATCATGGTATGTCGAATCCTGCCGCATTTTGCACCCTCGTTCGCTTCGCGCTTCCTGCTCAACGTTCGTGCTAACCGATCGTGCAGCCGTCGGCAACAGGTCGAGACTGGGAGAAGTACAGGAAAAACTTTGACGAGGTCGAGGAGAAGAAGATCACTCCCCTTTCCGATGAGTTAGTAACCCCCCCCCCCGGCCGCCGCCGCAGCTCCCAACCCCAAACTCACACCAGTGAAGAGATATCCAGGTTCTCAAGACATACGGCGCGGCGCCATATGCCGCCGCTATCAAGAAGCTGGAGCAGCAAATAAAGGAGAAACAGCAAAGTGTCGACGAGAAGGTTGGGATTAAGGTATGTGTGCCCAGTAGTGCCTTGCCGGCTCAGCATGCCAGTCGCCATGCCCGCCACACTGACTCTGTCGTCCCTTCAGGAATCAGACACGGGCCTTGCCCCGCCCCACCTATGGGACATCGCAGCCGATCGTCAACGGATGTCGGAAGAGCAACCGCTTCAGGTAGCCCGGTGCACGAAGATCATCCCGGACGAGAAGGACGAGTCCAAGAACAAGTATGTCATCAACGTCAAGCAGATCGCCAAGTTCGTTGTCCAGCTGGGCGAGCGCGTCAGCCCCACAGATATCGAAGAGGGTATGCGTGTTGGCGTCGATCGCAACAAGTACCAAATCCTCCTGCCGCTGCCCCCCAAGATCGACGCTAGTGTGACAATGATGACGGTCGAGGAGAAGCCTGACGTCACATACGGCGATATCGGTGGCTGCAAGGAACAGGTCGAGAAGCTGCGCGAAGTCGTCGAGATGCCGCTGTTATCGCCCGAACGCTTCGCCGACCTCGGTATCGACCCCCCTAAGGGCGCTCTGCTTTACGGCCCTCCTGGTACCGGCAAGACTCTCTGCGCTCGCGCCGTGGCCAACCGCACAGATGCCACCTTCATCCGCGTCATCGGCAGCGAACTGGTGCAGAAGTATGTCGGCGAGGGTGCGCGCATGGTCCGTGAGCTGTTCGAGATGGCCCGGACCAAGAAGGCCTGTATAATCTTCTTCGACGAAATCGACGCCATCGGCGGTGCCCGCTTCGACGATGGAGCAGGTGGCGACAACGAGGTGCAGCGCACCATGCTCGAACTGATCACACAGCTCGACGGTTTCGACCCGCGTGGCAACATCAAGGTCATGTTCGCGACCAATCGGCCGTCCACCCTCGACCCGGCCCTCATGCGGCCCGGCCGTATCGACCGCAAGATTGAGTTTTCGCTGCCCGATCTCGAGGGACGCGCCAACATCCTGCGCATTCACGCCAAGAGCATGTCGGTCGAGCGTGACATCCGCTGGGAGCTCATTTCTCGCCTGTGCCCCAACGCCACCGGCGCCGAGCTGCGCAGCGTCTGCACCGAGGCCGGTATGTTCGCCATTCGCGCCCGCAGGAAAGTTGCTACCGAGAAGGACTTCCTGGATGCGGTCGACAAGGTCATCAAGGGCAATCTCAAGTTCAATTCAACTGCGGCATACGCACAGTACAATTAGAGTCTCCAGGGCAGGGGATGCTTGGAAGGGACTGTCCGTACGGTACTGTGTGTATGATCATAGTAAGAAGAGACCACAATTGCCCCAATACGCCGGCTTTCTTCGAGTCAACGTGCTGTTATAACTTTGATTACTATGCTGTGCCCCGATATCTTGCATGGTCGAGGCCCAACGCTTGAGGGGCAGTACGTATATGCTAAGGTGAAGAGACCTGGCATCGGGATAGGTATGGCCCGAGCTAGATATTCGCTTTCCAATTCCTATCCTATCTGGCAATGTTCCAAACTTCAAAATCTTCCCAACGCCGTCTATGATTCGCTGGTGTCCCCATTGACCCTATATCCTGGTTTACCCTGTGCGCTATGCTTAATCCTTCAAGTAAAATCACAACTGCCACCCACAACCTTATAGAGGCCAGGGGTGCACAGGGAAGACAACAAATAAGAAGGCAGGTATGTACGACCCAAATAAACCCTCCAAAGAACAGGCCATCAGTTAGAATCCCAAACTCCTCCACCCCTGACGGCCCAGACATCGCTAAGTCTGTGACAAACCTCATTGAAACATCCGATTCCCTCTCGAACTATACAGCACCTTTCTTGTCTATTCGCTTCTCCTTACCATCAACTGTCCATCCCATTCCAACAACGCCCTCACCCTCCTAACATACACACCTTTTCACCTTTGTGTCCCCTCATCTTTAGGTCAGCCCTCAACCTTCCACAAAGGGCAGACACCCAAGACACACCACCTCGCCATCTTCGCCTCTCTCAACGCAACAGCGGCTACACACCCGCTGTCTGTGCCCGCCACCACTGTTGGGCCAACCGTCGAACCCTCTTCCTGCCTTGACCTCGCCTTCTCTACATTGATTGCCAACCGATTGTTGTAGCTGCATTTGTGGTTGCTGTTGGGCTTGCTGCTGGCTCTTGAGCAACGCAAGCTGTTGCTGCTCAACTATTCTCTGGTGGTAGCTGTCCGCGCCGATGTCATTAGTGTTGCCATCGTCATCAAGCAGATCAATATCGACCATGGTGAACGAAGGTTCCTGCGGTAGAGTCGGCGTGGGAGGAGCTCGAGAATCAGCCTGCGCGTGGTTCATCATTGCCGCCGGTGGGCCCCAGCCCAGACACTCGCGTATGCAGATGTAGCAAGTGCGGCGGCCGCAACCCTGGCAGTCGGTGAAACTATCGAGTTCCGACTTTTTAGTGGGCTTTCGGGAGCAGATATGGCAACGGCTCATGAGGGATTGGGAGATGGTCGGTGTCGGGGTAGTTGTTTGAGATGCGACGGTGGCTGACCGTGTCTTGTCTCCAAGTCCTGCCGTTTTTGCGCTGCTACGAAGAGGTGGGCTTGGTCGTTGGTATCGTTGCGTCGGGGAGTTGGATGGTGATCGCTGCATCAGGTCACCTTCTGCGGGGCCGCTAGAATCAGGGCTGGTTCGTTGTCGTTTGCCCCATGGCGAGGCTGGACTTATCTTCCTTCCTGCCAGGGGCGAAACGAGGTGGTGCTGTGGTGAGAGAGTGGCATGGTCCAAAGACCCGTCGGCGAGCAAGCCGGTATTAGAACAGTTGGCAGCTCTGTAAAACTCGAGGACAGGGTGATCAGCCTTTGCTGAGGGGAAGTTCGCGACAAGGGCGGCGTACAATTGAGCAGTGTCGTCGAGCTTTCTTTTTTTACACGACGGAGATGGCGCGGTGGGAGGGTCTTGGGTGACCGACGGCATGGTATTCTCCTCGCGTGCTATTGGCAACGATGAGTTGAATCAGAAAACCCTTCCATGAAAGAGAAAAGAATACGGATGAGCTGGTGGTAGGTTTGGGATCAGATAGAAGAAAGTCCTTTGCGATCGGTGTTGTGGAGGCGAGGTCGAAGTGATTTCAGGTTCAAGGGTCTGTTTGAGCTCCACCACAGGCAGGGTTCCGCACCGTGCCTAGCGACTGGTGGAGTTGACCGTCGCAGAGCCGTCCAGGTAATATCTAATCGATATGGAACTCTGTGCCTGCCTATATATTACATAATATGAGATCTTCCAGCACCATATTACCTTTAACAAGTGGCTATGATGCAGTATGATTAATACTGCTGCTGCATCTTTTCGTTTTGGTCCATTGCTGGGAAAGCACGTTGGAGCTCTGGTTCGCTAACGAATGCGTTTTTTTAAATCGTGCCCAAGGGACGTTGTCCTTCAACGAGCTGCAAGCTTCTGCATTTCGAGGCAATGCAATAATTGGGCATCTCTGCCTTCATTCAAGTCCCAGGTACCGTGCGAAAACAAAAGGCAGCCCGGCGAACCTGAGGTTCTGAAGAAGCCAACGCCGTTCGATTCCTCAAACCGCTTGAAAACTCTTAAGTATCTGTTGTTCAGCATGAATCACACGTACGCTCGTCCTTCTGCGACATCCATCCTGCTTCTGCTCATTGCTTCACTGATTGGGTCAAACGGGTCCATACGAGAGCATTGGCACAATAACACTTGACTGTCAAGTCTTAGCTGGTGCCCAATGGTCTTTCCAAGGATTGCTATTGGGCGTCTGATGTTCTCAGTCACTTGACTTGCTTGACGTGTCGACTAACCACACCACGAAAGGAGACGGGGCACAGAAACGGAGAGCCGTTACGGTGCATACATGTTAGTGTTGGGGCGGGTACCTACTGTGTAAGGGTAAAGTGGATGCCAAGAGAGCCCACCAAATGTGGAAAGAACGTGTACCTTACGTAGGCGAGACGCCAAGAGTTGTCTGTTGCTCGGTGATACCGCATCCTTGGGACAGCATCATGTTGGATGACCAGATCAATGACAGGAAAAAAAGAAATCGGGAGCGGTTTCCGTCACGTTTTGACGCGAGCGAATTCGAGTGTGATGCAGCCATTTTGGAAACTGCTCAATTGCGTGGTTGTTTCAGGCGACGACGGTTTGTCTGCCCCCGTGCCAACCGCCGTTATCGTGCAGACGGAACTTCATGACGCGACCATCATCACGTGGAACGCTAGGCCTAAAGGATACGGGCCCACCCGACCACCAAGGCCTCTTCGCTTCTTCTCTCCTCAACGCTCCCGTGTCACTCCGTCCATCAGCTCCAGCCGCAACGCCTCGCATCCAACACCACGCCCCTCCATTTCTCAACCCGCAAACCGATTAAAATACCGAGTCGAGTATTTTCAGAAATCGACATCGAGATATGAGTCGAGCCAACAAACTTGGCCCGGAGGTTAATCGGTGAGTCAACCATCCCATCCGATCTTTCTGGCCCTTTGCTTGTAAAGTCCTTCCGTCTCTTGTCCGGCTCCGTAAGCACATGCTGCAACAGTCGTGTTTGCCTGCCGTGTTTGTTGTAGAGGATACGCGTCTAGTGCTCCCTACCTACCTACCTACCTACCTACCTACCTGATTTTTCGCCGGACTCGCGCTTGCAACCGCTTCGCTACCTCTTCACCCAACTGCTGCTAACCAAAGTTATGGATAGAGCTTTGTTCGTCAAGAATCTAAGGTGCGTAGTGCTGCCCCTGCGGCTCCAACCATACAACTCTTACTGATTCTGCCTTAGCTACAACGTTACTCCCGAGGAGCTGTTTGATCTCTTCGGAAAGTTTGGGCCCATTCGGTATGTGATTGCCTATGGACTCTCCATCGTCGACGTCCGCTTATACCTTGATACAGCCAGGTCCGGCAGGGCATTGCCAGCAATACCAAGGGCACTGCCTTCGTCGTCTATGAGGACGTGATGGATGCGAAGACGGCGTGCGACAAGTTGAACGGTTACAATTTCCAGAACCGCTACCTTGTCGGTATGTTGGGGTTCCCATCCTGCGCACCGCCCATAGCTGCGAATACTGACATAGCTCTTTTAGTGCTCTACCATCAGCCCGAGAAGATGAACCGTTCAAAAGAGGACCTCGATGCCCGCAAAGAGAATCTAGAACGTTTGAAGAAGCAACACGGGATCGATTGACAGTTAGACGGGCCTGCGGACAGCCTTCAGAGTCAACCCAAATTGTCTGGAGGCCCGTCTACATCGACATCATCCTCCGCGACGACAACCAAGGCAACTCCGGCGCCGGAAAACAAGGCGCCAAAGTCAAGCATGTTCAAGAAGGGCAGGCCGAATCTTGCGGCTCACGCACGACGAATGCCTCACTTCGTGCGGAAGCTGCTTCCCACGGTCCCTGAGTGCTCTTAGCCCGCGATACGGATATCTTCCTCCCAATCAAGACCTGTACGACTTTGTATGGACTTGGACGACGTCCAGGCGCAGCAACAGGCGAATATGGGATCTGGCTTGGACTTCCGGTTGCTCCACCCATAACAGCATAACAGCATCACCTACCTAGCTTCACCAGTTTGCTCGTTCAGTCACGGATTGTTTGGGTGTTCCCTCGGCATTTAAGGTTCGTATAGTTGCGGCCCGAGGGAGAATGAAGGACTAGCGGCAGTTTTTGTGGTTGTGATGGATTTGGTTGGAGGTGGACATTTGACTTGTCGTCAGATTGCACAGTTTATCCTCCTAGTTTGTGTTGGCCTGGGTGATTCCGAGTCAGCTTGGGAACACTACAGACGCAACAACGAGCTCCCTATGGCAGAATATGATGGCATTTTCAGTTTTCCGATGCTTCCAAATGCGGTGGCCACTGCATGTACTCTCCTCTTTCCATGAAGGCGTGCAGTGTTTAGGAACAAACGGCATGACTACCTAGAGGTACCTACGGATTTAACCATGAGGCCCCCGGCATGGCGAGATTCTGCTCTATATATACTTAGGTAAGTGTAGGCAGTGATTGATCTGCCACAAGATTGCTTGGTGCTTCGTAAAACCTGTATAATCCAAGACATCCAACTACGTACCAGGATTTCAAAAATCGACCTTCAAATCTCGGCAAGCGTTGTGATCTCCCTACATACCTCGAGTAGGTAAATCCGTATGGCAGTACGGGTCTGCGTTTCGATTATTGGCCATGACTACGCTCATCTCGGTTGGGCAAAGGTTTTTTTTTCGGCCCTGTTTTACCGACGACCAGCCAACGACTTAGCTCGTTATCAAAAGGACAATTACTGTTACTGAGCGTTCTGTACTATGTAAGGATACAGCGCCAGGTCACTTTAATAAGTCGTGAAGACACACGGGAATCCACCAGTGAAATCTTGGCTAGGGAAAAGCGTGTCCGCTCGCGTGTCTCCTGTGTCCACAGCGGGGCTGCCGTTCGGCGCCGTGGGCCGTAGCAGACGTCAGGCTAAGCGGTGGGCGGCCAATGGGATGACCCGCTGGACCTGGCCGAGCACACAGCAGCTGCTCGTTATAAGACGATCTCTGGGATGCCTGTGACAAAAGTCCATTTCTACTGCCAGGTGTTGCTGTGGCAGCATTAGGCCTTCTGGCGGGGCTAGCTGCCAGCTCTCCGTGTGCGGGTAACGGAATCAATGCAACCGAGATGTCGGATGGAGAACTGACTTCTTTGTCCTTTTTCCGGCTGTCGGCCTTCTCCCGATCTCATCATCCATTTAAAGGTTAAAATAAAGAAATAACGAAAAACAGAAAACCCGGAGCAAGAAGAGAACCATTCTCAAAGAGGTGCACTTACATGGACGGTGTCACGGACCAAACATGCAAACAGCCTAGGCCCTACTACAGCTAAGTAGACGGCCACTAACTGACGTGACGCTGCGACAGAGTACAGGCAGCCTTCCCACGTGGTCAGTCCCGATCCCGGGGCTGGAGCCAGGCGAGGCACTCGGACCCAAGCACACAGGCCTCTCTTCGTACCTACAGTTGGACAGTAGGCTCGCACACGACCCGCCAGACGAAAAACTCGACTTCGATCTCAATTTAAACGGGACCCCAAGCTTGCATTCTAGAGAAAGTTCTCTTCCATCCATCCAATCAACAAAGTGCAATCGCGCTCACCGCAGCCAGTTCGATTGGGAAACTGGCGGCCGGCCTCGACGCAGCACAAAAGAAGGGCAGGAACCTGAATCGCCTTCTCTTCTTCTGATCCCTGACGACGAGGTTTCACTTGTCAGCCTTATGACCTCTTGACAATCCTGCGTGCTGCCTCAGTTACTGCATCTCCTCTTCCCTCACGAGCTGTTGTCGCCCCCCTTCCAGCGGACAATCTCCCCCTTGCTGCTTGTCCTTCGCCCGATGCTGTTACACCGCCGTCGCCTCTTCCCACCGCCACAGCAGCCTTTCTGCTAGCAGAACCGGCTGCATTTCCGACTTTCAACATCATCTATCATCTCGAGATACCCCTCCCCTCTTCTGACTCGCCATCCGACCTCTCCTTGTTACCGTCAAGCCTCTCATCTCCCTCCTCCATCATCTCGGTCACCATGTCTTCGTTATTACCCACACCAACAATCCCTCCGACAGCCGTGGCTGCAGCCCCCACGACTACCGCCCCAACTACCCCCTACGACCCAGACCATCCAGGCGAATGCCGGTTAATGGGCCCGTTCGCCATCCTAGTGCAACTCGCCCTCGGCGCGCTGGCGTTGCTGTCGCTTGTCTACAAACGCTGGCGCGAGCGGCCCCAGAGGCCCATCAAAGTGTGGTTCTTCGACGCCAGCAAGCAGGTGTTTGGCAGTGTGCTGGTACATGGCGCGAACGTATTTATGTCGCTGCTAACGAGCGGGAAGGTGACGTTTACGGTTGCTGGAGCTCCCATGGGTGCTTCCGGGGGGGACACAAGGGGACAAATGGCTGTACGGACCGTCGAGGCCGTCGCTGTTGTCGCTGCTGCTAGGATGAGGAGGGCTATGGAGCTTGGATGGGGGCAGATGGTTGTGAGGAGGATTGTTGCGAGGGTAGCGGGTGCGGACGAGGGAAGTGGTGAGGACGGGGATGAATATGTGCCAAATCCGTGCTCCTTGTACTTGTTGAATCTCGGGATTGATGTGAGTCCTTCCCCTGAACCTGACATACTCAAATCAGACATGAAACTAACTACCTCAGACAACCCTGGGAATCCCAATTCTCATCCTTATCCTCCGCATCGTTACCCGTCTCGTGGCCCTTACGCCACTGGGCAACCCCCCTGAATCCATCCAAAGCGGTAACTACGGCACACCACCCAACGCTTGGTGGTGGTTCAAGCAAAGCATTATCTACTTCTGCGGGCTCATGGGTATGAAAATATGCGTACTCATCCTCTTCATGCTGCTCCCCTGGTTGCCGCGCGTAGGCGACTGGGCGCTCGGCTGGACCGAGGGCAACGAAAAGCTGCAAATTGTTTTCGTCATGATGCTTTTCCCCGTCATCATGAACGCCCTACAGTACTACATCATCGACTCCTTCATTAAGAAGAAAATTACGGCAAGTGAAGCCGATGCCGCCATCGTCGGGGACGGTTCCTCCCGCGCTGGAGCAAGTCATCGTCACCATCGCCGCCGCCGCGATGGCCACTCGAATGTCGCGTATGAAGAGCTGGCCGCCGCATCATCGGATGAGATAGACGATAGTAGCGATAGTTACTGCGATATGAACGATGATGATGAGCCGGACGATGCACAGAAACACCACCAGCGCCGCTATCGGCGAAATGGCCAGCATCACAGGAAAAGTAGCCGTAAAACTTCGTCTTCCCACTTACTGCTGAAGAAGACGAGGACGAGGAGCAGCAGTAGCAGCGGCGGTTCGTCGTCGATCACGACTGTGACTCCATGCCTTAACGATACCAATACCAATTCTAATGGCCCCGTTGAGTACGACCCTGCTGTAGACGGCGACAGCCACACCGTCATCGGTAGCGGCCGCAGCCACGACGTCCAAAGCCGTGACACGTTCCCGAAGGAGTTGCTTAATGCGGAGTGACGATTTGGACGACACTCAATCTATGTTTTGTTTGGGATGGGAGTAAACAGAATGAGGATTGCTTTTCCATCTTCTGATATGTGTGTGGTCTGGAGTTAAGTGGCGTTTCTGTTGCATCACGGAGTACGCTTTCTTCAGCGTGATGGATAAGGGTATGGAGTAGGTAGCCAGAGGGTAAGGCGTTATGGAGAGTCCATACTAAGTTGTCACCTTGAATTTCTTCACTGTCAAGTTCCATACTATATCCTTTTACCGTGCTTTCAGGCGTCTTTTGACCGGTCATGTCTCTAATCCTTGTGGTTTGCCATTGACTCCAGGGTAAGATACATATAGGCATGCATGCAGAGGGTAAAGATAGAGGACAGGTTAAAAAAGAAACTAGTTATATATATGTATAGGGGTCGCTTAAGCAAACATCCACTCTCCCGGAAACACGCATTTCTACCTCTAGGCATCACGCCATGCTCTCGACCCCTAGGGTCTATCCTTCCCATCATCCTGGCTCGTCCTGTTACATAGGTACTCGATAATAACAGCTTAAAGTCTGAGGCTCCTCAAAAATTATTGGACTCATTCACCCAAAGCATAACCTGGGATCGGTCGTCACTGAAACCTTCATGAGAGAGGGATGTCCAGTTCAACTAACAGATACAGAGCTACTGCTACACGCTAGAACACCTCTTCCAAACACGAATCTGCCCATTTGCAGTCTTTCAGTCTGCCAGCATCGCACGCTCAACAATTAGCCATTACGTACGCACCTCATCTGGTGCAACTCTAGCCCTAACCTTCCTTGGCCACATCCATTGTTAACCCGGCGTCAAACACACATCGCGTCGCAAACGCACAAAAAAAAGAATGAGAGAGAGGTAGCCGCCCGAAATTCACAAACTCAACACATCTCCATATGCATATTTGCCCCCGGCTTCCACTCAGGCAGCTCGTCCTCGGAATACGGTGCCCGAACGACCGAGCTGACTACCGAAATTTTCAAGCCCCGTACACATTCCACTGTGAACACCTTACCACCAGGAGCCAGTACACGCTTCTGTAACCTGGTAGCTAGATAGCTCTCAACGTGCTGCGGCGCCAGGCTTGCAAGCTCACCCTTGATCACCTCTTTCACCAGAGCCGCGGTCAGGGGAACAGTCCCTGAGATAGTGATGCCGTCCTCTTCACTGAAGTCGGCATCGAGGTTCCTTCTCCTAATGCGGGGAGCGTCTTCTTTGTCAGCATGGCCAAACACCCCCATGGTTCCAACATGCTTTGGCGAAATAGTCCACGAGTCGGGGTCCGCCGGGGGATCACCCAAGAAGAAGTGGATCGAAAAAGGACCACCGAGCGCCATCTTGCCCACGCGGATGTTAATGGTCCATTCGTGGTAATGGTCACCGTCAAAAATGCGGCCACCAAGGGTAGAGGCGAACAGCTTGTCGTTGATTTGACCGTCCACCACTCCGACCTCCTTGAAGCCCTGTGCCCGAAGCTCATTCATGAAAAGGGTGGCCGGGCTGTTAGTCCCGTACAGGCGGTTGACGGCTGCCTTGACGCGAGCTTGGTAGGCTTGTTGGGCGTTGCGGCTCGTGATAGGACGTTGCTTCACCAGCTCGGCATAGGTGTATCCAAAGATTGTATGGTCTCGGACACCGTCTGAGGTCCAAAAGGTGCCGTTGTCGTTAGCAAAGAATGGTGTAAGAGGCGTGCTTGCATTCTGTATCTGTCCTGCCTTGTGAGTGTAGGTCGGCTCGCGAGCGGGAGTTGGCTTGACCCAAGAGTCAGGGTAGAGGGTTTGCCATATGGCGAAGATGCGGTCCACCATGGCATGATGAAGGAAGAAGATCGGGTCGAAGGCTGAGAAGGGAATGTAGGACATGTGTCCTCCGGGGGATCTCCCCTGGATAATTCCACCGGAGAGGCTGTGGACCGTGTCGTGGAGAGACTCGAGGGAGTCATACGAAGCATTGGGCGACTGCGGCCGCCAGGCGTTGTTGCTAAATTTGTTGTAATCGTCATAGTTTGATAGCAGCGCATATAATCTTTGGGCTATTGAAGGACGATTTCTGTCGAAGTTAATCGCAGCCTGAGAGTTGTTCGACTGAGCGTCTGGGGCACTACTTGTTGGATACCGGAGGGTGTTTGTCCAATAGTTCCACTGTAAACAATTAATGCCCATTAGTGTCATGGAAGGCAAGAGATTAGCAGCCATGGCGGCCTACCGGAGCTCTAGAGAAGGCGGTCTTGTTAAGGGGCCTGAAAGAGTAACTATACAGAGGGTTCGCGATTCTCTGACGACCGTTCGGGCCGGTAACATCAACAAAGGGAAGCGCCCCAATGCTGGCCGGAAAAACACTCCCTGCGGAAGGAGGACTGGCAGCCCAGTCCCAATAAGGAATTCGGAACCTGCGAGCTGCTCTCTCGAAGCGTTTTCTGTCAGGCTCAGGCCACAGAGAGGCGATATACTGAGCAAGGTTTCGCAAAACTTGCTGTATTACCGGGGCAATCGGTCAGCTACACCAAGATCGGGAGACACTGGATTTGCCAACTCAACGATGGCACAAGGCAGGTTATCAGGTTGGTTGCCATACCTCGTACAGAGCCATATAAGGCCGGTGCCATGTCGGGAACAAGACTGAAGAGTGAAAACAGTATCCGTAGCGCTCGTTCCCTGGAAGTGGCTCGACCCCATTCCAGGTCTGATAAGGTATGCCATGTATCCCTAAAGACGGTCAGCACAATTAATGGCAAGAGGGATATGGCAGGGGGGGACCAGTAAAGCATTGCTAAGCAGGGTGAGGACGCGGACCTGTTATCCCATACCACGACGTAGGGACATCCTGGTCGGTGAACTGCATCATGCTGAGCGCCAGGATATAGAGAGTCCAAAGCTCTGGATCCTTCTCGAGCTGGCGGATCTCCTGGCGCACATGAATCTCACCATCGTCGCTCTCTGTTTGCACAACAACTCGTCGGCTCGAAAACTGGCGTTTGACATGGCTGCCGACATCGAACCCGTAATCGTAGGGGCCATATTGGGCGAGGACGGGAACAGGGACGAGCAGGAGAAACGGAAAGACGAGAGATAGTCGTAGCCTGGCCATCTTGCTTAGCTTGGGAGTATCACCTCGGCGTATAGAAGACGCTGTGCTGGAGATTCAGGCCGGATCCTTGTGGACATCCAGCGTCCCTGGCCACTCATCCAGAGTTCCAGGGATTCCAGGGGCGCCGACAGATCGCTTAGTACGTGGACCTTTTCTCGAGTCTAGGGGCCGACTAGAAGGGACGCGAATGCTGTCACGGGTCTTATAAGCCTACAGCCCTGGAGTTGGACTTAGCCCGTTCAAGCTGTCAATGGTGGCGGCCTGGTTGGCTATTAAGGCGACCGCGGACGGAGGCTCTCGAGCTTCCAGAAACAATAGAAAACTGGAATATGACAAGGTTCAAGCCTCAATATCTCCAGGTCCCTTGAAACATGCAACCTGAATGTACAAGCCCTCCCACGGCAAGTGCGCATGGAAGCTGAAGTACGCACCCGTATAGTACCTCTACCCGGTGGTGGCAGAGTCGCTGAGTGGCGGAGTTGGCAGAAACTGTCCGAGTCAAACCGAGAGCGAGCTCCCGTCAGCAGCAGCCCAACAACCCTCGGGTGCTCCTGCCGTTCCATGAACGCTTGCTTCACCTCGATCTGGCGACCTGGGACTCAAGAAGCTATGGCATAAAGAAGGAGCCTCCCTGGTTATCCCCAGTTGGCAAGTCCTTCCTGGCTCTTCCTGGCTTGATAAGAGGAGATCAGGCCATCTGCCGGACCCGAGCCGTTGTCATTCTCCCATACCAATCCACAATCCAACCCACACGGGCACCCGCGCCTGTTTGCTCATCAATTCGGCAGGAGCCCAAACCTTCTGTTTGACAACATGAATGCCGAAGTGCTTGAGGACACGGAGTGAACCAAATGTCTTGACCACCCCGCCTTCCACATCCAGTCAGCGCCGGCCCGTGATCCATGATGACCCGGCTTTGCACCATATCTCCGCCGGGCTTTTCATCCTTGTGGAAGTGTACTGTCCCCTTCCAGGATGAATGTACTAAAAGCACTGACAGTACCCCAGACTCTCCAAACGTAACGTGCCATGGCCTCTGCGCTCCTGGCCACTGGTGACTGGCGGTCGACAGCAGGCTACAGCCGTCGTCACGGGCGTACAAAAGCGCGGCAGAGCGCATAGCACCCTCTCCCTCTCTTCCTGATGTATCCGTAAGAGCTTATGCGCTCGCTCCGTTGGAGCCATGGGCACTCAGGAAATTGAGCGGTTTCACATGTCCGAGTTTTCATTCCTCTCTTATTTTTTGGTGTTTCAGCAATGGATCATCGCGTGTAAGGAGCATGCCGACCTTAGTCATGTCGTAGACTAAGAAACCTGGAAGGAAGGTGATTAATATTTGTTGCCAGAGACTCAACACCAACCTGACTGGGTGCGTCATAGAGTCCCATGTCTCCCATATCTCATGGCGCTCCACATCATGCCCCTGCCGGGCTCCTGGGAACGCGTTCCACGGCATAGTGACTGCTGCACCTGCAGGTGTCAAGTTCTCGGGCGATACAACGGCGAGCAAGCACTCAACGCAAAACGGCGGGATCTCAGACAGACAGAAAAGGCCTCTTGGCAAACTCAAACCTAGACATTCGATAAGACAAAAAAGGACATTGTTGGCTACGTGTTTATTTAACCAGGCAAGGAATCCCCGACACATCCCAACAACCAAACTATCCCCTACCCACAACTCCGCACTTATGCTGACACCGTTGACCCGTTGAGCAGTGCTTTCGGTGGCGCTGGTTTCATTGGACCCCTTCGAATGGCATCCTTGTTATCCACCCGGTACTTTAACTTGACTCCCATAGCGGCAAGCTCAACATCCAGGAACTTCAGCGCTCCTGGGACCACCACCATCGTGGTATTCTCGCCACCGATCCACTGCACGCCTTGTCCATCTTCCCAGATCTCTCCCTCCAGTTTCATGAGATCCAGATCCTCGATCTGATCCAGCCGCTTTGCGCAGTTTCGGCACCGAACCGTGCCGACCTGCTTCCTCTTTCCAATGAAAGGCGACACCGTCGGCTGCACCGCCAAGAAAGACCCACAGTCCCGACAGATCCAAGACCTGGAGTAGTCGGAACAGTTGAGCAGACGGTCCTGAAGCAAGAAGGCCGTGCCGTGCGCCAGCAGAGCGTCGCGCTCCATTTCGCCCACACGGATACCGCCACCCTTCTTGCGGCCCTTGATGGGCTGGCCCGTGGTCGGGACCACAGGACCGGTAGTACGCACCTGGTACTTGTCATTGACCATGTGTCTCAAACGTTGATAATAGACAACGCCAATGTAGATGTCGCAGGCGAACTCCTCGCCCGTAATCCCAGAGTACATGGGTTCATTGCCGTGGTAATTGAACCCAGCCTTCATCAGCTGGTGCCCGAAGTAGTCTGCGGCTGTGTGCTCCTCGTCGAACCGGAACGGAGTCGAGTCCTGAGCCAGTCCGTGAAGGGCGCCAGCCTTGCCAGCCAGCGACTCAACAAACATGCCGATTGTCATGCGTGACGGGAAAGCGTGAGGATTAATGATGACGTCAGGTTGGATGCCCGACTCCGAGAAGGGCATATCTATGGCCGGCCACTTTTGCGAGCAAACACCCTTCTGTCCGTGACGGGACGAAAACTTGTCACCAATAACAGGTGATCGGGGGATGCGGAGCTTGATGGAAACCGTCTGAAGAGGCTCGTTACCCGTCTCACTGCCAATGACACGTACCTCCTCAACAAAGGCATCTTCCGCATCCTTGTACCGCTCCCAATGTGTGATGCCATCCTTGTTGACGAGCTTTCCACTGTAGTCGGCTGAGACAGTGTGCCAGGCACAGAGAATGTCACCTTCCCTGACCAGCCGCCCAACATGAGGCAACCCGTCCTCATCGAGCATCTCCCGATACTCCGGCCGGATCGGAGTACCAGGAGCGAACCCGAACATCTTGGTGATGGTTTTTGATGTCCGCGTCCTCGTGTCATCTTTGAGGCTAATCTTCTTGGTCTTATAAATCGTACCGTGCCCAAATCCACGTTCATGGGCTGACTTATTTATAATCATGGCGTCGTCCATGTCGTAACCCGTGTACGAAATGACAGCCACAACAGCATTCGTTCCGTTGGGGAAGTTGTCAAAGCCATAAACATTATGCAGCGGCGAGCGGACGATGGGCGTCTGACCCGTCTGGAGCCGATACATCTTGTTGTCTGTCCGGTACTTGATCGCAGCACCGGGAGTACCCATGGTTTGTTTACCCATCTGACACTGGTACATGTTGCGGGGTGACTGGTTGAAATCAGAAAATGGCGTCATGTTGGCCAAGATGGAGAGAATGTTTGTTGGGTCGTACTCGACGTGAGTGTGATCGCCGGGGATGATTTCTTCAGGTGTGCAAGCGATGGACATGTAAGGCTGTTCATGGGGCCCAACGAAGTCCTCTTTTGCTAGAGCCAGGTACTTCACAGGTCGGACCATTCTGGCCGGCTTTGATGCCATGTAGATGCCAGGGTAAGATCCGCCCTTAGATGGCGGCACATAACCAATCTCGAGCTGAAGAGGGATACCGTGGTTACCTTCGACCTTCCACCGCCGGAGCGTCTCAGCAATAATTCTGGACGCCTTGGGTGTGCACCAGCCAATGATTCTGCCATCCAGCATGACCACGACGCTCTCGCTGGTAGCTGCTGATGAGTAGTCGTTTACTCCTAGTTCCATTACCGCTCCTGGAACTGCCGACGTATCCAGGGTGTCGGTCATGATCTTGCATTTGTGAGCCAGGTGATTCAAAAGACCACAAGGCGCACCATCAGGAGTGTGAACGGGGCACAAAAAGCCCCAAGACTCAGGCAGCAACTTTCTCACCGTGGTTGTCTTCAGCTGAGCGAAGAAGCTACCACGGTGAACCATACGGAAGTGACTAATAAAACGCCAGAAGTTGAGCTTTTCGGCAACGACAGTAAAGCCAGACACCTGCTGCAGGTCAAGACCAGAAGGACTCTGGAGATTTCCTGTCGATAAGAAATATTCGAGGGCATTGCCGATGTTCTCGTTTGTCCGCCTGAAGATGGCAATAGGGAAGTCTTTTTGAAAGGTTTGGGATGTGAAGGAAATTGTAGGGTTCCTCCTTAGGTAATCTCGCAAAGCAGCCCTTAGAGAGACTGACAACAACTCCTCCAGCCGCTCCTTCAGAATCATGCCGTACAAGAAGCCACCAAGCAGGATCTCCTGGTTTTGAACGGCGTCGGGGTTATCGACGGCACAATCACCGGCAACAAGTGCATAGAGCTTGCGACACATAAAAAGCAGCATCTTGAACTTGTCGAGGTCCTGTTCCTCGGTGACATTGACGCACCCTAGGTGAACAAGAACGATCTTGCGGAGGAATTCCGTGCCGACTTCGTAGTCGGACATGGTATCTGGAACGCCAAGCACCACGCGGAACTTGGAGCCCAGATAGGCTCGTGTCTGCGATTTGGTGTAGAGACCGTACTTTTTGTAGGTGCGGAGGAGAAGTTCGACCCGGTCTGTCAGGAAGGTGTTTTCGATACCCTTGGAGTTTGGCGGGCCCACGAGACCCTCGAAAATTTCTCGGTCATTCGTCTCAACAAGAGCCTTGAGGATCATCATGACAGGAACCAGATACTCGTTCTTCCGCCACGAAAACCTGAATGTGACATTGCCGTCACTGAGGTAATGGAGAACGTTTGTCTGTGAGGTCTCATCCGGTCGGACAGATCGTACTATGATACCGTACTGTGTATATGAAGGACCCCTGTTTGTGAAACTTGGACGGATAATGGCAAGCGGGAAGTTCCTCCGGTTCACCAAGAGCATCCGAATGATCTTTTCAATGCCGTTGATGATGAAATACCCACCCAATTCCTCAGATTCCTCTTTCCTTTGAACGAGGAGTGCTGGAGGGTTGTTTTCTAGGTGACATTTATTGGACTGAGGGGACGATGGGAGCTCATGTCAGAACAGAGAGCAGGGGACAGAGTACGAGTCGCACATACCTTGACCATGATGGGCATTTGCCCGAGCTCCCGGACAAACTCCTGGGGCTCGCCATCATTGATACGGTATTCAAAGGTCGCCGTGAGCTTTCCGCGATATGTAACGTGTCGTTCCCTGCACTCAGCCGGGAAGATTTCGCGGCGCTTGGCCCACTTGTTTGATGGCGGAACCTGAGATTTTTGGAGGGTGATACTCTTGTACCGGATGGTCAGCTTGTTTTTGCCCTCCGGCGCTGCCCTCTCATCTCCGTCTAGAAAAGTCTTGGTCCCAATTTCGGCAATGGCATGGTCGAGCAAGCTAGGCTTGCCATCGGTGCGGAAAAGGGCGTTGAAAGACTCTATATGAGGATTGACAGCCTCTTGAAGGGCAGGATAAGCGGTTCGGTCGGTCGGGGGATTCCGAAAAAGCTTTTCCCTTCGGATTGTGTTGTATTCATGGTCCCATTCGGTGCTGGTGGGTTCGGGCGCCATTCTCGTATGTTTGATGGGAAATTCGTCTGCTGGGAGAGGTGAGATCTTCAACAGATTGAATATTCGAGTCCACACCGCGTCTGGAGACAAAGACCCCTTATGCCATTCAGTTTGGCTTTGATGACAAAAAATTGGTCATCACTAGAGTCGCGATGACGACTTCTCGAACACGGCGGGAAATTGAATGGTGTCGAGGAAGACTCGTTTTTGAGTTGATATTGCAAAGTGCCTTCTGGGAACTTTTTTTCCTGCTTCTTTCTTATCGCTTATCAGTGGAGCAATATTCCCCACAGTGGGGTTGGTCACTACGTGAAAAGCCTACCATTGTGGTTGGTGCAAAAGCCGTCAGATTATGTAAGCGGCTCACTGCTTATGCTTCGTCTCAACACAGAACACTTAGGGCAAGCACGCGCAATTCTAGGGGTGAAACAGCCCATGAACAGTCACAGGGAGTGTTAAGGGTGGTAGTTGTCGGTTTACACATGGTGCTTCCTTGATTAAGCAGATTGATTCCTTTACATGAATTTAGAGACGTCTGACCATGAGATGCGCTTAATGTTGACAAGTTCACATGGAGATTGTATAGGTTTTAGACACATTGCAAGATGGGCAGCCATCAAACCATGTTGTTAAGGTAAAGCGCAGTAGTGATATTGGCCGTGGCAATGCACTCAGTGTCAAACCACAGCTTTGGCAGTGCATTTCGGGCTCATGATCCTTTCAGATGGTCATCAGCTCTGTTGCATCTATTCATTATAAAGTTGCGAGGGCATGTTGGTTCTTCTTGATTCCAACAAAAGCGGTGAAGGCATCATGAAGTCACGGCAGGCCCCAAGGGAAGGCTCAGCCGACCATCCTGCGGCCAGAAGGGAGGAGAGCCGAATGAGGATATCCTTGCTTTGGAATGCTCTGTCGCTGGCAGCATCATTTGCTGACAGATGGAGCAATACCTACCTCAAGACCCAAGACCTAACAGCCAACGGGGTGTAAATTGACATGGTCCGTACAAGCATTCAAGCTGCTATTGTGGTCCTGGTGGTTAGAAGCTGCTTATGGGCCGTTGTCCGGGCTGCCGCAAGCCAACACCCCGCAGCCCTGAACCCCGCCTTTCTTGGACCGCTTTCAGATCTCCAACCTGTAATAGGTAAGCGATTGCTTTGTAATGCTCACATCGAACAGAAAGGCCTCGGCAGCGACACATTGAGGGCCGGTTAAGAACTCAACTCTGCTCTAACAATGCTCCAAGTTTATTGACGTTAGTAGTCATTTTTTGCCAAGAACTGTAGGCCATAACTCGGAGGTGGTTTCACGGCACAGATCGCAAGGTTCCACCTACATACGGGAGGTAGGAAGAGGGACGTAACAACGTATGATGTTCAAAAAAGGATGGCTGTTCTGGGGCTGATCCGCCATTGCGTGGGGAAACCCCAGTTAGAGCTTTGATTGTCCAATTGTTTTGGCGCTGTCCAGCTTGTGACCCCGCTATCTAGAGCCCTCCACCCTTCCCATCTGGACACAGTAAGAGATCGAACTTTGCCAGGATTGGACTCGACAAGCTGATGAATGCCATGATAACCATCTCTTCGGTCGAATCTCGAAAGTACATCTCTGCGGATGCAGTTCCAGTTCTCAGTCGATTTTAGGAAACATCTAACGACAATCCAGTGAGGTTGCTCTTCTGAGCTTTTCTCTCTGACGGCGAAGACGGCCCAAACTGTTGCAATCCATCTGAATTACATCTATTTCTCGTTTTCCTCATCTCCCTACCTGCGTTAGATACTTCTGCCAAGTATCCCGAGTCCAAAACCGGCAGTCCAGTCAAAGACCCCAGATCAGACAGCGAGCAAGTACCCCGCGGGCCGTCCTGGATAGGCGCCCCCGCCTCTCACAAGTTCGACAGAGCCCTCTCATCGGAGACAATCCCAGATCGGCTCGCTAGGCCAGGACCACGGCCCACAGCGACTACCACCGCTACCACTACCACCACCGCACACACCGGTGCCCATCCACGTCCCTGCAGCGTCCCCAGCGGCAACGACAAACTCCTGCAGCATCTGTTGCACCAGCTAGCCCGTCCCTGAGCACACTCTCAGCCTCTTTCTTCTTGGCTCCCCGCCTTCCTCCCTGCTCTACTGGACCAGGAAGCCTTCCTCTCTCAACCTGCTCAAGTTGCTTTGCCCTCTGCTCTTGTTTCGTGATATTATCCTCCTGAGGGGCATCCTCTTGTATTCATTGCATGCCCGTCGCTGCCATCACGAAGCTCTACCTACCTACCTACCTATCTACTTAGCTCTCTCCCTATAGAAGGGAGTACTTTTTGATACTGTCCACAAAGCAAACCACAGGCTCACAGCCGCCGCTTAACCCTGCGGGTCTCAGCACTGACAGCGACTGCAACCGCACACACCCTAAGCCGACACTTCTGATTGTGCACAAAGCACGATCTGACAGGCTAACACCGTGATCACTACCCATCAACCTCTACGGCTGATCGCCTGCCTTCTAGACATACCAACGTCTTGGTCTCTTCACCCAAGCTCCCCAGCATCGTGCTGCTGCGCTTTCGGAGTCATCATCTCGTCAAGCTCAATCAACCGCACTCACTGTTCAACATCCTTAAACTCTTTTTGCGTACGAGGCACACGAGCCAAGCTTTGCCCTGCGAAACTGCAACACAAGGACGGCGGTAGAATTGTGTGTACCCTGGGGTCCTCATTCCATAGAGCATCATCATTCGTGGTGGGCCTGGCTTCCCAGGACCACAGTCTCGCATATCTAGGGTGTCTACCGTATCGCACACACTTACAACTATCCAACTACTCTGTCCTGCGACCTCATCTCATCATTTATCCGACGAAAAGACTTTTTCATTCATAGCATATCTGCTTCTGCAGGCCCACTGACATTTGACCTGGGCCCGATTTCATCTGAACCTTAGGCTGCCCGGAGTTTGACTCGGAAGACTTGACCTGAACCGAGCCGAGATTATTGCCGCTTGTCACCGATCCTGCCAGATAGAGCGTCGTTCGCTGCTTTTTAGACGGGACGCATCTCCTTGGAACATATTCCTCCCACCTCTCTTGACGCTCTTCCTGGACGCCCCCGATCTTCACGAACCCATCACAAGCTCACCTATCTTCCCGACTGCAGGAGCACGGTTCATCACGAACGCCTCCATGACCATGGCGGGGTTATTCAGAAAAGTTTTCGACTGGTTGCTGCGAACGTTTTGGTAGGTTCCAGATCGTGCGGCGGGGAATATGCACCCTGCGGAGTGCGCGGGCCGTGCTGATGCGGGGCACCGCTCAGCTTGCCAACCGCAGCACATCGCCGCTGGGCTAGATCAAGCGCAGCGCTAATGTTGTGCAGGGCAACTGAGATGGATGTGACTTTGGTCGGTTTGCAAAATGCTGGAAAGACTTCACTTCTTCGTGTGCTCTCGGTGAGTATAATGCAGATGACAGTCTTGGAGGGTTTGCAGGGCTAATGGAAAACATTAATGCTCAGGGCGGAGAGTTCGCTATCGAGTGAGTATCCAAAACCCAAGGGACGACGGAGCTACTGTCGATCGCTGACTGACTTGGCCATTTTTAGCTCCATTCCCACCGTTGGCTTCAACATGAAGCGACTACAGCGTGGCCATGTGACGCTCAGGTGCTGGGATCTGGGCGGTCAGCCCCGCTTTCGGCCGATGTGGGAGCGATATTGCCGGAATGTGAACGCTATTGTCTTCATCGTCGATATTGCTGACATGGAGAAGCTCCCTACAGCTCGTGAGGAGCTTCACCAACTCATGAGTCATCAAACCTTGGAGGGCATCCCCTTGCTGGTGCTTGGTAACAAGTCGGATTTGCCCAACAAGTTGACTGTCGATGAGTTGATTGATGCCATGGACCTTAAAAAGATCTCTCACCGGGATGTCTCGTGTTACGGCATCTCAGCTAAGGAAGAGACAAATCTGGAGGCTGTCATTCAATGGCTGATGAAGTATGCCAATAGGTGAGCCGACTTCGCCTCTTTCGGCATTAACTTCGTCATGAGTCTCGGCGCAGGTTGCCGGCTCTCGTTGGTTGTACGTTTTGTCGACTTTCGCTTCATGAACCGTTTCGACTGGCTCTAGGTCGATACGTTTTGGCAGCTTGCCACTGATGTGATTCTTAGGAACGACTGCCATCTTCTGCTGGCAATGACATCATTTTCTGAACAACTCTCCCCTTTTTTATTTTCCTCGGTTGTTAAGATAGTGGCGCATTGCGGGCCTGAGATGCAATCGGTTTTTTTATCTATACCGGTGTCTTTTCATAATATTGCATCAACCAGAGAGAGCAACCACACAGAAAGTGACAGAGACATCTCCGGTTGCTGGAACAAACGGGCTCAGAAAGGTGCCGCAAGGCTGGGGCATTACGAGACGCACTTGCTACTCGCAAGAATAGGTTTATGAATCGACTGATCAAAGATTGAGAGTGGAGCTTGGAAAGACTGATGTGATTGGAATGGGTGCAAAAGGCCTTGCTTGACTTTGCTTGGGTCGGGTGGAAGTAGGTGTAGCGCTCCTTTGTATCTTGAATGATTTGAGACTCAACTTATCCTCTTGATGCAATGATATGACTGATGATATATGCTCAATTCGGTTTGAGAATCGACTGTGTTGGCCCGCGAATGTCTCACACGCGCCAGCCAGAACGGTGCCGTCGTGTCCTCAGATTTTGCAAGCCTTGGGTATGTACAATCCGGCGGAAGAGAGGGACGAGGGACGCTCGTTGGACACTAGGCGATAGCGCTCCTAAGCTGCATCACGTTGAACTAACGCCTTTATGTCTTGAAAAACGGAGTGAAAAACGACGAACGGAAGAAAAGGGGGGGAGGTCTTGTCAAAGTGCAAAGTACAGTCGAAGACAACTAATATATACCCAAGCGGATAGATAACCCCTATAAGTGGCTATGCGGCATCAGTGATGTGACTTACACACGGGCCATTTGGAGGAGGGGAGGGACCATTGACGTGTGAATGTATTATTGGCTGGTTTCTCGCTGCTTGGTTTGAGGTCAGTTCGTCTACCTTGCTTGGGTTATGTCAAGGGTGTCCCCTTTTTCGACTCTTGCTCCTTTATCCCCTCGTGGCCTTGTGTCAAAAAAGTAGACACCTATTCGAAGTCCAAAGCGCCAACGGATTGGCCGAGACCCATCATGTTCTACAGATTCCCACCTAGGTAATTACCTAGTGATGCAACCTGCATCCTCTTGACTGCCGCGACAACCGCTGCTTGCGCCCCCGCAGGAAGATTACTTACCTAGTGTCCCCTCTTTCTTCAAGTTAGCAGCCCGAACGGGCTCTTTATGACCATTAATAGCCGATTTCTTCATGGAAGTAACCCATCCCATATAGACCGGTACAAGCGAGAAATGGGATAAAACAAAAGTGTACCCATCAAGGCCTATATAAAATAGCCTACCAACCCGAGACCTACCTACGTATAGGTGAGCAAGTATACGCGTGGGACGCTTGATGCATCTTATCCTTAATGCGAAGTTGTCTGCTACATATCTCACTTAACCCCCCTCTCATTTAGAGCTTGGCTTTGGTAAGGCTGCGGGTTTGATGCTCACTGCAAGCTGTCAGAAGAGAATAGACCATAGAAATGCAATTTGCCTACAGGGTTTTGCTTGAACCATGCTTCTTGACCTGGACAATCTTAACATGGCACGACCACGTAGCTGACAACCTCGGGAGTCAGACATGGTCTGGAGCATGTGGCAACCGAGTTGGGAATAATATGGAAACCGTACCTCTCAACACAGTACTTCCGGCGACTTGTCCTCTCCAGTCATGATGTCCCAGAATACGTAGTTAAGCAGAGCCATCCTTCTCCAAGTACCAACCCCTACTTTGAAAGCAGCATCACATTTTTTTTAGAATCATTTAGGGTTTTAGGTCTTATCGACTTTATGACTTGCGCCGTCAGGCAAACACAAGTTGGAGTCGAGAAGCGGGAAGATAAGTAGGGAACAGCCCGTTATGATCCCATTGGATCCGCTCTCAGGTCGGCTCAGGGGCTGCAGACCATCAGCATCTCTCACATAGCATCCCGGATATCACCACGACACCCTTTTACATCAAGCCGGCTGTTTGACCGGGTCCCCGACGCTGGAACAACAGGAATAGCATTCCACCCCGGGTATTGGCAAACCAGGCGGTCGTTGAGCTGCTAGATGATGGCTGCTACAACTTTTTTTCTATCCTCCCTCCCCTGAAGAACCATCGGTCCCGCCCAATCACGTAGTCCCGCATGCCATGTGCCCTTCAAGGGAGCATCGTAAGCAGAGGCCAAGCAGAATCGAGTCTTGATTCCTATCTCGGCCAAGGCGCAAAGAATAAGCGCCTCAGCAGGCCATCGCCGAAGGTCAAAACCGATTCGTAGCTGATCAATGCAATGCCGAACGCCGTCCGTATCCACGCAAGACCCCGATTCCCCCCAAAATGACCAAAAAACCGATCAACGATAGGACTTCTGGAACCGCGCACGAGCACCGCGACCACCAAACTTCTTGGGCTCGCAGCGCCGGGGGTCGGCAACGAGGAGGCTGCGGTCGAACTGGATCAGTTCCTGTTTAAGGAGATTCTTTGAGTGCTCATCGACGTATTTGGCGTAGTAGGCGACCTGTAACAGCGGTGTCCCCACGGTTAGCGATTCCTCTTTCTCTTCGGCGCAACGGATCGGAAAGTCATGGATTTGGGGTACTGACAATGGACTTGGCGATCTGTTCAATCAAAACACGTTAGCACACGTTCTTTGTTTGGAACTTTGATTTCTTGAGAGATTCCGCGCGAAATGTACGTACCGCCTGGCGGACCGCATAAACCTGGGAGGTGTGACCACCACCAGCGACCCGGATGCGAATGTCGACATCGGCGAACTTGTCGGTGCCGAGGATGAGGATGGGCTCGTAGAGCTTTGCCCGGAGAATCTCAGGGGCAAACAGCTTGAGCGGCTTGCCGTTAACCTTGATCAGGCCCTTGCCTTGCACACAGCGCGCAACGGCTGCGACATTGTTAGCGACACGACCAACTTTCTGCTCGTTCAAAATAAAAATTACATACCTGTGGCATTCTTCTTCTTGCCGAAGACCTGAACTGCCTGGACGCTCGCCATTTTGTCGATAGGGGCAAGATACCTTCCTGATTGTTACCGGGAGTTCGGGCTGGATTTTTCTCCTCGTCCAAAATTTGTGTGTGGAGGGGAAATCTGGATGGGGCTAGCGATAGTCACGTGGCGTTAAATTGTGGCGCATCCGCGGATTGTGTGTGGCTCAAAACCTCATCCCGATAATCCAGGCCCCACCCAATTTTTCGGACGAGACCTGACCAGCGTTCAGCGGGGCTGTATTTGTATACCATGGGCGTTCAGACTTATTACCACCCGCCGCCTGTCCACTTGACCTGCTTGGGACAACACCCGTCCTTCTCAACGTCGGCGGCGCAAATGTGGAGCTCGAGCAGAAGGAGCCAATGCGATGATAATGAGAAACGCTGCCACTAGATCGAACAATACGAGATTCTCATTGTCCTGTGCTTGGGGCTTGACATCACTGATCTACGGGATATAGAGCATACATACTTGGCATGCTCTGCCCGTTTGGTTCGTATGACTCGAGCGCTTATGTCAACAACCTACAGTCAGACCTGCGGATGACGATCAGATCTTTAACGATAGCCCCGTCATAACGATGTGGACCGTGGGAGCCATTGTTGTATGTATAAGAAAGTGACACCTCCCTGGAGATTAAGATATATGTCGTCTGCTTGGTCACCCGTATAGAGTGATGGATATCGTTTATGTAGATGCCTAGCTTACTTGTTACCAAGCTATTTAGTATGCTCTTTTCGAGGTGGAAATCATCCAGATCTCCATGTTTTTGATCCTGTTCTTGCAGAGCTGGCTGATTGACCTCTGACCGTATAATTAGGGTGTTTTCATGTTTTCGCTATGAATTATGCTTATAAAGGTCATATTCTCACCGACAAAGGAAAGTGGAAGGTATGGGAATGACGATTTTCGGCTATAACGATACGAGCCTGAGCGACAGAAGCCATTGTTATCTGCGTGTCTGACTGTACCTAGCTTGCGTAACAAACAACATAATGCGGAATCTTATGGGAGAGCGGTTTTACGCTACGCTCTCCGCCGCAACGTAATATTGGCGAAACGTTGCGGTCAAAAGTTTGGTGACAAGCTTAGCCCGTCCGTGATTACCTGCCCAAGCTCAAGACTTTGTTTGATCACCAGTTCGACACAGCTCAAGGACGGAAGGACAAATGCCCGGACCCTGTGCTTCATTGTCATGGGACGACAATAGGTAGCAACGACGCGGAAGATACCACGTAGGTACACAGTTGTTTCCCAGTGTATCCTACATCTTTCCTTGACTCCAATATGCGAGCAGTGGCCAGGACTCTCACAGTCCTCAAACTTCTTCGACAGGCAGAAATGAGTAGAGTATCATGTCCGTATGAATCTGCTCTTGCGCATTTGGCTTTCAGACAGCAGACAACCGGATGCCGGTTGTCTGCTTACGCCAACCACTGGCCCCATCTTGTCCCCTGAGCTTGTGCTGCTCTTGCGAGCACGTCCGTATGCTTGGCGGGCTGCCTCCCTGTGGTCCCATTGATTCAGGATAAACTGACGCAAGCTTCCCTCAGCCACAGTTCGGTCAACGGTACAGACAGAAGCAATACACATGATTGCCCTTCTAACGTACGGAGAGCAGCAAAACCCACAGTGTCCATGTCCGATTAGCAGGCAAGGCTAGCAGGTATTTTGCTGGTTCTCCGTGAACTTGGGCTCACAGTGTCTGGTTTTTGAAACCCACACAGTCTTCCCGTTTTGTAACCGTTGGTGTGGCCTTACCTCTTGGCTTTGTGGCATCTCGGTCGTATGTCCTTGGCTTCCAAGCTATCCTTTAAGCCTTGCCGTCGCTGCACCCCTTCCTGCTGCGACCTGCTTTCAACTTCCAACATCAACCAACAATCCTCTCGCTGGCGCAACGGCAGCAACAACATTTTTGCAACATAACTGCTTGCATCCAGAAACCATATAGGGACGCTGAACCCTTATTTGCGATACCATACACAGCACGAACAAGAACGGGATGGCGCCGCCATCAATGCAGGAGACACGGCTCGCAAAGCGCGAAAATGGGTATGTCTCAATGCTGTAATCCCCTTTCTCCCGCATCTCATGAGCTAACAACAGCGTCTTCAGTTGCGGACCCGGCAGATATCTTGGTGTTGATGGGAACTGTTACCAATACTCAGACTGGTATTGGTGGGGTCGATGGGTGTTTGCCGGCCTGGCTCTTCTTTGCATTTTGATTGTTTTCTTCCTTCTCTTGTATGTTCATCATCCCCTTACCCTCATCGCGCACCTGCCTGTACCTTCCCATAAGTATCAAAACTAACCACGGTGGACTACAACAGCCGTGCTTCCCGTCGCCGCAGGAGACAAGGACTCCAGCCTCTTTGGGGAACTGGGTGGATGGCCGGCCCACCGCCGCCGTACTATCCCCCTCCTCCGCAGTACACTCCGCAAGACCCGAACTCGGAAGGCTACAAGTACTACCAACCGGCTGGTTACTATGCGGCTCCCCCCAACGGTGCTGGTCCCAGCGACACCACGGGCTACTATGCTGGCAACCAAGAAGGCATCCAACTTCAGCAGCCACCCACCGCCTACCACCGTGACTCGAACAACCCGAATAATGTTGACTATCCTCCTCCTCCTGGGCCGCCGCCGAGTCACGCGAACAGCAATAACAACAAGCCGTAAATGCAGGTGGTTGGTATGGGTGACACACAGTGGGGGGGTGTCTGTACTGAAGGGGAACATGGTCGACTGATAGCATGATGGGCTTGGTTGATGAACGTGGAAAAAGGGCAGACTTCACTCAGGTTGGCGTTCAGGGAAGTTGCCATCTCTACCATAAAGGACGAAGGACATCTGGAAATCCCCTCACTCATTGGCTGGGATTGGGAAGGCTCGCGTTGCTCCTCCTTGACTTTGGGTGGCTTTTTTGGGCGTTTGTAGATTTTATCGTAATGGAAAATTAGCGATATCTGCGATAATGATTTTCAAGTGCTTCATCCGATGATTGATTGCCTTTAGTACTGACAAGGTCAGGATGGTCGAGTGGTTGCTAGACGAGAACACCTACAAGCAATGTGTATCAACTAGACGAGTGGAGGAAGGAGATCTCGCAACTCTCAGATTAAGATGCCGGTATAAATCGCTGGCTTGATACACATTGACGAGATGACTCTGAGTTTAGGTTCGCCATCAGAGACTCATGGCACAGCCCTAGTCCCGAGATTTTCTGCTGTTGTTCCAAACACTTCTAGGGCTCCATGGCCTTGCATTGGGACGAGAGAGGTTACGGCAAGTACATAAGTAGGTAAGGCAGGTAGTTTTGCAGTTGAATAGCGGCATTTCCTTGGAATTGAAGCAGCGCTAGGTTGTTACCCATGATCAAACCTGTTTCACTGGAGACTTGTACTCGATTCCGACCTCGGTCCTCCGAAGGCTGAACCTGAAAGGAGCAAAGTGGTTTACAAGCATGTTGGATTTTCATTTTTTAAGGCTTTGGCAGTAAGGCTGTGGTCGGCTTCAGCTCGTCCGTGGTGTTCTCCCTCATATAGTTTGACGCCAACTCTGTGCAGAAACCAGGGATAAGCATCGGTACAAGTAGGTAGGTTTGGCAGACAAGGTAGGTCAGGCAAATGAAAAAAAAAAAAAAAACCTACTTTGAATTTATCGATCGGAACAAGGAACCCTGCTCATCGCACAATGCAATGTCGCTGCACTACAGCCAGTTTCATCTCCGGATAAACATCGAAAACACCGGTGCGTGTTTCAATTGCCGAAGCTGCGGTGCCAACAGAGGCCGGCACTTCATATCTGGCGATGCATCTGAACCATTCTCGAACTCAGTGACTAAGCACTTATCGAAGCAGATGGGGTCGTTGTTGTGTAAGACTGAGAAAACATGTGGGCTCTTGCATGAAGAGGTTCTCAAAGGTGGAATGCTTCCAGGCGCTAGCCTGGACCGGGAGAGGAGCTTACCTTGTAGTATAATGAGCTTCCAGGCAGCACAGGGTCCATCAAAGCAGAAATTTGGCCAATCATACTACATGCAGGCGTCGTTAAGGTCTTGGCCGCACCTTTCCCCTTTGCGACTGCGGACGTGACTTTGCGCCCTCCCTTTTCCTCTCTGCGTCGGTTGCCAACCAAGCCGACCAGTTTCATCCTTTCCTTCGCTCACGCACCTCTTCGCCCGAGACGTCCAGCGGCAAACATATGCCTTGTGTTTCGCTCTTTTTTTTTTCCCTGACACATTCCTTTCAGAACACAGAAAACAAACGTGTTTCGAGTCGACCTTCGTTTCCTGTCGCTCCTTTCCCGCAAAGCATATAGCATTGCCTGACGGTATTCTTATCCAACAGCCGCTACATCTTGCGAAAGGCACACGTCACCTTCTCTCGTGCGCCAGCCTCGATCTACAGCTTACGCGGTTTCGCCTAACAAAGACTTTCGTGCATCCTGGCTCTGCAAGTTTCTACCGGGTCTGTCTTGCGGACAGAGAAGCGAGGGAAGCGGCTCTGACGGCATCCATACCTGCATCCAGACGATCACGATCGACAGATTTCGCCCACGCGCAATGGACCCTTTGTAGCAGTCGCTCACTTGCCCCGATTTCGACATTTGCCTGTTTGATGCATGCTGTGATCCCATTTCCTGGTCTTGCGCGATTGGTAATCGGCCGTTCTCGACCAAGATGGCGCCGGTCGACGTGGCCATGCGGAGGAGTTTGAGGGCGGGCTTTTTGGATTTGCTGACGAGGAGTATACGACCGGTCGTGCAGCGGAGAAATCTTGGGGACCAAATCAACGATGTGAAGACAGCCTTCTCGAGTTGGGACAACTGCATGCAGGTCGCTTATTGCAAGTACGCCGAATCTATCCTTTTGCTCTGCAACAGCGCCTGTCCCGTGATGCTAACACTGGTATTTTAGGTGGCCCGTCATTGGCCTCATTATCGCCGCCGGCCTGATCATCTTTGGAGTGACTTGGTGCATTATTCGGTGTGCCTGCTGCGGCCTCTCGTGCTGCTGCTCGTGCTTCAAGTGCCTCAAGTGCTGCGGCGACTGCTGTGGCTGCTGCGACCCTCCAAGAGGCAATCGGCGCAAGTATCTTGATGAACCCTACATACCACCAAACCATGGAGGTTACAAGCCTCAACCGCCTATGTTCGCAGGGTTTGGCGGCTCGGGGAAAGCTGCTGACGTTCCTCAGTATGCCGAGTTTGACGTGAGCAAGCCCAAAGATCCGGACGCCTTGCCGCAAATGCCGACCTGGGAGAAGGCCGAGAGCAAGAAAGTTTTCCTAGAGGAAGAAGAAGAAGGGGTTGAAATGAATAACCTCAAGAAGCCAGAAGACAATGGGCAAACCGCTGCTCCTCCAACTGGAGCGGTCCCCTCAAGAGCTGTCACTCCCGTGTCCCCACGTTCTCCGACTCATCCGGTCCCGTATGGTCCTCCTGGTGCGAACGCTCCCACCTCCAATGATCAATACGGAACCGGACCAGGGGGCTACGGCTCATATGTCTCCCAGGGTGCGCCCGACTACAATCAGCCCTCCATGCCATATCCCGAGGATGACCAAGGATATAGCATGCCAGGGACATCACGACACTCACCACAGTCTTACAACAATAGCAGTTACAACAACGGCGCATGTAGTAATGGATATAGCATTAGTGGCTACAATCAAGGGTCGAGTGGTTACGACAACTATGGCTCTCCACAGCAACAGCAACAACCCTACGACAACTATGACATTTACAATGCCTATGACACCCAACCGACCCAAGGCTACAGCACAGGATACTCGCAGCCTACTATTGACTTGAGTAGCACCAGCGTCTATGGCGCCAACCCACAATCTCCGGCGCCCTCACAGCATGGGCCATATAACAATCCCTATAGCAGCGCGGATGCACGCCGGTCACCCGCACCCCAAGGACCCTACGGCAACGGTTACGGATCTCGGCACCAATCTCCTGCCCCTCAAGATTATCCGGCACCTACGTATTCTCAGGAAGCACGACGATCTCCCGTACCGCGCAATGTGCCTGCCCCTCTGTCACCTGGTGGCTCACGATCGCAGGATCCGCGCATGTCGCCAGTCCCCATGTCCCCTCGTTCTCCAGGCCCTAGATCTCCTGCTCCCTATGCGAGAGAGTACGGCGGCCAAAGCGGCAGTTTCGACAGCACTAACAGCAGCCATCGCGCGTCGCCGTATGGTCAAAGGCAGTACACCCCGGATCCCACACAGCCACTGCGAGCTCCTCCGCCACAGCGGTCATACACGGGCGATTTTGATTTTTCGACTTCCGGGCATAGCAGGCCCACTGGGAATGGAGCTTACGCGGATTCGTTGTATGGCGATTCGACCTATGCGAGTCAAGGGCAGGGGTCGAACGCCGGAACAATGTATCCCGGGTATAAGCCGTATCAGTCTTCAAGATGAAGGTTGATGTTACCCTGTCAAGGTGCAGCTCCAATGTGGTAATTTTCCCTTTTACTCTCATTTGCGGCTATGGTGGTTTTCGGGACTCATTTGGAATCCCCCTCGTCCTATAGATGGTGTTATGCCTTGGGGTCTTTTTTCATCCTTTCTCTCTCGCTTATGAAGTCTTTTTGATTGACCTATTAAATGGTATATCTGGATGGTCGTTACACTGGCGTGTTCACATGGACTTATTTGGCGCCTGGTTAAGACTTGAAAAGGCGTGACGGGGTTGGCGGGTTTGTTGCTGTCTGGCTGGCAAGTATTTGTGGTTTTTTTTGGCTTGTTGGATCTGGATGATTTTGATGGAGCTCTTGGACGATGAATTGTTGTGGTCGTTTCTTCCACTATATTTCTCCAATATTTGTTGATTCTTGACCCCTCTCTGGCTCTTTACTCAACTCATATGGGATGCGGCCTCATGGATACCCAACAACTTACAGCACCCTGTCAAACGCTAAATGAGAAAGAGAAATGGATGAGGTAACCCCTTATCAAATTTTCGATGGGCTATCTCTATTAGCTCACGGGTTTGATGGGAGTCTTTTTTATTTTAAACTTTCTGTGTGATGAGCAGCAGACAGGGAGATAAGGAGAGAAAGTGGGAAGGGATCTATATCTATACGATTTGGATTGTTGAGTCCTTCGTGAAGGGGAAATCCTTATTGAAGGATGGGTCCACTTGTGTTTGGATTCTATCTAGCCGCCAACCTTGATGCATAGTGAAATTTTCAGGCAGAGCCTGGGCGTGAATATCTGAAACCCGTTTATTCCCCTTTCACTGGATTTGAGTATTCATTGGAGCGTGCCAAACTGAGCACGTAACATTGACAATGATCCTTACCTATTGAAGTTTCTGTCTCCAACAGAGCTCACTGGTTGGCAGTAGGTTTCTGGCTGAAATGACCTTGCCTGATGCTTACTCATCCTCATGCTTCCATTCAACCAGCTTGCAGTTTGATGATGCTGGAATCAGCTCCTGACCAGTAACAATGAACCTCTATGTTCTGAACCATCAAGGGAACCTCATTCTCATGTAGAGCAGGATGTTTAAGGAATAGTGCTCAGCGCGCATCGTGGTGATCTCCAGCACCAAATAGCATCTAGGCAGCGCATAATGTCGGTATGTGGCTTCAAAAAGAGGATAACTGAGTCACAGCTGGTACACCCAAGACCAGGGGCTGCTCAGCTAGGCAAGTCCGGTCTTAGTGCAGAAAGAATAGGTGCATATGGGAAGTGCAATATCAATGACGATCAACGATGCTCAATGTAACGTGGGGTGTTAGAAGGCTGGGCTATGAAAGCGGTCTGGGGAAGGTTATGGCTGCGATGATGGGCCGCAGATGGAGCAGTGTCTTGATGTTTCACATTGTTTCCTTCAAACTAATCAGCTTTGAGAGAAGATAACCTAGGCCTACAGGGCAAGAGGGAAAGGCTCTGGTTCAAGGTCCAAGTGATTTGATCTTTGAAGAAAACGAGGAGGAATACATAAGGGATGGGAAGTCGAAGCTGAGCAAGGGAGGTCTCCAAGATGTCAAAAACATCACTTGAGCCATGAACACTTATGACTTAGCTACCTAAGTATGCCTGTCTTCTGTAACTATACCAAATAACAATCCTAGTTCACGCATTAGGTTGTGTAACTGGGCATGCGCATGAGCAACTGCCGGAGGGCTTTCTGAAATCATGACCAAAGTGGGATCCCATTGTGAACGCCGCCACACAAATTTTAGATTCGATCCGATGGGTGGCTGTGCTGCTGGGATGCATGTTTCTAGCTCTGGACCATAAACAGAACAGGTAAAGCTTGTGAGCGAGTCCACCTCGTCTACCACTTGCGTCGTACATCCAATGAGTGTGAATTTACAAGGGGGTTAGTCTACAATATTGATGACATGAGGTTTACCTGTATGAGTGCTCAGAAGGTGCTGTTCTTGTGCGCTTGCAGCAGCCAGGTTCAGCGAGGAGACGGTGTGGAATATTTCTGGAAAACCTGCGGAATCCTGTGCCTGAAGATCTGGGTTATTGACATGCCAAGTGTTCCCTCCCTCAGGAGAATTCCTCGCCGCAGATGCGCAGGAAGAGGATGTCAATGACTAGATCAAGTAATCTCTAAGGTTGAGACGCTTTTTGTTGATCCCAGTGAATCAACGGTAAGCGATCGGCTGCGCAACCCTGGGGTCCCGACAATGCCCCACTAAAGAGGCAAGGCCTATCCTTGTAGAGTCTTGGGTGTTCCGGGTCGAAAGATGACGTTATGAACAGGGCTTCCCTCTTTGCTGCTTGTCCTGAGAGTTCCGAGTAAAAATGGATCATATCATGTTATCCAAAGGAGCTGAAGATGAAGATCCCAGCGTAGATGAGCCAAAAATGAAGATAGAGACTGGCGCAGGCGAATAATAATCTGTGTATGGTGCACATGTACATATTGATGATCTGTAAGTGGGTTTGACATACAGTTACCAGCCACGCCGAGGCAGGCAGGACAGCAGAACTCGACGCAGTGGCGCATTACACATGCAGAATGAGAAGACAGGTATGTACAACTAGAGGTAAGTAAGTACGCAGCAACGTGTGGTCATTTGGCGGCATGCGGCTGAGCCCGATGGTTGGGACGCACGACATGTAGTGACAGCAACAGAGGTTTAGCGAGGGAGAAAGCGCTCTTTAAAGTCCAACAAGGCCAGCAAGGCTGCTTGAAGAAGTTACTGGATTTGTGGACGCCACCAAGACCTAAGTGAAAATGTGGGAGGATTCATCCTTACGTATAAGTATACCGGAGCGTATGGGAGATGGGCGCAGATGCACGCAACAGACCAGGGCGTCGGGACAACCCGCTTAGCATCTGATTTGTCCATTTCTTTCTCGTCTATCAGCATCCTGAGGAGCAGTTTTTTTTCTGGACCCGCGCTCGCCGTGGTGCCATGGGTGGGTATGACGTGGGCATGGATACCCATGGCAGTGATGCATAGCAGCTATTCTTGTCTTTCCTTTGAATACACCTATCGCTAGATATCTATATCTTCTATCCGCTTCTGCTTGTTGCCTGCTCTGCCCGGTGCCCATGTCCCAAGTTTATAGAAGACCCAACCAGCCGGCCCCTCTTGACAACCTAGAGCCTTAGTATAAGTAACAAAAGGCATGTTTTTGGTTCCCAAGATCGAAGCGTAAACACTGATTGTCCCATCAGCTCGGTGAACGAATAAGTCAGGGCAGCCAATACGTTCCCGAAAGAGAGCAATAGACAAACGAAAGTTCGAAAACTTTTGCACGGCCGCTGCTGATCCTGTGTTCACATTGTACAAAAAAACCGCTCTTGCGGAGGAACGGGCGCCGATCACGGCAGAACAAGTACAATATATTCCGTGGACCCGTTCGACCCTGTGCGTCGCCTAGGGCGACCAAATCCGAGACATTACCCAAGCACATATCACGGCCTGACGAGATGTCGAGTTCAAGTAAGTCGATTCTTGCCCTCAAGGGCGCTTGCTCTGTTGCGCATGGCTGCTGTCATCCCTGAAGAAAGAGGGGAAAGAGGGAAAGCAGGCGAATGAAGAACGAGAAGGGCAAAAGGACTTAAAGGACCTCCTTGACCAGCAACACCCAGGAGGGCCCAGAGGGGGAGAAAACAGCTTCGAGGAAGCTGGCAAGCCTGGCAGAGACGGTGAACAAGAAGCGGCCAACCCGACAACACTCAGCCTGATCCTTCATAGATCATCCAGACTCTGGTTGGGTGCGGAGAAGTCGTTTTCCTCCCATCCTCCCAATTCACCCCGCCAAGCAGCTCCTTGTTTTGCCAAATTTCGAAGAACAAAGGCCATGTTATGGAGGAATAGGCACAATTGTGAACAAGGGAGTCCAAAGCATAGCGATATGGTGAAGAGGATGGGGGATTGGGAGAAGACGCGCAGACCAAAGCACAGACTTGGCCTCTTATGCTTGCTGTTGCCCAAGCTCACACGTCGTGCAGATTTCTCACCGCCAGCATCGGTGCCCGACGCTCATATCTCGACGAAGCCAGTGGCGAGTTCGTTGAGCCCGACATGGATGACACCATCAACGACAACATCACCATACATCTCACCAACCGAAACCATGGCAACTATGACGACCTCAAACACAGTCCCGACAGCTCCAACAACAGTGCCCGCGACTGCTAGAAACAGCGTGGACTCTAACGCACTGCCGGTCTACCCTGAGTTCAGCCACCTGAGGATATCCAGCAAGCAACAGCTGCCCTCTGTTGGCTCTAACACTAGCAACAGATCGCAGCAAGATAACACTTCTTGGGTGACAAACAAAAAAGTTCCATTCTTTACTTCCCCGCCTTCAGCACCCTCCATGACGCAGGCCAATCACTTGACTCCCTGGGAGAAGCTAGCTGATAACAGAAGCCCCTCGCCCTCTCATCCGCCTTCTATGGCCAGCCGGCCACAGTCTACTCTGCTCCCTCTATCCGCCGCGAGCTCCAGCTATGATCGCTTGCGTTGCGCATCAGCCCAACCGTTAGATGGAGCTGGGTCTTGGATGCACGGAATCTCAGCCGACCAAGAAGTCAACCGCGCGGTATCAAACCCAATTGATACCAGCCGACTGTACCCGCCTCAGCAAGAGAGCTCGTGTTTAAGTCCTCAGACGGATTCTTCTGCGTCGGGGACGACCGAGAAGCGCAAGAGCCGGATGAGCTGGCTTCCTGGTGGGCGGTCAAGGAGTAACTCGGTAAATCAGCCTAGGACAACGACAGGTGCTTGGCTCTTGACTCCCGAGTCGAGAGAACAGTCGGATGGTCAGCAGCAACAGAAGTCCGTCATTGAGTACAGCCCTGCGCCGCTACTCAAGGGAGAAAAGGTACGCGAGGACAAGCTTCTCTGTTTCTGGATTCGTTTCTCTTTGTCTTCGGCGTCCTAACTATGCCCAGGTGCCCGAGCTGTGGGACGAAATGGGCAACGTATATGTCTATGTGCACCCCAAGGAAAGTGGCAAGGGGCCATGCTTTAAAGTGCCCGACCACATTCTTGCCTCCTCCGCCACCCTAACCGAGTTGTTGGTCACCGAGATGATGGCGACCCGAGGGTCTCTCTACACCCAAGACGATCCCGACACAACTTCCCCAAAGGGCCATCTGTATCTCTCCTTGGGCAACACAGATGTCGAAAGGTTGATAGACGCGCGCAATCTGTTCGCCTTCTTGCTGCGCAAGCCGCTCGTGGCGACACCAAAGCACCCTGATCTGTTCACAACTGTGCTGCAAGTAGCTGGACTTCTCAGGAGGTTCAACTTCTGCAACTATGATGGGTCTTCGTTCGGCGACTTTGTCGACGAGGTCTTCGACGTCTTCATCGTTGAAACTGGTATCGCTGATGTACGCAATAGCCGTGAGAAAACGCTACAGGCGCTGATCTTGGCTGAGCAAATGAAATCGTTCAACTTGTACAACGAGGCCTTCGCCCATGCCGTTGGCAAGTACGAGTCGCTGCTGGAACTGAAGTCGCCATTGTTTGAGCGCATCTCAGCCAGCACGCGCCAACGTCTTGACCGAGCGCACATGGACCTTGTCGGAAGGCAGCAGAATGCCGCATTGAAGCTTGAGGAGTTCGAGTTCCCATCGCTGTTCGCAGGTGTGGCCAGCTCCACGTCACACGAGGAGTTCAGGCATGTCCGCTTCAAGGAATGGCGAAGCTCGTTCCATAAAATGAGGAGCTTCGTTCTGGGATACTATAAGACTCTGTTCGGCAGCTGGCCGCCACGGGCCCGGAGCAAGCGTAATCCCTTTTCCCAGAGTGGCCTCAACCGTCTGGCACTCAAGATTCTCTACTCGGATCTCTGTGCTCTGTATGATTTGCTGGTTGACCGCACCAACTTGACTCCGCAACGGCGGTCGAGTGGGTCCAAGGCTAATGACGAAGGCGAAAAGGGCAGCGGTGACAAAGAGAAGGAGAAGGAGATGGAGAAGGAGGAGAAAGAGAATGAGAGGGAAAGGGACAGGGAGAGAGACATAGAAGCCAACCTGGCCGCCCTGCGTGCTATCCTCTCCGAGTTCGACAAATCCTCTCCCCCTGTGCTCCCACGCATCCCCTTCGACGTCCCTAAGCTCCCCAGCATGACGGCCCTCTACGAGAATTACCGCGAGCTACCCACCAAGAAACAGGCCAAATATAGCAAGTCCCTACAGCCACACGAGCTGCAGCTGCTCCTGATCAAGTCGCACAACATCGACACCGACTCCCTAGAGATGCCTTTCTTGACAGCCTTCAAAGAGTTTGAGCTGCGCGAAGCCCGGTCAGCTTCCCACTCCCATATCGAAGACGACCTAATCGATCAACGCATCGGCACCTGGCTGTTCCTCTACGTCGTTATCCAGTCGCTTCCTATGCTAGTTGTCGACGCCCCGGGGCTGCGGTATGGCGACGGCGTCGAGTACTTCTTGTGCGAGGCGCCGCAGGGGAATCCGCCGTGGACTGAGGATCGTGATCAGGTGAGGAAGATGTGGTACCAGACTGCCGATCAAGCGTTGGTTGAGTTGTCGACAGACGTTGTCATGTTCTCGGTCGAGGGAATCTACATACGCTCGCACTGCTGGCTTGCTGCTAAGGAATGGCAAGCTCAAGCCGAGGCTAGAGCAGCTAGTGCCGGTGCAGTTTCAGTGCCCGTGACGGTGACCCAGCCCGACTGGGCCACTTCCACTGCCATCACAACAGAGGGGGCCTTTTTCAACCCACTTCAGCCTCCTTCCCAGTCCATTTTCCATAACGCAGACCCGTTCCAGACACAAATCTCGTCTTCTTCGCCCTCTCCGCCACCACAGCACCCGCAACGACACAAACCAACAGTCCGCCCCATCAGTACAGGCCCCGAACTAGACAACGGAAACGGAAACGGTCTTCTCTCCCCACCTCTCGCAAATACCTCTCTTGGAGGATTGCCAATGCCGATGGGTCGGCCCCGCGCGGGATCAACGCACGACCGTGCCCGCCAGGCCTTCCGCGCCAGCATAGCCATCGGCCTGGAACCGATTGGCGTCCAACCCCTGCCACAGATGGCAGCCCCGCTCACGCGCTCGCCTTCGCCGATGATGATGTTGGGTCAGCACGGTCAAGGTGCTGGCGATAGCCACAATGGTGAGGGTGTTGGAATAATGACCGGGGTCGTTGGAAACCTTGCTGCCGGCCAAGCCGGAGATGATAGCAACAACAGCTGGGGGACACCAGACGGAGCCAAAACGCCGATGGTGCGTGCCAGTCGATCGGGGACAAATCTCAACTTGTTTGGAGGGAACAGTAGCGCGTATATGGGCGAAGTGTTTCCTCCTGCTCCTGCTCAGCCGTGGGTACACCAACATCAGAGAAATTTTAGCGGGCCGGTCGCTTTCCCGATGCCAACGCCAAGCAGTTATCACCAGCATGCAAAGACCTCGTCGCTTGGCGGCGGTGGAAGCACATTTGATGATATTCTGAAGGGAATGGATGACGGAGGAAAAAAGAAGAAGAGGTTTTTCTTTTGAGCTAGTTCTTCTCGATGCGTTCAATCCTACTAGATCTTGTTTTACAACGGTCTTCAAAACGGCCGAATATGTTTTCTAGTGAGTTTAAAAAATAAAAAAATGAAAAATGTATGAAAATGCGGTTTCATGACTTTACTTGGGATGGGATCAAGCTCATCTCTTAGTTCACTTGCATTTTTGGTGCATGTCAGGAACATGATATCCCATGTTTTAAATCTTTCATCAGCAGCTTAAGTTGCTGCTTTGATCCCAAAGTTTTGCTAGACTGGCCTTTGAGCTTATGGATGTCAAGTCCGTAGGGAGCTGACCTCCCTTGTAATCCTTGTTTTATGTTTTGGTCCTGCAAGAACTAGCCTCATTGACCTGTGCAGGTAGATATGCATCAATGCTTTACCTCTTTGATGCACAGCAGAATACACCACATGAGCTTCATCGAGAAGCCAGTGTTGCCTCTGGCTGCTAGGTAGATAGGGAGGAGGTAAAGATTGCGGATGATCTATCAACATCCCTCTTGCTTATATTTCCTATTGTTATCTTATCGAGCAGGGTCTCGGTCAGTCAGCGGTGTTCATGACGTCACTCATAGCCCCACCCATGGTCTCTTGAGGAAAAATGCGAACAGAAGTGGTGTTGAGCCGATAACCCATGAACTAGGTATTAACATATATCATCAAGGTTCCCATTACAGCTAACCAAAATCAATGTTAATTGTCTTCATCCTATGCAGCAATTGAGGCCCTGCCCTTACTGAGTCCATGTGAAGTCAGTCTTAACACATGACGTCATGTTGGTCATACCAGGGTCTTGAGCAGCCGTACCACAAGGGCAATTGCGGGGTACCAGGGAATCGAGGAATGGTCCTATCTGCGCCCTTGCCGTGTCAGTGGCTTGTGTCATTACCTGATATACACAGCATGTTCAAACGCATCATTCTCTTTCCTTCGTCACTCTTTTTCCTCTGACAAGGCAAGCTACAAGCCAGTCAGGCAGCAGCGGCGACCACACCGCCGTTTTGCCCTGTTAACGTACAATTCATAGTAGTCAGCCCCTGTGATCAACTGTGGCCCACAACACGACCACCTCACGTTGCGCTGTCACCTCGAGATTGCGCACAGCGGTCCAAGGCCATTGGCCCCGACGAACGGTGCTCGCCTGTCTCCCGCATCCCATTATATTCATCTAGGGTAAGCGGCCCCCAGATATCTCGGACGAAGCCTTGGAGGCCTGTCCAACCTTGCCAATAAGGCTTAATCGGTTCCCACATCGAGATAAGTGCAAGACACATTGGGGCTGAGCACTGCTGAGCTAGAAAACAAAGTTTTTGCGCAAAGTCGAGCCGCAGTCACGCATTCTTGACACAGGGTAGAACAAGCCACTGCCCCCTATCTCGCTCTACCCACCGGAACCAGGATTCATCGCCGGGGCAACTCTGGCTGGGGTTGTAACCAATGCGACATTCTGTGGTGTTGCGTCATTTTGGATGTGGACTGAAACAATGCTTGATAGAACGTGAACAAATTCCGTCCGTAGAATCTTTTTGAGTTCCTTGCAACTCTGGCTAAAATGCGCAAACGAGTGCACTGCCAATGTGTCTCTGCGCATTTTATCACAGCACAGTAGAAATATCATGGCAACCTGAGTTTGAGGATGGCTTCACGCATGAGCACCTCGACACACCGGTGTGAAACGAACCATGACAGACATCATGATCGCACTCGGCAGTGTTGGGTGTTCAGTCAGCGAACTGATGTCTGCGCCAGTCACAAGGGGCAAGGACGTGCTAGGCTGATTAGAATATACTGTACATTGTATGTCTCGGTAATATCCAAAAGAAGAAGATAGATAGATACGATGTTTCGATGCCCTCAGTCAGGTTGGCGGCATCATCATGCCTGCTGCGCTAGTTCGCCTAGCTCCTGATGCCCGATGCGGCCCGTGGGACGTGTTGACAGATCTCGGATTGTGCTAACCTGACTGTTGGCACTGTGGAGCATCTGCTTTGAAAAGTTGGACTCTTAATGTAGCTTCGCTTAAAAGATATGGGTGTATATATATGGCTATTAATCTCAAGTTGCGAGTTGCTCAGTACTTTGGCAAGCAATTTTTCAAAGGCTGGCAAATCTGTTCTAGATGCAATTGTTTAAATTTTGATGTGCTGCCATGATTCTCACCATATGACTCCATAGTGCAGCTGGAGGTGAAGGAAGGTCTTGCTGCATTACTACACTGTACCCCTCGCCCACCATCCTTTCCCCACCCCACGCCTAATCTAGATTTCCGCTCCGGACGCCTGTCCAACCTAACACCAGCCATATGCACTAGCTGGCAGCGCCTCCAGGCTGATAAGCCGATTGGGTGATGGGAATGACTGTGCTATCGCATGTCCCACCCCTCCGGGTTCGGACAAAAAATAATGTCGAGGAACTTTGGGTTCTGTCTCTGAGAGCTCAGGCTTCTAGGATTCTGGCAACGTCTTGCGTGAACAGATAGCTAGTAGGTAGTCTGTCAGACCAGCATCAACAGCTATGACTTTCACAACTGATGACAACCAAGCCATGGTTGTTGTCTTTGATGTCAAAGAATTAGATGGTCTAAAAGCCAACGCCCCCAGCAAGAGCAAACAATGACAATGAAACACAACTTCTGCTTTCCACGTGGAGGGGTGGAGTCTGAGAGAAAAGATGGTTAGTCGAATGTAGGAGAGGACATGAGTAAGAACGCCTCGATCAAACAAGCTCCTCATATTTATATTCGAGACCTGAGAGGACCGCTTCCTCTGCTGCCCATGGAACACGCTGCAAACAACGTATGCACTCCTGGCGAGTCGTCTGCAGATCGTGCTACTCTGAAATTGCGCAAAACTCTTTGAGGTTATGGTTTTTGCGCCCCAATGCATGCCACTACATCGGAGCTGTGCTAACTATGTCCGCTGTTGCGCAAGTTGTTCCTGTATGTCTATGGCCCCATTTTCCTGTAGGAGCGGTGGTAAACCTTGTGAAACCCGAGGTCAATGTTCGGTGAAAGTCAGGGCCGGCATTGAATCTAGTTCTCTCAGGCTAACCAGGAATTGACCAATTACATTATCTTGTTTCATCGACCACTGCCAAAGGAGGAAATCAGTAAGGGTACGTACCTATGGGGTGATGGCCAGGCTCCGAAAGATCGAAAGTAACAAGAAGACTAGAAGGAATGTAGAGCTCGCAGGCCGTTGAACAATATTACCTTATCCTGTACCATAGTTTACTGAATCGTTTCCCACTCTGCATCTTGACACCTCCAGACTCGGTCCACTTTACATACACCCAGTGTTGGATTTTTGACCAATATTGCGAGACTGCTAGTGGGTTCTGTGCCACTCGGCAGCCTGTGGTTAAGTTTCAGAAACATCCGCGCGACCAGGAAGGCACAGAGGATCACCTGGGCAACATGAACTGGCCAAGGAAAAGAGGTGACGCCTTGTTTGACCCTAGTGACCTCGAGAGCTATGGAGTTTGGAGCTTGGATGAGAGGCTAGAACCAACACACCCAGTTCTGGATGATACTGCCAGTATCCTGGACCGGACGGATTATCTTTCTTTCGTTGACAACTCCGAATCGGAGACAAACCATGGTTCTTACTTGACTGATACAACCCCTCCACTGGATGGCCCGATCGAGGACGGAGAGCCCATGACAGGGATTGAACGCCAGCTAGCGCCGAACATTATTCCGGATATTTCTGGTCCCGAGCCCGTCAGAGATGAGAATCTCCGCATCGAAGACTCCCCCATATGTGCAGGATCCCCTGCCACGCCAGATGATTGTCCCATGCCCGATGCTGCATCCCCCTTGCCGGAGGAAATGGTCCCGTCGGTTGTATATCCTCAACCAGAGAGAGATGTTGTCCATAGTGGAGGTTTGTCTGCCCACTTGGCTCGTATCGGGATTTGCAGAACGGAGCTGATAATTTTACATAGCTTCCCCTCAAGGTCAAAAGCGAACTAGACTCCTGAAAGACAAAGAGTCCACAAACAAAGTGCGACGGGACAAGGCGTGTGTGCGCTGCAAGCTACGTCAGAAAAAGGTATGAATCCGACACCGCGCCAAACAATCGTGTCACTCATTGACTGACAAGCTTCGTCAGTGTGTTGGATTGGAGGGGGTCTGTGCAGAGTGCCGTAACGGACCTTTCCCTCGTGAGACTTGTGGACTTCGCGGGCAATTGGTATCAATGGTCCGAATACATCGAAGTAAGCTTTTCAGGGCAATATCCTTTGCCTTCTGAAATCGACTGTGTGCTGACCATGTCCAAAAGATCGCTGGAGTTTCTCTGCTCTGTTTATGCTGAATGATGCGCAATTTGATCAGGAGAAACCTATGATCATGAAGATATCTTTCCCCGACAGGGCGACCTCTCCCCCTTTGGAGATCACGGCGCATCCATTCACTGAACAGAGCCAACAAGGTCAAAACAACCAAAGCGTTCTGCGACTGGGAATAATGCCAAAAACTAGGCGCACGTGGGGAGACAAAATAAGTGACTGGGCGAAGAAAAACCTCGATAACGACGATCAAAACGATTTTGAATCCCAAATGGATAAGTTGCTCCGCCTGGTGGTCAACCAGCAAAAGGGGGAGGACCCATTGTTGTCAACCCTCTTGGAGATGAAGTGTATGTGGAGGATCCTGTGCTGCAAGAACTTTGTCCTTGAGCCACATGTTCTCAGAGTCCAGGATGCCACCTGTGTTGAAGGAGCACTCCGTCAACATGCAGCGGAATCGATTGCACGACTTGAGGGAAAGGTCTTGAACGAAATTGACCCATATCTTAAAAAAGACCAGGGCAAATGCGACCAAAGACAGCCAGGTGAAACTGCCAAGAATGGTGGCACTAGAGAGATGAAGTATACCCGCAAGTTTTACCGGTGGTTAGGGCTGTGGCAGATGCTGCTAATATACCGCCAATCCTTAGTTTGGGTCAGGGAACAAGAAAAGCCGACAGGCATGACTGACGAAGGTGGGTTTGAAAGCGGTATGCTCACTCACGTAAGGTGACTAACGGTGGCGCGACAGCGGTTCGCTTGCGTGCAAAACAACGTGAGTTCGAGGTAACCACACAGGAATTATTGAAGAAAACAACCGTGGTGTATGTGGAGAGCTTCCACAAATATGACAAGCTTACAAAGCCTGTTCTTGACGGACTTAACAATACTGAACTGATTACAACCTTTGAAAATGCCTGGAGGAAGCTTCAGGAATTCCGTAAGTTACTGATATGGCAAAATTTTGTGGAGAAGGCTACCACTGACTTAACTTTGTTCAGATGAAAAAATCTTAGCCGTGGGTCAAGTTGTCTTGGATGACAACTTCTTCATTGAGCACGTTGTCAAGAAGGAGCTCGAATATCTTAAGAAATCCCGTACTCTTCAACGGTAAAAATTATAGTTCTGATAGGCGCCTTAAATATTTCGTTCTTGGTATATGGTAGTTGTGAACCACGAATCGGTTGCTGGTCAGTCTCGGTGTAATTGGTCTCTAGTGCTAATTGTCATGGATTTCTTTTGAAATAATGCCACACGTCTGGAGTCTTCTTTAGACCTCCCATGATTATAGACATAACGGTGCCTCTTTGTCATATAAATTGCTGTTGGAGTTTAGTTACGCAACTTGAAATGAGAAGCGGCGATAGCTTACTTCAACGTAGCTCTTTGGCGACAACACTAACTGTTCTTCCATTGTTCCACTTTGATACCGGCTTGAAGATATTGGCTAATTCATCCAAGTTTAACCCTATGCCTAACCTTTCATGGACGAAAACTTCAAGTGAGATCTTGTATTTTTTCCCTTTCTCTGCAGCAGCTTGGAAACTGTTCTTCACTTAGTGCCTAAGAACACGATATGTGACGTTACACAACTGCTTACCGAACATGCTCAGATATGTTCTGTTGTGACCGTGGCCAGCTGGGTAAGATAGTAGCCAGAACGGCCGAGACAGCACCAATGTAGTCCGCCCAAAAGACTGCCTCTGGATCAACCGAATCCAGCAATGCCCGGAGATTCCGATATAACACAAGGTCAACTGGCGCAAGACTGGCTCCCCAACGCGCACAACTTGTCACTCCAAGTACAGCTCGACTGAGATGGGTGAGTCCCGGTTGATCCGGTAAGTTGACGGCGTAGTGAAGGGCCGCGGATGCGTTGGCGTCAGCGTCTTGCCCCAAGCGATGCCAAATCTGGCGGACATAAAATGAACCAAGCTGAAGGCTGAAAATTGTCGCCGTCCTAGTCGAATCCATATCCGGAGGAAGTGCTGTGTGTAAAGTGTCCATAATATCACGGATGGAAACCAAACTGTTCGGGGACGCAGGTAGGATGAATCCCGAGGCTTCATTCTCTATGGTCATAGGATTGGTTTGGCGTATATGTGTCGGGAGAATCATCATCAGTGCTCCTTCTCGGTTGCCCCCAGCACAGAACGTGACTGAACGGATAGGAGGCACAGCGCCAATGAGGGCGTCGACTACGGCAACAATAGCCGGGAATTGGGCACGCCGGCGCTTTGACATACCGAATATCTTGCCGTCAAAGGATTTGTTGACTTTTAGCATGGTTGTCGTCTTGGAAAACAGCTCTCCGGACACTGTGAACGACCCGATTGATGGGATGGGGTATGGGCTGATGGGGTGATTTTGCATCAGCATACTCCCATAGCCCCGAAAACCGCCTCCACAGAGGTAAACATCAATACCGGAACCGGTCTCTCCATTTCCACCTTCTTGGACTTGGGCGGCAATCGCTGCAAGGGACGGAAACCTCTCACATAGAGTCTGGAAAGCTCTGGTGAGACCCTGACTGAGTTCTGATTTTGCGATGGTTTGTACTTCAACGTCACTATCTTCGAGAAGCTTGATCAGGCGAGCAGCCCCGAAGGGTAGGCTCTGTCCAGCCAGGGCGGCAGCAATTTCATGAGTCGTGTCGTTGTTGCTGTCCATGCCAGAGGACGTATCGAGATATGTCATCTGCACACTACCGCCGCCGAGGTCGAGAAACAAGCCTTTCGCGTTGACAAAGCTCGAGCTTGCTCCCACAGCCCCAAAGAGGGTTTCAACCTCAGGGGCAAGGATGTGAACAGATAACCCAGGAGAGGCTATCCGTATGGCTTCGAGCATGGAAGTGGCATTTTGAGCACGACGCATCGCCTCGGTTGCAAACACCCTGATCTGATTAAGGGGGACACCATAGCTGTCGACAGCGATCGATTTGAAGCGTGCTAACGTCTGGGAGACTGACTTGATAGTTTCCTCGGAGAAAACGAGGGACGGCCCAGTCAAAGCATCAAATAAAGAGATGGATGCCCTCTCTCGGTAGATACATTTTAAGAGACGAGCTCGAGGAGGAGACAGATCTGAGATGGAGAAACGGATTCCATTGCTTGCGATGGCGTTAGAAGAGCAGAGTTTATCTTATGGTATTCTTACCTGCCCATGTCCACTAGCGCGTAGAGGTGATTGTTGTTGTCAGGATCCCATCGTGGCAGTTTCTGCTCCAGATTGTCGAGCGTGATGATGTCAACTAGATTTTCCATGGTTGTTAAGCTGGTAAGGCAGCATCTCTGGTAAACTCATCGAATGTAAGTGTCATAGATTCTAACAAGCCTCATGGACAAGTCTGATTGGGACCGAGCAGACATGAATTATGATAGTTGGCCTAAGGAAACGGTTGGGGTCAGCCCGTCATCAAGGATTTTGCGCGTCAGGATTGCTTGTTGGCCTAGGGCAGCTCTTGTGGGTCCTGTGAAACGTCCTGTGTTACTGCCCAACTACACAACTCTTGAAAACTGTGCCACAAACCCCAATCAGCTCGCTTGCGGGACGGAGATGCTAAACTTTCTGCATTATTTTCTGCACAGGAACAGTTGTCAATGTATTGGAAACGTGGCAGCTTCGACTGAATGCTTGGGTATGCCCTCGCCCTGTGTCTGCTGCTGTTAGTGGATTATTTTTTAGATGACAGGTCTCTTCCCAGTTCCGATAGTAAGCTAACAAACACTATCCGGTGATGCAGCCACCCGAAGCTCAAGGGGGCCAATCAAGGAGTGAGCCTTGCCAGAAAGTCTGTCTCGGTGATGCCCAGCACTTCTCAGACGTCCAAACTCCACGAGCTTTAGCTGGACAAAATGGGCCATAATCGGAGTGTGTTGGGTGAGGAATATCGTTTGATTCGTCTTGTCTCGGTGGTTTTGTCCTATACTGGATTCAACACCACTGCCCATTTGATCCTTGACCTACCCGAGGTATAGAGAGACTGGGTTATCGCCAGCGAGGATCCTGGTGATAGTATCCAAGCAGATCCCCAATATTCTCTGACTTGTGAGGGCTCTTCTTCGTCGACGCTGGCTTAACCGAACTGGTGAGGACTTCAAGCGGTGTACGGGGGACAGATGACGGATGCATGGCAGCGGCTCAGGAAAAGGAACTGCAACATATGCATGCAACATTTGGACTTGTGGTGAAGCTGTATCTTTTAATTACCTCTGCGAAATTCCGTGTGCTTGGCAGCTGGAAGGTATGAAAACCGAAACGGCGTCGACTTCAGGCTCAAAGGCCAAGAAGCACGTCCAAAATCTATGATCTGTGGGTTTCAAACGCTGTTGCATTGCCTTTCTGTTTTGTACCCTGATTGTCAACAATGGCAAGGTGTCTTTCTAAACATATAACTGTCGATAAGCTCTCCGCGCAGCTATTTGGATAAGGTACTCTCAGAGTACCTTGTCCATATACGTGTGTTGCATCTCACTGGCCATGAAGGAGACTTTTGCCGCACTTGTCAATCGATTGAGTAGGCCAAGAAACATACCTAGTGTACATATGTAACATGCATTTGTTCTATAAGTTTTTCAGGCAACGAAATAGCTACGAGAGGTTTTCAATATGTTTGACCTCAAGAAGCGGCGGTGTGTACGGTATGGCAAAACTGGGACGACCATGGGGAAAGAATACGATAAACTTTGATCGACGGCAAGCAGCGAGAACGGAGCCAGGAAGCGGGATAAGCCCCGCGAGTGGGTCCAATTAAACACGACTATGAATTGGCGCGTCAGTGACGCGAAAAAACGCGTCGCTCAATGAATTCGACCCATAACTCCTGATTTTCGGCTGTTTTACCCTAATCTCACCTGCTACGTCTGACGGATTGCAACGAGGTTTCTGTGCCTATGTTCTTGTTGATGTCAGTTGAATGCTATGCCGCCAATCTCGATATATCATCAGCATCATGATGTAAACAAACACACAAACCGGAAAACTTCTGTCCAAATTGGTGTTTTGATATTTGTCGAGGGGTCCATCTGGAGCTGTGCGCGCTTTGTTCTGGATTTGGTGCTGCAGTTTCCATTCGCTTTGCACCCTGCATGTCGCTTTTCGCGTCACGTACGCTCCCAGCCTCTCAAATTGCCCCGCCTTGATCGTGACAAGCAGCAGCCATTCGACAACTCAGGGCTAGGTAAGCTCCTTTCTTTTCCACCTTGGGCGTGACGCGTGTGCTATCGTCCACACATATCACTGGAGGGACTTCGCGAATCCTACCTGAAGACATTGGCTCAATGCCATTTGGCGTCTTTTTCTCCAGTAGTCATTCACTTCTGACTTCCTCTTGACAGCACAGCACCGGACTGGTGAGCTGCGCATCTAGCCAACCCATATGTCAAGCGTTCCGTTAAAAGAATGCATGCACAGCCCGGGAAACATCCTCGTCCCGCCTAAATCTGTACCGAGAAAAGCCAGCTTAGGTACCGGGTAGAGGTAGAGATGCATCGTGTGTGGTGACAGTTGGCAATCTGGTTCCTGAAAAAAGCAACATAGCGCGGTAGGTACAAGAGCCAAAAACGAAACTCTTCCAACTTTCTCTGGATGCAAGAACGTTTTGCATGCGTCGAGGGACCAACCCGAGCTCACGTCTCTCCAGGCCGGGCCGCCCTCAACATGTTGCTGCCAGCCACAACGGCGGCCCGACTGGCCATTGGATTGAATAACGCCATGACTGGCTCTTATTCCTTGTCCGGGTGAAATGCGTTTGTTCTTTGTGTTCCAGCCTTCCCGGGGTTCAGGGCATATGTTCCTGAAAGTTGCGGAAAGTAGGCGACGGGCATCGCAGGCTTCTCGGTTGTTGAGATGTTTCAATTGACAGACTTTGGCTCTCAGTGATCTGGGCTCGGCAAATTTGAAGCTGCCCAATCAGTCCTGCACAGTTGCAAGCACGAACCCATGGAGTCATCATCAGGACTGATCTAGTCAAAGTTCCCACTGCTCTGCAGTCTGCACTCTGCTGTAGGTGAGTTGTTCGGGCTCGTCCCGAGCAACATCGCAAGATTATTGACCGAGGCCCATCAGTGCCCACCCTGACTGAGAATATTGGCTCTGTGGCTGTTATTCACTGGCCACTTCATAAACCACACCCCTTTGGTCATCCCGATCGGAGCGTCCAAAACACGGGCGCTTCCACGTTTGCCCGCTGTGGTGGGGGAGTTTGCCATCAACTCGTCAACTAAGGCACGCAGATGCTGACCTGGGGTGGGTGCTGGACGCTGGCCGGGGGAGGGAGGGGCAGGTTAGGCCACTTCCAGCTGCTGGTTCCACTGGAGCCCTGCACACTGCTTCCGCTGCTTTACCCCAGGGGCACCCACACAGCAGTCGCGCCTGCCCACAAGCGCAGCGCTGCACCACCCCTGTCAGTGGAGGTCCGCCCAGCCAGTCCTGCGGCCAGCCCTGGCAACCCCCAGCCAGCGGCCCAGCGCGGGTTCTCGCTCCTCCCCATCACTCCTCACCCTCGGGTCTCAAGCTTCAACCGGTGACCAGCCGCAGTCGTTTTCACCCCCCCGGACCCCTCCCACCCACCTTCCCATGCCCCATGCCCGCCTTAGCTCTTCCTGCTTCTTTTTGCATGAGTCCGGCACCGTCACCGTTACATATCCAACGCACCCCATCAGCACCGATCTTCCCCTCCCCCCTCCACTTTCTCTCCTTTCCGCAGCGCAGTCACTCTTTTGGCGACAACCCCGATTGAAACGACCGGCCGCGCTCGGCGCAAGGTCTCGGGTGCTTTACAACATCGCGACCAACCGTCACGATCGATCTCACTGAGCGCTTCATCCCGGCTCAGCCCCAACCGCTGGGTTGATCGCAAGCACCCGTTGGCCATCGCGCTCACCATTTCGCGGCTCTTACGGCCCTGATAGCTCTCAAGAATAATCGACCGTGTTCCCTAACGGCCTCATTTCCTCATTTCCCTCTTCGTTTGTTTAACCTATTGTCGGTTTTCTCTGTCACGACCACCCTAACGACAATCTCATAATTGCTCCACTCATCCACCTGAGCATCATCTCATCATACATATACTGGGACCAGCCCTCCTCCCTCCCTGGAATTGCGAAAGGAAACTATCAACTCCTTGGACGTTCTGATTTGTGCGGACGTCGGCTGCTCTTAATCATCTGATATTTTGGCTCCTTGCGCCCGAAAGCATCAAACGCGGGAGAAGTAATTTGCCCCGACATTTCAACACCCCATCCTCCAAAGAGTGTTCTGCCCGTCCGCTGACAGACACATCAAGTCGGATCTACCGTATTACCTGATCGGCGGCGTTTTTCCTCGGTCTGCGACAACTAGACGAGATCGTCTGCCGCTTGTCTTAAGCCTTGCCCGTCTAGCGGCTCCATTCAGGCCCCTTTGATGATACAGCTGCTTTTCTGTTCCAAGACATGGCGAATCAACTTTCCGGCCACTCTAGCCTACCGCGGGGTTTTCGGTACTCCGGCCTGGATGAGCCGCCTAAGACTCCCGAGCCTCTGCTCCAGTCCGATGAGGCTCAACTTCCTTCTCCTCCACGACCGCGCCTGAGGGTGAGGAGGCGAGTCGCATCTCAGCTGTCGGCTCCTACTCAGCAGTTCCTGGCATCTGTTGCTGCTGCTGACATCCCCATCCCAAGCATTGAGGAGCCTGAACCCGAGATTCTTCCTCGCAGGTTTCACATGGATGACGATTTAATTCCTTTCCCTGAGCTCCCCATTGAGACACAGTGCGAGGGGTATCTTCAGGTGCCACGCGCAAGACCCTCTTCTCCAAAAACGCCCGCTCCAGAGCTGGAACAGGCTCGCCCAAGAAAACGGTACCCTTCGTGGAGCTTAGATTTAAGCAGCAGCGTTGAATCGACACCTGAGCCTGATTATGAGTCTAGCAGGCCGTCTACCTCGCGGTCAACTCACACAAGTGCTTCCTTATTCAGTCAATTTTCGCAGTTCTCGGATGAAGAGTGCAGCGAAGAGTCAGATGGTGAGGGCACCTTCTACACCTGCCCTCTTGCGGACGAAGAAGATGAGGAGCCAGCCGAGACCACTCCTCAGGCCTCTTCTAGTGCTTCCAAGACAAAAAGGGGAAGGAAAGCACCTTGGACAAAGGCCATGAGTGACCACCTATGGTCAACGTTCTTGTTATATCTTCAGGACCCCAGGGTTACTCCATTCCGCATGAGTAAGAGCGGTATTCCTCCTGACGGCGTCTGTTTGCGAGTCGCTCGCGCGGCCAAGAAGAGCTGGAAAGGATCCAGAGCCATGGCTCGCGCAGCTAAGGCATCTGCCGAAGGCAAAAAAAGCGGGAGCGCGACACCAACGGCAGACAATTCAAGTCCATTTATCGAGTGGCCACATACTTGCGCGGCGACCCGGGCGCATTTGCGAGAGCTGTGCCGGCTGAAGGCCAGCTCACGGCCCAGCACATTTAGATTCATGTCTCGGACTGGCACGCCTTTCACTCAGGCGGCGGCACGCCATTGGAACCGCCGCTCAACCCCTGCACGGGGAGAAGGCGCGTTTACAACACGCGACATCTCTGTGTCTCTTGCTCTCAGCACCGCGGAGAGTATGCAGCCGAATGGCCCCCTGGCCCAGCTTGCCAAAGCTGGCTCAGGGCCCTCGATCACCAGGCCTGAGCCTGAGCTCAAGCTCCAGCCTGAGCCGACTCCTGCGTCCACGGTGGACAGGAGCGAGCCATCTCTAGACTCTTCTGCTGGCAAGAAAATCCTGCAGACTTTCGAAGGAGAGCCGTCATTTGCCGAACGGCGCCGGTTGGGATCTCCGTTCACCCCAAGCAGTTACGGGCCGAGCTCTTCGAACTCACTTGCTGCTATTCTTGGATTGAGCGGCTCCGCCATGCCGCGTAGGCAGAGCCAGTCTCTTGGCTCGCGCAAGACGCTTCAATCACCTGTTCGTCTTAGTAGGTCGGGTGCACAGAAACGGCGGCATACACAATCTGGAGTCTTCCGCAAGCGGCCCAGCATTGGTGCCGATTGGTGGCTTGACCCAAGTCTTGCTAATTCTACAGCTGAAACGGCATCCTCTTCATCTACAGAGGCTGGAGCGACGACTCGCGTCAGGGACGATGGTATCTTCATCCCGAAACCAGCGTCAGGACCCCCTTTGAACACGTCAGCAAGCATGCCCGACGTCAGTGTCAAGAGCGATACGTCTAGCTTGGAACCCCCTCCGCGGCTTGGCTCTCCGTTTTCTGTCTCGAGTTCGAGCCACAGCTACCCTCATCGTGCTCACCGTTCTCATCAGGCCGGTAGCATCGACCTGGGAGTTCTTGGTCGCCCCTTTGCGACCATTCAGCCTTTCTCCAGCGACTCAAATGCTCTTTCGGGACGCCAGACTACCCTTGCTGATCGTCTTGCCTACCTTGATCAGCGGCTCAAGGAGCTCAATCAGAAGGGGACTAATGCTCGTTCTGAGCATTGATCGTCGTTCTTGAGTAATTGCTTACTCCCGCTCGGATCTGCTGGTTTTATTCGCCTCTTGTTATGCCCCAACTCGGATTTCTGTTGAGGATCCATTCGTTCAATTCCTTGAACATGTTTCATTGTCATGCATCATGTGGAATTGCGGAATTTAAAATGACGATGTGACGACGAGGATGAGGACGACGACGACAGTAACAGCAAAAACAACAACAACAACGACGACGACGACGACGACGACGACGACGACGATAACAACAACAACAACAACAACGACAACGACATCGATGATGATAATGACTTTTGTCGATATGAACAGGCGCATAACAGTTGGATTGCTGACAATGGATAACTGACTTGGTGAATGACATGATCTGGAGGGCTATGAACGGATGGCATGGAACGGAAATATCTTATTGGCTGCTTCGACATACATCTGTTTCGAAAGGTGGTTTAATAATTTTGGGTGGTCATGGTCATTTTGGATTATATACCCACGGTTGCATGGTGGGCATTTGGGCGTCGAGTTATTTGGGCGGCCATCTTGTCTTTCACTTAAGGTTTCCCCTTTTTCGTGGTTCAGCTAATTACTCGCTTACTGGGCCGTAAAGCACTCACTGCCCGTTTATCCTTGCTCTTCGGCACCGAGGATTCCGTCATATGTGGGCTTGTGGATACCAAGGTCTCATGAGCGACAGTGAACCTGGAATGACTGGGCTCCTTTATTCCTCTCGTTTACTCGCATTTTCTTACATTTTCTTACTTGGCAAAGTCGCTTCTCCCTTCTACCTGTTAGTATGGCATTGGGGTACCTGGCCGGTAAACCAAAGCCCTGGCGGTTTTGTCTACCTTTTCTGAGAGTTGTGCTCGGGAAGGTGGCATTGTGGGCGGCTGGAAAACTCTCGTTCCTGGTTCCGGACGAATAGATAGGAGTTGAGGGCTATTTGGCATTGCGGCAGGGCAAAAAGAGGAAAATTTCCTTGTTGATGGCGATGATATATATGAACTGATGGATGATGAATGCTAATAATGATGAATGATCTTTGAGTACATACCTGCCCTCATGTCCAACGTCATGCTAGCCAATAAACTTATGGCTTACCTACCTGCGCCGTTCGATTCTTTCCGCACAAAGTGATGGAAGTAAAGCAACAACGTCAAGTGGTGAAATTAAAGATGGGACATGAGGTGGTGTGTGTTGGCCGAACATGAGGCTTAGAAAGCCAGGCTCCGCCTTTATCCTGCGGATCTCCCGATAGTCTGCCCATCTGCCTGATCCTGCGCATCTGCACTCTGCAATCTGCAATCTGCGACTGCCACACATCGTAGTGCTGTTGATGGGTCCCCGGCTTTTCCACAGCGCAGGGGAACTTTCCGAGATCACCGAGCAAGCGAATCGTGGGGGTGGCGGCGGGAGCATCCCCAGTGAATAACCCCACTCACTTGCTTGGGTCTGGAGGGTCAGTGGCCGTTGGTGGGGATAATGCCGAGTGTCCATGTGGGGCCGCTGTGTCGCTCGGGGCTTGGGGTTTGTCAAGCTGGCGCGTGACAAGACTCGCGTCTGCCAGGCATTTTGTCTCTAACCAACGACCTCCCTTATCTCATATGTTCAAACATTGAACGCTAAACCCTCACCCCTCAGTCTTCCCTATCTGGCCCTACGATTATTTTTTTTTTTCAGTTGGTCCCTTTCCCCTTCTTCGTCTGTTCTTTATCTCACCTAAATCATTTCTACACTCGCATCCCTCTGTCGACAGCCCGATGCCATTGAGATGCTAAGCTCTTCGATTAGACGGCGACCCAGCGTGCATGCCGGCCTGCCAAGATCGGGCCAATGGCTATTCCTCCTCGTGCTGGTGACTTTTGTCTTCTTCGCCGGCCCAGCTGCTGCATCAATTGGGGACCAGTTGCCGGAGTTCAGAGAGTGTGTTGAGGTGTGTTCGGCTGCAGTGGCAATGCTAGAGGTGGGAACAGGCACGGGAAGTCGCTAACGCAATGAGATAGATCTGCAAGCAAGAAAATTGCGGCGCTGACCCCTCGCACCGAACTCCCATCCGTAGGTCGCCCTGAGCCATGGAGTCTTGAAGACCGGCAACAATAGGACTTCACTCTAACCTCCTATTCTCTCACCAAGCCCTCCATCGCCGTCTCCTGCTCTGGACCTGTCCAGCCGAGTGCGACTACACCTGCCAGCACATCATCACCACCCAGCGGCAATCCTCGACCCCTCCGCAGCCCATTGTCCAGTTCCATGGGAAATGGCCCTTCTACCGCTTCCTCGGCATGCAAGAGCCCTTCAGCGTGCTCTTCTCCGTCGGCAACTTCCTGGCCCATCACCACGGCCTGCACCACTGCGTGCTGGCCCAGATCCCCCCGTCCTACTCTATGCGCCCTTTCTACGTCAACCTCGCCCGTGTCAGCATGGTTGCCTGGTTCTTTAGTGCTGTCTTTCACACTAGAGACTTCCCGCTCACGGAGCAGCTGGACTACTTTGCTGCTGGCGCGAATGTGTTGTATGGGATGTACTACACCGTCGTGCGAGTCTTCCGCTTGGACCGGCCGCGCGCAAGTAGGGTATTGAGGTTGTGGACGTGGCTCTGTGCGTCGCTATACATCGCGCACGTGGCCTACCTGAAATTCTGGAGATGGGATTACACGTATAACATGGCAGCGAATGTGGTCTGCGGCGTCGTGCAGAATGTACTGTGGAGTTGGTTCAGTTGGAAGAGGTACCGCGCGACAGGTCAGGGCTGGGCAGTATGGCCCGGTGTCGTCGTCGCCTGGATCATGTGTGCCATGAGCTTAGAGCTACTCGATTTCCCCCCGCTATGGGGGAGCATTGATGCCCATAGCCTATGGCATCTGGGCACAATTGCTCCTGCAGTGTTGTTCTACAAGTGAGTGTCTTTTTTGGAGAAAAAAAAGATTATCCAGGTTGTTACTGACAGCCTCTATGTAGCTTCCTAGTCAAAGACTCCCAGGAGGACATCGCCAGCAGCGCGAGGATCAAGGCTTTCTGAACCAGGGACCGCGGGTCTCCCTCTGTGGTTGTGTGAGTTTGGATGTTCATTCTCATAGTTATCTTAAAGCTTAAACTGGTATGACCTAAATTCCTGGTTGGATTAGGGAAGATACACATGGGTTGGAGTTTTGAGGTTTGAGTAATGATACGGAGCGTCTTACGAAAACCAGAAATATTCAACAGCGCAGACATCGATCGTCGGATATCAGCTCCTTTGCATCTATCTGACCATAGCATCGCATCTCTCGTACATTCCCGGCCTTATGATGCGCCCGTGTGTGTACTCGTTTCTTGTCCCTGGCAGTTTCTGCAGACGATCTCAAGGTCAATAACTACAAGTTTGCACCTTAGAGAATGATCAATTGGCAATGACACGAATAGCGGGACAAAAGTTCTCGAGAGCTTGGCTACCTAGCCTTGACTTGGCTGTGGGGTGCCAATTCCTTCCGAAGGATCAGAACGTGGGCGATGAAGACATCCAGCACTGTTCAGCACCAACTGGAAAAGAAAAGATTACCTCTACGATCGCATCTATCGATCGTCATTTCAGAATCCTTATTACCATGTCAAGCGGAGTAAGGTCAACTATGCTATTGACGATTAGACTTTGACTGTCACGTCGTGTCTTTCTGACTTACACATGTCGGCTCAGACTTAGGGGTTGGATGAAAGTTCTAAATACTTCATTTCTGACTTCTTATCTAGGTACCTATTGTGTTTTAAGTCATTGACCATTCCGTCCCACGGGCACGGCATTTTCTACAGATAGTATCTTCATTGACCGAAGTTGATTCTGCCACTGTTCCCGTGGCCGAAACGAAGATCAAGATTAACCCGCCAATCCGGATATGCGGAACAAGAGACGGAAATAGCAATTGACATTTGCGCTCCCAGTCCGGTGTAGGTTTCGCTGGGCGACCTGTGGAGAGCAGGGGAAAAGAGACGGACCAAGGGCGAGCGTGTTTGGGATCTGCGATCTGGACTCTTGGTTATTGACTTTGTCCTTGACTTGTACTGTGGTTCCTATGCCCCACCCAATATAACGCAGCCTGGTGGAGCCTTTGTACTGAATTATCCAATTGAAACTGAGTACATTCCTTGGCCTGGGCTCTCAGACAAGGTGGCCAAGGCGCTGGTGTCGACAGCAAAGGTGGCCTCAACTTTTGCGCTGCTGCTCGTCGTGCTGTTGGAGCTTTCACCCATCGCCAAACTATCACGACAACGCCTAGTCGTGCTGTCAGACCGCGGGGATACTGTGCCAGGCCCTGCATCGCCTATGCCTACCGCTGCCCGCCAAATGCCCAATTAACGTCATTCATTAACCCCCCCCTTTTTTTTCTAATTCCCCCAGCACTTTTTTCTTTCTCTCGATTAGATACTCGGCCTCTGCACGCTTCTGCCCCGCGGCGCATTGTGGATCCTGGAGACAAGGACGAAGATAGAGACGGACACGGCATAGACGACCATCCCCAGTCGGCAGCGCGCGCTCAGCAGGGCGTGATTTCAGTCATCATGGCGGGCAAGTCAAGATTCACAAGGCTAGATGCCTTCACCAAGACGGTCGAGGATGCCCGCATCAGGACCACCTCGGGCGGTATCGTCACCATTGTGTCGTTGATTGTCGTCCTTTTCCTCTCTTGGAGCGAATGGCGCGAGTATCGCCGTATCGTTGTCCACCCAGAGCTTGTTGTTGACAAGGGCCGCGGCGAGCGCATGGAGATTCACCTCAACATTACCTTCCCCCGTGTGCCCTGCGAGCTTCTCACACTTGACGTTATGGATGTGTCGGGCGAGCAGCAGCATGGTGTACAGCACGGCGTGACAAAGACCCGTCTGCGCCCATGGGAGGAGGGCGGTGGCGACATCGACAAGAAGGAGCTTGCTCTGTAAGTGAGGCATGCCAGTTGGAACGTGCGAAGGCAGAATGATTAATCCAATGCGTAAACTACAGCCACTCTATCGAGGAATCTGCTACCCACCTTGACCCCAACTATTGTGGTTCGTGCTATGGCGCGAACCCCCCTCCGAACGCTGTCAAACCCGGATGCTGCCAGACGTGCGACGAAGTCCGCGAGGCGTACGCGCAGGCCGCGTGGGCCTTCGGCCGTGGCGAGAACATCGAGCAGTGCCAGCGCGAGCACTACGCCGAGCGTCTGGACCAGCAACGCCGCGAAGGCTGCCGCATCGAAGGCGGCCTGCGCGTCAACAAGGTCGTTGGCAACTTCCACATTGCCCCCGGCAAGAGCTTCAGCAATGGCAACATGCACGTGCACGACCTTAAGAACTACTGGGAATCGCCCGTCAGGCACACGTTCACCCACATTATCCATCACCTTCGATTTGGCCCGCAGCTGCCCGAGTCACTGCACCAAAAGCTCGGCAACAAAGCCCTACCTTGGTCTAATCACCACGTCAATCCTCTTGATAACACGCACCAAGAGACCGATGAGGTTAACTTCAGCTACATGTATTTCATCAAAATCGTGCCCACCTCATACCTGCCTCTCGGCTGGGAGAAGACGTGGGATCAGTTTCGTGAGCAACATCATGCCGAGCTGGGCTCCTTCGGCACCAGCGCCGATGGTTCTGTTGAGACGCATCAGTACTCGGTTACCAGCCACAGGCGCAGCCTGTCGGGTGGTGACGACGCAGCCGAAGGCCATTCCGAGCGTTTACACTCTAAGGGTGGCATTCCCGGTGTTTTCTTCTCCTATGTACGTCCCCCTTTCTGAGATCCGTCTGCGTGGGCCGACCTTGGGCTTGCAGATGTTTGAGAACAAACTGACAGCGTCATTCCCTAGGATATCTCCCCCATGAAGGTCATCAATCGCGAGGAGCGGGCCAAGAGCTTCCTGGGCTTCCTTGCTGGCTTGTGTGCCATTGTTGGCGGTACTCTTACTGTTGCTGCTGCCATCGACCGCGCCTTGTTTGAAGGCACAGTGCGTCTCAAGAAGCTGCGGTCGAAGGATCTCTAAGGAGACCGTAAGAGTAAGATGTTGTAAGAGGCGGACAGGGGAGCCAGTTGGTGTAGACAAGACAGTTTATAGGCTGGCTTACTCGCCTACCAGTTAGAGAGGCGTTTCGTTGGTATCAGCGGCTACCGTATGTTGCTCTTATTGTTGTGTGCTCCGTATCTACTGTTTGGGTCATAGGTCTAGGTGTCCATACTATTGTGCTAGATAAATGCATGGGTTTGGAGTTGTGGATTACAAATTTTTGGTTAACAATTTATGATAAGAAGCTCCTTATCGCTTGATCATATTTTGTTCTTGATTCGGAGCACGTGTCCTGCAACTTAGCAGAGAATGTCTTGGATAAGGTTTCCACCGCAATCTCGATTACCTTCTTGATTTCAGGTATGTGGGGAAGCTGTTTCTAAACTTGGCAGGTTCAATGGGAACCATTCGGTCTTAGACGGAACTTTTTTTTTTTATTTCGGACATTTGCTAATGACTTGCAACGAGTTGCCCGACATCCTCTGTTGTTGAGCGCCTGCCAAATTCTCACCCACACGGGACTCGACAATCTTGGAGAGTTTTTGGGCAGATCTCACTTCATCCTTCTTTGGGGAGCGCTTTTGTCATGTTCGCCATCTTGTCATTGCTTGTTCCTGGTCTCTGCACTCTGATTCCCAGATTCTTTCCAAGCCACATGTCCTGCACATGCAAGCCATGCTGACAGATCTGCCTATGAAAGCGCGGAGAACCCTGCTCGCCACGGCACTGTACAGACGGGTCCAACAGCACCAATTTTCTCTGTTGCCCTCCTCTTCGTCTTAAAAGACCTATCCTAAGAGGGAATTAAGCTTATAACACACCATTTGCAACTGCTAAGGAGGTAGACTTAGTCAGAAATAATAAAATAAAGGGAAGCTGCATATCGTTGGGAGTTGCACGGCGACGCACTTTGGCGATCCGCACGAGCTCAGAGTGCGTAGCACGGGTCAATCCTGGTATCTAAGTTGCCGTTGATTGGCTGCCCAGATGGGATGAGATGAGTTCAGGCGGTTTTGGTGGACTTTCGGATCGCGGGCATGCGGGTACCTGCTGTTGTTGCCGCGGTCATGGGCTTAAAACCTTGGATGATGAAATGAAGCTCGTTCTCCACAGAGATTTGATCAGATGTCTGTAGTGTTGACGCCATTACGTGTTACGGTGAAAGAAAAGCGCGCCGTAACTCTGTAACGGTCAGTAATGGATCCTGGAGGACGCATGAGAAACTCTGGGGCCAGGAAGCATCCGAAACTTTTGCTGTCATGACGGGAAAATTCTATCTCATCAACCGACTGATCGATATGTCGAGGCAGTGCCCGCGCCAGCTTTTGCAATTGGATTTGAAAGCATGTAAAGAACGGTGACTTCGAGTTTTCGACTGCCATACCTAGAACGCTCTTGTTGTCGTTTCAGCAGTGCCGTATCCATACCACGTGCAGCGGAGAAAGCCTCGTATTTAAGTCCCATGAAGTCTGCGGTGTACGGAATCTGTAAGAGCAGCCAGCGTGGCGACACTATAGGCACTGTAAAACCATAGACTCTTGATAGGTCGGCCAGAGCAGATTTCGCTCGGGTGGCCAGCAATGAACACATACATCAAAGGCTCTGCTGAGCTTGTCCAATTTCCACTTGTTTACCCTCCTGACCGGGCTGGAGCCCAATCGTTGTTCTGGAAAAGGAGAAAAGGCCACCCGTTTTTAAGAGGTCGCCGCCGGCTGTGGATTGCACCGTTGAGTGGGTCCGCGCTGCGGGAAGCATTTCAGGAACAACCCGGGGTTACTAACAATTTTGGGCCTAGCGCACATCATTTTTGGCACACCATGTGTCCCAGCTTTCTCCATTTTGGCATTGGGCGAGGCCCCTCGATTGGTCTGGGGCCCGCCCCATCTCCTGAGCCCTTGTCGTTCCATGGGTCATCTTACCCATGGATCCACTTCCCCGTTCGCAGGCTGCTTCCCCCTGCTGTCTTCCCCCTTCCTCGGCCAAGCCTGGTGCGAGACGTGACACTGGGGCAGTTGCACTCAGCACCTCGCTCACACTTTTGCTTCCCAGCCCTGACCTCGACTTTTCCAACTTGACACTCGGCACTCGACCGCTCTTTGAATTGACGCGCCACGACAACAAACCACATTTTGTTCTCCTCGCTGGCGTTCACCCCGCAGAGGTTGGACGAAGGTTGTTTGTTGTCAGGCATCTGCCCAGGCAACGGCTGCGGCACCCAGAGGGCGCACCAGTGACCACTCAAAGTATCCGTCCAGATTACAGCGCATCTTCTCCTCGCCCGCAAGCCCCCCTGCGAGCAAAGAAAAAGAACATCAACGCTTGCCCTGGATTCTGGCCCTTCAGCGTTCATATGGCCAGTTTCGACGTTGGTCTTCCAGTTGATTGAGAAGCTTGACGTTTTCACTGTCGACAACTCCCTGACCTCACACTCATCGCCGTCTTTGATCGACTTCACGTATGCTTGAAGCCACACAACACCATTCCTTTGCCAGTTGCAGCCCGACTTGGTCAAGCAGGTTCATGCAAAGCAGAAACTTTAATTTCAGGGCTTAAAGCCGCTCGTCATCGCTTTGCGGGGTGTCTGTCTCTTCGCGGCGGCGACTCTTGTGTTCTCTCCCGCGACTTCACCACCTCCTTACTGCGCCGCTTCCTGCCTGCGGAGGGCCTACTTCTCACCCCAAAACTCGGCGAAACTTCAGGCTCTTTCCTCCTTCTCACGGTTCTAGGGGTCCTGTCGCTGTGGCTCTCTATTGGGGCCGATCGATTGCACCATGTCTTCGAACCGACCAGATGCCCTCGATCTGAGGTCAAAATCCCAAGCTTCCATTTCACGCCCACTCCGATCCCCCCGTCTCCATGTTGCCGGTGAAATCCCTCCCGAACGCTCACCACTTGAGGAGCTGGTCCATCATACTGTACTGCTTCAGCGGCAATTGGAGGAATCTGCAAAGAACGGTCGGCGCATAAGTCGGCTACCTCCCTTGACTCCAGAGAGCCCTTTGATTGTCCAGACCAGGTCCGAATATTATCGGTCACGCTCCCAAGACTCTCATCACAACGACGACGATGATCACAGCGTTCTCGATAGGCATGATAATGGCAACAGTAACCACTTAGGCCTCGGCTTGAGGACGGAGGAGGTCGATGTCAACAACCGGCCGAGATCCGTGCATCCAACCCTCGGACAGATCGACCCGGTCACTGATCAGTCGATCCCTGTGCCAGCTATACCAACTCAGTTTATGGATTCCTCCAGAGGCAGACAGCCGAGTGACGCTGGTGAGAATGGCGGTTACTTTGGCGTCGGGGCACGGCGAGAGCAATCTCCCGGGCCAATCGAACGTAAGCCTTCTGATCTCGAGAAGGTTATAACGAATCAGTCCGGTGCAACAGCCAATCATGACGGCAGTCAGAAGCCATCGCCATCACCTGCTACTGGCCCTTGCTTAACCAACTCACCTGAGAGATATGGGGGCAAGAGCTCGTTTGACGGCGGCAACCTGGTTCCTCCCCGGCCGCTGTTCACCAAGCGCAGCTCGAGCTTACAGTCCTCCCCCCTCGAATCAACCGATGAGGAATTCAATAGCTCGCTAAGCACATCGATGCACTCGCAGAGCTCACGCAAGTTTTCCACTAGTAGTGGTGTTATGTCCCCTGCTTATGGCTCCTTTGGGCGTTCTCCTTCCAGTGCCTCGGACGCTTCTATCCTGCCCCGACCGACTTTCAACTTTTCACGACCTCTCAGCCGAGCAGGAACGCCGAGCTTTGATACAAGGCCTGATATGGTAGCACCGCCGGCGCGGCAGGCTTCCTGCGACAGCCATACCTCTTTTCTGCCCGAGGAGAACGTGTGTACGCCTGTTAGCACCCGCAGCGAGGCAAACCGTGAAATCAATGGAGACAACGAAACTTCACCAGCACCGTCACACATCTATTCCAAATTCAACTTGCCTCGTGGAAAGTCGGTTCAACGAAATATATTTGAAGATATGAATGGGGCATCGTCCTCCTTGGATGAGCAAGTCCCGTCGTCGCCGACCCAGAAATCCTCAACCTATCCACTGGTCGGGCAACCGCCACCGTCGCCACCGACTCGCCCTTCGAGCTCTGGAGGTGTCAGACAGACCGACGATGAAAATGCTAGGCGGCCGTCTTCGGAGAGGAGCAAGCTTCACGATGTTCCTGCATGCCTCCGACCTGCTCAACAACCGTCGCCCAACCCCAGTCGACCATCGACTGATGATACTCGCCCTTCCATGGACGAACCCAGAGGGCGATCCACGGCCCCGAGGCCATCGTTATCGGCCGCTACCAGTGACTCAGCTAGTACCATCAAGCCCAGCCACCACTCCTCGAATCCCGTCGGGCCTGCTATGGCTGAGCTTTCTGCTGAAGAGCATGTCAGCAAGGCTATTGCCCTTCATGAGAACGGCTCCCTGCAGGAATCGACATGGCATCTGCAGCATGCTGCCAAGATGGGCCATCCAACCGGCATGCTACTCTATGCTCTCGCCTGTCGTCATGGTTGGGGCATGCGTCCAAACCCGCGAGAGGGTGTTGAGTGGCTGCGTCGTGCGGCTGAGTCGGCTCATCTAGAGATCGCTGAGGATGAAGAGATGGTTAAGGAAGGAAAACATGTGGACTCGGCCGAGCGTAAGACGCGTAAGGCGCAGTTTGCGCTTAGCATCTATGAGTTGGGTGTGAGCCATATGAATGGCTGGGGCGTAGAGCAGGATAAGGCATTGGCATTGAGATGTTTTGAGATCGCTGCATGTAGGTTCTTCTTCTTCTACCCCGTTTCTGTCTGTATTGCGGAACCTCTTACTGATATGTGGCAGCTTGGGGTGACGTCGACGCGATGGCCGAAGCTGGATTTTGCTATGCTCAGGGCATTGGCTGCAAAAAGGATCTTAAGAAAAGCGCCAAGTACTATCGTGAAGCTGAGGCCAGGGGCATGAGCATGGTTGGGAACAGTTGGTTAGTGCCCTTCTGATAGCTAAGCTAATGTGACCAGGACTAACATTAGAGATTCAGGATCCATAAGCCGAAATACGCGGACGATCCTCCTAAAGACCAGCAGCGCTCCAAATCCAGGACAAGGAAGAGTATCTTCAGCCGGAGGAAAGATGCGTGAAGCAAAAGAGCCAACCCAGCCACAGCGTTCGTTTTATCGTTCTTCACTTCAATCTCGACCTGTTCGTTTTTGCGCTCTAGGATGCCTTGACGATTATGAGCAATAGTCTTGTTACAGTTTCTTTGGCACGATACCACTATTCTTCATACCCAGTTTGGTTCGCCGCGGCGTTTCCGGGAGTTGTTTCTGATACTGTTTTGACAGTTTGCGGATGTTTGTGGCAGGCTAGGTCTCGTTCGCTGTCAAGCTCATTCTTGAGCTTTCACTTGCTCTGGATTGTCTTTGTTCCTCCTCAAATCAACAGGGGAAGGGGTCCAATCTACTTGCAAAGGTGTACCTTTTGGCTGTATTTTTCTCTAGTTCCAGCCTCTGGGATTATTCATCGGGTGATTTTGCCTTTCACTTTTATTTCTGAAGAGGGATATTGGCAGGAGTTTATTAAAAAAAAAAGAGAGATGCCGGGAATGGCATATGTTCTTATTCTTTTCTCCTGTGTGTGATTTGGACATAGGCGATAAATGGGTGGGAATTTCGGTGAACAGAGTTAGCAAGCTCGGCACATTCGTGACGGTTCCGGTTTCCGTTCTGTCTCTCGTTCATGACCCATAATCTCTCCTTTTTTTCGAGATAAGTTTGCCGGCAGACGTCAGTAATATTAAAATACTTTAGGGGCGGGCCTGAAATTAGACACAAGCTAGCTCTTGTGAATCAAATGTCACATGGCTCAAGAGAAGACAGGTCTCAATCTCATGCCTTAACACCTCATGCTTGGCTGTTGAATCTTGATATTTAGTTGCACACAAGAGCCGGTTGGGGGATAACGATCACAGGTTGCACATGAACCTAGACTGGATGTCATATCGCCATGGCATTTGCAGTCATTTGAGATACGGTAAACGTAAAGCCATCCCGGGCGTGCTTGCAACCCCGTAAATGGCTGTTTCCATGTCTGTTAGAACGTACACTGCGACAGGCGTAGGCCGCCAGCGTACGCTCGAACCTCCTATCCCACTTAAACTCACAGCTGGGGGACGCCCTCATGTGTCGACCTCCATCTTATCGCCGCTCTCTTCAGTCAGATCATGAATTGTCACATATTTGGTAATATCTTCCTTCTTGATGACTTGCTCGTTGAGCACGGCAGTAGTCCCCTTGGGGAACTTGTAGCTTCCAAGCTTCTTGGTGCGTTCGTTGGGCTTGAGGTAGTTGCGCATCAGAGTCGTCTTTTCTGCCGTAATGACGGCCACGTCCACGTTGCTGCCAGACCCCAGGTCGTTCCAGATACCTGCCTCAATGGCATCCGAGCACAGCTTAATGGCCTCCTCGCGTGTCAGGCTTGGCTTCCACTGCGTCTCGAAGACAGCCATAGCCGCCAGCGAACCTGAACCCATTGTCACGTAGGGAAGCTTGTCCGTCGAACCGTGCGCATGCACCGTGAACAGATGCGTGCCAGTTGGGTCGACGCCGGCCACAACGAGGTACGCGCCGATGTAGCCCTGATAGCGGAACAGGTGCTGCTTCAGCATCGTCATGGCTGTCACCACGCGCGGCTTACGCCCCGTTGACAGCGCGTGCAGCTCGATCTGCGAGCTGATGAGCGCCGTCGTGAACTCGGTGTCGGCGGCGGTACCGGCGCCCGCGCACCAGATGTTGGGGGCGATGTAGTGTAGCTTCTCGCAGTTCTTGTCGGCGACGATAGGACCTGAGGTTGCACGTGTGTCGGCGGCAATCTGGTACGGCAAGGCCGGGGCCAAGGGTCAGTCATCCCAACCGTTCCGTTTTGTGGGGTTTGTGGGTGTGTGTGTGTGTGTGTGTGTGTGTGTGTGCTGTGGTGTGTGCAGGAGGAGCGGTAGATGTGTGCCCCGCGCGAGTGATGGATGTTTTGTTAGGAGCTGGGAGAGGGACGCACCACTACGCCGCCATCGTATATGCACCCGACAATGGTTGTGCCTGTGCTGGTCGCCTTCGGCAGAGGGACACCCCGCTGATGGAGAGCGACATTGCGATTGTAATTGGAGAAGTCGAAGCCTGGCATGGTGTTGGGGGGAGGAAGGGAGGAAGGGGAAACACTAGAGAAGATATCAACGCCGGGAGGGCGGTCATGATGAGCTGGTACTGCGTCCGGCTTAGAGCTGGATGTATTATGGAGGCCGTAAGCTTGTGTGTGTTGTCAAGTTTCTGGTATGTGGTTTCGAAGTACAATGCAGACGTGATGTTTGTTGTTGGGTCGTCTGGTGGGGGAGGTCGGGCGCTGTGTGTGGTTGATGCTGTGCAGTGCCAGGCGGTTTTGGCGGGACGGGAGCTGATGACGAGGCTACAGCTGCCTTCTGCTGCTCTTTGCCCTGGCCTTCACTTCACCACGCCCAGCTCCCAGACGCGCTGACGGGGTGTTGCCTGGCTCCACCAAATCCGTGGGCTGCGGGATGTCGACGCCAGGTGCTTGGCAGATGGCCCAAGCTTCCTCTCCACAAGCAATAGGTGACGAATAGCGGCTAACTCAATCGGGAGGACGCGAGCGTGGTAGGGTGTGGGTTGTTGTTTGGTCCCACATTTGCCGGTTATTGGCCACTGGTCGTTGGTTCGCTGCTGGCTTTGGTGTTAGGTGCTGCTGCTGGCGGCGGGAGGGCGGCAGGCAGAAAAATCGTGGATCGGGTCGCGTCTGCCAGCTTTTCATTGTTCAGCAACCACCGTCACAGCCAGACAACTCAAGGCTCAACTGGACGGCCAAGCAACACCAACTGGAACGACGACTGAGTCGCTTGCCGACTTTGCCCGCCAATTCCCTGTCCCTGTCCTCCTCACCCCCGGCAACCCAGATCTCCGTCGGACTTGAGTATCGGTCCCCCGTTCGCCGTCGAGAACGCAGACGCCGAAAATAAAAGACATTCGCGTCTGCCGCTGCGGCCAGCAGCAGCATATTGAAGTCAAAAATCAATTTGCCTTGTTTAGGCACTTTCAAGTTAGCTGAATTGATCATCCTTTCTATTCGAAGGCGCATCTCGACGCCAACTCTATCCATCGGCTTCTTCAGGCTCCCGTCTATCGATTTGTTCTGCTTCAACATCGCTTGCTGCCATTGAGTGATCGACCGTGAACCGTAAACTGCGAACCGCGAACCGCGACTCGCAACTCACAACTCGCTTTCGCCGGCTGCGGATTCCCCAGCTGCCCCAATCGACAACGCATCTCGCCAATGACTAGCGCGGCATCGCACAGCTGAACATCTCGCTTCGAGGGCGGCGAAACTTGCAGCAGTCATCATGGCTTTTAGCTTTGGAAATGCCGGAGGGGGCGGCGGCGGCGTGACGCAGGGCAAGGACCTTGAGGTCATACAGACAGAGGTGCGTGTCTCTGGACATGAGTGAGATTGTTGACTGGTGTCAGATGTGCCTTGTCTCGTCGTCTCTGCTGACCGTGATTGCTTCCTAGGGTCTTGGATTTCTCGCTCTCGCTGGCGACGCGAAAGTCCAGCTGACCTCAAAGTGGTCTCCCCCGCCGGCACCGACCGCGTCCCTGCTCAGCATCGCTTCTCGCAAGGGCCTAGTTGCTGCCGCTGGCCCCGATGCTGTCCACGTCGCCACAACCGAGTCGGTGCGGAAGGCCTTCCTGGCCGAGAAGAACGGGGATAGCGAAGTGCGGCCGTTCAACCCCGAGGCGAAGCTTCCGCTGCCGCTTCGCATCTCGCAGCTGGCCTTCACAGCTGACGAACAATATCTCGTCCTTTCTGCCGAGACGGGCGGTGGTCTTAGAGCATACGATGTCAACTCGCTCACTCAGGGAAACACCCAGTCTGCTTTTGAGCTCGCCACCAACGGCGAAACCCTGCGCCAGCTGGCCCCCAACCCCATGCCTGAGTCGGCCGCTTTCTGTGCCATTGTCACGACCAATGGCAATCTCTACATGGCGAATCTAGCCGAGAGGACGCTCGTCTCGGGGCCGAATGGGCCGACCCTGCGTTCCCAGGTCAGCTGCGCCGCCTGGAGCACCAAGGGCAAGCAGCTCGTTGCTGGCATGGCGGACGGTTCTATTTACCAGATGACGCCTGATGGTACGGAGAAGGCCCACATTCCCAAGCCGCCTAATCTCGGCGACTACCATGTCTCCTCAGTGGTGTGGCTAGAGAACAACGTGTTTCTCACTATCCACAACCCAACCAATTCGACCAACCCCGACGACAAGACCGTCTACCACGTCATTACCAGGCAACAGTCGTCAGGCAGCCCCCCCAACTTTACCTTCCAGAAGCTGAACGATCCCGTCGAGCCATTCGTTGCCGACAAGACTCCCCATCACACCGTTCTGCGACTGAAGGACTTCCCGCCTAACCTCCAGGACCTGCTCTTGGTTTCGTCGACTGCCGTCGAGACTATCGGCTTGCTCACCCGGTCCAAGACACCCTTGGCGACTGACAAGCCGGCAGACGCCATCACCAATGTCTTCACAACTACCGAATTGGCTGACGACTCTCGGCGCGCGCAGCTGCCGATGAGTGAGGATATGATGGAGACTTACCCTATTGGCGTCGCGCTTGATCTGTCCAGCAAGGAGAAGGTCTACAAGCCGATTCCGACAGATGAAGAAATTGAGTATTCCCCTGGCCCTCTTCCTGGCTTATGGGTGCTCAACAACGAGGGCGTCTTGGCATCGTGGTGGGTTGTATACAACGAGTCGATTCGCGCGGGGACAACGTATTCAGGAATTGGCGGCAGCAGCGAAGTCATTCCTGCGTCTCCAGCCCCAGCGCTCGCATCCTCGACAGCCCCTGTGCCGGCGTTCGCGTCGCCCGTTAGCAAGCCTACATTCGGGTCCCCGAGTCCGGCTACACCGGCCTTTGGAGGTCCGTCGGCCTTGGGAACCAAGGCTTCACCGTGGGCCACCGCTGGAGGCGCCGCGTCGTCCACGCCGACATTCGGCCAGCCTAGTTTTGGCAAGCCGGCAGCGCCCGCATTTGGCCAAGCTTCGTTCCCCGGCTTGGGGCAGAAGGTTTCTCCGTGGGCCACAGGTTCGACGACCAGCGCGGCACCGGCGTTCGGACAGTCCGGCTTCGCAAGTGCTGGCACGGCCCCTGGAAAGGTGTTTGGCAGCAGTTTCACCGCCCCGTCTTCGGGAGGGTTCGCCAGCTTTGCTACCAAGAGCGGTTTTGCTTCACTTAGCGCTCCCTCAGGCGGTTCTAGCATCTTCAGTTCTAAGCCTGGTGCACCACTGACTTCTGCTGCTCCCGAAGTGTCGATGGACACCGACACAGCCTTCCCCCCTCCGAGCACGAAGACCGACAAGCCCGCTTTTGGGTCGTCGCCATTTGTCCTGGGAAGCACGTTCAAAGCGGATCCCACGGCCGCTCATGATATTGAGAAACCGAAAGAAGGCGAGAGCAAGTCCCTCTTCGACACTGGGTTTGGCCTCTCGCTTGAGGATGCGGCCAAGCAGCCTGCTAGCGCCGCCGAATCGAAAGATGAGGAGATGCGGTCTACTACACCTCCTCTTCCTCCGCCGACTGAGACGAAGCCCAAGTCGATCTTTGAGTCGACGACCCCTACGACTACTCCGGCACCTCAAAAGTTCGAATTCAAGACGACGACGCCATCTGGATTCTCAACTCTGCTCGGCAGCACCAAGCCGGTAGCCTCGAGCATGCCCAACATTTTTGCTACGCCTAAGCCGACTTCTGCGGAGAAACCGAAGTCTATCTTCGATACACTCAAACCCAAGGAGGAGAGTAAGGAGAATCTTCTCAAGGCTTCCGAGCCACCACTTCCTCCAGACACCACTAGTAAGGCGGTCTTTCAACCGGGTTCTTCATCTTCTGAGTCAGCAGAAAGCTCACCTGGAGCAGCAGCGAAGGCGGCGTTCAAGGTGGGCAATGATGAGACCCCGAAGCCCCAGAAAGAGCTAGCTCCGAAACCTGAAGCGGTGCCGTTGCCACCGGACTTTGTTAAGGCCAAGCCGAAGACTGAAGCCAAGGAAACCAAGGCTGAAGAGCCTGCTGTTTCCCCTAATCTCCCAGTCAAACCGCTAGCAAAGAAGGCGGAGCCCATCCCTGCAGTTCCTGAAAGCGCCTCTGAAGAAGAACAGGGGCAGGCAGAAGAAGAGGAAGCTGAATCAGGAGAAGAAGAAGAAGAAGAAGAAGAAGAAGGAGAGGGTGAGGAGGAAGAGGAGGAAGAGGAGGAGGAGGAGGAGGAGGAGGAGGAAGGAGAAGAAGGTGAGGAGCAGTCAGAAGCTGGCAGCGAAGGCAGCGGTGTTGACGTTGCGAAAGACCTCAGCCCAACAGCCAAGTTTGGCAGCATGACGCCTGGCTACACGCCACACACCTCGCTTGGCGGGATGGCTGAAAGCACATTCTCGACTATCTCCCGCTCCGAAGTAGCAGAGCAGTCGCGGCCATTGTTCGGAGAGATCACTAAGAATGCCCCTCCCCTGTTCCCTGCGGCTGGCCCGTTACCCGTGAGTCCTCGGTCGCCCAGCCCGGTCCGTGGCGTAGTTAGGAGCAGCATATTGAGACCGACCGAGACTCCTCGGCCCGTTGACACCACACCGGTACCGTCACGAAAGGGCCTGCTCCAGAAGACTGCTAGTTTTGGTATGTCGACAGGTCAGAAGCCTGCAGTCGACCCTAATGTCAAGGCCCAGCGCAAGCTGGCTGAAAAGCTCAAGGCAGAGGAGCAGGTGCTCGTGGACCCGGAGGACGAGGGTATTCAGCAGATCTTGCAGTCTAAGGTCGAGCCGACCCTACGAATGAACGAGTTTCTTGCCGTCGACACAAAACTTGCGCCGATGAAGCCTGGCCGTGACGATGTGCCCAACGCCTGCGAGACACTCTGGCGCGACATTAATCGCATGATTGACCGTCTGGGCCTCAACTCGCGCTCGCTGCAGTCCTTCATCCTGGGTCACACTTCACACGGTAAGCCGGGCGGCAGGCAAAAGGATGACCTTGAGAAGCCGGATGACTGGGTTCTGATCGAAGCATACGACCTTGGTGATATGATTGACAACAAACTTGCGCGGGAGCTCGAAGCCGGTCGCATCAAGGACGTTGAAGGCACTATGGCCGCAATCCACAACCTTGGGCGAGACCTCGCCAAGTTGCGCGCCAAGGAGGAGGATTTGCGTAAACTCTTCAATGCGCAGGTCGACCCGGATCAGATCGCTCTGACCAAGGCCTTGCCGCTGAGCGCGGAGCAGCTGGCGCAACAGAACGAGCTGCGCCGTTCGTACGCCTCCTTCTCCAAGCTGCTTACCGAGGCTGAGGAAGCGCTCACCGTACTCAAGGCCAAGCTTGCGTCAGCAAATGCGGCGCGCGGCCGTCGTGGCGCTGGCGCCGCTCAGGTACCAACGGTCGATGCTATTATTCGTACCATCAACAAGATGACCAGCATGGCAGAGAAGAGATCGGGCGATATTGATGTGCTCGAGAGCCAGATGCGCAAGCTGAGGATCGGGTCTCTGGGGCCAGCTGGTACTCCGAATGGGAATGGCGTTGGCGCGGGCACAGTTGTCCCCGCTACCCCTGGTGGCGGTGGTCGTAGTCGCGAAAGCTCGCCGTTTGTCACACCCCAATCGTCGCGGCGGGCAATGTTCATGTCGCCCGGGTCTGTGGGCACGGCGACGCCACGTGGTCTACTTGCTGCCACTGGGACACCGTCGCCGACGAAGAAAAAACTGAGCATGTACACCGCGGAGGAGAAGAGGGAGCTGAGGGCACGCGAGGCGAAGAGGAAGGCGACATTGAGAATGCTAAGAGAGAGCCTTGCTAGAGTGGGTCCGAATGTTGTGCGATTGCGGGATGATGATTAGAGCAAACATGGTATCCTTTGAGATGATGCTGGGATTGTAGTAGAAAACGAAAGATTAGTTATCTTAGCTACTTGGGTCCATCAGGTTTAGTTGCCAAGTTGAAAAAGAGATTGCAAATGGATATTTCCCCGATATTTGGTGATAATCCATAAAGTTCGCAAACTAGGCTTTTATTTGGACTTTTTTTCTTTTTTCTTTCTTTCTTTTTTTTGCAAAAGGCATAGATAAAAAGTTGGAAGTACGCCGAGACGCCCAAGTTTTGTTCCGTGACCCTACCTAAGCTAAGAACCCGGTCCCTACTTGACACTCAGTCAGATATATAGATCCACATGTACTAGGAGGGTACATCTCATGAACAAAAGCCAGATCAAAATATCCAGGCTCTTCCTAACCCTACTGTCCCTTATTTGGATACCTCTGTTCCGAAAAAAAAGCATGCGTTTGCGCGGGCGTATGCGCGCGTTATTAACCTTGACCAAACCTTGTTTTAGCTCCTCTTGTACCTAATCACACACCGTGACTTAGCCGCCAGGAAAATAACCACTAACGTCAAGGAGCACTCCATGCATTCTCTTCCTCTGACCTGCTCTGCTTCCCCTTCGCAGAAGACGGCGAAATACTATTCGAAGATTCCGTACTGACTTGCCCCTTCGACGCTCCTGGCAGGGCATTATTATCGTCTTCGTCGTCATCGTCCAGGGCGCGCGCCAGCTCGTCCGGATCACGCATCTTAGCATCCGGATCAGCGGCAGCACTCGTCACGCCCTGCTCTACATCGTCATCGTCGTCGTCGTCCACACGACTATCGAACACGCCTTCGTCGGCGCTGATGGAAATCCCACGGGAACCCCACTTTGCACGAGACGGCCGCCCGCCGTTAAGCGGCTGGTGGTTGAACCCTCCACGGCTGCCGCCAAGGGCAGGGGCGCTCTCCTCATCACCACCCTCTCCATCGATCTCCCTAGCAAGCGGCTTTGCGCCAAAGATGCGGCGCAGGAGCCAGCCGCGACGGAGGTCATCCGCATCAACGATACCGCCGTTACGCAGCTTGACACGTTGACGAGACCAGTAGACCCAGGCAAAGTCGGCATACAACGCGGTCTGCACGATGCCGAAGATAACAGAGATCGGGTTCGGGCGGCGGTCATTTGGATCGAGTTCGCGCAGGAACCAGTTGACCAGGTACAGTGCGCGGTAGGCACCGAGGAAGACGATGTAGAAGGAGGTAATGACGGTCGGCACGGTGGTCTGACGGAGGAGAAGAAGTTGTGGGAGGACGCAGACAGATTCAAGAATTTGAGAGAAGACCCAGAGAAACTGCGAAGTAAAGATTAGCCATGAAGTGAGGATGAGAGGGGAGAAGGGGGGGGTAGGGAAAGGACATAGGGGAAACGTACGTCTTGGAAGGACCACAGGTACTTAGGCTCAAAGATGAGCATGAAAAAGGGCGACAGCACCAGGCTGCCAAGCAAGATCATAGCACTTAGCTTCCAGGCAACCTCACGCTCGCGGGTGCGTGGATAGACAAAGCGCATAACAGCGATAGTATAGAAGGACGAGAGCAGGTAGAAGACCTTTAAGCAGTAGTTCCAGGCATGCGTCTCAGTGAAGAGGTCGGTGTATCGGGTGACGAAGACGAGGGCGTAGAAGACCTGGGTCAAGAGGGAGACGCCTGGGAAGACATGTGTTAGCTGGGAGAGGCCAGGGAAAACGAGGGGAACAAGCCAGCATACTTACCTTCGGAACTCCGGTTTCGATGAATGGAGAAGAGGAGGATGCATTTGGAGGTGACGTGCGACAGGTCTGCCGCTATCCTGAAGAACTGCGGAGATCGTCAGTACATAACGGGGCTGGCGGTTCGAATGGCCGCGTGGCGAACTAGTGAACTAATAATGATGGACAGCTGCCTACCCCGAAGGCCATGTTTGCGGTATGGGACTGGGTGTTGCTTAGAATCGGTCAGAACATTGAAGAAAGAGGGGACAGCGACAACGATGGCGACGACGACGGCGATAGCGATGGAGATGGCACTACCTAAACTCCAGCGGACTTAGGGGTCGAGAAGGGCGCTTAGAGGTAAAGGAAGCCCGAGGACAGAAGTGCAGGCGTCTAAATCTTGTCTGTCAATGTCCACAGTAATGATCGAAATTGTTTAGTACATCAGCGGCGATTAAGTGGCCTCGAAGATGAAAGTCTTTGGTAGGTAGGCTTAAGGCGAGGCAGGACTCAGGAGAACTCAGCTCGGGAATTGGAGCTTGGGTTGGGGTTGGGGTCGGGCTGAGTACACGACGGGCAGGCAACAGGCCGAGCAGCGTAGCAGCCCCAGACTCCAGAGCGGGAAGCAGATAAGACGTAATGCGTCACCGGCTGTCTCAGGGTTAGGGTGCATGACGGGAGCCCCGCGTTCTTGGCGGGCGGGACCAAATGCAGGGTCCACAATCCGCTGGGTTCGAAGTTCTTGGCCGTCCCGTCGCGTCTTTGGGGTTTGGGTTCGGGAGCGAGCCGCGAGTCGCGTCACTCGTTAATGGTGCAGCACAAGCAAAAGCGCAAACACGCAAGCACGCCGAACGCCGACAACCCGGGAATGGTGATGGTGATAGTAATGGTAATGGTAATGGTTGTGCATTACAACAGCGCAGCGTTATCAAACTAACTCAGATATTTTTTCTTCCATTCTCAAAGATTAAGAAGATGTCAGACGGAGCAGATGCGACATACCAAAGCATTGAAATATAGGAAACAGTACCACACCTATAGGAAGGATACCTCCCTCCAAACACGCCCATTCGCCCACTCATAACCACCACCATGGCGACCCGTATGCTCCCAGAGTCCCAATCTCGGACGCCAACGCTAGTCCAGAAGACGTTCATGAGCTAACCTAACCCATCGCAGGGGAGGAGCGCATGCGCGACCGCATGCGTGGCGCTGGGTAAGAACTCCTTCTCTAACATCTGGAGGGCTTAACATACAGCCAACAGTCAACTGACCTTGACCATACCACAGACGACACAACGTCGGCGAAATTGATTTCGGCTTCGTCATCCCTGTCGCCGAAGATCCCCCCATAGACGACGACATCGACGACGACGACGATGACGACAACGACGACGACGACGACGACAACGTCCAGCCGTCTTCGCCGACCGCACGCCGTGCCTCCAATCAGCAGCAGCAGCAGTCATTACGGCCAATACCTAATACATCTGCGAAGCGAAAACACTTCGACAGCGACCGCGATGTCATACCTACCCTGCGAAGCTCTCCCCCTCCCCCATCCGTCGCCCCTTCGACAGCTGCCCTAGACACCGCAGTCCCAGTCCATTACCAACAACAAACCTCCCCACAAGACGAAGAAATGCCCGACGTCTCCCCTCAAGAACCCTCTCCTTACGATCAATCCATGCCTGACGCCCCCCCCCTTTCAGCTCCTCACCAGCCGCTGCGCTCCCCCCGTACTCACGGCACGCTCTCCAGCGTTATCTCCCGCACCAAACGCCTCTCCTTCGACCCATCATCTCCCGTACGCGGCCCCGGCCCAGAAGAATATGAGGAGATGGTGACCGAAAGCCCGGCCGACGCCCCGGGGAGCGGCCAGCGACGCCGGCTGCGGCTCGCTGCGGCCGGACAGAGGACGACACCCGTGGTCGGGTCCAGCGCGTTGCTGCATAGGATGCTGGCAGATGTAGACCGCGCGGATGCCGAGGCCGAGAGGTCCGGACAGCTGGGGCTGGAGACGTCCTCGCCTATTGAAAGGCGTGTGGCAACGAGGAAGAGCGAGGTTATGAGACGATCGAGGTCAAGGTCGATGGCTTCGGGAGAGTCACTTAGTGCCGGGACTGAGAGGAGAAGCCCGAGATTGAACGCCAGTACGGCTGCGGGAAGTGAGATGGATGTGAATGGGGAAGAGGGACAGCATGAGGAGGTGGGGGAAGAAATGGAAGAAGGAGAAGAGGGGGAAGAAGGGGAAGAAGAGGTGGTGGAAGAAGAGGTGGAGGGAGAAGAGGTGGAGGGAGAAGATAATGAACCTGGGTTGGAAGAAAGTGATGAAGAGAAAGAACTGGGAGAGCCAGAAGGAGCGCCAGATGAAGCGATTGAGGCAGGTGCAGAAGCAGACCTTGGGGCGACGGAGGTACAAACAAGCAGCCCTCCAGCCGCACGAGAACGAGAATCCGCGCTGCGGAGTCAAGAAGCACTCGTGGAAGGAGAACAAGAACAGGAAGAGGCCCAGGAGATTGACAACGAAGAAGAGGCAGCGCAGCGACTGGGGAGGAAACGACCCCGTCGCACGTCACCAGCAGGCTCTCCTGAATTGGAATTGGAACTTCAAGAGGAGTCGCCGGCAGTCAAACGGCGCCGAAGAAAAGGGGAGCTCACGGACCCGGCACAGCAACAAGAGCCTGCCAGGAGAACGAAAAAGAGAGCCAGACCGGCAGCGGAACCTCAACCGCCAACTGCCAGCTTCCGGACCTCTCCCAGATCCCAGCCTAAATCACAACTTCGACCGTCACCCGCCAGGTCATCGCCCTCACTCTCACCGCAGCCTGAGCCAGAACCACAAACCAAAGCGAAACCCCGGACTCAGCCTGCAGCTAAACCACCGGGGAAGCCAAAAACAAAACGAAAGCCCAGACCAAAGCAACCCCGAAAAACCGGCGGCGATGGCGACGAGGAGGATGCTCCAGAGGACAAGGGCTCAGTTCAAATCACGGTCCAGCGCTTCACCAACAACGATATCCCTCATGCCAAAGACAGCCGAGACGAGCGCGGAGAAGTGGAGTTGGAACCCATCCCCTTCGCCAACGCCTCGGGGGTTAATGCAATCGACGTGCTCAGCAAGTTGTGCGAGGAGCTCATCGAGGCGTACCTCGGCAAGCTGGAGGAAAAGCTGCAGGGTACGGGGAACGATGAGGCAGGGAGGGCGGCGAGGAGAGAACATAAGACGATGTACAGGGCATTGGAGGCATTTGCGGAGGTGTTAAGAACTCGGCTGTTGGAGCATGTAAGCGTTTTTTTTTGTGTGAGCGCATATGTTTTGTGAGCCGACGCTGACACAGATATGACCAGACAATTGCGGTCGATACACTTCATTCGCTGCGCAAGCGGCTACGCGCCGCGCAGAAGAAACGGCTAGCATTGAGGGAACAGATCCTGCGGGTGCGGGCTGAGAGGGAACAAGTCGCTCTGCGGATGGATGCGGTGCGCATGAGGCATGAGGCAGAGCGAGAGAAAGCTTTGGTAAGCTTTTTTTTCTCCTCCCGGTTATCAAAAGTTGAAAACTGACTTTACACAGCGGCACATCTCCCTCTCCACAGCCATGCATGACATCGACATGGCGGTCGAGCAAGGGCGGGCGGCGCCCGAGCTGAGCGCCAGTGAGCAGAAACAGGCTGAGCTGGCCAACCTAGAGCTGTTAATCAGCCGGGTGGCCGATCAGGCATGTTCGCGGAGCGACGGCGGCGGAGCATTGAAGCAAATCAAAGAGTTTAACGCCTTTCTGGAGCGAGCGGCGGCCGTGTTGGAACGTAGGGTGTAGCATGGAGGACAGAGATGCCAGATACCCCCCACCAAACAAAAAAAATGATGATACGATTGATGATATCCAACCAACCAACCAACCAACTAACCAACTAATCAACTAATCAACCAACCAATCTGTGATGCTGCCAACTAGATGCAAATGCATACGTATATGCTTATGTACACAAGAAGCAGCCCGAATACTGTACATTGGAAAAACGAATAAGCGTATACTGTAAGCCGTACAGCAATAACACTATAAGCAAGCTCACCTCCCCGTGATGGAGGAGACGAAACTGTTCCATTTATCAATTAGCGTATCCTTGCCCTCGGCCTTGCGCGCCTCTCTCTCTTTTGCCTGTTCCTTCCAGATATTATGCACCTGCGTCGCCATCTGCACCTTGGCCTTATACTCGGCCCGCAGCGCCTGCTCCTCGGCCTCCCTCTCCTCCTCAGGTAGCTTTTCCAGTTTCTTCTTCCACGCGGCCAGCGTCTCGGCACTCGGCTCCTCCGGCAGGTCGCCAGTGCCAGTGCTGCCAAAAGCAGTTGCGGCGCCCTCCTCAAACACCGACCGAAACTGTGGGATCGGCCTTCCCTCTCTCTTGGCCTCTTCAATTGCCTTCTCCTGCGCTAGCATCTTCTGGTACAGCTCGTCTGCCCGCATCTGGATCTCCTCATCGACCTCAGGACCCCTTCCATGCACGCTCAGGTACCCCAGGGCCTTGAGCAGCCTGTTCTGTGCATTATAGCAGCGCTCAAAAGCACGCACCTCGTCGCGACACATGGTTGCGCGCGCGGACCAGGAACCAGACTTCATGCAATCGGCCCAGGCGGCCTGCTGGTCGGCGCAGTTCTCGAGGGCAGCGCGGCCTATGGCAGCACGGCGTTCCTTGTAGGCTTCGAGGATGTCGTGCAGCTTTTCGGAGTCGGTCTTGGTCTCGGCTTCGACGGCGGAGAGGGGCTTGTAGGTCTTCCAAAGATGGGCGTAGCGGCCGTCGGGGAAGAGGGATTCGGGAGGGACAGGGGGCTTGGAGGGGTCTTGTTGCTGAGCTTGTGGTAATGCTTGTGACTGGGACTGGGACTGGGACTGTGATTGTGATTGTGATTGCGGCTGTGCTTGCGACTGTGACTGGGAGCTGGCGTTGTACTTGATGGGAGACTCGCGTTCGAGGAACTCGCGCAGCTTCGGGTCCAGCTTGCGAAGGGGGTCTGAGTTGGCGTTGCTGCCACCGAACCAGCCGTCGAACCAACCCATTATGGTTTGCGGTTACTTAGAAGATAATTGGGCGGACGCTGCTTGGAAAGCTAGTCGTGTGGATGGAGTGGTGTCCCAAGCTGCGATGATGATGGTCCATGAACGATGAATTTAGGCGGTCAGTAGCGGCAGAAATCGGAAGAGTCGACAGGCCGACAGTGGGGGCGGGGAACTTTGGTGGGCTTGTGGGGCAAAGGGGCCCAGCAAGCAGCAACTCCAGCAAGGGATTTGGCTTCGACATGCCAAGACTTCGTCTGGCCTTCCTGGTTCCCACCCCACAAGATCCGAAACGAGAGCTCATTACTCCGTTCCATCTTATGTCGCCTATTTTGATCGGATGGAAGCTTCAGTGTTTTTGTTTCAGGATTGAACATGGTTGACACCAATTCCAATTTCTCTGACTGAGCCTGTAGAAGCTTGCTGCAGAGGCCAGAGATGGCTCTGTAGCCGTAAACAATTGACAACAACGATCACGGAGAAGAAAAAGAAACAGAAATATGAAAGACTTTCTGCAACATGCCTAAGGTACACGATCATAAACCAAGCTAGAGAGAACAGATGTAGGGATTAGCATCATCTCGGTGCAACCTTCCAATGAGTCCAACAGCACTAGTAAACAAAATCCACCGGGAGAATCCCAAGGGGCATATCAATGCGTTGAGCTGGAGAGTGATCGGGATCAAAGCAGGGAAGCACCCGTAAGCCATCTCTGGCCACACTGTGCCTAGTGAGGGTGACCGCCACCTGCGTGCGAGGAGTAATGGCTCGAGTGATTAGGACGTTGAGTTTTTTTTTTTTTTTCGTTCTTCGCGATATCTGCGGTCTTTGGATCTCTTCTCATATCTCCCATCTCGTCTCCCAATACCATCGCTTTTGGTTTCCATTTGTCTGACTCTTGAAATGCAACTGGATACAAGGGAATGTTTTCACAATTCACAAAACGAAAAAAAAAAAAAACTTAGCGCTCAGTTAGTGCGATTGATCATAGAGTCTGTTGCTCGGAGTTGCGAAAGGAGTCAGACATAAAGATGGAGAAAGGAGGGCGTAAGAAGCAGGCCTTTAAAGAAACCACTGTCATGCTTTTCAGGCCGTTAGGAGTTTGGTCATGGCCCATGGATCAGGCTTGCGGTGGTCATCTACCTTGTTTGGTAGCAAGTCACGTCCATCATCGTGAATGGACTTGGACCCCACCGGTCAGGGGTTGGAAAGCCGCTCGAAGCTATGATTATTTCCTCCTCCAGGGAGAGAACCATGTACATTCGCGTGTATGAAGTTGGGCTTGACTGGTTGACAAGTTGGAAAGCCATCAAAGCCATTGCCATCTATCTGGTTGGCTGGCTGGCTCCATATTCCTGTGTCTTTAGACTTGAATTTGACCACCTGAGCCCCAGAAAGGCAGTTTAGGTGATATAGAATAGCTCAGAAACTCTTGGACTCATTGACATACGACATCCCATCCGCAAGGCCCTCGTTAATAGGTTACACAAAGTTTCCCTTCGATCTCTCTGGGGTAATTGTCCTCTAACTTGACCGCCAACCACTAGACGTGGCAACGACCTGGTACGGATAAAATTCTAGTGGATTCAAAAAAACAACCGGCTGTGATGCGTTGTGAATGTGTTTGAGTAAGCAAGGCCAGACATATTATTTTAAGGTGAGGAAAAGCCAAATTCTCGTCGTCAGAGAGGCAACAAACCACGCAGAGGGCGGTTCAGATCTTCTGCAAAAGATATGAAGGAGTGAAGCGCCCTATTTATTTGTGTTAACCTAGAAAAAGTTAAGTCAAATCCAAGTGTAACAAGTCATAAAGCCAAGCAAACTTGTATCCTCCAGATTTTGAAACCTGGCTGTGCTGTGGGGTATTCAAGGTGATCATTCTGAGGGCCTGAGAACAAGAGCCGCAATCAGCTGTCCAAGGCTATCTCGAGGCTATAACTGGATGATGTCATAGATTTTTACTCATAGGACAAGCTGGGGAGGGGAAAGCGATTACATATACACACATGCTACTTAGCCAATTCAAGAAGATGAATCCTCCCCATCAAACATTGCATTAAGCTTGCATTTCTTGAGCAAGGCAGGGCAGCTGGTGTGATCCTGGATTATCTCATCCCACATTTTCGAGCGCTTGTGCAGGTAGTGTAAACACGTAATGATGGCCCATGGCCAACGATCAGCCGATGCCATGCGCCCAGATCCATGTGTCGATCTAACATGCGGATCACAGCCAGGAGCGAAAATGCTACGTGCGGTCGAGAGGTTGGATATACGGATCCATAGCCCAGCCAAGACCAGGCCCCCGCCAAGGAAAAAAGACAGCACAAAAAGGGAAAAAAGACAAGATGCAAGCAGGGGCTGGGCAACTTTGTTTCAACGTCGCTGCTAAGAGTTTTGCTGCATGCAGCTGCTGCTCGCTAACACTCGGGGCAGCTCCCGTTTCTTCTCTTGGGTAGGTGCTGGACAAGGGGATGTTTCAGAGTTTCAGGGTTTCACGGGAGGTGGGTTGTGTCTAGTGTCAGAGCCACTCGGACCTCCAGGACCTTGAGGGGTCTTCAGGGGGCCTCCAGGGGCCATCCAAGGCCCGCCCGGACTCCTTCAGATCGCCTCGGCTCCAGATCTCCCGCCAGAAGTAGGGTAAGTAGCAGTAGGGCAGCACGAATGGCGATGGACAAATCAGTCCGCTGCCCTACCAGCCAAGAAGACTTGAGACACTTCCTGTTCGGGGTAGACTCGTCCCGACTGCGAGCCGCCTCGATGCCACTCCGCCTTGCTTGGAGCATGCGAAGCATGCCCGGTTCGCCATCCTTGTCGCCCGTCATGCGGCTCATGCTCCCATCACAACCCCCGGTTCGGAGCATCCAGGAGCGTACAGGAGCTGTTCGATGTCAATCTTCCCAAGCGTCCGTGGCACATCCCCTGGGCCCTGGGAAACATGCCCACTGATATATCGGGGCGCTCATGGCATGCCGTCTTCCATCCTCTTCTTCCCCCCTTTTGGCTCTCCAGCTGCCACTCTGCCAGCCTGTTATGCCGTCGCTTGTCCCCAGAGGGTGACTGGTGTGGTTTTGTTACTCTTCTTTTCTTCTGTCTTTTCTTTTTTGGTTTTGTTGTTCTCTTCGTGTGCACTGCGGGCCAGGTCTCTTGCTTTTCTCTTGTCGATTTATTGACCTTTGACTTGCCAGCTCGGTCTGGCTCACTGTAGCAGCAGCACTCTTTTACACATCTTATCACATAATCCGTCCAGCTCGCGTGTCCCGCCGCCGCCACCAACGACGACCACAACGACGACGATGCATCTGTCCACTGGCACTCTTGTCACGGCCCTCCTGGCCGCAGCCGTCCAGGATGTGGCCGCAGCTGCGCAGAACGACGGCTACCACATCCAGACAGTCGCCAACCCTCCGCGCGCCAGGAGTTTGACTGACGATGCCACCGCGACCGCGGCAGTTGATTCCTCTACTGTCGAGACGTCAGCCACCATTGAGACATCGTCGGTCCTCGACACATCAGCAGCCATCGAAACTTCGGCCATTGCTGCGACTTCATCAGCCCTCGTGTCTCCTCCTCTCGCGCCGCTTGTGCCGCCCGACAGCCCTTCTGCCATTGTTCCCCCTTCCATTGTGACGTCTGCCCTAACTACGTCAGCGGCTCTTTCGTCGACCACATCGGTCCTCACCTCTGCCAGCCCGGCCTTTAGTGCGACTGCGACTGCGACTGCGACTGCGACCACTTCTCAAGCACAAGCAGGGACAGCATCGACCTCCAGTGCCGCTGCCGTTTTCACCCCCCTGCCCATCACCACCTCGGTTGCCGTAGCAACCCCCATCCCTCCCGAGGTCCTCTCCTCTCTTCAGTCCAGCGCTTCTGAGGCTGCTTCATCCGCTGCTTCTGCCAACGAAGAGGCGGCGAGAGGAGGCCTAAAGCAGCCACCTGGTTTGCAGAATGGCGCCCCTGGCTCACTACTGCCCCTACCCGGTCTGGTCAATGCCCCAGTTTCGCTCCAGCCTCTGCCGGGACTGACCCTGACCACTGGCACTGAGACGGAAACAACGGAGACAACGCCCACCACTACGGACTCTTCTGCCATCGAGACAGGTACTGATGCAACAACCACCTCTGACGTAGACTCAGAGACTTCTACAGGGCTGCTGCAGCTTCCTGGTTTCATCAACACCACACCGGCCTCTCTGGCGCCGCTGCCCACTCTCGACACAGATACTCCAGTCATCGGCGTCATCGTGGATGACAGTTCATCCACCGAGACCAGCGAGCTTGAAAGCTCGACTTCGACCTCCGACTCCTCGACTGAGACGCCTACCACAACTGCTCGCATCGGCTTCTTCACCCCCATCCTCATCAGTTCCACGACCACAAGCGCGACAGATTCCTCGACTACTGACGCTGCTGTCATCGGTTCCTTCACGCCGATTGGCACCGGCATCATTGGAACCGGCGCCCTGACTTCTTCGTTTGCCATCCCGACCGAAAGTGCTTTCTTTCCCTTCCCAAACAGCACTGCGACTACTGCTGCTGGCGGCGTGCTCACCCCGCTCCCTGGCGTTGCTGCCCCGACCGGCTCGCTCTTGTCTCCGGGCGTCAGCGGCACTGCAACAGATGGTGATGGTGTCTTGCAGCCATTGCCCACGGATAGTGTTGCCATCACGGCTACTGATGGCACCTTGCTGCCTCTTCCTACTGACACCCTGGATACCACCGGTACCGGCTCGCTGCAGCCTCTTCCCACTGATAGCCTGGATACCACCGGCACCGGCTCGCTGAAGCCTCTGCCCACTGACGGCATCGACACTACTGCTACGGATGGTTCACTCCAGCCGCTTCCCACTTCTGGAGTCGATACTTCCGCCACCGCTACTGGCACCGATGCCCAGTCGCCGCCTCTAACCACCAATTCTATCGCCACTGGCACCGGCTTCATCCTCGCCCCAACAGACGTGTCCTCTTTCCTTACCTCCATTCTCAGTGCTTCTTCCTCGGCCTCTGTTCAGCTGACTACCCTCACTACCGTCAGCAATGGTGTCACTCAGACACTAGTGACTAGCGCCACGGCCGCCGCCGCCGTGCAGACTGGCATTGGCGGCATCAACGTCGACACCAACGAGGCGGACACGACGACCGATTCGCTCACCACTGGCGCTGGCACGGAGAGTGTGGATCGGAGGAAGGGCTTGTGGATGGCCTTGGTGATGGGAGCAGTCGGTGTTTTTGCCGGCCTGCTTATGTAAACGATTAAAAATCAGGAGAAAGGTGGGGAGGGGCGCGAGTTGTGGTAGTAACCACGAAATAATGATGAGCCTTGGGAGATAGGACTGACTCTTTCTTTGGTACTGGTATATATACCATCATTTAAGATTTGATTTATGTGTTTTTTGTTCAAGATACCTCCACGTTCGATCAACTTGTACTTAGAACACAACTGGCACATGCCCTCCGGACCATTTACGTAGGGCTATAAAACAATATTTATAACACAAAAGTAAAGAACCAAAAGCCACCGCTTCATCATTTATGTCTGTGCCACTATACCATTTTCACTGTATTATTATCAATATTACCTTCCCCTTCCTCTATCCCTCTTCTGATATTCCCATACCGACTATCTGGATATGCCAACTAATTTCATCCCCCCGTTATTTCTTCTTGCTCCCCGCAACCCCCACCCAAAACTCTGTGGCCACATTTCACACAATGCTCACCCCTTCCCCTGGCTTGTCCCCCGCCTAGTCCCAAAACATCGTGCTTCGAAACGCTTTCTGCACGACGTATTTAACTTCCTCTCGCGCGCTTCGCACTGTCTCATAGGAAATAGTCTTACCCCTTAAGGCACTCCAAGGCCACGAACCAACGACCACGCTGTCGTAGAGCACTTCTGCAAAACCGTCCTGGATGGGGCAGGTCACGATACAACCCAGACGCCTTTTTCGACCGAGCCTTCGCCAACATCCCAGAATTGGGGCCCCAGCGCCGGTCCGGTGGTACCAATATTAAACGACCGCCCGTGCAGCTGCATGCCGAGGATAATTTTCCTTGCCGGATGCCTGCCGCGGTATAATCTTTCACGGCGTGCTTTGTGTTAAAATTAGTTAACTCCGATTTGACTTGAACCGGTACATATTGGCCGGATGACCCGTTATGGTGTCTCACTTGCCGCCGTAAATGCCCTTGAGACAATCAGCTCGATCAATGGCCAAATGTCAGTGTCCCCGGTGGGAGTTTACCAGTTCGCGAAGTATAACGTATTGATATACCTCGATCCATCTGTCCTATTGTGTGCGGCCGGTGGCAGATTGAAATGATAAATGTCTGCAAGAATTGTTGTACCGTTCCAGTAAAACGAGACGCTGGAAGGAATGAGGGGCGATTTTCCTGATTTCAAAGGAGAGGATTTTCCTAACAACAAAGTAAGGGACGTTAGAGAAGTTACAAAGACGCTCAAGAGAAGCTTGGAGAATCAATCATGGCTATCTAACTCCCTATATATAAGACGGTTTTGAGTCTTCGTAGACGTTTGAAGCGAAAAGAAATATAGAGTCGATGCATAGCTTATTAGCACCGAGGGTGAAAGGAATGGAAGGGAGTCTAGTTGGCCACACTCAAACATCGATTGTGAACTCTCTCTCTCTCTCGGGAGGGCGGCGATTTAGATAAAGGATCCGCGGGGTCATGTTTTAGCCTGAGTTGGTGATCATATCTCGGCTTGTCCTGCAGATGGTAGCAGGAAAGGAGCAAGACACCCGGAGCAGATGGCCTCCTGGGTCCTTAGCACGGGCGATACATCGTATGGACAGGTGATTAAGAGATCGACCTGTGGAGCAAAGGAATAGGGCATCTGGATATGGAATCCAATCATCACATTGTTGCTTTTTGGACTTCACCCGTGTTGATCTTGGGTCGAGGAATTCGAGATGAACTGTGACGGCAACATAGGATACATGGCCAGGTGAAAGAAACATGTAGTGGCTTCTTCGACCAGAGGGAATGGGATTTCGGAATAGAGTATTTCAACATTTTGATTGGACAATATTGGTGACTTATTTGCGCATACATATCAGGTCAGGTATCATGATACATAATGGATAGAGGGCGGAAGCAATGAGGGTATCTGATGCCTTTGACAAGGGAGCCACACAATACAATGTAGACGGTTCGGGTGCACACCCGTCTCTGAACATGAATAGATAAATGCGAGCCATCAGTGTCATAATTTCATTGTTCGCGCCGTCCAAGGGTTCTTTCCCGATATCCATAGCCCAAGCGTCGCTGAAATATTCAAAATAGCTGTGTTTTCTAAGTTCCATGACCCACGTCCTCAACGTCACCAGCTGTATATCTGCCTTTTTCTTCTTATTATTACTTGCAATACTATGATGTACGTTAGAAGAGACAACAATAAATAAGCCCATATGAAATGTCTCATGCCCGCTTCATTTGGAAACCCCCCCCTGCTTTCTCATCCTTGCAGTTTACCACCCCTCAGCAGATCTCCTCTTTTCGTTTTCATGTTCACTTGACTTCTAGCAACATCAACAACCTACAGTGCATCTTGTCTCCGATTATCAAGACCTGCTTGCATATCTCTTTTACCCTTCCTCTTCCCCCCTTCTGTCCACTTCTCTATCCACATTTCGGCAACTGGCATGCCCGCAACACTCACTAACCCAGCACCCATCCTTTCCCAGGTGCCCATGCCAAGCCCCAGGCTCAGCAGAATGGTCATTGTCGGCTTGTCCTGCCCAAACTCCACTGCAACAAGCTTTCCGATACCCTCAGTCAGCAGCACAAGCACGGCAGCCAGCACGCCGACAGCCAAGCGGAAGGTCAGAGAGCGAGGCACCTCGTAGTGGGCGATTGTGATGCGCGCGGCGAGGGCGGTTGCGAGAAGGAGGAGCGGGAGGGGAGAAATAGTAGAAGTTTCTGCCCCCGGGCCAGCAGGCACTATGGCAGACAAATAGCGGGGGAGATGCAGACTGGGCAGCAGAGAGGAGGGGGCATAGGCCAGATAGGCGAAGAGAAAGTAGCTCGCGAGGATAAGGCCGCCGTAGATGAGGGCGAGACGGAAGGCAAAGAAGGCCAGGGCGATGTCCCAGAGGACTTCAATGACTCCTTCGGTCGTCTCGAAGAGGAGCATTATCGTTAGTGTTGATTGGGCTGGATGCCTTTGTTAGTGAGTTATGGATTACTGGAGCTATTGCAGCTGAGTGTATAACTCGTTAAGTTCAGAGAAGTTAAATTGTATAACGAGTAACGAGTACGAAGCTAAGGTTGATCAATCGATGGAAGAGTAGTTTGTGCTGATACATAGGGCATGATAACTACCTAGATCTTTTAAATAAGAAAGCTCTCTTGTCAGCGGCCATCCCGGGCCTTGACTAGCGCCCCGCAAGCGGCAACTGGTGATGTCGACCTTACAAAGGAGCCAGTGGTGTGACTGGCTCCAGCAAGGTGCACCCAACTCACCGTGCAGTCACCAGCGCACAGGAAATTCTCCCCAGCGACAATCTCCATCTCCAGTGGCGACTCCAATCGTGATTGCCCCCTTGTCCCGTTCCTGAGCCCGAACCGACCCGCCACAAGCCGATGGTAAGGTGAGGACAAGGTGAGGAGGATGACTGTATGACCGACAACCTGATAAATGATGCAGAGCGCTGATCATCAATCTAAAGAGTAAAGAGCCAGGATAATTAGGTCAAGTATCCACGTCCATCACAGGCCTGTCTTACAAGTGACTTTACACGGCCTGGCAATTGAATATGCCTTGATTGCTTGGTTCATCGTGCTGACTGTCAAAACACGAGATAATGCCACCCTCGAGCATCCATCCAACCCACAAAAGCTCACACAGCAAGTGAATGCACCCGAAATAACTCTATAGCCGTCTTCCAAACTCCCGTAATTCGCCCGCCATCCTTGGGTATCGCTGTGTCCCTCCGCGTGGACCATGCCAACCGCCCTCTTCCATATAGAGAACTATGTGGGCTGTCTATGCATGCCGAGCACCACCATGGAAGTCAACAAGCCCTCTCAAATTTAGATGCTTGTCTTTTCTAGCTTCTTTGAGAGGTCGTCCATGGCCTTCTCTTTCGCTTCAGCCGCCTCCTTCTCGGCAACCTTCGCCTCAACATCGTCCTTTTCTTGCTCCTCCTCAGACTCGGCCTCTGACTCCTCTTCCTCCTCCTCCTCCTCCTCTTCTTCTTCTTCCTCTTCTTCCTCTTCCTCGAGATCGTCTAGCTCGTCGAGGCCCCACTCGTCCTCGTGCACGATGTCACCACCGAACTTCTCCTTGCGTTCCTCGAACAGCTCCTGCAGCGCAGCGATAGACTTGTCGTCCTCGCTGAACTGGTTGCCGTTGAGCTCCAGGCGCTTGAGTGCCGGCAGTGAACCACGCACAGCATCGTAGAGCGCCTTAACGCCGGCAGAGTTGATTTCATTGTACTGAAGCTTCAGCACCTCCAGCTTCTTGTTGTAGCCGTGAGCGAGGGCATCCGCAACCAACAGACCGCCCTTGGCCTTGAGCAACGAGTCGCTGACGCCGAGCTCAACCAGTTCGGTCCAGTTGGGCAGCACTTCGGCTAGGGCTTTGGCACCCGACACGGTGAAGGTGTTGTCCTGCAGGTCCAAAACCCGCAGCTCCTTAGCGTGGCTCAGGCCATCGCGCAACAGCTGCTCAATGCCCTCCTGGCGGATGCCGTTCTGCACCATCCTGATCTCGCGAACTTTATTGTTCAACTTGAACGCTTTGGCCCATGACGCCATGCTGCCGCTCTCCAAGCGGTTGCGCCCGCAGATGACCGTCTCCAGATCGGGCACCTCCTGACCGCGCTTGCGCGCCTCCTCCTTCTTTGCATGGAGCTCGACCAGCGCGTCCGCCACTGCGCTGCCAGCGTGAGGGCCCAGCCCGTTATTGTTGAGGTACAGATGCTGCAGCGGCACGTGCTGAGACAGGAAGTCTACAAGCTCATTCCTGAGGTTGTACCCAAATGCGTTGTCGTTCAAGTTAATAGTGTTGAGCTTCGGCAGGTTGATGATTGGGGTGAGGAGCCCCTTGAGCGCCTCCGGGATCTCGCTGAGAAGGCGCCCGGTGAAGATGTCGGCGAAGTTGGCGACCTGACACGGTCCCCCGTCAGTATGGGAATTCGGAATTCCTTCCTACCTGCTCCTGGGGACCTACCCGCAGTGTCTGTTTTGTCGCGAGCACCTCGCCAAGCAGCTTGCAGGCGCCGATGCCCAGCGTGTTGCCCAGCAGCCGCACCTCCTCCACGTCGTCCAGGGCGCGCAGGGCAGCGATATGGGGCTCCAGGTCCTCGGCCGTATCGAGCTTCAGGCCCTTCCCCTCGAGGGAGAAGATTTTCGTGGAGGCAGCCATTGTTGCTAGAGTGCACAAAATTGTGGTCAGCTTAGGGACCGCTTGTCTATGATGCAAAAAATAGCCAAATATTTTGGGTTGTTTGGGTAGTAAGGTGGTTGGTTGCCCCCAAGCGTGGAAAAGCGAGATAGCAGACTCGGTTTATTTGTTTCCTAGGCCCGTTATGTGTTATGGTGGGGGAGGGGTAGGCTGCTGAAAAGACCCTGCGCTGGGCGCTGGGCTGGCCCCACTTGTATCAAACGCTGACTCTTCCACGTTACCAGCCGCCGTGATTGGTCAGGTCCATCCATGCATCACGGTGCGGCTTCGACTGCCTGTCAATGCGTCACATCAACCTTGACCGAGACAAAGATCATGATTACAATGTACAATTAAACATTCCATAGACATCATCACTTCATTAGCTATGAGCTGTCATTTTGCGGCCAATCTCAGCGCCTACGGATAACTGAAAACCCAGGTTTGGATTGCACTCAGGGTTAGGGTCTCATTCTTTGGCTCAGAGCCTGGGCACACCACACAGTATGTGTGGGGTGCGACGCGGGAGACAGTGAGGAATCAACCAATCAGGGATCGCAGACAGCTGAGAGACCTGCTTGAGACAGCTGGAACCAGTTGTCTACCATGATGTCCGTTTCCGGATCGTACGGCCCCATCTTAGCGCCAGAACTCGGAACCACGGCCCCTTGCAGCGCGTCGCAGCGCATTCGATTTCGGCGTCGCAGCATCGCTGTCGGCTGCCAGCTGCCTGGTGTGGTGTTGCTTGGGATTTGGGTTTGGATCAAATCGTCCACAGCGAAGCCGACCGCATCTCACGCATCACACCGTTTCCTGCGCTGCAGTCCAGCCGCGCCCACAGACCACCCGACGAACGCTGCACGTAAACTGCACGTAGAAATTTTGCTTTATTGCATTTCCAGAGCTATCTCGATTCTATTTCCATGTGCCAATCGTTTTTCGCAACCAGAGCCTACGGCTGCGATACATTTCTGGGTTAAAAGTCAGGTCAACCACATTCGACTCTTCCCTCCATTATCATCGTCATCATCATCCCAACGATTCGTTCTCGTTTCGGTCGCAGAAGCGGTCCATCCGCAAATCAAAGACGCCTTCGTAATCTCCTAAGCGCTCATCAGCAAGCCGCTGTTCCCGTCTCAACCTACCATAGGCACCGGTATTGTCGCCAACAACAACAACAACAACAACAACAACAATGGCCAGACCAGACTCTCCCGTCGACGACTCCCCTCTCTCATCAATGGAGTCAACCGACGACGAATTCCCCGAGGAGGCCACCGAGATCATGGACGAGGGCCCGCCAGCGAAGCGCATCAAAACGGTGAACAGGTCCAATACACCATCTGCGGTCACGCAAGAGCCTGATGCCGACCCTGATCCGCTCGAGGGCATGTCCGATGTCTCATCCGACACCGACGGCGACGTCCCTAGCTCGCCGCTCAACGCGCGCCAAGACGAAGATGACTTCCAGGAGCAGATCACCGTCTGCGCGTGGGAGGGTTGCCGGGCCGGCGACCTGGGTAACATGGACAACCTCGTCGAGCACATCCACAACGAGCACATTGAGAGCCGCCAGAAAAAGTACACGTGCGAATGGGTTGGTTGCTCGCGCAAGAGCATGCCGCATGCTAGTGGCTACGCCTTGAAGGCGCACATGCGCAGCCATACGAGGGAAAAGCCTTTCTACTGCTACCTACCAGGTCAGTATCGTTACCATCCGCTGCCAAGGAGCCCTCGTTCTAACCGACTGTGCAGAATGCGACCGCGCCTTTACCCGCTCCGACGCCCTTGCTAAGCACATGCGCACTGTCCACGAAACCGAGGCCCTGCGCCCCTCCGATCCCGTGCCCAAGAGCATGCAAGCCGCCCAAGGGGCTAACAAGGCCTCCAAACTTAAGATCATCATCAAAACTCCCCACTCCCACTCCTCCATCCGCACCGGCGCCGGGAACAGCGCAGCCGGCGATGAAACTCTCGACGAAGATGGCAGCGCAGGAGGCGACGACTCGTCCGTTCCTGATATGTTCACTCCCCTGTCCGAGGAACAAGGGTTCACGCCCGAGGAGCTGGCGATGCCTCTCGAGCGGCTGGTGAAGCTTTGTCGACTGCAGGTCAAGTGGTCGGAAGAAGAAGGTGAGCGACTTCGTGCTGAATGCAAGCGCTGGGAGGAACTGTACAAGCAGGAGTGGCTGGAGAAGGAGGTGCTGCTGGAGCAAGTCATTCGCAGCGAGCAAGAGTGGCATAAGCGCAAGCTGGCAGATGCTGCTGCTGCTGCTGCTGCTGCTGCTGCTGGAGATAATAATAACCATGGTAATGAAGATGTTGAGATGACGGATGCTCCCGCTCAGGGCGGCGGTAAAGGAGAGGGCGAGGCTAAGGTGAGGGATGTGAAAGAGAAGAGTGCAAAGGAGGTCGCTGCCGTCGGGGCATAGAAAGCTAAGCGGCAAATACCGCCGTTTAATAAAGAATGGGCTGCTTTGCGTTTTGGCATGGGTTGGTTGGCATGATTTACGAGGAGTTCGGTTTTCGGGATGGATTGGGCAGCTAGACAAACGGAGCTGCGTCAAGGTGCTTTACCAAATTTTCGGTATACAGTTTTCATCAACAGGCGTTAAACAATAAGCACTTCGTTTCTTTGCTTGGGTGATCCAAAGAAAAAAAAAATATCCCCCTGGGAGATCATGAATTCTGGACTATAGAAGTGCCTAGGGACCTATCTACATGGTGGATGGTTATGTGCCTCCCGGAGCAATCTACATATCAAGATCCAGGAGCTGATCAGGTGTGAAGTTATGTTAAGGAAAAACTATCTCAAAAATGGTCTTTACATAAAGCTTAATTTTACTGTATGCTTTGCTCCACGCATCTTACGAAGCATCTCTATGAGGAGCAACGTTTGCGATGCCCTTCACCCACAACATCCCTCAATTTACTGCCGATGTTGGGATATTGCCAAAGCCAAATAATTATTTCGGTAACTTTGACCAAAACTCTTTATAGGACAGAGAAAGCATAAACTTGAATAAGTGATATAAAGTCACAGTTGCTTCTGGATGGGCCCACGCGTTTTCGTTGCATAGCCCCTCGATTCATCCCAAGTAGGCATCGTATCGTCCTTTCCACTCCATATTAGAAAACCCATCCAAACAGCCGTGCGATGCTGTTGGGGACTGGAGCTACTAGATGAGATCTGAAGAGTAGTCAGAGCCGCGGAGTCATCGAGGTGGGGCGGATAAGGGGATAAATAGTACCAGTTTTCTACCCCTTCCGGCTTATCATTTCAATGGGACCATTTAACAACGAGCTAAGTAACAATTTTGCAATGGCAAAGCCCAGAATGTGCGTTCCAATCACGGTGCTGCTGGTGTTGTTCTTGCTCAGGTCCAGTCGCGGTCATCTATACGGATGTACCTAGTAAATACGTACTTCACCACAGAGGCCCAGACTCCAGTTAGGCGGGACAGATCCCTGTCGGTTCCTGAGCCCCTACGTCATTGTTTCACTAATCGGAGTTGTCTGATTGGTCGATTATCATTAACTTCGTGGATAGCGGGGCCACAGAAGAGTGCGGGACGCGGGGCGGCGTGGACATCGACCGCCACTGTGAAAGCCGATGTCGCATCGAGAGCGGGATGCATTTCAAAGCAAAGTTCAACAACCGCTGCGAGATTGAATGATCCATCCATTTGCACATCTCCGAGGAAATTATAAGACAACTTGAGATCCTGGTTTTTCAAGCTATTTATCCAAAGACAACTGCCGTTGATTGACTTTCCTTCGCTCAGTCAGTTAAAGGCAACTCCAGCCTGTTCCCTCTTGGCCATCTTTCAGCACCAAAGATCCTCCTGATGATCCTTGCGCGTGTCAAGGGTCTAGCGTTGATCGCAGGATCGCAACAGCAACGGAGCCGTCTGAACCAGCATTCTCTGTTTCTTAGGTCTAAACCTTAGAGCCCCCTTGCGAACCCGCTCAAGAGGCTTCCAGGCACCATCTTCCCACCATGTCTGCTATCCTATCCGCCGACGACCTGAACGACTTCATCAGTCCCGGTGTCGCCTGCATCAAGCCGATCGAGACCATTCCCGCACCACAACAAGACGCCACGACCTCCTCTAGCGAACCAGAAGTCATCCTCGACGGGCAACAGCCCCAACCAAGAGCCCCTGCCCAAATTTCACTAACTGACTGTCTCGCCTGCTCTGGCTGTGTCACCTCCGCCGAAGCTGTCCTCGTCAGCCTGCAGAGTCATGCCGAGGTCCTGAGCGTATTGGATGCCGCGCCGGCGCTTGAGCTTGTGTATGATAAGCAGAGCGGCTCAGTCGGCGTGCGCGGTCTTGAGAACCCAGATTCCAAGCTGCTTATAGCCAGCGTGTCGCCACAGACAAGAGCCAGTCTTGCGGCCGCTGCATCTCTCGGCCATCACGCAGGCAAGAGGGTGACGGACCAGCAGGCTGGGTGGATGATCGAACACCTCTTTCGCGGCGAGCGAGGACTGCGGCAGGGGGGCAAGTTCAAGAATGGTTTTACGTGGATTGTGGACACAAATGCGGCGAGGGAAGCTTGTCTTCTGCTGGGGGCGGACGAAGTATTGGATCAGCAAGGGTCGGCAGCCACGAATACGGGGAAGGTAATAGCGCCGGTATTGACAGCGTCATGTCCTGGATGGGTGTGCTACGCGGAAAAGACACATCCACATGTTCTTCCTCACCTTTCACGGGTGAAATCCCCGCAGGCGCTTACGGGAACGCTGCTGAAGACAACCCTTAGTCGGATACTGGGGATACCGCCCAGTAGGATATGGCATCTGGCTATTATGCCGTGCTTTGACAAGAAGCTAGAAGCTAGCAGAGAGGAGTTGACGGATGCGGTATGGGGGAACAACAGCACAGCGATGGACTTCACAACAGGAGGAATAGGGAAGAGTAAGGGGAAAGGAGCCAGGGATGTCGATTGCGTTATTACCAGCAAGGAGATCCTCATGCTCGCCGCGTCAAGAGATCTAGACTTCTTCGATATGCCTAGATCAGCGCCGCCATCTGAGCAGCCTGCCTTCCCCGACCCCATCATCCACCGCTTCCTTTTCCCATCTTCTTCTCGTCATCGCAAACAACCTCGCGACGCGGGCACTTCTGGTGGAAATCTCTTCTTCATCCTGCACACCATTCAATCGCGACATCCCGGCTCGCAGATCCAAACGACACGCGGGCGCAATGCTGACGTAGTTGAATTCTCGGTTGTTCAGCCTTCCTCTGGAGAGATCCTCTTCAGGGCAGCGCGCTACTACGGTTTCCGCAACATACAGAATCTCGTGCGGAAGTTGAAACCCGCCAAGGCATCTCGCATGCCTGGCGGGAAGCCGTTTGGCAGTGCAAGAAGGCCTACGCTAGGGGTTGCCGGCAGCCGATCAGCCACAGGGCTTGATTATGGTTACGTCGAGGTTATGGCGTGTCCGGGAGGGTGCACCAACGGCGGCGGCCAGATTAAGGTTGATGACCAGGTAATCGTGGACCGCGAAATTTTTGGGGAAAAGCCGGGGCCACAGGAGCAAAAGGCGTGGCTGGCGGAGGTAGATGAGGCATACTTTTCGGCTGACGAACCGGATAATGGGGCCAGTGGCTTGTGTGATGACAGTGAGAAGGATTTGGTAGCGGGGATATCTCCTTCACGGGTCCGAGATACCCTGGCGCATTGGTCCAAGATCACAGGGATACAGCTGGATAAACTGGTGTATACGAGCTATCGCGAGGTGGTGAGCGACGTTGGAAAGCGCCAAATGACCGACACCGAGCGCGTCGTCCAGCTGGCTGGGAAGATTGGCGGAGGTTGGTAAGGTCGGATTTTGGGATACCTGGGAGTCATTAGACAAATAGAGAGAATTTTCTGCATAGCTAGAATTTTATCAGCCCGCTTCTGATCTTCCGCGCCTGGCGAAGCCGAATCCTCTCCCACTGCCGTCTGGACCCCTCGGTGAACGAATTGGCTGGGTATCATCTTTAGGAACTCTCGATCCACTCCCCTGATGAGGGGATGCGTCGCCCCTCCGCTGGACACTGTAGCCACCCTTTTTGGGATCATACAGCTCTCTTGTTTCACCACCCAACTGTGTCTGTCTGCGGTCCTGGCGCCCGCCATCCCTGTCGCGGTCACGGTCGCCGCGGCCACGACCACCACGGCCCCGACCCCGGCCCCTATGACCATGACTCCCTCCCAGCCGTCCCTCCGGAGGAGTAACGCTGCCAGGGGAAGACTGTCCCGATGATGGGTTCGACTCGCCAAAGATCTTGGCCCGCGCTTCTTGATAGCGCCGCTGCTTCTCTTCAAGCTCGCGCTGCTGGCGTTGCCTGATCTCCTCGGGCGATTCCTGCGGCTGTTTTTTTGCTCTTCTCCTCGTCGTCTTCGTCATCTCGGAGTGTCAACTGCTCCACCATGCCCGTGATGGGATCTTTTCGAGAGATGACGTGTGGCGTTGGCTTGCGACTAAGAACTTTGATTGGTTGTTTGAAAGGCGTGGTGAGGGGAAGGTTGTCATTGACCGAGACAAAGACTGGTGGTTCTTGGGGAGCATCGCTATGCCTTTTGTCAGTGAGGATGTCTTTGAATAGATAGGAGGTTGCCAGAACAAGAACTCACGCTTCTTCCCATAGCCTGCGATTCTCCTCAGCATGCTTGGCCATGAGCTCGGCACGTGTCAAACGTCGTGGCTCTGGGTCAGGCTCTGGGGGCTCCTTCGCTAGCCGGTCGGCTTGGACCTCCCAGTCTTCATCGTCCCAAACATCGGGGACCTTTTTGCTTGAACTCATGCTAATGTTGTTGTGTCCTAAACCCTAAATTGTATATTCTCAGAAACTGTTGGATGAGATAGACCTAGGTAGGAAGGATGGGTACTGGATACAGATCGCCGCAACGAAACGCGATGATCCGGGACCAAAAATTGGACACAGATCGGCCGCCATAGTTGTTGCTTGGACCGGCGGATCAGGCACTGCTGCACGCGGCCGATCCAATCTGACCGGGGTCTTGTCCCACTTCAGCCCCGCGACGCGCACAGACCATACGCTAGCCCACCCACAGGGCGCCCAATCAATTGCCCGCAGTTACCCCATCGGAATGAGGGGCAGCTTTTTGGATATGGTTGGCCATTGATAGGTTGGCTTCTGGGAGCTTGCACATCCACATGTATCTTTTCCCTCTCTGACTTTGGGCTCACCGACTTGGGAAGAGGAAGACTGGCTGGCAGTTGTAAGACGTACAATACTCCTCAGACAGCTTGGATTGAAGGGTCCCGTGTGTGTATTCGGCAACATACATTGAGAGCTCGCTACTTTCCCCTGACATTCGTCGTTGGACGTCATCTCAAACTGAGAGCTGAACGCTTGCTCTCCCGGCCCTAGCCTCGCCTTTTTGAGCGTCGCACCATGAACGTGAAAGACACACCTATGGACCAAGGTGTTGCCTCCATGACTAGCCCGAGTCAGTCAGGGCCAAGCCCAACACAAGATGATGCCAAAGTCGGCCCGGGCTCCTGGAATACTAAGAAGTTTCGTGATGAGTATGAAACACTAAAGAATAGGCTGCTTGATTCCCAGTTCAGCGTTGGTATGTTGTCTTCTGCCGAAGCAAAACCCCCACAAAGCTGACCCAAATTCAAAGCTGAATATCCTGATCCGCTGGCTCCCAAGCCTCCCCATCCGAAGCAGTATCCTGTTGGAACAGGCCCAACCGTGGAGCAGAGGCTATTGAAACTCATCTCAGAAATCAAAGCAGCCAACGAAAACTGAGCTAATAGAGGACTTATCGCTGACCTTGATCTTTCCATGACAAAATGGACAAAACAGCAGTGCGTAATGTGTTCGCTGGTCTGTATCGGCGAACCAGAGCTCTGGTAACAGCATGTAGTTGGAGTCTCGGAGTTGGGTCAGGTTCAAGTGTGCTGATACCAGGAATGAGGTCAGAATCCTATAAACTACCTAGCGGTTAGTGTGAATTTAAGCACATACTGTTGGTGTTGACTCCAGTGGTTCTATTTTTGCTTCTGACGATGGCACTTGTTTTCCCGGACCGGCAGTCCGCTACTTTCAGCTTTAATCTAGGTTTCGTACTAGCAATAGCTGGTGTAATATACATGTGGATAAAACACAAGCAAACAATGTGTTTATTTATGAGATATACACCCACAAAGTCTTTGGTATCGTCATGCCATGATCAGCCATTGCAAGGGGTCGCAGAGGGTTTGTTTGTTTTGAAGTAGAAGTTATCATCATATGGGCTTATTTTGCTTTTCACAGACAAAAGGCTCGAGAACTGAAAAGGGTGGAAACTGCAGAGATGACTGTGTTAACAACTTAGCGACAGTATTACCTGGCAAAAGCAACTCTGGTCAGGTCGCTTATGATCATTCCAACAACATTTTCCAATCCTATATATCGCCGAATCAGTGAAGATAACTGCATTTACACTGCCCTCCACTTGTGCTTCTGGAATGGGAAACTGCAATATCATCTGGGTACTTGAGTATTGACACGACAGGCAGTGACAGCTGAAGAGAATAGCCCTATCAATCACAGTATCTTTCAACCGGGGATACTGGCGGGATTCTCCATGATCCTAGGGCCAGCCCGGCTCTTCTGTGTAACGTGGGACACGGGGTTGTAGTCGGGGAACTAATTATCCGAAGCTGGCATATCTGAGCCGGGAAGTTAAGCGGGGGCTGTCTGACACCAGCACACTGTCCAAACGGGATCCTAATGTTGGAGTGCAAGTGAGATGGAAAAATCTGCAAAGAGTGCATGTCCTAGGACATATGGAATAGTGTCTCAGTGGCTCAGTTTATCAAATGGGTACCTACACAATGTAGCCAGTAAGCTTAAGACACCAGTAGTAGGCTGTCGTCGAGACCAAATTTGGGAACTTTACTTACCAGTTAATGGTAGGGAAGTACGTTGGCAAGTGTAGGATGTCAATGCAATTGTAACCCTACCGAGTACCTAACTCATCTCTAGATACCCCGCGCGTCCTGAAGTCCTCACAAGAAGTCGAGATGAAGAGCCCTAGCAAGATCGTCGACAAATTGAGTTTAGTCAGCACCTTGGGCTTGGTGGCCAACTGCTGGATTATTGCGGAGGTTTTTAAAATCACAGGTGGAGCAAAGTTTGCCCACCATCATGGACTCAACTTTTGCCAAAAAGCCTTTGATGCCATGGCTTGCCATGTCACCACAACTTGCAAGTCACTGCTATATTCATGGACAGACTTGCAGAGCCCAAATAACACGCTACGCCTGAGAATGTGACACTTTCTGGCTGTTACTACCCAGGTCGACTTATGTGAGGTGAATAAAAAGATGACCCATTGGTTGAGTGGAAAGTCTCAGTTATCATCGCCTTGTTCTTTCCATCAAATCTGTTCACGGTGAAGCAGGGACGCGGCGATGGCCTTTCCTTTGCTGGCAATTACCTACAACCTTCGGGCTGCCTGCATGTCAATGTAACTGTTTGGGGTTAACTGCAATACGTGGAGTGTCTAGGAAAAAGAATCATTTAATTTTGATGTTCATGTTGATGCAATGACAGCGCAGAGTCCAATCACTGAAAAAAATCCGTGAAAAGATACAGGTTAGAAAGTGGTTAGCGTCTCGTGGAAGTTTTAGCGAGTCCTACAGCTCGAGCCAAGCCAAGCAACAGGCCCAGGTCGGCGAACCTTGCTCTCGCCATATTCCATTACGGATCTCCCATCATCCGAACCTCTGCTTTTTTCCAAGCTGTCCAAACTCTTTCCTTACTTACCGTTGATAACGCGACAACCACCTTCCTTTTATCGTTCATTTCCAGACTTCGTTTCCGGCCTGGAGCTGCGTATCTGCCAAGCTTTGTCGTTTTCAGCACTGCTGGTCCCGTGATTCTTGACAGCTCCGTCTATAGTCGTGTCGCTTGCATGACAGGCGCTAGCCTTCATTTTTGTCTGCCAACCAGAGACCGGTGCAAGACGACTAAAAAGACCCGCAACCTGAGCACCAACCAGGGTTGACCAACATTAGCAATTCAACTGACAGCTTTTGCTCGCTTTGTCACAAAATTTGCCAAAAAGGCAGCGTGTGTGCGCTAATAGCAGGTGCCCTGATCTCTTGAACAAACAGAAGGCCGACGACGGCTAGCATCGATTGCTCCTCCCATTATCGTTGCCACTACAAGTTGGTCGTGCCCCTCAACCCCCCCCCCCCTCTCAGGTCAGTTTGGGTTTGTTGACCCTAGGCTCGGCAGGTCTCGGCAGCGATCCCCTCAGAGCCCCACCAGTGGTACGGCGGTAGGCGCACCAGAATCGCGGGGCATTTGAGGGCAAAGGCATGCTGGCATCCTTGTGTGAACCACACCCCTCTGTTTATTGAGAACTGCTGTTTGTTCACTGCAAAACAATCCCAGAGATTGGTGCGTGGAACTGTCTGTTCCGTAAAACAAGGTTGGTTATCCCGCCTCGATGCAAAACCGTCAAAACCTCACAACCTAACTGTTAAGACCTGCAAACCAATTTTGAGAACGCGCCACGACCACAAGCCTTAGCCGACGAACGCTTCCCAAGCATTGATCCGCTGACCTCACCACCGCCATTACTTGCAAGCACATATCCTTGGCCAGCAACAGTCCCAATACACGTGCGACAAACAGCAACGCCAGCTTTATTTCACTGCAGTCGCTCTATACTAGCTTGTCGAAGTGCGGGTCCGTGAAGGACCTGAGACCTCACCAACCGACCACAGTGCCTCAGGTTCACCTCAAGTGCCATCTGCCTGGCATTTATTGTCATTTCCAACAAGACACAATGTCAGGCACGCCGTCATATGGAGAGCCCACGAGTTCTGGGAGCTTTGACCTGTTGCGGAGAGCAACACAAGCCGTTATGGCGAGGTACGTGGTTGGTTTTTTTTTCTTACTCTTTTTTAATGTTATTCTAGCTGTTTTGGCACTGGCTTCATCTCCCCTTCTAAGTATGCTGCTGCTCTGTCACTGGCTTTAATACCTATCCAGGTCACCCTCGCACATCCCCTTCCCCTCGTTCCCTTATTCTGGCTTCTATTACACTGCATGATTGCTCAGCTTCGGCTGATGAGCCTCATACGCCAATTCTTCATGTTGCGCCTCGTTGGCCGACCTCAGCCTGGAGCAGTCAAATCAGGATTGGCTCTCTGTTCGCTATCACCAGCTGTCTCTCTCTCTCTCTCTCTCTCTCTCTCCCTCCTCTCTCTCTCCCTCTGAGAGGTCTGGAAATGGTCTGGATATGTACCTGCATGACCTGCGATACTTACAGCAGCTCTCAACTCTCAGTCTGGCTCTAGCCAAGCATCGCGAGTGCAGATGCTCTTGGTGCAGGGGGGGTATGAGGGCCTATGAGACCGGGCAGGAAGAAGTGCTTGACAAAATCTGCCTGTGTGTGCAAGCATGCCATTATGGCTACTGCTGCATTGGCATGCGAATCTGCCGCATCGCGGTCTCCTGTGACTGAGCTGTTGTCAGTTGTTGTGTCAACCAGGTCAGGTCTATACTTCCGAGTCCCAGAGGCAAGCTTTCATGGCACATGCAAAATCCACCCGCCTGCCGGTTACGCAGGCTGTTGGCCACTGCCGGTCGCTGCAACAAATGTGGATGTACTCTGTGCCCGGGGATGCACGCTTATCAGCGGTGCGAACCGAAGCCCGGAGCACCTGGAGACCTACCGGTAGCCTGACTCGCTGCCAGAGCGGCCCGGGGGGCTTTGAGCAGGCTGGGAGCGAGAGCGAGTCGCTGAAGGGTTGAAGCATGACAAGCAGCAATAGCCCTGTCTCCGGAGTTCATTCTTTCACAAATCCCCTTCTTTCCCCTGGCCACAGGCCATTACCACTGGGCTCCCGTCAAGAGTCGTGTCAGTGTCCAGTGTCGGCTCTGCACGCCCTCAACCCCACCATGCCCTCACAGACCCCGAAAAAACCACATGGCAAGCGGCAAGGGTGCTTGCTCCATCCTGGAACGAACAGGGACTTTACAGCACCACTCTCTCGGCCAGAAGGGGCCCGACCCATGAACTCTGCCGCTTGCTCTGCATAGATTGCAGTTGCAAATCTTTTTGTGCGCCCAGGTGCAGCCTTTCTCATCGCGGCCGATCTCATCTTACACGACAATTTTCAACCTTTTTTTTTCCATTTTGTTTTCTAAGCTCGATTCCCTTCTCTGCCCGGTGCCTCTCCTCCCGTCTCTCTGTCTCGGTCTCGCTGCCTAGCCTGCACAGTGCCTAGCGCCTGCTTCGCTGCACTTAAACTTTTTTACCCCGGGTCCTCTCAGCTCACCGGCTGGAGAACTTGCCCCATCTGCCCCCCCCACCCCCGGCCCGGGCCCAGGCCGATCAACTGTCATGGTCTAGCGAATCGTCTTTTTTCTTTTCCGCGATTTCAACTTCAACTTCCCCTTTCATTACCAGTCTTCATTCTTCTTGCCATATCCTCCGCTCATCTCCCTCCGCGCCGCTCCCAGAACCTCGGCTCTCCCAACAGCCCGCGAAAATAGCTCACCGTCGCCATGGCAAGCGTTAACCATCTCAGCAGATCTGCAGCAGCCCAGGACGACAACGGGGGAGATCATATCAGCGGTTATGAGTCACCGCGCTCCGGAGTTGCGACACCCAAGCCAGACCCTCACGACCGACGAGTGCCCGGCATCATGAGCTACTTCAGCCAGGTTCGTGCAAGCTCTCTTCAGCGCTTCATGCCCGCTTCTCTCAGATTCGGGGGGCAGCAATCTGCGACTGCTTCCAAGCCTGCCACTCCTTCGGCGGAGACGCAAGCGCAAGCGCAGGCTCAGCCGAAGCAGCCAAAGAACCTTGCTCCAGCAGAGTTACCTCTTACTCCCGAAGAACCCGAGGATCCGGAGTCGTGGACTGGTTCGTTAGACGACGGGCCGCCTCTCCTGCCTCATGAGATGGTGGGGCTCGCCGCCGAACCGTCGCCTCGGGAAAACACCCGCCTGCCCCGTTATCCAACTCCTCCAGTCTCGCAGCGGTCGTCGCTGCGCAACCTCCAGCAGGAAAATGCCTCTGGCGGCAAGAAGTCGAGCAGTGGCACCCCGCCCGATTCTCGGCCATCCAGTCTGCGCCATCTGAGCATCTCGGATGGCAGCAAGGCCGCAGTAAGGGGTCTGTCAATGCTTGCGAGTGCTCCTCTGACGACCACCGTCAATGGCGCCACAGTCTCTGCCAGCCATCTGTCAAATCCTGCCGGCGGTGCCTCTACTGTCCCGAATTCTCCAACCCGGGAGCGTTCTCCTTCTGCTCACGGCCATCTTTCGTCTAAGTCAGCCTCTATGATACAACTCAAGAAGCTAACAGATATGGCGGCCAAAAAGAGCGGCACATCAACCCCAACGCGCTCCTCTTCAACAGCTCAACCCTTCCACCACGAAGGGGATGCCTCTTCGGCACAAGGCAACGGCGACCGTATTGACCGTACAGCGACAAACACCCCGACACCACAGGGCGCACGCGCCCCCGCTGCGAAAGGGAAGCTCAAAATTAAGGTCTCAGAGGCCAGAGGGCTTCGGCGCTGTTTGGACCCTTATGTCATCGTAGTCTTCCAGCGAAACGAGCTCATCTCGAGTGGCCCCCGGAATCCTGACGATGACGACGATACGGCCTTCTCATCTTCAGGCGGTATTCCCATTCAACGCCAAGGCAGTGACTCTGGTCGGCCCATGGCCATCCCAATGAGGAGCAGGCAGAGCAGCCATACCGGCTCGAGCGACCGCAGCACTCCGCTCAATCGCAATGCGCCCCGAACTTACACAAATCCCAAGTGGGATGCAGAAGCAACCTTGTCAGTTCGCTCCGTATTCTCTTGACGTTTTGATTTCATTCTCCGTAGTGACTGACGTTCACGCAGTGATGTCGTTGACCTAGATATGATGGTTGACATATCAGTTTACGGCAAGAGCCAGAATGGTGAAATCTTCCTCGGTCATGTTGACTTCAAGGCAGTGCCCTCGGAAAAGTCCCCTGTCCGGGGCTGGTTCCCGTTAAAGGGACATGTAGACACCAAGGCAGAAAATGCGCCGACGGGCGAGATCTACGTTGAAGCCTTTTATCAGCGGGCTGAGCGCAGGCATTTCGGTCCCGAGGATTTCCAGATTCTTCGGCTTATTGGCAAAGGCACCTTCGGTCAGGTGTATCAAGTTCGGAAGAAGGACACTGGGCGCATTTACGCCATGAAAGTGCTCTCGAAGAAGGTCATCGTGCAGAAGAAGGAGGTCGCGCATACGGTCGGCGAGCGCAACATTTTGGTTCGGACCACCATGGCCGAATCTCCTTTCATCGTCAGCCTCAAATTCTCCTTCCAGACTCCTTCTGACCTGTACTTGGTGACCGACTACATGTCCGGAGGTGAACTCTTCTGGCACCTGCAAAAGGATGGCAAGTTCGAAGAGAAGAGGGCCAAGTTTTATATTGCCGAACTTATCCTTGCTTTGCAACACTTGCACGAGAATGACATTGTTTATCGGGATCTGAAGCCCGAGAATATCCTTCTCGATGCCAACGGTCATATCGCCCTCTGCGATTTCGGTCTGTCAAAGGCGAACTTGTCGAAGGACGACACGACAAATACATTCTGTGGTACCACCGAATATCTGGCCCCTGAGGTGCTCCTGGATGAAAGCGGTTATACCAAGATGGTGGACTTCTGGTCTTTGGGCGTCCTTGTTTTTGAAATGTGCTGCGGTTGGAGCCCGTTTTATGCCGAAGACACCCAGCAGATGTACAAGAACATTGCCTTCGGCAAGGTCAGGTTCCCGCGCGATACTCTTTCACTCGAGGGTCGAAATTTTGTCAAGGGTCTGCTGAACCGTAATCCGAAGCACCGCCTGGGTGCTATCGATGATGCAGAAGAGCTCAAGAGACACGCATTCTTTGCCGACATGGATTGGGATGCGCTCTCCAAAAAGCTCATCACCCCGCCGTTCAAACCGCAGCTCAAGAGCGACACGGATGTGTCTTATTTCGATCCAGAGTTCACCAACGCTCTCCAGACTAATGGTTCACTGAACGAGCGTGCGAAGGCTTTGGCTAGAGGCATTCCGACATCCACCCCTCTCTCACCTTCTGTGCAAGCCAACTTCCAGGGCTTCACATACGTCGACGAGAGCGCACTGGATGACCACATGGCGGACCGGTATCACACAGATGAGGACATGGGAGATGTGGACCGCAAGAACGATGATGATTGGGACGACTTGGGCGACATGGACTCACACAGCCCTCGCCGCATGAGCGGTGTTGCCAGGAGCAGTGCCGCTGATGAGCACATGTTTGGGTCTCATTTCGACGACATTTAATCCTATTTGGTGCCTTCGCAATGTCCGTGGCTCCCCATTAGGAGCGCTTATCCTACCAGGCGTTGGCTGCCCTTTGTGCGGCACTTTTACGTTTGCTTTCCGGGCTGCCCTTCCTAGTCCTCTTTCTGCTGTTTTCCCGACGACGACAGACGACGACTGACCAGAAGAACCAACAAAAATCTTATTCCTTCAGCTGTTTTCCATCTCCTGATTGATTCAGGAAATCCCTTTTGCCAACCGTACCTCACAAAAAAAAGGAGTTTACCCTGATCAGCAATTGACGATGACCGTGATGAACACACCATCACAACACTTCATTACTCAATCATGACAGTCTGGCATTCTGAAAACCGAAATGCATTTCTGGACGGTTGGCACATTTGCATCTCTGAGGAAGGAAGGTGGGAGGGAAGGGAGGAGGGTAAGGGGTGAGGGTTTGAGGTTTGGTTGACTGGCTTGTCTGGCGACTGACTTTATTGTGGAATTCCACTTTCACACAGTCGGGCATGGCGTTTGGGCGAACTGTGCTTTTTCCCCCAGGAGAGGTGTGTGCGTACTGTTCTTATCAAGCGACTACTCGCCGGATCTTATTCCTCCTCAGTATTCGTCTGTTTTTTCTGTCACCAGGTTGGTTTGTGCGGTTACTCTGTATTGGGATCAAAGAGAGGTTTACACCTGACTGTCTGATCAGTCCAGAACTTCATCCTCTGATTCCGAGGGACGAGACCAACCCCTCTCTGCCTAGCCCAGCCAAGGCAGAGCAACAGCAGCCTCTCCCCCCTCCTCACAAACCTCAAAAGCCCAAGGAACTATAGGAGACACGCAGGCCCAGGAAAGAAACCACTGACGGGACATGGCCCAATTATGTTAATAAGCGAGGGATGACCCTCGTAGAAGAGGTCGCCATGTCCCTACTTTGAAGTACTCCTGCCTACCCCTCAAATCTTGCTACTTACCTGTTGGTTCTGTTTGTCGAGTTGTTCGTCTCATGATTCGTGAGATGTCCAAGAACTGAAACAGGCCACCCGACTTCTTGCTACCTGAACCAAGCCGAGGAAGGGGCTACTTTCCTTCTCATTCTACTTTTTTGTACCAGTTGGCTGATTCTCTTGCTTGTTTGAACAATCATAGGACGGGAGCGGATTGGCTCGATTGATCATATCGTGTTTGGACCCTGGGAGGGAAAAACCAGAGAAAACAACAGCTGATAACAAAGAAGTAGAACCGGCTGCATGTGAGAGAAGCCTGTAATGTTAAGATAGCGGTCTAGTTCTCTTACTACCTTGTTGATTGATGGTACGGGGGAGGAAGATGAGAGGAAAGGTACTGAGTCCGGAGTGTAACCAGCTGTTGATAGTAATCTTAATATGATGGTATGAATCCATGAATTGTGTTGTAAGGGAGGTTGAGTGACATCATGTTGCAGACATACTCTGGCATCTAAAGTAGATCATGAGGCTGTGGTTCATCTGGCTTGCTCGCCTAATGATTGGGCGTATGATGGGTACAGCAGGGATTGGGAGCATTCCTTGAAGGATTGTGATACATGACTATGAAACCACAGGCTAGTAAAATGATAAACAACACAAGGTATACACAGGTAGGATTGTAGGAAATCCCGAACGTCTCTACATCTCCCTTTCTAATCCCGGACCCCTTGTTTTGATTCTGCCCTTTCCTACATCCATGAGGGGAAAAAAAAAGGCCTCACAACACCTGGCTGGCGAGAGAAAGAAAATTAAGGGAACAGAACAGACCCGTTTTTATAAGTTTTCCTTTCTTTTCTCTCCTCCCTCTATTCGAGAGAGGAGGAAGAGTGAGAGGCTGCTTTTGATGATGACTGCCCTTGTGAGACTGTGGCATGTCCGTCTTGATTCCGTTCCGCCCACTTCTCCTCTACCTTCGTTGTCCATCCTTTCTTCTTCTCCTGAGGATTACAACCACAATATGGTTAAACGGCTGGGTTCATGCGCCCAACAACCATACAGGTTGACCACATCCTCTTTTCAGGAAAAAGAAGAGGGCGTCGTCAAATGGTCTCCTTTTAGTGGTGTTCACCCTCCTCCTCCTCTTCCTCCTCAACGAGCCAGTCCTCAACCACGGCGGGCTGGCCGGCAGCGGCGCCCTCCTGGCCCTCGACTTCAACGACCATCTCTTCATATTCCTTCAGGCTGGAGGCAAGATCGGCCTCCTCAGGAGACTTGGGGGCCTTGGGCAGCTGGAAGACGGCGACCTGACCGACGGCATCGGACTCCTTGACGGGGATGGGCTTGTACGCCTTGAGCTCCTTGAGGTAGAGCTCCTGGACGAAGTCGGCTGTTTGCGGGGAGAAAGCGACAATGTCAGCTGAATCATCCTCAAAGCAATCAGGGGATGGGCGCGTATTTCAAGAAAAACTATAAAGCCCCACAGCCAATGGAAGAGAAAGAGGCTGGCCTGCCCAGTGGCATTGGTGTCCCATTGCCATCCGATTAAGGCCAAAGAGGGGGAAGGGCATTCCCCGGCGCAGCCATTGCAACGCAACGGAGCACCGCCTCTCGCAGAACGGAAGCAGTAGCAATTGCCCAGGATCACAAAAAAAAAACACCATCAAAACAACCGCACCCAAAATGGATGCGCGCGCGTTCAGGATGCTGACACTGATGACGAGAACGATAGTGACGCGGCAGGCCAACCTCTTCCTCTCGCTACAACACTGCTGGAATTGCTGGCGTGGAACATGCGGAAACGTATCCGGGACCGGCCCTTGTGGCAATAGTTGTTCAACGCACCTCTCCGGGAGACAGTCGGGGCCATGAAGGTTCTCATCGGGGCGGCGGCATTGCGGGCGGCGGCAAAGCGGGTGACGGCCGCGACGGCCCTGCGAACGCTCTGTTGTCAATTGGAAAGGACACATTTGATTAGCCTATGTTCTCTTTTAACCATCCTGTTTGATTCCCTTGCGGTTCACAGGCTCGGGGGAGGAAAGGGGTAACCAAGTGCGAGGACAGGGTGGACGGCAATGTTGGAGATGGGTTGGAGGGAGGGTGGGATGGTCTTGGTAGGCGAGGTCGTGGGAGCTAGTTTGTGCACGGCAGCCGGGTGTACGAAAACACAAATGCACGCAATTGTTGACATACCGAAGTCCTGGACAGCATCTTCTTCTAAAGTATGGTGTCGCAATTGAGCACTGTCGGAGGGGAGGGCTGACAGAGACGACGAGTGGCAGTCGGCAAGGTGGAGAGGTTGATGTCCTTTTGCGTTGAGAGGTTTTCAAAATGCCCCGGCTCATCGAGCAATCCCGCGCGCACTCACGGCCCCACACTAGCAGCGTTGGTCCGTGCACCTAGGAGCTGGCCGCTCGTTCGGAAGAGATCGGTTCCCACAGGGAGAGAATTCGTCACGTGACATGAAGACCAACCTCAGTCAAGAGCCCTATGGTAGGTACAGGTTAGGTACTTACCTAGGTAGGTAGGTACGGATTACGGCTAACATAGATACAGCTTATCCTCATCACAAGCCCGCTCGCTGTCTGGTGTTCAGGAACAGGAGATCGGCCAGTTTCACATTTGCCGCCCAGAAGGCGGGTTTCATCATACCTAGGTACGGAGGTGGTCACAGCTTTAGCTACCATACACAGTAAGGTAAGGTAACTTAGGTAGGTACCTTAGGGTAGGTAGGTATGTACTGGCAGCCTTGGAAGAGTGCCCGATTGCATTCAACTTTTCATTTAAATATGAAACAAACACTAGTATAATGTCCTTATCCTATACAACGCCGAATCCGACCCAGTCCAGTTCCAGTATATATCTACCTCAGGATCCAGTTTACAACCGGATCCTGTCCCGAGTCCAGTCTTCCCTGAATTCCTTTTATCCCATAGTTCCCATCTTCCCATCTCCAAATCTGATCTGAACAGAAATATTTACAGAAACTCAATAATCTGGAAGTCGCCACCCTTCCCCTAATTATGGACGTCGTTCAAGTGGTGCAAACATTTGCTGGAACCGCTCGTCCTGAAGGTAAGCTCCCCGGGGCATGTGCTTGTGCGTTGACACGTGCCCATTGTGGATGGGAGTTGGTCTTTCAGCGGGCACATGCCGGGGAAGCCGCGGCTGTTCGCGGACATAACGACGGTCGTGATGAGGACGTTGGTATTGCTGATGCCCGTCACGTTGATGACGACGTTGATACTTCTGACGGACGTGATTGTCATGATGGTAACGATGGTTTACAAAACGATTCTTGGCAGGATCATCATCATTATCATCATCATCATCATCACTGCCGCGGTTCTTACTCCACGTCTCGACAGTCCGGAGGAGCTTGACAAGGGTATAGGCCAAGAAAGCGGCACCGGCGATGACGCTGTAGGTGACGACGAGGCCTCTTCGCTCGTTCACCATCTGCAAGCCGAGCCCGCCGTTAACGACGCCGAGGACCATCAAACAGCGACCCCACCAAATATGGAAGTAGCTGACAGGGCCACGGGCGCGGTGCTTGAGGTAGTGCAGATGGTGAAGGTAGCCGAGCACAGGCTGGATACCGAACAGGCAGACGACGACAGTGCCGAGGACGCTGTGCTTGTCGCGGAAGAGCTGGGAGTGCTTGGGTTAGAGAGATGATTGGATGGGGCTGACGGGCCGAAAAGAAGACAGGGAACACTCACCAAGTCCATATCCTTGGCTACGACGACACCCAGTCCAAAGCCTATCCACATCAGCACGTAGGCCAAGGTCTGCCACAGGCCGTGGAACCACCACTTCCTGAGCAGTGGCTGCACCAAGGAGCCCAGGGGGTAAAGGGCAGCCATGACCAACGCCATGATGACGCCGTGGGCGGCCAGGATAGTTTTCCTGTTGCTCCGGCCGCCTCCAATGATGAAGCCGCCGCCGGCGGAGCCCGAACCAGAACCAGAGCCAGAGCCCGAACCAGAGCCGGACGAACCACCGCTCCCTCCATTTCCGCCAGCAACACCATCATCCGTAATAAACGGATTGGCGTCGGCGCTGACAGTGGCCTGCGTAAGGTCGATGGTGAATTGCGCATAATCGTCGTGCTGCGCAATCGTCGCCGCCTTGTCGGTGGTGGCCAGCGAGGCCCCCTTCCTCCACGCCGCAATCCAAGGCGTCGAGGAACTGGCGACGTCCATGGTGTACTGGCCGTCGTCCCAGCTTTCGCAGTTCGAGCAGACCACATTGGCCACCATGGTCTGCCCGTCGGCGCTAACGCCGCTGCCGGCCAGCACGGTCAGTTTCGCTGCCGTGCTGGAAGTATCCAGCACCGGCATGGCGTAGCGCTCACCAAGGCGTGGGGACATGGTCACGTTCCCCTGGCCGTCTTGGTACATGACGAAAATGTTGGAACCGGCCATGCGTGAGCCAGTCCCAAGGGCAACCCACTGGAAGCTGGTCGGGGCCGAGATCTGAAAGTAGATGTTGCCGGCCCCGGAAAGGGCAGTTGACTCCGGAATGGCAATGCTGAAGCAAATGCCACCTCCGTCGGGAGGGCAGAGACGCACCGGAGAGGCGTCCACCACAGTCGTGGCGACTGGAAGCCGTGTTAGCAATGCCAACTGCTGGAGGGAAACATGGGGAAGGATATTGAGAATGCTTACCCAGCAAGAGGAGAGAACAGACAAAAGTGAACAGCTCTCTAAACCTCTTCATTGTCGTGAACCGTAAAATTCACGTTGTATCTCGTTTAAAAAAATATATGTTAAGAAAAAAAATATTTGGCCGGTCCTGCGTGAGAGGGATTTGATTAATATCCGAGGGCCGCCACAATCACCTGCTCTGATTCAAACGAGATCAGAACTGTGTTGCTCAGAAATCCGGGCGTCTTCACCTGAGCCCGTGATGGTTTTCGGACTCGGCTGGGGAAAAAGGATGCTGCAGGCAACTTTAATTTGATGGATCGTGATTCGCACGCAAGTACACAGGAGGAACGTTCAGGAACAGCGACAAAGCATTGTGATGCAGCCTGATCAAACAGAAGGGTATTTCCGGATCGACTGTGTCCGGCGCCAGTCCGGCATGCACGACTCGGGCTTATGTGCCTTTTATCGAGCTAGCTACCTAAGTAAGTAGGTAAGTCGGACTTCCAGGTGGAAAATGGATGACCGCGGGTTCCATCCCAAGAACGCTCAGGTCGCCCATGCAGATCTTCCCGGGTACGGGTTAGAGGAACCGGGCAGCAGCATTTCCTGCCGTATCTCCTTGTATTTCTAAGAAAGGACAGCGGCTCTATCGCGGGCAGCTTCAGCCCCATGGCAACGCAGAGCGACGCGGAGCAACGCAGTACCAGTCGATAAAGCCATTTCCGTCCATCCCATCCATCCAATCTCTGCCAACGCATTTCTGCAGTCCCCCATCCATGGCTCGGGGATTCGTTCTCTGATCTTGGCGCAGCGGCAGGAGTGTGCTGAAAAAAGAAAGCTGATTCGTACGTGCGGCTGCTGTCAGCAACTTGGCGGAGATGCTGAATGCGCGCTCAGCCACAGTGTACACGTTATCGCCTGCCCGTGAGCATTTTCATGATTTGACGGGGCTGGGATGGATCAGAGTGATCAGTGATCGCAGCACAGGAGATGTTCAAGCGTGTAAAAAGAAGGGGAAGAAGAAACAGAAAAGCAAGAGAGAAGAGTCAAAGCGCGTCAGTTAAATGGAGTATACAACGTCCTGACGTCAAGGCCGCAAGCTCTAAATCTGTGGTGTTCATAGCGATGAGAGCATGGACTAGAAGTCTTGAGCTGAGCGCCTGTGATGTCGCGTTCAATCACTTGTGATGGCGGAAAAGATGCCGGGCAGTGAACTTCCAGGTTTAACTAGGGATGAGCCTAAACCCTCTTAAGTCTAGCGCCTCTAGAGCCTCGATAGCTCCCGCGGGCCCACCACAAGAGCCCCACCGCGATGGTTCGCGGTTCAGTGTGGGGGGCGACCTCAACTCCCGATGCGCCAATGTCCATGAGCAACAAGCGCCTTGATGAAGCTGTCCAATGAGATGAGTTCGAACGTCCATCCGACCACTGACTGACTGGTTCGATAATCTGCTTGCCACAAACAGCCGTTTTGCGATTGGCGTTGTGGCTACCAAGAGCCTACACTGGCAGCAGTACGCTTATGTAAGCTCAGGCTAAGTCGCCGAGCCTGGAGAGGTGTCGGCGAGGGCGAGAGCAAGGCATGAGCATGAATCTTCCACTTTTAGAATGGGCGGTGGTTTAGCTGATGACGACGTCATACCGCAAGCTTCGTCTCTAAGTCCCTTCTCGGAATGCGTCGAGTCTCTGCTGACAGTCGTAAATTCATTTTTGCTGACTTCGAGCGATACAGAGAGTGCATCTTCTGATTTGATTTGCATCATCCAGTTACCCAATCAAGCGACATGGTCTCCCATTCACTCTGCGCTGTTGCACTGCCCATGGCAACTACAGGATGGGGGCAGGGCAGCGAGGTCTTGAGTCTTGATAGCTCTGAGCCTTTTCCACCTACCACGGAAACCAGTCGGCCGCTGGGCTGTTACCTACTTAAGGTAGGTAGGTACCTACCCGTTTCCTTCCTACTGCTCCTATCCCGCTCTAAATAGGTCAGGTAAATATGTGTGTATGTAGCCCGTCTCCCATCCGTATTGGATTGGCTCTGACTCGAGCCGCGCGGTATGTTTTTTGTCTGCCAGCTCGGTCCTCAGTTCCCGCCGGACGCCATCCACCGGTTCGCTGTCCAAAACCTGGGCCTCCTTACGCAATGTGTCAATACATGTCCTTAGATGCAACCTGTACCGCTGCAGGGGCTATGGGCGGCGTCTTATTAACTAGGTTATCAAGTTAGGTGATGAAAACGTTATAGTTGTATATCGCTCGATATTCCAGGGAACCAAGATCAGGTGACAAGAGACAAGATAGCTGACAGATACAGATCCATAGCTGGTTCCTGTATGATACCGCCAACCCAATTCTTCTTCTTCTTCTTCTCTTTCTCTTGTTGTTGTTGTTGTTATTGTTGTTGTTGTTGTTATTGTTGTTGTTGTTGTTGTTGTCATGCAGCGTATCTAGCCGAATGAGAGATATATACCGAAATCACTTCCTACGATACCTCAAGCTTGTTTGTTCGCCCCGTTGGTCGATTGCCAAGTTGCTCATCCCTAGGGGGAAGATGGTACTGAGTCCCGGTTTCGCCTTGTCACGGGATCCATCTGTATGCTGAACGCGTTATCACCGGACTGCCGTTATATCCCAACCAGGCCCAGCAATACAGGAATGGTGAATCTGCACCGCTCCAGAACGGTGGAAGAGAGAACTCGTCAATGGCATGAGGCTTCTTTCAGAATCCACACACCGTCTGTTGGATGTTGAAGTTCTCCATAGTTAAGTCGTGCGGATAGGGACCAAGGCCGTCAACAACTTTTCGTTTAGACCACGAGAAACTGAGCTGGGCGCCTAATTTTGGCCCTTGATTACACCTACTGCTCACTTAACCGCGAGATATTGATAGGAATGGCGAATAGCGAATGGCAAAAGGGTAGGCAGGTGAAGCGTGCTATTGTGTTCCTATCTAAATCTCTAATTGCATACCGGTCTGTTTGTATTACGGCATTGTCATTAAGTGAACCAGACGGCATGACTCAATGTAGCTTGGTAATCCATCGTGGGCAAGCGAAACCGATATATATAGCCACCAAAAGCGCCTGAAAAACCTATTTCCCGCCAAACGCCATGTCAAATGCCGTAACGCATCCTGCCCAGCCAAGAATCGCATCCAATCACCCCGCATGTAGGAAATAGAGAAAGCAAAAACTGTTTGAACATCCTCACCTCGCAACTCCCCCTTCCCCTCTTTCGATCAAGACTTGAAGGTCTCCAGCAGTGTACTAGGAGCCACGAAGCTGAACCCGCGGAAGGGATCATTGGCAGTATGAGCATCCGCTGGACTGCCATAGTGGGTGGCATCTTCGAAATCCCCTCGACGGGACACAACCGGGCTCAGTGGCATCTCCGTAAACTCCGGGTCAAAGTTCTCGGCCAGCTCGGGGTCAGTGATGACCGGCTGGATGGGTGGGGTAAGTTCGCGACGGGATAACTTATCCCAGTCGATGCGGCGGAAGAAGCGATGCTTTTTGATGGTCTCGAGATCGCGCGGCATGTTGTAACCCAAGCGCTTGGTGGGATCCTTCCGCAGCAGGCGCGTGAGCAAGTCCTTGGCGTCAGGGCTGAGGAAATAGGGAAGGCTTAGCTTTTGATGCACAATGTTGTGCTCGATTCGAGCCTTGTTAGGCCCGCGGAACGGCGGGCTACCAGTCATCAGATCGTAGCCCAGCGCACCAAGAGACCACCAGTCTACTGCCTTTCCATACTTTTTGCCGAGGATTACCTCAGGGGCCATGTATTCGATGGTACCCAGAATTGAGTCACATCCGTCTGAGTCGACAGCGACCTTGGAGAGCCCGAAGTCAGTCAGGAGCAGGTGCCCCTCGGCATCAAGCAGACAGTTCTCCGGTTTGAGATCGCGGTAAACAACGCCCAGCTCATCGTGCAAGTGAGTGAGGGCAATTATCATCTCGGCCATATAGAACGCAGCCGTCTGCTCAGTGAACAGCTTTTCAGTTTTGAGATGAGTAAACAGCTCGCCGCCCTGTCCATACTCCAGGATCAGGTACAATTTCTCGTGATCTTGGAAGGCATAGTACAGCTTAACAACGAAGGGGTGGCTGTTAATGCTCTCCAGGATTTGACGCTCCGTTTTCGTCTGTTCAATCAGCTTGTTGGAGACGAATAGAGAAGCCTTCTTTAGCTGCTTTTGGGCAAACAGACGACCAGTTGAGCGTTGCTTGACCAGAAGGACAGTTCCGTAGGCTCCTTTGCCGAGGCACCGAAGAGGCTCAAAGTCTTCGGCTGTCATCTTACGACAGGACGACGAGGCGTCCTCAAAAGTGCCTCGGAAAGCCTCGTTATAGGGCTGTTCACTGCGACTCACAAAGTCGTTTTCGAGCTTGATCTCGTAGCTTGGGCTCCCCTGAGATGCTGTCTCGTCGTCGCTGGCTGGCGTGCTGCTGTTGCTGCGGCTCTTGTAGCCACTGTCCGCGAGGTTCTCAGTGCTCCGCTTGCCGCTACTGATCGTAGTATTGCTGCTTGCGGGGGAGGCGAGACACTCGCTCTGTGTGAGTGAACTGCAGCGAGATGATGTAGCGGTAGAAGTGGTCGGAGTCTGCAGACTTAAGGTTTCCATTCGCATCCGGAGCTGGCTGATCGCGCCAATGCTTCCTCCGTTGGCCACTTGCGGCTTGAAAACCGGACTGCAGCTCGCATTGACAACATTGACAACATCCTGGAACACATGCTGACGTCTCTTTTTCGAAAGCTTGAGCGCGTTCTTCTCCGAAGACCGCGACTGTGTGAAGCAGTCAGAATCCTCGTCGGTGGACATCACGGGAGTCCCATGAAAACCACGGACTGTGTTCTTAGCCCGAGGCGGCGGCGGGACCATCTTGGCCAGTGGTAAACGAGGATCGGCCCTTTTTACGGTAGTCAAGTCGAAGGAGGGTCAGTTGGGAGGTTGGTCGAGGTAAGGACGATTGATGCTTGAAGTTTGCTATCCAGATTAATCGACTAATCGTCGAACCGAACAAAAAAAAAAAAAAAAAAAAAAAAAAAAAAAACTCGAACCCAAAGT